GTGTTTAGCTCTATATTAGCAGAGAAACAGACACTAACTATAGAGTGATTTAACTCTCCACAGCTGTGCGTCTGCTCCATACTGACTCAAGCAGCTGTTTCACTGACGTGACCTGAGGGATCAGTGCCTTTTATCAGTAAGTTAAGTGTCTGTTTTGGTTCAAAGAAGAAGCAAGACAACTGTATACTGTGATACTATACGGTACAGACTCTGGCGCCACAGTTACATCACCAGGGCAACATATCAGCGCCCATCACGGCAGGTATTTGGCTTCAACCATCTTTATAAACAGCAGACTTTGAAGGGTTAATTTCCATTCTTAAATCTGATGATACATTAGTTCCTGTGAGTAAGAAGCTAGTCAGGGGTGTGACACTGAATGAATGAACATTATTTCACATCAGTAATGTGCAAACGTGTCTCCTCTGCGAGGTGTGCGGTAGGATTAACCCTGTTCAAACAGACTGGAGTGAGTGTGTCATACTGATCCGTGAGGCTGCACTGCAAGCTGTGCTGTGCTGCTCTCTGGCAAACTGAGGTGAAAAACAATCTCTTTGTTTGCAAGAACAGTCAAAGATCTTCTAGAGTAAGAACAACCTAAAAATGGTCAATTGTTTTTTTTTCGAAAATATTTTCTGCTGTATGAACTTTGGCTGGTCACAACTGCGCAGTAATTGAAGCTTCACAAAGACAACAGACAGAGAGAGCATTGTAAACACCAGTGAAGCAGTCATAAACAACACGCACGAGTCGTTTTATACATCCGAAGAAAGCAATTAAGTCGGTGATAACAATAGAAAACAAGCTTGTAATTCAATTTCATAAAGTTTAAGGCTCCATTAACTCAAAGAAGAGCAGACAGGGAAAGAGTCTATTGAGAGGATGGTGTTAATTCAAAGCATTATAGTGTCTTTTTATTGGCTGAGATACTGACATGATAAAGCAGGTAGTGAGAGTGCCTTAACACTGTGGTCAAACAGCCACACTTTGCTGTGCGCCGTCTAATTGAAGGCTACTTCAAATAAATTATGTCTTGAAAGAAAAATTCAATAACACCCAGATAAGAGACTGAGAGCACCCTTGCCTGCCTACCCTTATTGCTCTTCATTTGGCATGAGTTTTGGCACACACCTCCATGCTTTGCACTCCAGGGTGGCTCAGATGATAAAGTGGGAGGGAGGCAGGGGGGGAGAAGGACAAACTTGATGTGAGGGGAAAAAAGGAAGGAGTGGGGGAGGATGGGAAAGGAGGTATATTATCAGGAACTGGGAGCAGCAGCCTTTACCTAAGATGTGCACCTGCCGACACAGCGTGCTCTCGGGGAGGACAAACCCCCCACAACGCTACATCTGGTTAAACTCTGTGCATGGAGACTAATTATTTGACTGATCAAGTGTTCATGTCTGGTACCACACATTTGTCTGCACAGCACTGTACTGAGGCACAAAGCCTGTTTGCAGAACTTTGAAGGTCAACCAAATCAAGCAAGACACTTTCAGCTCCATGGGAAGTAGTGAGACTCAAAATATGAGAACCAATTCAAACTGAGAATAAGTGACTTAAATGTTGAAACGGTTTGCTCAACATTTGATAAAATCCTTATTATCTTGTTTTACGATAAGATCTGAATCTGCATCAATACGACTTTGACAACTGGTCATTTCATATAGGGAGGAGCTGATCAGCTTTTATGATGCCACGACAACAAACAGGCAAAATCAGCAGAATTTGAGATCATTGAAGTAATTTCAGGATTAAGGTCCTTACACACCCAGGACCACGCAAATATGCGATGCGAAATTACGAAATATTCAGGGGTGAATTTTGACACGCCTGACTATACACATCAAGCGCAATACGATTTTCCGACTTTCCGGGGGGAAAAAAAGACGTGTCCTGGGTGGAAGCGAGAAGACAGTGATGGCGAATTGGTACTCCTTTTAAAAATAATAAGAGCTACCATATGCCACAGTTACTAAAAACAGAAAAAACAACAGCAGACTGACTGTTTTTCAGTTCTGATTAGACTCTAGTGTTGAGATGGCTGTCTGTCATGATAAGAATAAGAAGAAGAAGAACTTTATTGATCCCCGAAGGAAAATTCAATTGTCTGTTGTCTCACGTAATATGTCTACAAAAGTTATCTATTATTTACATAAGAGTTATAAAGCCTGATGGCAGTTGGTACAAAAGATCTTAGATAGCATGCACTGAGTCGGGGCCAGTACCAGATAAGCACATTAAACTATAATCCACAACTGAGACCTAATGGTGCTGTGATAGCAACACGATTGAGTTTGAGATTGTGAAAATACATATGGTATGTTGTATCTGAACAGGTTAACTTACGAGCTAAAGTTACTTAGCACAGATTAAAGTTAAAACAAAGACATTTAGCAGACTGTTAAAGCAAACAAACTATCATCATATGAGAAATCTGACTTGTGACTCTCTACAAGTTGTCTTTCAGGTCATTATCTTTGTGATGTTTGTGTCTTTTATCAAAAAGCACTCTGTTCTCCGACACATAAACAAACAGCCGGTCGGCCATGTTGGATATACCGGTGAATCTGACGTCGCAACAACACGAAATCTGATTGGTCAGAAGTGGACACACAGTATGCGAAACTTTGGAAAATTCGACTGTGATACGGAAAAATAAATGTCGCGATATTGCAGGACGAGAAAACGTCGCTGATGTGAACGCTTGTATTGACAGGATGCAGGTTCGAAAAAAAATATAAACGTCCAATATATCGCATGTAAAAAACGCTCCCGGTGTGAAAGGACCTTTATTCCTGGGTCAGCATGGTAACTTGTGCTGGATGATAACCTGATATAGAGCAGGTTATGTAAAGGATAATCTGATATTTTGATTGTGCAGCTCTGTGTGGTGATCAATAGAGAGAAATAAATATAGTAGAATATAAATATAAATATAAATTGTAAACTGCATTTAGGATGTGGATGTAGCACCACTTTTAATTCTGTCTTTGTATTCACTTTTAATTGGTACCATACTGCACAGTTTAATAATGTTAGGCTGCAAGTAAAATTACATCTCAGGCTACCACACACACATGAATACAGGAACACCCCTGAGCAGTTTATCACTTAATAGCATAAACAGAGGTCTTTATCGTCAGATCTGTCACACATTAATGATGATGGGAAAGAAATACAACTTAATTTGCACATTCATACACAGTGAGTTTTTCTTTTTCTGCTAACCTCCTGTGGCTTTATTGATTTGAGTCTGCAGTATGTGATTATCTTCATATTTTTTTGCCACGTTCTGAGTCTGTGGATCTGTGTAGGTCGATATAAGGCTGAGGAAACTACATGCCAGCCTGTATAAAGTTTAGAGAAAAGCACATTATGTCTTTATGAAAGAATGAAATGACATGTTTATCAGGATTAACTACATTATATCCATAAAGATGTGAGAGTGGCATCAAACATGGTGGCCAACTCTCTGTGAGAAAGTGAAAAAAAAAGAAAAACCTTCATTGATCCTTTCTCAAAACATACTTAAAAGTTTGTTAATCATGTCTCCGTCTCAGTATCAAATAATATTCCTGAAGGGAATGATTGCCCTCTCGTCCCTCTTGTGTGACGGAGCCTCGAGATGAGAGCTATTGTAGGGAGCACTAATGCAAACCAGATGTTAAACTTGTGTCCTCAAAATGAATGGGCCTATTGGGAAACCAAGGCGGGTCTCAGGGGACATTCCTCTGCAGGCTAAGCTGATTGGTTCATATTGAAACAACATGGCCAAGATAAACTGGGATTTCAAGAAAGGGGGTCTCTGGACGCTGGAGTCTAAAATAAATCGTTAGGGCTAAAGGAGGAGCTTAGCTCATCCTCTAAGGAAAACAGTGAGTTTTGCAAGTGACTGACACACATGATGACTGTGGCGCCAGGCAACCTCGGTCTAGGGCCCAGTTGTGGGCTGCATGGGAAGTGGAGAGCATCGGGGGCCATGCTTCTTTTGTGCTGATGTCACAAAGCTGCAGGGTATTACTTTTTCCAAATTGTTGTATTTATTTTCCCCTCACGACTTGACTGCTTTTGGCAGGGGGGAAACTAGAGATGAAATGGTCCCGTATGAAGACGAAGATTACTGCTATGATCATGAATTCAAATACGGCTCATTTGTTTAATCTGGCATAGAGGCATCAAAGGTATCATGTGTGACTTGATCTCAGCAAACACAGCAACATCTTGATCTATTTACTTGTTTACATAATTTAGTCTCATATGGTTTATCGCTTCGGGATAATGTGTTGCATAGATATCAGTTTGAATCAATTTTGTGCTTTTTTTGCCAGCCGATTATGATTTAATTCAGTTTTTATCTCAGGGATATATTTTTAAGATTCACAGATTTACTCCTCATATACACAAGAGTAAAAAACATGTGCAGAGGAATTCTGAAATATCTTTTCACTACATTGTGCGCAGGGACCGGTAAAATGAAGAAGTATAACTGTGCAGTGAAAAAGGAAATGCCAAGAGGATATTTTATTTCGCTTTTGTGCATCAATAGGGATATTGACTCTCATTACGTCCTATCAGTGTCAGCAGTGAGGAGGTAATCTCAACTCCGAAGGGCCCTTTGGCTGCATGGTTTTGTCTGTGCTTTCATAACAAAGCTAAAAGACTTGAAGTTAAGTTGCTTGGACCTCCTGTTTGCAGCCAAGACGGCCTAGGATGAAAAAAACAAAACTCCCAAGGTCACAGCAGTGGCGTTTTAATTACCATCAGCCAGTCTTGGAGGTAATTGCCGGTGCCATGTCCTTCAGATGTGTCAGGCTTTACAAAGAAAGATCTAAAAAGAGAAGCACGCTTCCACACAATAGCTGGAAAAAGCAGGAGTGCGGCGGTGCTTTCCTCTGTCAGTGGGTTGGTCGGCCTATTTTGTAAGCACTTCCATCCTGTGAAAGCCCCTGGTAGACCTCCACCTGCTAGCTCACTGCTAGCTCGTCTGCTGCAACTTCTCAGAGTGCAGCGAGCCAGCCTCTCCCCCTCATTTCACTGGCGCCAGCGCTCAATGGGCCCTGCACTTTGATTATTTGTGTTAACAGTTAATTTAGCACCACAGACACATGTGCCAAAGCTGGCTTCACTTCCTCATGCATCACCAACAAATGTGACTTTTATGAGTTCCTTTTCACAGGGCCAACCCCACCCCCCCTTTACTCTCTCTCAGCTAAGTTCTCACTCTCCTAACCCTCTGTGGACTCCCCACACACATACACGCTCACCCCTGCAGACACCATCTCCTCAACTCCTCTCACCCCCCCCATCTCATTTTCCAAACCTCCCGCCTCCACTCGCTTATTTCAGGGGTTAAGCCTTAATCTCTTCCACATCTTTTTGCCTGGGAGAGTTATTTCTGGCTCCTCTGTTCCCCATGTTTGCATTATCAGGAATACATTTTATGTCAATTTATTCGTTTGGTTAAATACCGCAAGAGAGTCGCTCTTTGGAGGATTTGAACTGCGGTTGAAAAGAATTCTTATCCCTCTAAAGAGGGTCCTCTTAACATTTTCTGACGACTTTTTCCATTTGGATCCCAGCTTACCAAAATAACTGCTGAGGGGGAATTAAAGAAATAACAGTTTCATAACCGTGTGCTCACTTAAAAAGACATCACTGACCTTTCAGGAATCCTTACCTTAATACAACTGATGAAAAATGGTTCTTTCTTCCACACTGAACCAGGGTGACCACTGCACAGAGCTAATTGTTTCAGATATCAACTACAACCTGAGAGCATGACCCGCACTTTTTCAGTAATAAGTGGCACAAGGATATAATCTGCCTGTATGAAAACCTCTGGCCTCAATACCAAAAGGAGCCACAGTCTGGTGGCTATGGGAAAGTAAGCTCAAAGGACTTTGTCAATGCCTAGTTAGCTTCGACATTGATACTTGCAGACTGGGAAAGAACAGTGCTGAGGGAGCACAAACTAGCCGCACACCAATGAGCTCATGCCAGGACTATGCAAGCAGAAGGCCACAGGAGCCATGGAAATATTTGGACATCTATTTTGCTCCCCCGCTTGTCTGTAGAGCAATACACTGCATCATCTTTTGTGGTCCACAGACACGTTTTCAAGTGGCCAGAGGCAGAACCTTAAAAGGATGGTCTTGCAGTTTTGTTTTTTTTATAATTGTGTGACTGCATTTCAGCCACTCAGCATGAGCAAACTCTGACCGCAACCCGACAACCGCAGATTCTTCTTCATTAGTTCCCCATCCCCGACATGTAGCCGATCATTGCTGTAACACTGATTCATGTGTAGAAGTCCATTCAAGCACGGCTACTTTGGCAGCCAATGTTTCAGTCACACAGAAATGACCAGTGCTAGTTTCCTGAAGCGGTGTTATATATGCTTGCAGAAACATGAGAAAATGTTATGTAATTGCTTTTGATTTAACACGAGCACCCAGGGTCCAGGTCTCCACAGTCAAGCAGCTTACCGAGCTCACAGAGGTGTCGTTAAATCTGTCATATGGATTATGTTTAAACTCTTAAGAAGTTCAAGTCTTTCTTTAAACTTACAACAGGTGATTTTTAATACTCAATATGAACAACACTATTAAGAGCGTTTATGTGAGGCTTTTCGAAGTGATTGGTTTATGCTTTCTATGACTGTGCCATGGCAGTAAACAGCTATTATGACATTTTTATGCTAAGTGGTGTCAAGGGATTGCAGAATTGTTTTATCTGTCTGTTGGTGTCGATTTTGGACAAGATTAACAATGGCCAAAGACAGTCTTAGCATTCGTACGAGACATCTAGAGACATAATTGGCCTCCCAACTTTAATCCTTTATGACATATAAAATATGGGTTTGAGTGAAACTGGAAAACTGTTGGATGAAGTTTCGGGAAAGCTATTTGCTGGGCCGTATCTCATGAGGATGGACCGCTTTTTTTGGCAATCACCTTACAGCTTTTTTTTTTTCACTCCCTATTATTTGTTCAGAATTTATCGGTTGTCAGATACTCCAGTTCATGACAAAAATGTGAAACTGAATAACATTGCCATTAGCCTCAGTTGTACTTGACATTTAATACAAGTCAACAAATGTTAGCATTCCATCAGGATCAACAAAAACGGGGCTGTATTAGACTAAATGTCATTCCTGCTGGGCATTAACGTGTTTGAAGGTTACCTTTGTGACAGCAGACTGGTGTTAAGATTCAGGTTTTTGCTTATGTAACGTTATAGTTAACTATAGATTCAATTTTCAATGAATAGAACTTTTGAAAATGGAGCAAACGAGCTCTGTCGTTCAGGTATCCTAAAAACAACAGTAGTATTCATGCTGCGTTCGAGTCAGATGTCTGAGTGAGAATGATGTCACACCCGAGTTAGCAGCGTTTCAGTTACTAAGTCGGAAAAAAGCAAAATCGGAGGCGGAAACAAGATGGCTACATCTACGAATTTTATTTTAGCGCTTGCCATGTCCTTGCTTATATTTTGGACAAGGCAAGCGCAAATAAAACTTTTGTAGATGTAGCCATCTTGTTTCTCTGATTCTGCTTTTTTCCGCCTTGGTAACCAAAACGCTGGTAACTCGGGTGTGACGCCTTTCCTAGCTTGGAATTCTGACTTCTGAAGTAACTTGAATGCAGCATTAGCTAGCCAAGAGCACTAGGCTAATCATTTGAAAGCTGTCACATACTTTCTGATTGGATGATAAATAGATGATGAAAGAAAAAAGCTATCAAATGCTTCGTGTACTGTTGATTATTCAGTTATTATTTCTGAATTCAAGCCTGACTGCATTTTAAATTCATCATCTTAAAGCAGCTTTATTTGCTTTAAGAAGAAACACTGTGAAGTCCTGCAGAGCCCTAATGCACCAATGCAACATCCACAAACTAATAGGCTTCTTATACCAAACATTAACAATTCAGTTCTTCCTATAGACACAAGTTTCCACCAATGGCTCAGACTCAAATCAAAATAATACTGGATTAAACTGAACAGTCATGGTTGCTTCTTTGAGTGATCTTAATGAGAGCTTCCATTGGGATTTTGAGGTACCAGCGTCTCATTAACTCAGGAAAACAGAGTAAATTTCTCTCTCTCAACTGAATGCAATACGCTTACATAAAAAGCAGATTGTCGTTATATTTTATTTAATTATGATGAAGCCTGGATCACCACAAATTGCCTCCTTATGTCATCTTGAAACTGAGAATACTGTCATATCATTTATTTAAGGTTTCTATGTTGCTCGCTGAAGTGAAATAGAGGTGTTAAGAAAACTTGTTGCTGTGGATTATACTGAAGCCAGCCAAACAGAAATATCGCCACTCAAATAAAGAACAGGAGAAAAGAGCTGTGAAGGAGACAAACAAACTCTTCGTTTTCATTCCTTCGACACAGAGAGGTGAGAGGATGACAAAGTTTATCCTCAGGGGAAGAGGGGGAGAAGTCACAGGGGACTGCTCTCAGAGACACTCTGCTGTCCTGGCTTCTGCACACAGCTCCGGGATTCCCTCCTCTTCCTTCCCAGTATTGTCTCACATCCTGCAGGGCCTGACTCTCCTCTCCTGTGCTGCAATCGCTGCCACAATAGCAACAGCGGGCAGCGGGCACTGAGGGGTGACCATAGGGACACCAGCAGTCAGCCTGACAGGATGTGACACACTTCTCTCAACAATTAATGAGTACAAAAGGAACCGGGCTGACTCGACATGACAGCTTAGCGTGGCGCTTCAGGCCTTAATGGCTTGCTGAGTGGCGTCTTCACACCCGACTCGAGCACTCAGAAACAAAAATGGGCAATGATGAAAACATAGAGAAGACTTACTGGAATATTTCATTCAACAGGAAGTCACAGAACCAAAAAAAAACCAACAGTGATAGGATGAGTAAGTGGTGAAAAAAAAAGACTCACGCTCTGTGGTGGAAACTGAATAAGTGTTACACAATTACTCTAGTACTGGATTGTTGTGCACCTGAAATCTGGTCGTAAGACAGAATGACAGTTTATGATGAAATCTGAATCATATCTTACCATATTATTATTAACTACCGTCAGAAAATAGCCAAGGCTAGCCTTTAAAGGGATAGTTCTGTTTTTCTTTTTTGCAGTAGGGTTGTATGAGGTACTTAAAATTCAGTAAAGAAACCGCCACAAACTGGAAAGGAAGCTTGGCTATAAACCGCCACCGAAGGGGTCAGCTTTACCGCAGAGTTAGGCTAATTTTAACAAACTCCAACCAAAGCACTATTCTTGGTGTAAGTGCATATTCAGCTTTGAACTTTGCTGTCAGAAAACCATGTTTTTTGCACTATTTGCAGATGTGATACACAAACTGTCATGTACATGCTGAGGGAAATAACTGTTCTTCCACCTGCAGTGCACTGATCAGCTGTCTAGATCTGCTGAATGAAAAGAGACAAAAATACAAACAACAAGGAAAAAAGTGACAAACACCTCATCTTCCTCTTTACGATTTATCACATTCTCCATTGGGTTGCATGGTCAGCAAACAATTGGGCGCTAGTTTTGGCGATGTGAGCAGGTGCTAAGTCCTGCTTGAAAAGGAAATCTTTATCATCATAAAGTTTGTACGCAGATGAAAGCAGGAAGTGCTTCAAAATATGTGGACTTAATAACATGCCACGGTCACCCCAGATCACCACAAACTGCAGAAACTTCTCACATGAATTCAAACTCTGTAGTTTCCATGCCTGCCCTCTCCACCTCCAGACTCCAGGACTGTGATTTCCAAATAAAGTTCAAAATTAACCATCATCTGAAAAGAGGACTTAAATGTCTGTTCTTTTCTCCTTAGCCCATCTGGTGTTGTCTCAGGGTCGAGAGTTGCTTGATATTAAAAATTACAGCCCCTTTCCTGAAGATGTCTGTGTGTGGCGGCTCTTGATGCACTGACATCAGCCTGAGTCCAGTCCTCGTAAAGCTGCCCCAAGATTTTTCAAACGACTATTCTTGACAATCTTCCCAAGGTTGTGGTCAACCTTGTTGCTTTTGCACCTTTTTCCTACAATACTTTCCCTTACAGTCAACTTTCCATTAATATGTTTCCATACAGCACTCTGGGAACAGCCAGCCTTTTCAGCTACGACCTTCTGTGGCTTACCCTCCTTGTGGAGGGTGTCAGTGATCCTCCTATGGACACCTGTCATGTCAGCAGTCCTCCCCATTACTGTGGTTGGTTGTACAGAGGAGATATATGGTATTTATGAAAATGGTAATTTTCTGAAACTCAAAATGAAATATTGCAATATTTGGAGATATTTGGGAAACTTCAATCATCAATTTGGAAAACCTGTAGGTCTCACTTTACTTGTAATAAAACTTTTGAGAGAATTTTAAAGTATGAGGTCGTCTCCTTGGTGTATGATAAACTTGACCCCTTACAGTTTGCTTATCAAGCTGGTAAAGGGGCAGAAGATGCAAAACTATCTATCCTAAGCATTAGGAGAAACCAAAATCTCATGATGGACTTTTATTCGCCGACTGAAACAGCAGGTTTTGGTTAACGGTCTTATGTTCAATGTGTTACTTTCAAACACAGGTGCACCTCAAGGCTGTCTTCTTTCACACCCCCTTTTTTTCAACTCTCTACACTTACAGCCCCAGATCTTGTAAAGAGGGCAGCTACCTGGTGAAATTGTATATTGTCTCTTCTCAGAGGTACAGAGACAGATCATGCTAGTGCCCTACCTGCTTTTATTTACTGGTGTGATGAAAACTTCCTTGACCTTAATGTCTCAGAAATAAACTGTTAAAAAATCTGAGGCAGGGATGTCAAGGCTGTTGACTCCTACAAATATTTAAGAGTTATTCTTAAGTCTCAGCTTCGGTTTAATATGCACACAAGGTCAGCGAAGAATCCACTGACTGACAAAATCATATGATTTTTCTTTTTTTAACAGTCGTTCATTGCAAGTATTTTAACTCTCCCCTTTATCTGCGGGTTTGATGCTCTGTCTGTAAAAGACAAGTATAACCTTTACAGTATTGATAAAGTCTGCTCCAAAATAAGCAGAGTCCAGCACGGAGAGTTGTGTTCTCTGTGGAAGAGACAGATGGTACAAAAAGCTGAAGGAATAATTTCCCAACACGACCTCATCTTGTTCTCTGAGTTCAGGTTGATGCCCTCAGGTCGCTGCTTTGTAGCAGCAGTTAGGAAAGCAAGCCGTTACTCTAAATCTTTCATTTCTTGTGCCATCTGGCTTTTCAGCCTTGATAGTAGAAAAACTTTCATGATGGTATTTTGCTGGTGCACTAACCACAAACTGGTTACATTTGATATTATGGCAGTAGCCTGTTTGTTTGTTCATACACAATCACACTGTAGACTTTCAATATCTTAGTGTGCCTTATTTATCAAATCTAAAGTTACTGATGCAAGAACATCATTTCTACCCCTCAATAACATCTGGCGCTCTAAAGAGATACAGGAAGTAACAAAAATCAGAATCTTTAACTCCAACGTTAAATCTGTCTTGCTCTATGGGGCAGAGACATGGAGAACCACTAAGCTCACAATACACAAGCTATAAACCTTCACAAACAAGAAGAATCCTGAAAATCTACTGGCCGAACAAGATCAGCAACAATGATCTCTGGATAAAGACACAACAACTCCCAGCAGCAGACGAAATTGGACGAAGAAGATGGAGATGGATCGGGCACACACTACGCAAACCAGAGTCAAACACCACCAGGCAGGCTCTGACCTGGAACCCTCAGGGAAGAGAAACAGAGGCCGGCCTAAAAACACCTGGCGGCGAGATCTCCAGGCAGACACCAAGAGACTGGGATGCACCTGGTTGCAGATAGAAAAGAACGCCAGTGACGTGTACTCTGGAGGTCCCTTGTCAGCGGCCTATACTCCAACAGGGGTGCAAGGCGTAAGTAAGTAAGTAATGTTACTGAACTCCTTATTTTATTCAATTCATCTGATTCTTGGCCAGTCGAGTCATTACATAGAGTGGCCACATGGGTACAGACCAGAGCATCTCTGTTTATGTACTGGTTATCTGTTGTCTCTGACATGAACCTGTCCAAATTTGTTTGTATAAGTACTGAGTGCAAAGTCTAAATTGCTCTTTTGGGATTAGTAAAGTTGACTGAGGATAGGTGTCAGCCTTACAATTGAAGAAACAGCCCTTTTTTTAAATGTCTACATGAAATATTCAAGATGAAACGGACATTTGACCATCAAAACTCAACAGGAAGGTCACTACTTAAGCCTGTAGAGGACAAGTTAAGTGGTAGCATTTGAGCTGACCACAATGTGGTGAGCCTAAATAAACAGATTGCTTTTCGACTCATGCACCACCTAAATGTGGGCTATCTTCAAGAGGACAAGTAATTGTAGCGATCTGATAACAAATACTCTCAAATGTGAATGAATTTCTGATAAATTACGTGACAATAGAACAAAACAGTGTAATGCTAACAGGAAGAATAGTTTTAAATTAATTTTATACATATCAGAAGGGTGAAAGAAATCTGCAAGCACGCTGTTGTGCAGCATGGCATGGCAGAAGTACAATTGTATAACATATCCTCTAAAAGAATTACATTTTGCTGCCTTTGAGTGCCATTTTCTGGCTCATTACTCAAACTTCTACTACACTTAGTATGAGAAAAGGTATGCAGTGTTTTGATATAAGGGCAGAAATCACAATAAAATAGCAGAGAAAACAGGGTTGTAAGTACAAATCTTATATCAAAGAGTTATTTGTCAGACTAATAGTGGGGAAAATCCAAATTCACCAAACTAGTATTAATATCCTCATTCCCCAGTGACTTCTCTGGCTTTAGCAAGTGAGCAAAAGGGCTGAATATTTGCTTCCTCTGGCGTTTGCTGACTGTGAACAGCAGCTTTCTCAATATTAATAATAATATTACCGATGGCAGCACAGAAAGAGAGGGATTAGTGCTCATACTGCTGAATGAGAAGTCACCGCTTGGCTGGTATACATGTGGGATTTGACTTGACTTTTCTTTAAACACAGCAAATAGGAAGCCAAAAATCTTTTTCATTTAAGAGCAATTAAGTGGATCCCAGAATCACTGGCTCCAGCACGCCGCCGAGGGTTTTTTTCTTTCTCCTCCTGGTTTTATTACCCATTTCCTCTCCCTTGCGCCAGCAGAAGGAATGCTCACTTTTCTCTCACAAAGCCACATTTCCAACGCCAGAATCACACAGGGACCACCATGATTAAGTGCAAGCCAGTGTTTCCCTTAACATGTGAGACATTATAGACCCCCCTTCTCCTCGTCCTCTTAACACTGGAGGAGTGTTGTGTTCCAACATTTATGTGGAGTAATTAAAAACATCCACCAGTAATTTAATAGTTCTCACCCAGTAGAGACATGAAGTCTACACAGTTTTTTCTCTCTGTATAAATAACCAGGAATGCAGTGAGTACACACAGACGACTTGCTGCCTTTTTTTTTTTATTTTTTCTTCCTGCTTTTTTTTTTTTTGCTGCATTTTGTAAGAAGCCCTGTTCTGTGTCACTTTGACCTGAGATGAAGTTGTGCAGCTACAGCGACATGCTGACTTTTAAATCTTGTTCCAGATAGCATGATCCATACATCACACACTGACAGCAGATTCAAATCAAAGCCTTCCATAACTGGAGGCTGTGTCTCTGCGAGTCTCATAGTCTAACATCAGTGAGCATAAAAATGACCTCAAGCACAGGCTGAAGCGGCGTATCCGAGTGCGGATGGTTCTGTGAAGAGCATGACAATAGCCCAGAGAGCCGGCACTGCATCAGCCATGTGGTTTCAATCCGACTCTTTTCTCACAGCTGCAGACAAGGCCATTCATTTATCTCACTGTAAATACAGCACTTAAACACTCAGCAGACACACTGGTTTCCTAGCCTCTAAAAACCTGTCCATGTGGGTAAATTAGCTTAAGAAAACAGTCCTATTGAACCGGAATTTTTTTTCAACAATCTGAGGCTAAAACACCAGAGGAAAAACAAACTCTTTGTTCTTTTTTTAAATCAATGCTAGATTTATCTCAAAACCCAAGACAAACACCTTGAACAAGCAATGTCCTATTTTTCAACCAAAACTCTGTTACTTTCAACTACAATATCTGGAGAGCAGAACAGTGGAGGAGAAGCACTTAACACTTCAGATATCAATTACTTCTGATACTGACAATCAATCAATCAATGCACAGTTTCGCCCTATCAGTTCTCCTTCGTGTTATATCATTTATCATCTCGTAGTTTTGTTTTAGGAGTTCGCTTTGATTCACTCTCACCAGCACTTTTCAAGCACAAGCAACAGCAGGTCGCTATTTTGAAGCACAAAAAGCTTTGATGTACCCACTGTGTGCACTGCTACCTGCTCAAAACCAAATCATAGACAGAAGTTGCTGGCAGGCAGCTAGCTAATGAACATGATGTTTATTTCCAGCTTTTATGCCACTATTGAGAGGACAGGCCACTGAATAGAGAGTGGAAGTGAGGGATGATGATCGGCAAACAGCTACAGGTTGGAAACAAACTCTGGGGACTATAGCCTCTTTGCATGGGGTGCATAATGTGAACTACCAAGGGCCAAACCAGCACCCCTTGTGATGAAGTGACCCAATTGTATACACCTAATGCAGCCAAACTAATATAAAAATGGAGGAAGATTGGATTTAAAGACCCACTCCAATGAAAATCGTGTTTTTCTTGTTTTTTATATGTTCATATGGCATTTTTCTGATGCTACAGGACATATCATGAGAAAAAGTGAAATTGCTTTTCTAAGTATTTCCTCATTCAAATCACTGTGAATCTCTAGCAGACCCAAACAGCAGGTTTAGAAACACTCAGTACGACACTCGAGAAAACCTAATTATTGCCTTACTCCAATTAAGACCGGACAACTGAAGTGCATGTAAACACCTTAGTCCGACTATAATCGGAGTTTGATAACTGATTGGAGTCGTAGAACTCCAATTAAAACACCCAGATAATGGGATTGGAATTCGATTTTCTCTACCATGTAACCAGCATAGTCGGAGAATGATCAGACAATGCATGTGCGGATGCGCCACGCCCCCATAACCCCGGAACAAAAACACCAGAAGAGGAGAAGCGTAATGTTAGGCTGCAAGCAAACGTGAAGACAAGTGTGCAGAGCAGCTCTGTCTCCGCCCACGACTCAGAGGTGAATTGCTAATGATCTACTGGAGCTCTGCAGAAGAAAAGCCCTTGAAAATGACACAGGTAACGAGATTTTTGGTAAAAACTTCATAATCACAATTTAAAGACCACTGAGAACACTTTAAGTAGTAAAAAAAAAAAAAAGATCAGAGTGGGAATTTAACTGTACTGGGCAAAAAAGTGATGCAGGAAAAAGAGGGCAGCTCAGACACTAAAAGTAGCTGAATATATCTTTGTGCTAAATTGACGCCAGATAAACCTTTCAGAGTACTAATATGTCAGTGCTGTGCGAACAGCTTGTTGCACGGACACCAAGTGGCCAACACAATCTGTTCATGCTGGTTCAACTAAAGATCACTCAAAACAACTTCAGCCATTGATGTGCTTGGTTTGTACTCATGACCAACAGCTTAGGGGGCACTCACTCAAGGATAGAGCTGTGGAATTGACACAAACGGTGTCTTATTTTTATAACAATGCAGCCCCTGAATATCGCAAAAAGCAGCATCCAGTGTACGAAGATGTGCACTTGTTCCTTCCTGTTCTGTGGTTTCGGGTAGAGAATAAAAATAATCACAGAAACGAATAGACTAATGGCAGCTATTTCTTGTCTTGTCATTCAGTGAACCATGGCAACTAAAATACACAAACTCCTTTTCTCTTTTAAACGTCTCATGTTAGTTTTGACAAGGTTTAGAGAAAAGGTAACAAATGGGCTTTCTCAGGAAGACAGACACATTCTCTCTTCAGCGGCCATAAAGAAGACAAAGCTTTTTACAGTATCAACAGACGCAAGACGTGACCCTGTGGCCCCCAGGGGCAAAAGGTGAGAGCTCTGGGAGCAGAGGCCTGGTTCCAGCAGTCTGCCGGCAGCCGAGACGTATGTCCTCCTCTCCACATTCCTTCCCTTCTTAGATCACTGAGCAGTTTTCTCTTGCTTCAGTCCCTTCCAACCCAAAGCAATATAACTCTTTATTTTTGCCCGAGTGGCACCTTATAAAGAAACCAAAATAAACCGGGTGATACAAGTGTAATAAGCTCAGAGAGCCTCTAGTGTGAATTCGGCTGGTGCCTTTGTGCAGGTGCCTGAGTTTGAAATTCAGATTAGCCTGATGGGGCTGGAGGTTAAATAGTCGAGTAAGGATTTCCTTCTTCCTCTCAGATGAGACTCTCAGAAAAGGAGTAGTCATCGCGAGCAGGGGTTCAGAGAAGTCTACTCTGAAAAAATACATGTGGCGAATAAAAGGAATAAGCCTGTGTAACCTGGGGCGGTGTCTTTTATATTTGGGGGATGACTGTGGTGCCGAGTGAACTGGCTGCAACACAAGCCACTTCTGATTTCATATTCATGACTTCCAGGAGAAGAAGAGGGGGGAAAAAAAATAAACAAAACAACAAGCGAAAGGAGGAGAGTACGGCTGATGGAAGCTAGAGCCGTATACTAAGTGTCACATCTAGAAAGTCAAATCTTATCTTGCTCAGACTGAGAAAGAGCGAGGTCATCCTCCGCAGCAAACACTGACTCATCTCTCACACCCACGTGCACATGCACACACTGGAATAAGAAATCTTCAGCTTGCATTCACAGATCTAATGGCATCATAGTACAAGCACTGCCTGGGTTATCTATCAATGCGCACAACAACAACAACAATAGCCACATGGAGACATGCAGGGACACCAGCAGAGCGCCTTTGTGACAGTGGCCTACAAAACATGCCGGGCTGTTTTTCCCTCCAGCTAACAGCACAAAGAAAAAAAAAAGCAAATACGTCACTTTTCTGAAGAGTAATGACAGCATGAACAAATGCAGCCTGAGAGCATCACAGTGGTGCTGCCTTTTCAGACAAGTCATGTCCTCTAAACAGAAGCCACTTCACAAATCTGCCAAGGACATACATAAGGGTGGGGCGCCCTCTAGGGGATAGAGATGGGTCGGTTGGACATGAGGAGCAGTCAAGCAAATGCACATCAAAGCTCACTCTATGCAAATGTGGCTTGAAAATAGAAGTAGTTTAAAAAAATGTGACTTTTGATATGCAAATGCTGCAGATTGTTAATTTATACTATTCAAGGCATGTTTTCTTTCTCTATAGAAGTTGCTATATCACTCTGACTTATATCTAATTTATATTCCTATAAGGCACTGACACAAGATGTTTTTATAGTTGTTTTTAGATCTTTAAGTCAGCTGTTTTTGGATTACATTTGTTTTTTCAGGAGGCATTTTTGATTCACTGATGGAGAGTTCTTAACATGATGATGCTGAAAGACCCGCCCTGAAAGATCAAAGCTTAAGTGACGCTTGGTTTTTCAGGGCGGGTCAATGCATGCTCATCTTAGCCCTGAGACAGGACAAGCTGCCTGGAGTCAGGCTCAGCTGCAACCAGGAAGATATATGAAGATATAAAACAGGACCAGGAGGTCGGTCAGGTCAAATATGAAAGTCCCCGCTGTTCATCATTTTTAGATGTCCCACACAGAAGCCTTGAATGATTTTGAGGACAGAGATTTATCTGCTGTAGTTTACTAAAAGTGGCTGGCAGCCTCTCAAACATCAATCATGTTTTCACAACATTTTCATCTTTTTCCCCCCCAGCATAAGCCTCAAATGTTAACCCTTTTAAAATAAAATGAGTCAACACTCAGATATCCCCTATAACTCTTTTTAAGGGGTGAATTGCTCTGTCATTGAAGAAGTTGTTTACTTCCTGTTGAACGGGTGTCACATTTTAGAGATACTTGAGCAATCTGATGTTTAGTGATGAACAATTATTCTTACTAATCAAATGAGTGTGCTAAATTTAGCCGATTACACCATCTGTAGTGAATTCCCTTTAAATGCCCATTTGGTTAATTAAACTTTATGAATAATCAAACAGCTGAACAGCAACAAAAGGTCACATTCTCAGAGGGAACATTACCCTTGCTCCTCACTGCTACACTGTGTACCTACAACCAAACCTTTCTGCAGTGTTCGCACTTTAGCTGTTAGAATTTGCGCACAAGATTGACCATCAATAAGTAGACAGCTTTTTTCATAAACATGCCACTATGGGAAAACTGCAGAGGGTAATAAATGACATGTTGATTAAAACTAATGTGATGACATTAAGAGCACATATCAAATATCTGCAGTGTGGTGTCACCCAGTAGTTTCATCAACCTGGTTTTAAATTACATGGCCCTACAGGGACAGTGAGAGCTTACTCACAACATAACGCATGACTCCTGCATCAAGCTGCCAAGAGAAGTCAGCTGAGGCCCCCTTGTGGGAAGAGCGGTGAGCCGCAAGGGCAGCTGAGAGAAAGAGAGAGTGTATCCAAAAGAAAACTTCAACCTGAGGGTTTTTTTCGCAGACAGTGATTTTAATTTTCAGAAAATCACAAGTTCATACACCTGCCATTTTCACTAGAAGTTAAATGCGAGGGTTTCAGAACAGAACAGGCTTCAACGTCTGTTACATGTCAAAGAGCTGCAGAACAGAAACATATTGGTATCGTGTCAAATACAGATATATATATATTTATATATATTTATAAAAAAAATCTTCCTTACCTTGTGACACTACTTTTAGACTACAGCCACAGTTTAATATTTAGCAATCTGCATGATATTTCAATGAACTTGCTAAGTTTAGACTAACAACTCAAAAAAAAATGTGGCCTCTCTTTGACTAGGTATTAGTTACAGAACATGCCTTCGTACACACATCTTGCCGTTTGCTTCAGTGATCGATCGTTTGAACGTAAAACTACTGGGACTCTGGTACAGCCTCTGCGTGGCGTCATGCTTCCCTCTTCAGGCCCATTCAAGCTGGAACACGTCGAACATAAAAGTCATTGTCAAAGTAACTTTATTAAAGGCGGATAACTGTGGTCTTGTAGTCTGGACTATCTATTCAGTGCCTAACTGCGGGGACATTTTCTTTTTTCAATGAGCTATGTAATAAGAAAGTCCAATCTTGCTCTTGCAGATGATACTGTTGATGTGCGGAGTGAGCCTCTTGATGATTTTACACAATATTTCTAAGAGAGTAAGGTTTTAAGACAGAGGGTCGAAACAATCCATTACGATTAAGTGCTGTAGGTTTGTCCTTCTGGTGGTTGTGGAAGCTTCATATTTTCTTTGGACAGCATTAGACGCCTTAACTCTTGAAGAACAATTTTAATGCTATAAGAATTCTGCCATTTTGCTAATATTGGTATGCTACGTGAATCCACCTGTGAGAGGAAACAAAAATAAGAAGAGGGACACCAGATCAATCATAGTGGCAGGAGTGCTGACAGTGAGTTATTGCACGCATCACATCAGAGCATCTCAACGCTGCACAACAATTTCTGGGTTCTACAAATCTTATGAGGCAAGAGTAACACTCATACATAACGTGTCAGATTTCTGATGACACTCACCATGCCGTTGGAATTATTTATCCCATTCATGCTAATTTTTGTTACAAATCTAACAGTCGGGGCTGAATCGGGGTATCTGGGTCCACATTCCACTTTCAGACTGTATATCCTGTTCTCATAATTGGTCTGGAAGGAAATGAGCAAAGAGAGAGAGAGAGCAGAGTAAGTGATTCAGCGTTTGGTGAGATTCTTTGTGTGTGTGTGTCTGGAATGACGGCTGACATGCTGAGTCAGCTGCGCTTACTCTCGCTGGTCCGATGATCATGCCTGTCCACCGTGTGAGAGTCATGTCTTCGTCATCCTCGAGGCCCCAGCTGACCGTGCCGTCGCCTTCTCCCTTCTGCCCCTCTTCGAGCTCCTCCAACAAGCGAAAATTGCGTGGGACTTTAACTCCTAAAAACATTTTTTTACACACATAAATAAAGACACTTTTTTTTCCAACTTTTGACTTGATTTATCTGCGACGAGAATGTCACTATCCTCTTTCACACATGCACTGCATTCCTGAAAACTCCCAATGTTATCCCAAACGCATGCATACATTTTTCACTCTAACCGTTTGGTACTTTTCTAACCAGCCTGATAGTTCAATATTTGCCGAAAAAATGCAACAGGTGAATCTCCTGAGAGCAAGAAGAAAGAGTCATTTTGTCATTTGTATTGAGTGGAGTATCTCTGCTTCAAACTATTAACCGTTCATCTCGCAGAATATTATTTTCCTGTGTTATGCTAGTCTTGTCGGAGCGATGTGAGGGAACTTTTAGTAGAGAAAATCTCCCACCTGCATGTGTGAACAGAGAGTATCATGACCTGCATGTTCTGAAATTATCCCGAAAATATCAGGAGTTAATGTGTGAAAGATGCTCTAAACGAGTAACTTGTGTGTGGTGCCATCTTGTGCAGCAGAAATCCCTGCTGTGACAATTTAGTGTCTACTTTGCCTGCTGACTTTGACAGTGTATACAAAAATGTTATGTCAATCAGATGATCCTATTCGTAATATTGCAGCGATTATATTAGACACTGGTTAAAACACAAGTCTGAATACATAAAGAAACAGCAAAGAATTGACCATATCTTTCATACACTTGTGATGCTTTGTAATGGGACATGATTCTATCATGCTAATCAATCAAACAATGAAATAAAATAAATAAAAATACAAATACCAAACCCCGCCCACCCTTCCAACCCCCATTCAACACATAAAGCACTCCAGCACTCACACACACAGATGCACACAGAAAAGACCAGGTGAGGACTCTTCAACTTGCCACAGATGTCTGAGGATCATTACACGCATTGATCATTACAGACAAGCTGCATCTGCAACTGGACCGTAATGGTTACAAGCAGCCCCTTCCCCTACTAGTAGCTAGTAGGGGAAGGTTATTTACGGTATTTACAGGCAACGAATGACAGAGTACCATCAACAGATCACACAGAAAAAGGCAAAATTACCAATTAATGATAGTATTATTGGTCCACTAGTGAAGATTATCTAAGTCCTCAGTGCGACCAGTGAATCTATTAAAGGGATATTCCGGTGTAAAATGGAATATTTTAGGCCGGAATATCCCTTTAAGTGTCTGCTCTCACAGTGGGGGATTTTTAATGAAGTTTTGTGCTGTGTGTTGTGCAAAGTTAACAAATTTTAGAGTTTATCTTAACTGACAATGCAGCTGAAAACTCCATAGGTTGTTCAAATATCATGCTACATAGTAAAGGTAAAAGCAGAAAACTGATCCCTTACTATGAGCTGTTTGTATTCAAAAGCACAGAGTCCAGTAATTGATCAAACTGGTTTATAGTTCCCACCAGTGTTGTTTTTCGTCAACACCCCTTTTTTACCATGATGAAGGCGTGACGTTGACAAGCTAAACATAAGTCTTACATAACTAAAATGTGATGAGACGAATGTGCGTTTACATTGACAAGACGAGACAAGACGAAAACGTTAGTGGTGGACGACAAACAGAGTTTCAAAATTCATGAGCATTTCGTCAGTCAAACGCTAAACATATATTCTGCAGTGTTGTTTTCGCTGATGACGTCGTCAACGAAAACAACACTGGTTTCCATGTGATTAAAAATCTTGATGTGTTTCGGACAACTGCTCCATCAATACCGCCTAACATCCAGTTTCTTAGTATTCAAACAGTAACACCACTTATTTCAGGACAAATACGAGATTGAGCTGCCTTTCTGTGTCTTGAAAATGACATGAGGTGAAAGTCTTTGAGATCTTTGCAGTGAATGAGACAAAAGAAATGATACAAAATAAAATCACGATGGGAGCGATTTTCTGCAATCAAAACCAATAAGGTGGGTTGATTAATTGACATAATTACCATCAATTAATCAATCTGGTTGAAAATGCCGAACAGAACATTCAAATGTTGGAATAAATATCTGCAGCTAGTCCACTCAATGAAAGGATGTTTTTGCTTTTTTTTCTAGTTATTATTGTCGTACTCTGCAATTTAGACTGTCTGGGGGAAAATGGTGAGTGGAGATGGAGAAATGATGACAGGTAGGGTTTTAATTATTAACCAGTGAGAGAAAAAGAATAAATTATCATGAGTCACAGCCTTTAAATAGCTCTAAAATAGCATTTTCTTCTTAAAAGAGAACTGCAACAATATCATCAAAGTAGTGTGTCGCTATTTAAGTCAATGAGTACAGATGAAGACACACAGGATTAGTATGGTTGTTTAATATGCAAAGCAGGACCAGTAGCTGGAATATTGAGCAATATTGACTACAGTACTTTCTGGTTTATCTTTAGTGAAGCTAAATCAAAGATGAAACCTTGTTATAGAGACATTAAAGTATCGAGCTTTTACTGAACTCAATATAAATCTGCAGTCTTTACAGTCACAGGACTCTTAAGTGCACCGCTCTTTACTGCAGATTTTTTAATAAATGGTTCAAGGGTAAACACCCAAACATCTTATGACCCATGTAACAGCTGACTTAATAACAAATATCACTAAAAGTAGTCCTTGTTTTCAGCCACCGGGAGAAATGTTGAGATATCAGTTTTATATACACACAGCCTAACAGGCACTCACAGAGGTGTAAATAATGAACCACTTACAGCTTGTGACTGGTGGAGTGCTGAAGGTTGAGGGGGACAGCACTGAGGTAAGCTGAAATACTGCTCCTCATAATTATGATCCTGAAGACAAATTTACAGAAGGGGAACTGAAAGAGCTCTTAATAAAAAGACCCTGTGACTGATACAGGAGACACACTGTGAAAACATTCATATTTCCCTGCCGTCCAATCGTTCATTTCATCTACTCAAATCCCAGATGGCAGCTATCTCAATCATCAAGCAAAAATCACTTCTTAAAATCTCAAGTGAAGTAAAAAAAAACTGCTCTCTCACTGGTCTATGAGTATGTGCTCATTAGAAGATATGGATTTCAGTCTTGAAATCAACATGCAAACATGAGGAGGGGGTAAATATACTCAGCTAATTTTAGCAAACAACAGCTCTTTTAGGATCAGCATATGTCACATGCAAAGGAACAACAAACTGTAATATGATCTGCTTCAGATTTCAAGGTTGCAAATACCATTCCTTCTAGTAACAAATGAAAGTGAAATGATTTGATTGTATCTTCATCCTTTCCAATAATCAATTTACTGATCGGTTAACATAAAAGGTTTAAAACAGAATCACCAGAAACAGTATGTGATTTTTTGTGACTGTAACTGTAATCTAAAAAGTTAAGAAATCTACACAAATTGAACTGATGACTCATTACTGAAATATGACTCAAGCAATTAGATGACAATAAAACATAATTGCCAGCAAGTTTAAAAAATGCCAAATAACTAAACATTAAGTGAAGATACGTGAACTGCTACATTTCATTACAGTATGTTTTAGCTAGGACCACCAAGATGGATTTTTTTGGGCCAATGCCAATACCGATTATTAGGGCGGAAAAAAATCAGATTACCGATTGGTGCCGATTTTTTTAATGTTTTATGAAGTTCTAAAAAATACACACATACTGTAGATATACTGTAGGCTACTGCTCTTCACGCCAATAAGAAGACCGACTGATCAAACTCGGAACCAGAAAAGTGTTTTCAACTGCCCCCTCGCCACCTCCGATCGGTGCCTCCACGTCTTAACTCACGTTACACATTTCCAGTCCGGTCTCATCTGGAGACATGCAGCTGCCTCAGTAAGAGTAGCAGCTCGATCATGTATTGTGTACCGTTGTTAATTCTACGTTAGTGGCACGGCTAACAGTGTAGCAACGCTAGTTGCAGGTGACTAACTCTAACTTAAATTTGCATATTACATGGTGCTTCACCGTTAACTTGGCGTGACCGTGACCAGCACAGCGGGGAACATCGCGAAGTGGGTTGAACTAAAACTTGTTGACTTATTGTGTATTTCACAAACGTTTTTTTTCTCCGCATTTTATTTCTGAATATATCTGCGAAAATTGGCGAGTTTTGGCTGATTTCTGATTAGTCTCAAACAGGCTAAAATTGGCCGATAAATCAGTCGGGCCCTAGTTACAGCATTAAAATTGTGCTTTAAGAGCAAACAAGTAAATGCCCAATTGCATTGTCTTGGTCACATTTCTATGATTACCATGGTTGAGGATTGCTAATGAAAATGGGTTTCTAATTTGCATTTGAGGAAAATACTACTGAATTTATTCTTAAAACAATTTGAAAATCTCAAACACTATGGCCTCGAATTATCTTTATTAATCCAGTCTGAATGAAAACAGTAAAATGAAGGTGCAAGCTTGACTCTATTTCTATCTATCTATCTATCTATCTATCTATCTATCTATCTATCTATCTATCTATGTGCAAGCTTAACTCTTTGAGGAAGGGAATACCACATGGAGACAGGGTTGGTCATATTTGGGTAATTCGAGGTGATACTGGTGTAAAGGTGCTCTACTGTACATGGAGTCAAAGTTCACGAAGCCAGTCTCTGTCTCTCTTTCATTTTCATTATTATCTACTTAGTGTGAATCATCTTTTAGTTATGAAGATCGGTAACTTCAATGCACACCACGAGCTCGACGTACTTTTTATGGTCATGTAACTCCAAAGCTTGCAGGGTTAAACAAGATCATCAGGTCGCGCCGCGTCGTCTCAAGTTATTTCGACTATGAAGTTAATGCTACTTCCTCATTTTTCCACTCTAGAACATTATGTATTTGGTTAAAGTATGCAAAAAGGGCAAGAAAACTGTTATCAAGAGAGAATCGCATTTTCGCACATGTTACTTTTTGATTAATTTCCAACAAATACAAGTTTTACATTAGCTGAGTCTGAGAACCACGCTTCCTGCTGTGCACCGGGGCAGTTAAGGGGTCCCGACTATTTGCTGAAACGCATCGTGCCAACTACAATACGTCGTTTATCACTCTAGTGCACTCTTAACTCTTACCCCACCCTTCAGTATCAGACAGACATCCACCAAAGGAACAGAAAACAGGTTGTTCCCTGCGCCTATCATTGGATAAAATTAGGCATCAATGATTAGACACTGAATTTGGTGAATAGGTAAGAAGGGGCAGCACCAGGATTGTTCCGTTTGACCGTACCGTTACACTGGTGTTTTGGTAAGCAGATTTTCACACAAGCGCGATTAAAAACCAGAGATATGTGTCGATTTAGAGGTACGGCTATAAGATGTTTGGACAAACAAAGGCTAAAGAGTTGGTTCACTATGAATTGAATAAGCTGCCGGACATAACGGAGTCAAACCTCGCTGCCTGCCGCGCGGTGCTGGAATATTCTAGTAGTTAGCTTCGGCTGGCTAACGCCGTCTGCGGTTGTTTACAGTCCTCATGTAGAGGGCAGCTTCCACACGATACACAACTTTACAATCACATTATGATACAAATGATTTTTTGCTTCCTGAAACGTCTAGTATAAACCACCAAAAATACTCATTTTATTGTTTCTGTGAGCTATTTCAGCTAACTGACGCTGTATCATGGAGCTTTAAGCTAGGTTAGCCCACCAGTCACATTAGCTCCATGACATAGATGGTTCCCATATAGATCACTGCTTTGACCAGGGAAAATATTTGAGAATAAATCGCAGATTTAGGAGGATTATTGATAGCAATTTAGGCGAACAAGTAGCCACGTTTGTTTGTGGAGGAAACAGCCCAGCCTCTGCCTTGCCCGTACTTTGTGTCGCTATACATGTTAGTTTTTTTAAAGCACACAAACCTGAGACCGCCATCTTCTTCAGCCGAGTCCAGAAGCACACAGAGCTGTGACATCACAGTGGGTAAAACCTCTGCAAGCTGCTCCACGGTTCACGCCTCAACTCTGCTGCTCCCCGAATCCACGAGGCAGCAAATACCACGGGGAACATGAACCCACTTCAAGTCCAGTGATCCCTGATGCTGCTCTTTAATTTCCTCTCAAGAACTCCACAGAGAAAAATACTGAAACCATCATATTTAGCTCTGTACACCACATATATACTTACGGGGAGGAAAAGTTACTATTTCTTCACTTTACTGTAATTGATTACTTGTTTTTTTTATTTACTCATGCTTTTGAGGATATTTGTTTTAAATCAATGTGTACGGTGGCCAAGAACCGCCACTGCTGCAAATAAAAATAAATACAAAAAAAGAACACCACTGCTGCAAATAAAAAAGAATGCAAATAAAAGAAAAGAAGTCACGACAGAACCGAAGCCCGCTGCAAATAAAAAAAGAACAGCGCAGATAAAAAACAAACAACAACAAAATGCCACAATGGAAGTTAACTACACAAAAAAAGTGACAATGCAAAAAAAAAAAAAAAAGTTTCTGACTGCAAAAATAAAAGAATGCAAATAACAAAAACCACAACGGAATTGAGCTGCAAGCAACCAATATTGGTGATGCACTGGTGTTTTATGATGTAGGCATAGAAGACGATGACGAAAAGACGAGTGAAGAAGTTAATGGAAAGGTTATTGTTTATTTCGCTTCGTGTGTTTTTTAATGTGTCATTTGGTTAGGCCATGTAGCCCCGAATTACACACATGCCTGTCTGAACAGATACCTTATCAGCTGATTTTTGAAAGTCTCCACAGAGTCAGCAGAGTTCTGGAGATGTGACGCTGCAACCTCAAAAGAACAATCTGTACAGGTCTGAAGGTGTGTTTGTAGGACAGACAGCAAGTGTAGAGAGTAAAAGGAGAGCAATGCAAGTTTTTGTCCAATATCTACTGACCCACTATACATGAAATTAACCGCCCCAATCTTTAGATTTTGATATCCTGAAGTCTGAAAACACAGCTTGACGGTTCATTCAGAATTTGCACTCCCTGTGACTCAGCTGGGGACTCTTACGTAATACCTGTCCCTTCTGGTATTTTGACTCTCACTTCCGGGACACACATACAGATACATATCATTCTGATAGGCTGTTTAGAGCTGGTGTATTTAGGATTCAAAATCTCCTCCAATGCTTAATCCCCTTTTATTTTGACAAAAGCATGACATGAAATTTAGACCACATGGGTGTATTTGAAATGGTCATAAAGGTAGGTGGGTAAAATAACTTGAGGTGTGCACGTATGGTATCTACGATTTTTTCCACCTACCTCCAGCTTTTAAACTATCCCAATGACCCACTAGAAGTTCCAGATGTACAAACTTATGTTGGAAATCTAAATCAGTTTTTTTTTTTAAGAACCCTGGTCATCCAAATATGCTAAAAATGTCAGCTAAATCAGAACATACTGAACATTAAGTCAAAATACTGCATTTGAGATGAGCATTTTGGGAACAGATCATGATATAGTTGAAACATCAGACCACCATAAAGTGCAGTTTCACTTATTTAGTCTGAGGAACCCTTGAGATACAACCACAAAGAAAAAACAAATCAAAGCACATTTAGTAAGGAACACTTTATTTTCTTTTCTATAAACAATAACAGCTACAATAACATTTTAACTCAGTGGGATTAAGCACTCAGTCTCACACAGTCTTTAGAGATCTGTAACGAAATGTCTTTTTTCCTTTAATCCTTCCCCCCAAAAAAAACACATTACAAACTTTATGAAAATTTACAAGTTTGAAAAAAAGAGCTTTAACATACAAGAGCAGTATGTGACAACAGGAGACGATCACACGAAGAACAAACACTTTTAAATATTATCTCCATTAATATCTGATAAAGGTGTTCTTTATTTTAGATGAGTCATGAGCTGATTCGGGATCATGTCTTTGTGCCACAGTATAAGCAGAGATCTAATCTGCCCCAAAAAAACATATGCAGATTCAATCATACAAACTTTTTTTCCCCCTACAGTTTAAGGAAAAAAAAAAAGTTGATGTGGATCAAGAGGACTTAAAATTACGGTCTGTACATAATTGCAGGGTGTGCCTCAGGCGAGGAGACGAACAGTCTTTCCAGTAACAGTCAAGTAATCCTCATCGGCCAGAGCTCGGAGCGCCTCGTCGAACAGCTCCTTAGTGATCGCCTGTGAAGAAAGTGATACAGGAGAGTTAACGCAGGAGGTGGTGGTGCTGATAATGAAAAGCACAATGAAAATGTCTTTTACTTGAGGCCAATGCCTTAAAGGAACATAAAGAAAATCCCCTAAAATTGTGATCTTCTGATTTATACATGAAATGCAGCGAGATTTTGATCTCTGAAGTTAGTAAGATGAAAGAAGGACTGGAGTATTTACAGTTTCAGACTGTCCTCTGAGGTCCTCGAGCAGCTGCTGGTATTTCATGGCTGGTGTCTTCCCCTTGGCTTGGATGAGTTTCTTCAGGGCCTGAGCGATCTCTTCCTTGCGTTTGCGAGCGGTGGCACTCATACCTGAAAGTGCAAGTTCATACACTCAAATATTTCAACCGAAGATCGCTATAAATTCATCTCAGTTGGGTTCTTGGGGTTAAAAACAGTAAAATATGATGTTCTAACAAAGCCACATTTATTTCAAAGCTTCATTTATTCTCAAAAGAACATTTCCAGTCGAGTAACTTCATGTGTTGTCCATTATTCACATGGCTCTAAGCTTCATACCTGTTGTGAGAATAGAGATGTCGACAAATCCTGTTCTGGGATCTGTTGCCGACTGTTTCAGGGCCTCTCGGTGCAGCCTCTTGGCCTCCTCCACGTCGATAGTCTCCACCTTCTCAGAGAAGCGCACCTTGGCGTGGGCCTCTGCCAGGCGGATCAGGGACTCCAGCTGTCTTGGGTAAGCGGACACCATGCCACGACCACTGCCAATCTTCCTCATGTCCACATAGGCCTGAGGATCAACACACAGATTGATTACTACTCTTGGCGACACTTAGACAAAACTGAAAGGCTGTGACAGTTCTTAAAGTTTTCCGTCAAACCTCGATGAGGAACTGGCTGGCCTCCTCGCTCAGCCGAGGATTGATGTAAGTTCGAGCGTACGCGATGTAGTCCTTCAGCACAGCCATGTCGAGGAACTCCTCCTCCATCTGCTCCTCGCTCTGGTAGTACAGCGACACCAGGTGGTGGGCTAGCCTGCGGTCATAGGCCTCATCCTGGGGGTCCAGCATCAGGAAGATGAGGTCGAACCTGATAGAGAACCATGACATTGTGTAAAAAACAAACTAACATGAAACTACAGGAACATTGTATTAAAAAAATGAGAAGATTGAGAGCTGACCTGGAAAGAAGTGTGTGCGGCAGCTGAATGTTCTCGATTGTGGTCTTTTTAGGGTTCCACTGAGATTCAATGGGGTTAGCAGCAGCTAACACAGCAGTACGAGCGTTCAGCTGGCAAATAATTCCAGCCTGTAGGAAAAATAGATGAAAAGGATGGAAATTATTCTCTAGTTTCAAGGGAATAAATGTGGATTTTCAGTCTCACATGCTCCGAATCTGTCGTAACAGTTCTGGGACGCACCTTGGCAATCGAGAGGGTCTGCTGCTCCATCACTTCGTGCAGCACTGAGCGCGTGCTGTCGCTCATCTTGTCGAACTCGTCGATACAGCAGATGCCGTTGTCGCTCAGCACCAGCGCTCCGGTCTGCAGGACCAGCTGCCGGGTTTCCGGGTCCTTCATCACGTAGGCAGTGAGACCCACGGCGCTCGAGCCCTTCCCTGAGGTGTACTGGCCGCGGGGCACCAGGTTGTAGACGTACTGTAGCAACTGAGACTTACTGGTGCCGGGGTCTCCGCAGAGCAGGATGTTCACTTCTGCGCGGAAGTTACCCCGACCGGTTTGGCTGAAGTCCTTACGGGTGCCTCCAAACAGCTGCAGCAGAATACCCTGAGACAGAGGAACAGAGGCGGGTATAAATAATACAGGAGAGCAACAACACACCTTTATCTTGACGCAACTTAAGATACAAAATGATTGTTAATGAGCTGTAAGATGGGACTACTTAAGAACCTATTTTTTTGCTTGTGTCTGTTGTATCTTGCGTTCTCGTCACACACCTTTTTGATGTCCTCGTGCTCATAAATACTGGGTGCCAGGGCAGAGGAGAGGCGTTCATAGACGTCTGGCTTCGCTGCCAGCTCCTTCAAAGTCTGCACTCGGTCCTCAGTGAAGAGCTTCTGTTCAGCCTCCTCGTCCAACCCGTGTAGGCGCTTCTCGTCCGTCTTGCGGAAGTGGATGGCGTCGATGTGGGTTTTGTAGACAGACTTCACGTTGTTCTGACGGGGGTTCACGCGCATCGGGACCGCTCTGTAGACACCTACGGGGACATTTAAGAAGCTCTTATAACTCCTTTAAAGTAGGAAACAGTTATCCATCCTTGTAAGAGCTCTGACTTAAACTCTGACGGTCACTTATCATTTTGATAACTATTTATTTGGTACAATATTGAAGGTTTGTTGGTGTCAGCTCATGAGAATAAAAGGATCTATTTTTTTGTTCATATGAGAATTTTTTTAAATTAATTTGATTATTTGTTTTACAGTTTGGATCAAAGATAAAAACAAAATGACTATGAATCAAGAGTAAGTAAGGTTTTTATCTTAAATGTTCCTAATCTAAAGACTAAATCATTGCTGGTACCAGAGTTCCAAGCATGGCAAGTATGGAAATAATTTGGATCAATTTCCAGGTCTTAAAAAGTATGGAAAATGAAAAATAAAGGATGGACAAATACGTTTGTTTCTAGACTATTACCAAAGTTCTAAGATACCATTTTCTAAAATAGAAAAGAAGGTATTTCCAAAAATAAAATGGAAATAAAATTAAATGGAAATTCCAACTGTGTAGGAACCCTGTGGTACATCAAGTGTCTCACAATTAAAAGTAACTTTGAAGCAAAATTTTGTTCCATTCTCTTTCGAGCTTCTCAAGTTTTGATGTTAGCAACTTTCATTTATCTTAAAACACCACTAAAGTTCAGGATTCTGACAGATTGTTGAACAAAAATGTAAATGTAGTTTGAAGTCATCCTCACCATCTTATTTTGGACCCAATTAATTGAATGCTGAAAATATTGAGCTATATTTCCTGTTGTAAGAAGTTCTAGTTTCTGATTGGAGGAAACCTCACCTGTGATGTTGATCCGGTCTCCTGGCTGCACTTTATCGACCAGGTCGTTGTGAGCGTACACGATAGTTGTGTGAGGCGTCTGACCTGCCGGCATGTCTTCAGGAGATTCTTGAATTTTGACCTTCACATAATAAGGAGATAAAAGAACAGATGTCACCACCTCAACAAAAAAAATTGACGAATTACCATTTTACATGGTCTTAGATTAGACGTTAATAACTGGCAGCATTTTTGCCCCAACCACCTGCCCTCCAACCCCTTTGACTCTCACCATCTGTTTGTCAGAAAAGACTGAACGGTTGTGAACGAGCGCCAGGCTGTGGGTGGTGTTGCAGTGGCGACACACAGCCGGCTCAGCTATGCGCCCGCGATCCACCTCCACACGGGTGCTGTAGGCGCACACCTGGCACTGGAAGAATGCCTCCTGCATCTCTGGGATCAGCTGCGAGGTGCGGATCACCATGCCACTGATGGTGATTAGCTGATCGATGTCTGAGGGGGGGGAAAGGCAGACGGCACACATGGGGGCTTTAGCCTGAAGCTGATACCTCACATTTTACCAAAGCAATGGGCAGTGTTCACAAAAAGCCCACACTAAATATGTGACGGAGAAATCTGAGCACGGCAGATCTAATAGGTGGGATTTCACTTTGTACACTTCCAGTGACATGAGGGGGCTTTAAAAATGAGTCCACACACCTTCTGGGTTCAGGCTCCTCATGTTCCTAGTTTTCAGGGCGTTGTAGGGGCGGACTTGGATTTGAAACTCCAAAACAGAATCTGGGAAGCGCTCAAAAAAGAGCTCGTTCACTGCCATGTCGAAGGTTGGGATGACTTCCTGTGAATCAAATATGATTTACATAAAGGATGAATGCACTCTCCATGAAACAGAAGATATTTGAATGATTATCTGACATTAAACAACACGACAAAGAGGTTTTTATCGTCAGGTAGAAAAAGTAACTATGATGAGTACACTTCCATTACACACACTCCAGTACATTTCCATTCAATTACAGTTAATTATTTCAACTCACAGGCCAAAGAAACATCAACCTTGAGAAATGTGTCCAAACCGGCTTTCCGGGGGTTAAGTATGCCAACGTTATATAATGTGATCTTACCTGTGGGTAGCAGATGAGCTGTCTGTATAATTCTGCGTCAAAGGACTGCACATGCAGGCAATTCACATTCAGTACCGGATCTCCAACAACACTGATCTGTGAGACACAAAGAGAAGTAAGAGTAAGTTCGCATCTGAGATTAGCTGTGATAAAGTCAGAGAGAAATCCCAAACCAGCCTGAGAATCTTAACTGTGACAGTTCGAGAGTGTGAGAGCATCTACTACCACATTTGTTCAGCCCAAACTGTTTGATTTCAATCTTATAAAACAACTAAACTGGGTCAGTACCTCTTCCAGCTTCTGCATGTACAGTGGTTCATTCAGGTCCAGACCTGCGTTCTCATCTTCAGTGGAAGTCGGGTCGATGAATCTTTGCAGAAACCTCTGAAGGCAAAGTGACGCAAACAATGTCAACATAAACCTCTACTACACTAATAAATCAGACTATCAAACTAAAGCTGAAAGATAAGATATCACACCTGAAACTTCTCCTTGCAACTACCAACGTTAACGTCGGTCCCCCAGATCACTAGCCGCTGACCAGCATTTGATTCGCTGGCAACAGCCCCGTCAGCACTCGGCTGCAAAATAACACAAAAAGTTTAGACAAAGTTTTCCTTTAAACTTATAAATCTATTAAAAGTCTCGATTATTAATCTAGAGGACTCCACTGACCTGCTCAGAGTGAAGATCAACTTGTGGAGCCTTCCTGACTGACCCCAGATCAGGCCGCTGTCTGGCTGGCGTGCCACGCACACCACTGCGCGGGGTCCCTTCAACCCTGGAGCTGGGGGTCCCATACATCAGAGGAGAGCTCATGTCCACTTCATTTGGTAGGACTGCAAAAAGAGACACAAATATGTTAGAAAAAAAGTCCTGTACATGATTTAAATAAGGCTGAAGTACAAGAACTTCAACTGAAGACACTTTGTGGCTGAGGCACCTGAGGGACGAGGGCTGGAAAACAGAGAGGTGTCCTGAGGGGCTGCTGGACTGACAATATCAGTGGCCGGGGAGGTTGGCATTGGCATTAGGTCCCCAGCAGAGGAGTCCTGGCCTCTGCGTCGCTGAGAGGGAGGAGAAGGGGCGACCTCACTGCTGGCTGGAAATGCAAATAAAAAAATTATAAACTTAAGTCACACAGAGTCTTCTAGAGCGTTAATCACAGCTGTTTGCAGGAAACATACGTGTGGATGGGTTGGTGTTCCTCCCTCGTTTACGGCCAGGAGTTGATGTAGGAGAAGACATGGTTTCAGGATATCTAAAGGTTGAATGGTGAAAAGTTAAATTACTGTGTGTTTAAAAACCAAGCGTAAAAAGGGATTTACTGACCTCTGCAGGAAAAGAAAAAAAGTGAACTGCACTTAAGAATTCATATTTTCACCTTAATTGCAGTAAAAGACAAAGACAAGATGAAAAGACAACTGCGTTTTGATAGGGGAGCTTTTTGAGCAGTCAAACATTGTAAGAAGTTTAAAAATAACAAAATTTTATTCTCTTTACTTGCTGTTGGCAGGTCATATCCCATTTTCTCAAAATTTAATATCAGAAAATCCTCACTTAACATAAAGGCCCTAAAATATAACCTTCCACATGACACCAATATCAGGTATGTATAATATTATTTCAGTTATCCACCAGTCAGGGTTGAAGGTTCTGAAATCAGGATAACTTGTCAACTTTGCATTCGAGTTTATGGGGATACACACAAAATACAATGACACATGTATGGGAAATTCTGATAAAGAAACTGGAGCCATGGTTTGATATACATTATAGTAGATATTTAACTATATTGACAGTGTTTATGTTCACATTTCAGCACTCTTCAGTATTTCCTTTATCTGTATTTATGTAGCTCAATTAATTATCCTCCATGTAAACACTTCAGATAGGATGTAATATTATTTGCAGCTCTAGTTTAAATCACACATAGACAAAAAGATGCGAGTTTTTGGCATCAGTAAGCCAAGTCTCATTGTAAAAGTGCTGCTGACATTTGATTGTTTCTGCATTAGAAAGTTAACTTCCGTGTCGCTAAACTTCAAAATTACTATCATGTATCAGATTTGAACAATAACTTCAACTTTGACATTACATGTAACATTAAAATACAAAGCATCCTTTCTATTGCACTCTTCTGAGGCTTTGGTTGACTCAACAATAACCTCCATCGGACATGTGGGTGCAGCAGAAACAATGAGCTGAAACTGTCTTCATAACTTAAATTATTTCAGATGAGTAAAACACACAACACTGATAAAAGTGCGATCAAAAACGATACATGTTAAATAAAAGAAGCCTAAATTCAACCCATAAAAATCCATATTTAAGTTTGTTAAAGCAGAGTTTCTTTACCTCTTCTTCTATGCACGTCTCACTGCTGCAGATCTGGCGCGAAACTGCGGGTGACGTAGATTTCGCGGGGAACTTTGGACCAATAGCGAGACAGAATCACGAATCTCTTTCCGGCGACTTCATCCATGTCAAAGGGGAGACCAATGAAGGATTCCAGCTGTTTTTATATTAATTACAGATATTGAAGCGTTGAAGTACATTTCAAATTGTATTTAAGTATCTTGAAAATCACATACATTCTCTTAATCCTTCTTTAAATAATATCTAACCATTATTTTCACATAGTCTTAGTCTGTTTCTACCCTGAATTGATTTGGTTTGGTCCAGCAGAAAGCAGTGTTTTGTTTTTTGCTTCAACCGGACAAAGAGCAGTAAACACCAAATTACCCGAAAATTCTTTGTTTCCCACAACCTACCAGATTAAGATGCAAATCTGAGCTTTAAATGAAATGTTTTTAAATGCTGGTCTCCATCTTATCAAAGAAATAAAAAGTAAAAAGACGGTAATGAGAAAATGTCTAGTTTAATTAAATTAGTACAAGTCTGAATTGAAACATATGTTTTTGTTTATATATGAACAAAAAACTAAATGGTTCCATATATGAACAAATTAGAAGTACAATGCAACAGTTGAGTGAAGAAGGAGACTGACGATCCTCATTGTTGTTCAAAGGACATAAGCAGAGACGGCCCAAGGCAGAAGTGCCTGCTGAGGGCCCCGCGGCCAGTAGGGGGCCCCCAGGAGCAATCAAAAAATAATTTTAATGTTTTTTTATTTTTTTTCATGTGTGAGTGATGCTTTATGTATGATCAAATATATTATTGTAAAAATAAAGTAAAGTAAAAGCATTTTAGTCCTGCTGCTGATGTAAGCCTATGTTATGTGCCCCCTGCTGTGCAATGTGCACTGAGCATCCTGAATGTATTACATTTTGAGAATAAAAACCATGTGTGGTACCCTGAACATCATTCATTAGTCATTCATTGGTATTAATTGTATGGTTGCATTGGTATTATTTATGTTATTACCTAGGCCAGTGGTTCTCAAGTCCAGTCCTGGAGGCCCACTGTCCTGCATGTTATGGATGTTTCCCTGCTCCAACACACCTGATTCAAATGATCAGCTCGTTACTAACCCAAAACGGAGCTTGATAACGAGCTGATCATTTGAATCAGGTGTGTTGGAGCAGGGAAACATCCATAACATGCAGGACAATGGGCCTCCGGGACTGGACTTGAGAACCACTGACCTAGGCCACCCCCTTAAACGTGTAAAGATATGTCTGGTGCATAAATTTTATACTGTTGTAGGTGTGTGAATGATCAACAGTCAAAATTATTGGCAGAAATAGAGGGCCCCAAAATCAAATTTTGCTTTGGGCCCCATTAAAGCTTGGGCCAGCTCTTTGTCTTAACATCAGAAGTCCTATGAGTTATCTTTTAATGAGCAAATCTGATATCACCTTGCATAGGTAAGACATCACTAAAAAGATAGGTTTAAAATAAAATATTTGCTTTAAGTACTAGAGAGAAAATGGGGAAAGGCAAGTTAAAGTTCAACAGAAAAATACACAAACAATAAAACAACACACAGTTCAAGAGAGGATTAAAAATCACAATATATCACTTATCGTATCTGTTGTATGCAGACAATATTTTCTTTTTTGTGCGACAGAATTTTTTTAGATTATATGTTATTCTGAATAAATAGATAGCTCAGTGAAGTATTAGGAACCATTTAGTTCACTTCAACCTTGTGAATATGATATTGGCCAATAACATGTAAGTTAAAATGCATTATCAGTATTTTGAATAGTTACAATGTAGAAACAAAATCATGTCCTCTGATATTCTTGAAGCTGAACAGTGAATCTTAAACCCAGAATGTGTGGGAAACTTTCTTTTACTTTATTTGGAAATACGAATTCGCTAAACGTTCAGGAAAAAGTGTCATGATGAGGTATTGCAACTTGTGTAATATTACTTTTTTCAGCTGTAATAGAAGAGGGCACGTATAAGGGCAACCGGAAGTCATTTTCCACGGTGCAGTTTTCTTCAACATGCAGGTGCGTAGATTGACCACCAGGGGGCCACATTACATTTGTAAAATTGCTAAAACAGTGGAAAAGTACAAGCACACTTCCTAACAGGAAAACATGGGTGCGTTTCCGAGAAATGTCAGTACATGTGTCCTTTAAGGGAGTTGTTAACAGATAAGACATTTAAGATGAGATAATCACAAACATCTTCTTTATCACCTTGAAGCACAAAATATATCAATATATATACACAAACCCTTCTTTTTGAAATCCATATATAGTTAAATACACTGATTTTTACACAAACTGAATACTTTGAGAATGTATTTATAAAATTTATAACACAAAGAAACATATATTGATATAATGCTTGTTCCTTTATTTATTTTTTATGTCAAAGTAAACTTTTTTGTTGTTGTTAAGCCTGTCATTTTTGTTTAGGTGCGTGTTCCTACAGTATGTGCTCTGTGTATGTAATATGAGGGCAACTTATAAGACATGCCTGGATAGTGTTAATAGCCACAAAGGCTGATATTTTAAAATACAGTCAGATGTTCTTTTAGGTCAATGCCCAGAAATAGTTATTTTGTACAAAAGCATGAAAGTACAACCTATATTTCAGTGTCCAGACAGGTTAAAAAAAGCAGGTGGTGGTTGTCTTACACCAAAACACATTTACTACATACAATTTCATAAATAAGTCCAGTTATAAGACAGACATTTTAAAATTAGGACCCAGAAAGGTCAGTATGAGTTGCAAAACTGCAACTTCTAGCTTTAGTCATTGAACTTTTTTATTTACTTACATAGATAGATAGATAGATAGATAGATAGATAGATAGATAGATAGATAGATAGATAGATAGATAGATAGATAGATAGATAGATAGATAGATAGATAGATAGATAGATAGATAGATAGATAGATAGATAGATAGATAGATACATACATACATACATACATACATACATACATACATACATACATACATACATACATACATACATACATACATACATACATACATACATACATACATACATACATACATACATACATACATACTAGATAGATAGATAGATAGATAGATAGATAGATAGATAGATAGATAGATACATACATACATACATACATACATACATACTTCATTAAAACATAAAAACAGTCTATAAACATGATCATGAGGCAGTAGTGCAGCGTGATGAAGGCATAGTACACAGTGGAAATAAATGATAAATGTATTTATTTTATTTTTTTTAATCTGCTAAACACACAATTAATGTAATAATGGTAGACTTTACTTGGTCAGTAAAAGTACGCAATGCCTGGTGTGCTATTTCCCTCATATATTATCACCCTACATCAAGTTTTCATCTTGTTAACGGTATGACAAAGTGAACTGTTATGAATACTAAATGTGCTTTTTGTCAGGAAAACAAAGAAATATTGTTCTTAAGTTATGATTTCATACCTGTTCTTTATAGTACTTAAACTGTGTTCAATGGAGGCCTAACATTGGTAGTAAATAACTTTTACAGCATAATACTGAAGCTCAAACTTCGGTGAATGATGTGAAAAACATTCGTGGTGTTGGTGCCAGGGAACAAAATGAACTTAAATCCAAAACACCAAGAGCCCTCTCAGTATGTAAACAACTTCCAACCATTCATACAATCGTAGTAAAGAGTGGGTGGCACGAGCGACACGCCTCTGTTCCCTCAAATGGGAAGTGAACCGACACCACGTGACGCCATTTCGACTTGACTGGCTCGTGAGAGGGCGGTGCGTGTGACGCAAGCGCGGGGACGATACAAAACACTCCGCGAAAGTCCAGCTGTCTCAGAGAAGTGTCAAGAAGTGAGTCAGACTTAGTCAAATGACAGGCTAACCCCTGACAGTCATCACCCAGGGATAAAAACAAAAAACGATTTTTTTGAGGCGCCTGCAGAGAAAACACGCAAAGCCACAGCGGAGTGATTCCGTGCAGAGAGCTGTCACGACTGCGGGTTTACTCTTCTCAAAAAGTTGATTTCCTTCTTAAACCACGTGGACAAGACACCAGGGTTCATGTGTGACATATACAGCCTGGACTCTCATTGCGTTTCTCCACAATGCAATATGAGTTGGGCGATGGAGCCTGCTAACTTCTACGAGAACTCCAAGCTGGGCTACCCGCAGCAGGGACTCCTCAAGCCGGGCAGCAGGAGCGACGCTCCGGGTGAGGACGGTACCATGGTGGAGCTGAGCACCGCCCCTGCGATGTACGACGACGAGAGCGCCATCGACTTTAGTCAGTACATAGAGTCGATGACAGCCGTGCCAAACTTAGAGCTGTGCAACGACGAGCTGTTCCTCGACCTGTTCAACACTGTGAAGCAGGAGAAAGGTGATTTCTACAACCTGCAGAGCCCCGCGCTGCAAGGAGGCATGCAGCAGCAGCAGCAGCAGATGTCAGCCGCATACACAGCGGAGAGGAAGGCGGACAGTGGGGTGGATAAAGGGCTCTTCAGTGCACCCATCAAACAGGAATCCGACTGGAGTGACAGCGACATGTCCTCATCTCTGCCTTCTCAGATCGAAACCTGCGCCCAGACTTCCGTCAGCCTTCCTACAGGGCAGCCTACTCCCCCCACCACCCCGGAGCCCGTCTCCTCCAGCGCCAGCTCCGCCAAGTCCTCCCCGAGAAAGATGGGGAGGGAAAAGGGCAAGAAATCAGTGGACAGGTACAGCGTGGAGTATCGACAGAGACGAGAGAGGAATAACATTGCAGTGAGGAAAAGCAGGGACAAAGCCAAGATGCGCAACTTGGAGATGCAGCAGAAGCTGATTGAACTGAGCTCAGAAAACGACAGACTTCACAAAACTATCGAGCAGCTAACCAGGGAGCTCACCGGGCTTAGAGATTTCTTTAAGCAGATCCCCAACTCGTCCTTTCCGGGCTCCACGAGTGTAGAGAGCCGGTGACAGATTCATGATTACTATATGAACTGAGTTTCAGGAGACATACCTCAAAAGACTTTACTTCTTACCATCTGTACCAGATGTATTTTAAGCTTACCATAATGGCACTGGAAAATATATGATGTTGCTGCCATATTTTTGTGGGAATTTTCTCTATTAAATTATTTTACCACTGCATTTACATGATGTCATAATACCTGATATGGTACATGTTTTATAATTCCACACTTTGTATAAGAGCCAGAGCATGATCTTTTATATAGTTTGTATGAAACAGTGAAAATATTTTGTTTATGGAATCTGTAATAAAATCGCTGAAAGGTGAAGACGCATTCTGGTCTGTGAGTAGTCTTTGCAAACAATGTTGAAGTTATGCTAATAAAGGGTGCTGACACTGAAAAAAAAGGGTGCAACAGGAAATACAGAGCTAAGTCAGCAAAAATACAACTTTATTGACAGCGACGAAAATCTTACACACAGAGGTAGATGAGTTTGAAGAAGATATTTAGGAGCACAGAGAAAACATGTTTTAAGACAAAAGTCCAGCTCACAAAGTCACAACCTCTTGATGAACCACGTGGGCTGCTTTGACAGACTGCATGCCACTGGTCTGCCCTTGGGCTGTCAACTCCTGCTCCACAAGATCACATATGATTAACACAAACAAGACCTTGTCTTCTTACAGTCTCGTTCGCTTCAGCGCAGCCTCAAGCTGTCAGGGAGGCCTTCTGAGGGGGGCTGAGGACACAGGAGGCTGCGCAGAGCAAGGCCTGGTGTGCAGATCCGTGGAGCCAGCTGAAGCCCGAGGATTGATATCATTAGCTGACTTGTCCTGACGGTCGCCCCAGAGGCAGATTTCCTCCAGGCCAATCCAGAGGGCAGGTTTCCTGGTGACCACTCGGACAAACGCAGCAATGGGGCCCACTTCTTTTCCCAGGACATTCTCCACATCGTAGCCTAGACACTGAAACAGATCAAGTCCATCAAAAAACTCACACCTTGCATGTTATTTTACTAACTATTTAGACTCTTTCAGGCTGATAACTAATCTGTACGTCCAAATAATCACAGATATTTTCTAATCTAATTATGTCTGAGCACTTAAAGCCTTCAACCTTTGCACGCCGGGTTAGCAGTGTTTATCTAACGATTTATTCTGCACTTATGACCTCCCCTGGAGAGGGGCATTAATGCATAAAAAGTAAACAAGACTGTGTTTGCCAAGGTTATGAAAAAGACCGCCACCTGCAGGTTGGAACAGAGATTAATACCCACAGAGTGCAAAAGTGCGAAAAAAGAAATCTCTTTCAGCTTCAGGTGTTGAAGGATTACATCTTTTTATTCAGAGAGAAAATTCCTTCGCTTGTGTGGATGACCAGAGTGACTCAGGGATCTGAGTGTGCAGTACAGAGCTGGATGACACGAACAGATGACTGTGCTTTTACGACTTATTGACAGAAGATCAATGCACCGAGTCGTCCAGGCCCTCGGTTATGTAACTGTTTGTAAAGGCAAACTTACTTCAGTACCCTCGAGCGCTGCGGAGTTTAAGATGGACATGATCGTGTTTTGCTGCAGCTGTAAAAGATATAAAAAGGTGCGGAGGCATTAATAACTTTTAGTTGTCAGCCAAAATAACTCATGTTACACTGACATAGTGTGCTTTTACTGGTGACTAATAGACCAATAGATAGGGTTGGCATTATCAGTAGAGAGATAAGAGGTAAGGCTGATTATTTTATCAATTTGTCTGACTTAGTTCTCTGCCACTGCAGGTTTCAGTATCAAAACTGATATCATGATGCACATGCAATGAACAGCTTTCTTTATGCATCCTCTACTCATGTTTGAGGGGGATATTGAATATTCTTTCACTGACTTTTCTTTATTTCTACTTCAAACACAAAATGGATGGTATTGATGGAGTTTGTTGAGTTTTGTTACGAACTGAATGCATCCAAAATAATCCCACTAACACCTCCGAAGCTCTTTAGACAAGGCCGGGCGAACTGCTACACCCTGTTTTCAGTCTTACTGTTAAGCTAAGGTGAGCTAATGGGCTGATTTTCTTACACGACTCTGCACTAAATAGACGTACAGGTGTGGAAATGCTCATTTAAAAACCTTGAAATGCTGTTCTCACCTTAACCTTCAAAGTGCAGTTACTTAATGAAGAGCTCAACAAAACCTCCAGTTGAATCTTCATGTCAGGTTTGTCCACTACTGCCTTGCAGGAAACGCAGTGGAAGTTCTGACTGGGGAGAGATAATGCAGAACATAAAAAGTTATGATTTGCCATTATGTTTTTCGCTCAGCTGTTTCGCATTAGCTTGAGAACTCACTGAGTTTCGGAGGACTTTTCTAGGTTGTCGCTCCCACAGTGGTTACAGGCGGGCCAGGAATAAGCGGTGCTCTCATCTACGCCAACTATCACCCCTGCAGGAAGACGTCAAAGTGTGAAACTGTTACAAACACCTCTGAGAAGGAAAACTGCAAACTTTACTATTTTGGATTGTTTTTCAATGATCATGTTTTTCTGCTCACTTCAACTGGTGTATGTCAAATGTGCAATAATAATGATCCTTAACTGTGAGAAACTGAAAATTAAGATCATCTTCATCAGGGGCTTCAAAGTGTGAAAAGTTTGTGACAGGGTGGAAGAGATAAACACACATCCCTTTCATTTTTATCTGCGATGGAGGTGATAAATGCCGCAGAGTGCTCCTTGCCTTCACACCATCTCACATAACAACCAACAAACAAAAACATCCTATCTCAACTATGGAGATACTTAAATTTAGATACCAAATTTATCTGCGGTAAATTGATCTAGTACATTCCGGTTTCAGCCTTTTTTTTTTTTCTAGGGGTAATTTCCAGAATATTTTATCTGCGCACGAGTACAAAAGATAATGAAGTTGTTTTATTTATTTTCAGCCACCTGACCAAACATGTCAGGCCAGAGGGGCCTGAAACAAGAGGGTTCACAGTGTGATCTTTGCCCTCCAGTCAACAGATGCAGATTTCTGTCTGATTTTGAGCTGCTTTGTTCTGCACCAAAACTGCTTAGAATCAAAGAAAGAAACGCAATTATTCACAAGAACATCTGCTGTAAACTTAAACCAGCCCAGGCTAAAAACAGCAAAGCAATAATCTTTATCGACCTGTTCTGTGTCGACCTGTTGTATCTTGTAATGAAAAAAGACTCCTAATAAAGTAATCCACTATAAGTGAGGTTTCAGTAAAACAACATTATGTTCCTACAATCTCAAAATTTGTATCCTCCTCTGATAATAAAAGCCTTATGCAGAGCAGGCATGTTAATTTCACCGCAACATGTCATGGGAATTGAGAAAAATCCAACAAAATTTCATGTGTTTTTATTTCATAAAGTACTGAACAATGACAGCCCGAGGACACTGAATAACAAACAGCAGAAAGCGATGCCTTGAAGCCACATCAAGACCTCTTGCTGAGCTGTAAACTTGTAGATGAAACAAAAACAACAAGTGGTTTTCTTCCCCTGAGAAAATACCACATCGGGCATGTTCTGCAGGAATTGTTCAGAGGAAGCGAGTTACAGGGAAACCACAGCGCTCAAAGAGAGAGAGAGAGAGAGGGGAGGAGGACTGACCTGAGAGGGAGCAGAGGGAGTTGGGTGTGATCTCAGGACTCAGAGGATCCAGTCTCACAGGTTGGGGCAGGGTCTTTGCCCAGGGCTCTGACAGCGACTGTGAAAGTGACTCCGGCCTGGCTGAGGAGGACTCAAGGTTGCCTTTAGGATCCACAGAATAGATCTCGACAACAGACATCTCCGCACACAGGAGAACACCTGGATTTGCATGTTAGAGAAATCAAAAGGTCATAAATCAGTTCATTTGCATACAAATTCAGGCGTTGTCTCAACTCTGTGTGGAGTGAGAGTGAAAGCACAACAACTTTAAATCTCTGGGGAGAACAGAACAGATGAAGCACTGGACTACAAGCATAAGAAACTATATGTGCCTTCAGATTTTACCTGTGATCTTTTGTTGGTTTGAACTGCTGTGCAACTTTTAAACAACTGACTGTCTCATTGAGAAAACAAGCTCCCTGCCAAGCTGCTAAATCAGTAAAATGCTGCTCACAAGCACAGCATAACTAAATCCATGGTGTGTTTTTGAGGGCCAGTTTGAAGCACTTTTGACATGTTTTTTGCGTTTTACTTCGACACTGCCATTTATTAACAAACAGCTGCTTAATGACAGCAGTTAAGAGAGCAACAGCGGCCCAGTTCTGAGCGAGCCGTGTCGCTTTTCAGCTGTTTAATGCTTCACAATGTTAACCAACTTGTTTGTAACCGTCTGCTGTTTGGAAGTGTTGTGTTGATCACGTGAACTCAGTCCCTGACAAAAAGCTGTTATCATGATAAATGGGTCAGCGGATGGCTCATCAGTGAGCTGAAACTCATGTGGAGTGTTAAAAAGCGCAGGTTTAGGTGATACCTCTGTGTAGGTATAAGACTAGAACAACATTGTACACATGGTCACACTGTCATTTATATTATTTCTACTTGGTTTAACACTCTTTTACTGAATAATAAAGTTCAGAGTAGTTCTTCCACAACTGCAGGTAACAAAAGCTGTCACATAAGTGGTAAAAAATACAATATTTTCAGTAAAAAATCTAACAAAGTACATGTTTAAAGTAACAAAAAGTGGACACTCAAGTACCTCAGATTATCTATATACTTCCCACTTCTATTAAGGTGACAATTGCACCTCAGCCAGTTTAACACAAACTCCAGAAAATTTCAGGATAATTTCAGACCTTAATTTTTTAAGGTTCAAACAAAAATGACAACAATCAGTGTTTTTCTGCCGCAGGTGCTCTTACACTTTCATACACTCTGTGTGGTTATAGGGGCGTGCGGGGCACGGTAGACTGTGCAAACTTTGCTTAGTGTGAATGTTGTTACTCCGCCCCTCTCTGTGACTTTCCTGACTTTTACCCGCAGATTTCACGCACTGGCTCCATGATTTCTTGTAAATATTTGACCATAAAGCCAGAATAAAATCTGGGTAAAAATGTTGTCCTTTTGTGCAGCTCGCAAGGAAAATTGTTAAAATTAAGAAGTTCAGCACCTGTGTGAGATAAAACCCTTAATACTGTAATATTTGGATGGCATATCATATGAAAATAAGGCTCTACCATGTTCTACGATGGCATCTCTGAATGACATGCGACAGGCAGCGGGGGAGTTGAGGGCTCTGAGGACAGAGGAAGTGAGCACACAGGAAGTGTTTACACACAGGGCCACTGATCGTCGACAGGGCCTCTCAGGCTGCTCCTCCTGAAGACTGGGGTCTGTCAGCACCAACCAAACCTCACCCTGGCCTACATCACTGCTCTGAAATAGAAATAGAAAGGTAAAAAAAGTGCAAAATTACAAAGTGAGAAGCACGTAGAGTGACCTAAAAAGAAGCAGCAAAGAGGAAACATTAGATAACAAAAGCCTGCAACGCAAAAAAAAGGACGTGGAAATGATCGTGCTTTTCAAAGAATCAGAGGAAACACTTTCTTTTGAGATTAAACATTAAACAGGCGACATGTAATGCTGGTTACTAGAACAGCACCATGGAAATGTGGTGTGAGCACGTGGCAAAGTCCATCCCTCTGTTCAGAGCTGCTATCTCATCTTGGTCAAAGTTTAAAGGTCACACCAATCGATGTTGAAGAACGCCGGGCCTCACACAGATTGTCAGACACACAGCGATATGAACGCCGCTCTCTGCGTCAGAGCTCACTTATCAGTTTGTCAAATGATCTCTGAAGCATGACCGCAGAGCTCTGCAGGACTTTTTTTAATGTGCACTTCGGACAGAACTTCAGATAAATCAGACTTTGAAAGAAATCTGAAAAAAGAGTGAAGCACCTGCAGAGTTCTCTTGTATAGAACAGTTGCGACGAAACTGCAGCGACGGCTTTTAATCCCGCTCTGAAAAGACAGAGAGAGAGAAAAAAAAGACAAGTTTGAGATGAACCTACTCAAGATAAGCAATCGAGATCTGCGGCAATCTCGAAAATCTTCTACGTGAGTGGGTGTGAGAGTGTGTTTATGTGAGTGAGAAACCGTTCACCTGCAGTATGTCTCGCAGTGTTTGTCTAGTGTGGGGGAGGTAAACCGGGGACGCGGTTTTCTCCTCAGATGGTTCAACTGAGCTCTCCTGACCAGACAGCAGGTAGCAGAAACTGGGAGCTGGGCCGGCAGGTCTGCATTCCTATTAAGACAAAATCAGAAAACTGAATCTGAAGAAGCGAGAAAAAGAAAATAAACTGTCTAGTAACTGGACTGTCTTCTCAACAAGTCAAAAGTCTTCGAATCGACCACTTTTCTCACCAGATCAAAGATTAAAAAAAAAAAAAAACAATAACACAAAGCAGTGTTTCCCTTTTTTTTCTCAGTTTTTGTTTCAGCGTGCTTTGTTCTGCTAAATACTTCTGGTCAACTTGATGAGTAAGTCAGTTTGATCGTGTTTTATTGCTTGTCAGCATTGTTCAGCTGTCAAATGCATGAATATGTTTTTCTATATTTTACAGCCTTTTGTCCTTCTGATTGTTTTGGCGAGTTGCGGTGTTGCACCCGCAGAACCGTGACGCTTGAGAACAATTGGTTTCACACTATGATCTTTCTGGATGTGTTTATTATCAGTACATTTCTGTTTAAAGTCAAAATCTAGCGTGAGTTCCTAATTTTGCTCGGAGAAAACTTTCTGATTGATATCAACACCTTTAGGCTTCAAGAAGCTCCTCACAATATTTCTGTCAATACTCAATCTGCAGCGTCAACACTGCTCCAATTCTAAACTTAAAACATATCCCTGAACCATGCAAAGACTTACAGTGGACATGTTGGATGTGTTTCCAGGATCTTTAAGAGGCATCACTGGGGGCCACAGACTGTCTATCAAGCTGAAAAGCCTGCAGCGCCTAAGAGTGAGGGGGAGAAAAAAAAAGAGTGAGGAGGAGGGAGAAGAGGGAGGGAGGGGGGGCGCTGAAAAGCAGTGAAAGGAGGAGAAACGTGTGAATAAGGGAATTGAAGAGAATCCTCAGAGAGCCAGTTTCACTTCCAGTGAAACACGAATCTGTTAAGACAGAGCTTGGTTTAACGTCACTTAGCATTAACAGGGAGCATGCTCGGGCTGGCAGAGCACATACACACAAAAAACTGTTTTTACAAGCAGGTTCAGAGATACTGAAGGGTGGGAACAGCGCTCACACCCTATGTAAATCACAATATCATTGTGGTGCAAAAATAACAAGGTTTAAAAAGCCAATTACAAGGGATTTTAGCTACCAGAGCCTATAAAGTGTCATTTATCTCCTTTCATCACACTCTTAATCTCAGTAATGAAAGACTGCAGACAGATCATACACGACCTGCTGAGCCCAAGTTTCATCTCTACACTGATACCAGGAGCGACGATGCTATGAGTAAAAGGGGGGAAAAAACCATCAAGCATCGGCTCCAGCAGGAGGAGACATGTCAATCTCTTGATTCATCGTCTCTTTTCTGAGAAGTATTTGTTGAGTTCAGGGGTGGCCGGTCAATGTTTCTTATTCATCCATGAGTGCTGTAATATCAGCCAGTGGTTAACAACCTGTTAGTCAGCCTGTAATCACAGGGTTTCTTTGTGTGGAACTGGTTCTGCAGCCTGTTCAAGTCCAGTGACGCCTACATGGAGGTGGGTAATGACAAAACGAACAGGACTTACTCAGCTCGGAGTGATAGAGAGTAATCTTAGTGCTTCTTTAGATGTTTCTACGACGATTTAATCAGTGAATTTCTCTTTTTTTAAAAATAAGAGCTGGGGTTCTTACAGTAAAGACAGAACTGATCTGACGCACCACTCACACAAGAGTTGGACTAAGACTTTTAAAACTGTGGTTGATACCATTTCTATGTAAGATATTCAGGTTTCCAATAGAAAACATACAGGGACATGGTCTCTCTCTCTCTCTCTCTCTTTTGTCTGTCCATACCAGACACGCACGTGATGTATGTTTTTATTAGATGCTAAATGAGTTAACGAGAAATCAATGTTTGCAAACCGATGACTAAGGAGAGTCAGCGGTGTAGTGACTGTGACGGTACACAAACATGGCCGAGAGACGCAGCAACTGGAAGAGGTGCGACTTAAGCTGCAAACGAAGCAAATCCAGGACCTTCCTGCTTGTTTGTGAGGGGGCGTGGTGGCCTTTGTAGGTCCCTGAGAGAGAGTAATTTCTGTGAAACAATAAGAAAAATAACATCTTATGTTGCAGTTTTGCCATGTGGTTCACTTTCCCGGCACTCTCTGACTTTAATGTGTTCCTAAGACAGTCGACGGCCGCTGCTTGCTCTCTCACCTTTGTTCGCTCGCTGAAGCCTCTAGCTGAAGGTTTTGGCACTTTTTGACAATATTGAAACAGAAATGAGAGAAACGGTATTGTTCCAATAAAAACTACGACCAAAGTATCAGAAATCCTTACTCTGGATACATTCTTGCTTTTATGTGATGCTATCTTTTCTCTTTGACCTCTATCTTATTTCAACTTACTGTCTTTAAAGCCTTTGTTTTACTTATAATCTTTTACTTATTAACCTCTTTTATTGGCCTTTTATTGATTTTATTGTTCTTTCCTGCTCATTTTATTATTACTATTACCATCATTATTATTTTTTATGAACTCTTTTTATATGTACTATCCTGTTTCCTGCTATCTACCCCCCTTTTTTATTACATTTCTTTTTCTTACCTGTTTTATGTTTTTATTTTGGTCCTCATGGTCGCTCTTTATGTTGATGGGTTCCTGTATTGTTTGGGTTCCTTATGACAAATGAAATTGGCCTTCAATTTGGAGGTCTTGTTTTTAACTGAGCTTTTGTTTTTTATTTGTTTTAATTTCCATGTGCTGATGTTCTGTGTTTACGACTGTTTGTCGAAGCACTATGTAAACTTCTGTTTTTACAAGTGCTATAAAAATAAAGTTATTATTAATCAACTGGCAGGTTAACCGGCAGCCTTATAGGTTTTTGTCTTCATTGGACAGAGCCGAGCTAGATATTTCCCCTTTATTTGTAATACTCTCCTTTTTGTGGTTTCATAATTACTAATCTCGTATCATAAAAAAATCAAACTATCATTTTTGAAGCAGTTTGAGGTGTACATTTTAGTAGTATGTCTTTAAGCCCAATATTTACTAATTCTCAGAAACAGAGGGGCTAAAAATGAGTGTCTACCCCAACCAGACCCACGTGTTTTTCCAGTTGAGAGTATAGGACAGCCCATGTGCAAGAACTGAAGATATCCCATCACACTTCGACCGCAGACAACCCCCTGTGACATTATAGGCTGTGGTGGCATTGAAAATACCAGAGATGTAAACATACCCCCAGCCCCGTCTCTAAATGTTCCCATGTCAGTTCATCTAACTGCTTCTAATCTGGGATCCTGACTATGGAAACTCACGCAGGGACACAGAGCATGCACCTCAGTATCACCTTACATGTAAACACTGCTGCACTGCTGGCTGAGCAGCATAATCAAGTTCATATGAGCTCACATTAAAATCTCATTGTGCTGTCAGTGTGGGTGTTGATGTTCGAGAGGGGCATTCGAGGACAAAAACGGGGAATTCGCTGTGGTTTTTCAAAACTGGAATTTCACACATAAGGCTCAAAAACCATCAATCCACATGTGCTTTATCATTTAGCTCCAGGCTCAGAGCTTTTAAGGCAAGTGGCTGCACTGAGGTTTCTTTAATAGCATTCCCTATCAGTACCTGTCTATCACCGACATTAACCCAGGGCTAAGAGTCGAGATAAGATAAGACAACCTTGGTGAAGTTTACCCATGGCTGTGAACTGAAATAGAGGGGGGGGAGCAGCAGAGGCTTAAAGAGATGGAGGACTGCGCAGGTCTCACCTTTCTCGAGTGACCCGCTGCACCACTTTGATGCCTCTGAGCACACAGGTCCTCCCCTCCCACATGTGGATGTACTGGTGGAGGTCATCTTTGCAGGGCAAGAGGTGGAGCTGGACCTCACTGAACATCCCATAGCTATCCTGGACGAGCACACAAAGCCTGGGGAGAAACAAAAATAACACACAGTTTGTACACAAGTCTTATGCACTGACATTTAAACAATGTGTAAGACAAAGTTCAAAGAAAACACACTTTGATAGTTTTGATCATGTCTGCGTATCTGCAATTTTAGTTGTCATAGTTACATGAAGAATAAGTGTAAGAAAAAACATGTTTTACTGTCCTTTCTAACCCTGCAGGTCAGAATTGATCACTCCTCTTAAACATGGAGACAGCAATATGTTGGTATTTCATTTATTACGATCTCTGGAGATAAGCTGTCCTTCCAAATCATATAAACATTCACCAGACTGTTAACCACAGTGATGTAAGAGGCAGCGGTAAAAGCTCGCACAAGAGTTTCATGAAAGGGTGTGTTTCTCAACAGACGATATGTCCTATTTATTAGTGATCCCCAAGTAACATCTTACCTGATGCAAAACACCAGTGAGGGCTTTTTACAGCTGTGCATAAAGCTGTTTATTGGACCATAAGGACACTTTGAGTTTGTTACATCCCTCTCAAGATGAAAACACTCTTTGTTCAACATCACAATAAAAGACACTTGTTTTCCCCTATGTTAATGTGTATATATATATAAAATGTACCTTGTGATATGTATATTTTTCCCGCCTTTTTTATTTATTTTGAAGAAATTCTGATGAAACAAATTTTTCTGCTTTTATTTCATTAAAAAAATAAGATTAAATTAAAAAATGGCCACTCAGAGACACAGAAAACTGAAGGCTCCCTGGAGAACGAGGCGGACACTTTACGCTTTAAGATCTAATTCATACGCAGACAAGAGTTTTGAAAAGTTGTTGGAAATATGGAAAGACCCAACATCTCCAGTTCGACAGTAAACCCACCACCAGATTGTAAATAAACCTCAGGCTGACTTTTTTGTGTGCTGCTGTTGTCCTTGTTTGCACCTGTATCATAGTCTGACTGTAACAAGAACAAATTATTTGACAACTGATTGAAAAAAAAAAACGAGACTACAAACATTCAGGTTTGAAACCTGATACTTCCTTTCACATACATAGATGAAATATTCCTTTTGATCAAACTGACAGATTAATATTTGTTTCCAAATATTCAACAAGTTTTACACTTCATAATTTTTAGTATCTGACCACCACAGCTCCCAGTGACACAAGGTCCTTGTATACACAGTTAAGACCTCAGCACCAGCATTCAGAGGTGTTAATGCTGGAGGCCGGTTTGACAAGCTGCTGCTGACAGAAGAGACCTTTAGCCTACAAAGTGGTGCGGCAGTCAACTGCTGTGTAGTTCTGCGCTCTGCCGCTCCTACAGACTGCAGAGCTGCTGCTATGGGCTTTCAGTATCTACACCAGTCAAGCCCAGACACAGCCCTGTACCAGCCTGGAGAGTAAACAGTACAGTTCATATCCTCTGGTGAGACAAGCAACGGCCAGGAAAGAAGAGGAGGAGTAGGAGGAGTAATAAAAAAAACACAGGAGGAGGAGGAGTAGGAGGACTGTCAGCGTGCCCATCATGCATGTGCATGCATGCGCACAACCCAGACATTGGGAAAGTTTTGAGACTGTTTTCAACCACCTGATTGGACCTATAAATGTCCTCTGTTGGTAAACACGGCGTCCGTCTGTGTCTGTCCTGAGAGACCTGGAAATGGATATCTAAATAACATTCCTGACTTGGCTTTCTGCGGCTGTGATCAGGGTTTAACCAAGATTATTCTCAGTTGTTTGCTGAACTCATAATCCACAATCAGACCTTCACACATCTTGTAAGCGCAACAAAAAAAAAGTTGAACGTACAAAACTGTTTTCTGTAGGTGTTGTGTTTGCATAGCTGTAAACACAAGTGCATGAGTTCAAGATGTAAAGCAGAGTGAGCAGACCTGAACCATGAACGGTATTTATCAACCCAGGGACACTTTGTTTGTCCAAGTCCAAGAAGAAAAAGGCCTCAGGAAAAATATCATTCTTGAAAGGCAGACATGCTCAGATACTTTCAAAGCAGAAAAAGAAGAAGAAGAAAAAAAAGTAAGTACTTCTAACAGTTGGAATGACTGACAGGCTCCTGTCCTAAAATGAACCCTCTCAAGCGAAAAAATTCACCTTAAGCTACAGCTACCCTATCTTCAACATATTTCCCTCTATGACTGATAAGCCGATTGGGCGAAACCTCTAAAATGTTAAGAAAGGTGAGGAGACTTGTTAGTTTTACAAAAAAACACCACCTTTAGGAATGTACCGCATGGCAAGAATCATGTCTTTTTATTCTGCTGAAATACTTGAGCCCAAGTAAAGAATTCAAGACCTCACTCCTCACTTTCAAATGAGGTTGTCAAATCTTTGAAAGCTTCAAAACTTCACAGTATCTCATGTATTTTAATGATATTATCTCTGTTGGTATCAAAACGTAATTAAAGCTCAACCAAGATAGAGGAGAAGTCGAGAAAGCGTGCCACTGATGACACAAGTTTAGACATTATTTACTGATTGTTTCGCAGCAGTTACACTCTCGAGGCTTTGTCAACACATCCACTCCTTGATGCAAATGTGCAAAAAGCTCCAGATTTTGTTTGTTCGCAGCTAAAGTTGCGCCTCTTCCTGTCTGCTTCGAGTGTCACAGCCACAACACCACTACCTGTTCCCATTTACAGGTACGCAAATATTGATGTTTTGTTAATTCTTTTAGGCATCTCATGATCTGTTTCAGGCAGACTGAGAGAGACAGCGATGTTACCTGCTCTCTTGATGTTTGTGTGAGTCCTGGCCTGCAGTCTGTTGTCAGGAAGCCTCACCGCACCGCACAATGATTGATGCTGTTCAGAGTCCAAAATAAAACGCGGTGCCAACAGAGAGCAGACTATCTGCATACACAGACACTGACACACTCGTTCTGGATTAGGAATGATAATCCAGATGGAAAATGCCCGTTTTATTTTGGTTGGGTATTTTTTTTTGTGGAAACAGGATTTATCAAGCCTTTCATCACTTTTGGCAGTATGTCTGCTTTGAGTATTAGTTAAAAAGCTTTTCTTGTATGAGCACTGAGTACAGGTTGGAAATCAAAATGGCAAAAATAAATATATATTTAAGGCGCCTAAAAGTTCAGTTTTTGTCAAAACAAGTAAAAATATTATTTAAATTTACAAGCTTCGAGTCTGAAATCATAACTCAGGCATGATCTTAACTCCATTTTCTACCGCCTCATATCATTTTTACCATTTTTTCTTGAATAATAGTCTCGCTAAAAGGCATTTTCAGTTTAAATATTCAACATGAATACAGTTGCATGGTGTGAATTTATCAACACTTTCTCTTTTATCAGAACTTGTCTGAACTTGAAAAACCTCTCTAGACACCTGATGTGAGACTTGACAGATAGACAATAAAAGCATGATTGAACTCGTGATGGTACTGGTTTGACAACAATCCCCCAACCCCCTCCCCCCAAAAAATCCAGTTCCTCCTTTTAGCCGTCCACATCCCCACTTCCTCAAACAGTGACCCCTCACTCCTAAAAAGAAGGTCCTCTCTCATTGGTGAGTTCCCGTCACAGGCCGTTTTCAGGAATTTGTTATTGTGAGCCATCGCAAAATTCTCAGCAACTCAGGTTTTCTTCCAGGAACTACGATCCACTGAGCCTGAGCAAACACACACTCACACACACGCACGCACGCATGCACGCACACACAGTCACACTGAGTGCGCATGCAAGCCCACGCACATGCACATTACTTGGCAACACACTGAGTAAGTGACCCACACATTGAGAATACAGCAGAGAGGCCTCATTGGTGGGGGGCAGACAGGCGGGATTCCTTCCTATGTGTTGTCCACCAATCAGTGCAGGAGGAGTGATAAACATGGTTGTAATAGGATCCCTGCGGCACATTGTGTTCCCTCTCCTAAGAGAGAGAGAGAGAAAAACTAGCCTCTCCTCACTTCCTGCAAACAGTTAATCTTCTTGTTTATTCTATTCTAGATTTACGGGAATTTAACATCTTCTTCAGGCATAAATATTGTACTGGCGTCTCTCTCCTCTGTGTGTGTGCGTGTGTGAACGTAGGGGCTAAACAACAAAAGGATCAAATAAGCACACTGACCAGGGGAGTGAGTCACACAGGCTGGGGACACAACATTAGAGGTACAAACTGTCCTGGTCTTTATACAGAATGGGGCCAGTGGGCTGCCAAGTGAACTACTCTCCTCTTCACAGAGCAGGCATGCATCCTGGAAAAGTACGATACCGACACAATGTGCCAAATGTTTGTATTGTTGTCCAGATATTCAAAGCTAAATGTCTCATAGTGAATTCACATTTATTCTGAATAAAGAGGAGTGACGGACAAGTGAACAGAGTCAGAGATCAAGTTCAAATCAATCCCAGTAAGTGGGCAGGGTCACCTAGATATTTGAACTCAAGTCCTCATGATAACCCTCTAACCTTTCACCTACTCCATCCTTTCACTACCAAACAAGCCTGCTTAATCTGGTTTAATTCGAGAGAAACGGCGGGGGGAGAGAGAAGCAGAGGTGTTTCCGGTCAGAGGGCGGCGTTTGTTTACCAGGCGCAGAAGCAGCATGGCAGGAGCGAGTGTCGTATTACAGCCAATGTTCATTTAGTGAGTGAGCTCCTCGTCAGCTGACCAGGGCTCCCCCCCACCCCCCCTCCTCCTTTCACCAGCGTGTGCCCCCTCCAGGACCGCCTGACAGCAAAACCAATACTTTTTCTTTTATTAGTCAGCAAAGCTTTAAAACAACAGGCCTGCGGACGGCCCGGCAACTACAGGTCATACTCGCTGGATTTGCTTCAAGTAGAACATTCAATGACTCATTAAGAATAACAAGTCCACTCGGATAAACCTCTAAGTCATTTCTGTGGCACAGGAAGCTTTGAACAGCCCAGACAAAAAGAGCCGTGACAACAGTTTAATGCGTGTGGCAGATTTGAAGGGTGATAAAACCCTATTATGCTTGTGAAGTGACGAAAGTTGAAATTTTCTATTTTTTTAAGCTGTAAGAATCAATATTTATCTACAAACTATTTTGTGCGATTAATGAAAGACATGACTTTACTGGGAATAATTACTCCAAGTAGCATTTTAGTGTCTAAAGATGATTTTTTTTGTGACATGTTGGTACAAAAAGATCCCAATCATCAACCCAAAGTTAAACCAAACAGCACGTAGAAGAAGTTAGTGACTAACTGGTGAACAAGCTTAAGGGTTTAACTGAATTAGACACAGTCAGATATATTTATGAGACAGAAACCAAAATAGGTGGTGAAGGGGAGTGAGTACTAAGGGTAAAACATGAATCAAACTGATGTTTCATGTCCATTAAAGTGTAAAGATAGAAATGAAAGTTACCCGTTAGTTAGTGTAGACCCAAAATGCTCCATAATGTTCTACAGTCACTATGTTCCAGCGCTCTACTACCTGAATGTAAACAAGCACAGGTGCATGATGGTGTATCACAGCACATCAACGCTCTGCAGTACTCCAGATTTAGTTGTACACAGACTCTATGATCTAGTATTAAGCCATGTTAAATTAAAGGTGTTCAGTTTTGACTGTTTTCTTATCTTAAAAAAGTCTTAATGTCAGAATTTAGATTTCTCTTTAAAATAACAGGAAAGTGGTCACTAGGGCTGGGCAATACGGCCTCAAATCAATATCACGTTATATTAAGAAGTTCATCTTGATAACGATAACCATCCTACATCTCCTCAGTTGTCTTTCCCTCTTTGTTATGGACTGGATGGGGTGGAGTCATGCCTCCGACATAGGACAGCGTCTTAAAGGGACATGAGACCATAGCCTACCTACACACATCCAAAACCAACTTTGATTTGTTTATTTTTTTGACACCGAATATACCGGTGTGGGAAAAATGACGTCTGTTATTGTGGTAAATTTTGGTATTGGTAAATTTTTCGGTTTATTGCCCAGCCCTAGTGGTCAATATATTCCATGTTTCGTTGTTTTTTTTTTTTTTGTCTACAAAGGATGAAACGATTGCAAAATTAATATTTTGATTTGCAACCAACAGAAAGGAGCCAGACTCACTCTGTAGACCAAATCTACTGAACTAACAGGAACAAATAAAGTAACTTGACCAAAAGAGACAGAGCAATTATTTAACAATTAATATAATAAATCAAGGCCAAAATTCATATCTGTCGAAAGCTGGGACCAGATATTACTATTCATTATTCATTACAATACAACGCCCAGGTCTCTTTTTAAGATTAATAAATTAAAACTAAAACAACTCTAAACCTCTTTAATATGACTGCAATTATTCTGTAAAATTCAGACAATCAGGCTTCAGATTCATGCTGCCTCACTGAATACACTGTTGGTTTCCTTGAGAGCATGGAGGTAATGAAAGCTGCAGCAAACCTGTCCCACCCAGCAGAGTGTGAGTGGGCACTAATTCAACCCCGGGCTGCTGGAGCACGACATACTGCAAACCTCATGTTGTCTTTACAGAGAATTGGCCAGAATCGCACACTGAGGGGCTGGATTCAATTAGAAATGTTTGTGTCCTTTGTCAAACAATGCCATATGGCTGGAGACAGTATGAGCACTTTGTGGGGCCTGCTGTGCTGTGAACAATAGCTCGACCACTGAGACACATTGTACCACCAGAGGGAAACATGCAAGGCCTCAGACCAGCATGCAATTTTCACAAAAAGAGCAACTCATACTGTGGGAGAGAAGCATAAAGTGAAGATTAAATGAGACCCCCTCTGGTCTCCGCTGGCAACAAATGAAAAACTGTAGGCCTTTATCAGCTGGAGCTACAGTACCTTGTTCTGCCTTTTTCTGCAGAGGGAGCAGCTGAGGATGACCTGAAGGGACCTTTGGACTTCAGGATAGACACAGAGGAGGATTCAGGTACAGGGACAGAGTAAACTCTCTGGACCACTACCTCCACATCCTGCCCCACAGAGCCGGCCTGGCCAAGAGCCTCAATAGCTTCAAGGAGGGAGGGGCAGTGTCTCGTCAAGACCCCTGAACTCCCAAAAGTATCAACCTGAAGAGGAACAGGGAGAGGAAAATGAGACAGTGTAAATGCAATTCCAGCAGAAAGATGATAAGATCGGAAGATAACTCAACTACAAGCGTTTTATAAAGTGATTTACTGTTTATAATCATCATTTAAATACAAGAATAATTTTAATTTCCCCACTGAGGGATAAATAAAGGAATATCTAATCTAATCTAATCTAATATTCAGCAGATACAAACATCTGTGGTTTTGTTTTTCCATTTTAAATAACCATTTGAGAAAAAAAAATGACGGGAATAATTTACCTTTGAACAAAATTAGATATATGAAGTGAAAGTAATAATGACCCATAAAAATAACCGAAACACAGACTAAAAAGCCTGTAGTCCAGTAGATTGATTTCAACTTGAAAATTGATCTGCTTTAAAATTAGCTGTAGTCCCTGTTTCAGTGTGCTTGGCTAATTCTTTTGTATTTGCTTAAAGCAAATAGAGCCTCAAATTTAGGAAATCAAGCATAGATTTAAAGCAACCACAGAGATATCATATTCCTTCGACAGACACTGAACTAAACAAAACTTAACCGACTGGACTGGATACTTCAGCGAGACTATTTGTCATTCTTTCTTCAAAAATATTGAGAATAGAAAGTAATGAACCCTGTGGAGAGATGTGATGTTGACACAACTGCACATGTGTTTCATTATAAATCCATGCAGACTGTTTTGTGAGTTATACATTTGTGTTGCATAAATGATGGATATTGATACAAGCCTCCTAATGTGATAATTCCATCCTGGGTTTTGCACACAAACAATAAAAATTGGCAAAAGCTTTATGGTCAGTGGCCAAAATTCTCTGCACACAACATCCGCACTGTTCACACTCGGGCTGATTCAATTTATCTGTCAATTAACGCAGGACTGAAAATATGTAAAACATTATTTTACCTGTGCGGCACTGCTCTCCTCTGTCAACCCGCCCACCTCCAGCAGTCCAAATGTTTTACACAGAGAATATGGCCGACACCTTCCTGCTGATAGTACGCCTCCAGGAGTGGATGTGACAGCCAGTTTGGACGCAGAGTAGACTTTCTGGCTGAAGTACGTGTTTAGAATAATATCACAGCTGAATCCCTCTGTGGAAAGACTTTGCCTGCAATGACACAAAGTTCATGCACCGTTGAAGTGGTGGCTCCAGTGCTATTTCTAAAAACTCAACATTTTCTTAATGCGTGATGCAAACAAATGAGATAAGGACTTCGAGTTCTTTATGAAATTAAACACAAATTGACCCCTAACTCAAAATGCTTGTTGAGCAATGAGAAACATTTGTTTTGCAATTAAAAGCGAGAACTTTAGGATTTACAGAAGACTAAAAGGCAAAGATTATTGCACAAACGTAAGGGGGCGAGAATTCGAGACAGTTTGAATGTCAAACTAAGATAAGGTACCAAACACCTCCACAGGTTTGCTCACTCGGTACCACTCGGCGTGGAGTAAAAGTTCTTATATGTTGACTTTCTTTGAGGTGAGACAAAGTACACAACGGATGCATTTTTTTAAAACCTCGGTAAAGACACACTTTCCATGTAGTAGTCTCCAAAGTGTAGACCACACAGCTCTACACAGTCAAATTAAAACACTTTCCAAATGTGACATCATGCGTGGAAAAAAAAAAATCACACCTGGCTCAATCAAACAGGCCGAGTGTTCGCTGACAAAAAAACACTGAGTAAAAGGAAGAGACTGAATATTTGTGTCCTGAAGTAACCTCGTACCAGCGTTTAATTTTTCCGTTACTGTATCAGATGAGATGTCACGCGTATGTTTTTGCCAAGAGGGAGATGCTAAACTTCGCCGCAATATCTGTTCAAGTAATTTGAGCCATTAAAGTGTCAAGAAAAGTTTAAGATCACTATAAAACATACGGAATTGCACAACGAAGCGGGTATAGAGGATTTAAACCTTCTCTGCGGCATCATTTTCACCTGAAATGATGGCTCGGTTTGGAAGTAGTAAAAACAGTTGAAGGTCAAACAATCCCAGACAACCCAATGTAAAAAATTTAAATAGCTCTGTTGACTAAGGAGGTAAAACCACTATAAATTCAATAATAAAACTGCAAAAACGAGCTATACGTATTATCAATAAGACTGATTACTATGATCACACGGAGCCACTATATCTAAATATTCATGTTATGAAATTTTATGATCTGTTTTATTATAAAATAATGCAAAAAATGTTTAGAGCAAAGTCAAAAATGCTCCCTGACTCAATACAGAGGTTCTTTTCAATTCAGGACAGTCCGTATAATCTCAGAGGTTCTTGCAAATTTACTGTTCAAAAAGTTAAAAAAGGTATGTAAGGGGGGGTGTCTCCATTACTGGAGTTAAATTCTGGAATGATGCCAACATAAATCATTCTTTTTTGTTTTTTAAGAAAATGATTTGTTAAGATATTTTTGAAGCTTGTAAGTGTGATTAATTATCTGTTGTTGTGGTTTCTTTGCTTTTCTGGAGGTCAGTAGCCTAAAAAAGTTGACAACACAGGATAAGCTTTTATACGCAGTCTGCTTCTGCCTATGCCTTTTCAGTCAATATTCAAAACATGATTATTGATCTAGTGATTTTGTGTGAAATGTCAATATTGTGTACAATATTTGGTGTTGTCATGACTGAATAAACTACTACTACTACTACTACTACTACTAAAATACGAAGGAGAATTAAACTGGGATAAAATCCTTTAAGGGTAGATGGCTTAGGGCAACACTGAGTTGTATTTTTCCCCAGCAATACGCCTCAATACTGAGGGTTTGGTTGAATCTGTCCTCATCATAGCAGCAGGATCAGAATCTCTAGTTTCAAGTGGTTTTCTAAAAAGATAAATGTCACAAAGCAGCGATCAATCATCTAGTATATCTAACAGAAAGTGAAAACCATATTAACATTTATTCTGATATTCCAATAGCTGAACTGTGTCATTGTTTATCATTCAAAGCCACTTTAATCGACAGATATCATCTTGTATAATATTGGCCAGAAAATTTGAGGAATCAGAATTTATTTTCCGACAGTTTTTTGTTACAAGCTGATTTTTTATGGTGGATCAAAAGATTGCCCTAAGATAAGCCCTATTATGGTAAAACTGTGATTTATACTTCCAGTTGCTTCCTGCCCCTAAAGAAAACCAGTCACTTGTCTTTCTGATAACAGTAACACCGCCCGCTGACACTTGAGTGGTGCAAGTTTAAAAGTTTTGTTTCCACTTCGAGGTGGATGACTCACACCTCCATGGAAAGGAGCCTGAGAACAGTATAACCTAAATGATACCCAGGTAATTATAAGGGCGCTCGCTTGTGGTAAGTTTGAGTTACGACTTCATAGCCTCGACAAGTGGCACGGATAATAGTGTCATGATTGCTTATCATCACTGACTCAGAGCCAAGAGCTCTCTGACTGGAACTGCCATGCGTGTCCCAGCTCGTCACAGACCTCAGGTGTAAGTTCAGCCAAAAAAAATCAACCACACAGGTCCAGTGGGAAAAAAATAATGCAATGAAAACAGGAAGAAATAAACTTTTTAATATGCAAATTCTAGTGCTGTTATTCCTTAGGAACCTTAAACAACCTTTGTCACATTCATGAAGTTTAGTGTTGAGGTGTTTAATACTTGCATCCTTTTTGAGGCTGTTCTTTTTGAGTTATCAGACTGTAGTCTGTTAAACTGACACGTTTATCTTTATTGATTTAAATTGGCTCCTGCAAACACTGTGTCTCAAAGATCAAACAAGGACATCATTAATTATTAATCATTATTGATAGATACTTTAAAGAGTACACCCCTCGAAGAGGATCAGCGAAATGGGACACAGCTGTTAAAACTACACCCTTAGAAGAGTAACATCAACACTGCCAGATAAACTGCTGTGTTTTCCTCATAAAGACAGTTTTTATTGCAGGCCAGGGTGATTGTCCTTGGATGTGCTCGATTGTACATACAGTTCCTGGCACAGTTTGCTTTGCCATGCTGGTGCAGACGCTTGGATGACTCACCCAGTCAATCACCTGAGGATGAATTCGCTGGTGTTGTGACAGTAAATAATCCCAGACACTTAACGAGTACAGTAGATACTTAAGTCAGCAAGAAACACTTAAAAGGGCTTTTTTCTCGCTGTAAATTCCAGTCAGATTGATTTTTTAACACAATTTTTTTAAGTTTAATTACAGATTATGACATTTCTATATTTAAACAATATTATAGTCAGCAGGGAGGGAGTTAAATCAGCAAATCTCTTTCAGGATTTTTAGGATTATACTTAAGTATTGTTATTCCTTGGAACCTTAAACAACCTTTGTCACATTTATGAAGTTCGGTGTCCTTTAGAAGGCTGTTCTTTTTGAGTTATCAGGCTGTAGTGTGCTAAACTAAATTCGCTGGTGTTGTGACAGTAAATAATCCCAGACACTTAATGAGTACAGTAGATACTTAAGTCTGCTAGAAACACTTTAAAAGGGCCTTTTTCTCTCTGCAAATTCCAGTCAGATTGAGTTTTAACTATTTTTTTATGTTTAATTACAGATTATGAAATTTTGATATTTAAATAATATTACAGTCAGCAGGCAGGGAGTTTGATCAGCATTTTTTTTTAGGATTATACTTATATGCAATTTTAAAGGTCTGTTTCTTTGGTATGTCTATTTTGTTCTGCTTTATTCTGTGACGGCGCAAAATGTTGGATTAAATAATGGTACCTTCTGCCTAAGAAAGTGTGATTTATAATGACATTACATCTTCAGTTTTGAAAAATCAAACATTTTTCAAAAATCATGAAGCAACATACTATTTCAGCCTAAACAAAATGAGATAGTAAATAAAATCTATACCTATAGTAAAAATGTTGTAGCATTGATATAAATAAATGACATTTATCATCATAAGTCTTTTTTTTTCACTTAACTTCATAACAATATTATACATTTTTTGACACATGCAGATGAACATGAAGGCCTAACTCTAAATCCAGCACTGCAGGAGTACTTACACTTTCTATTATTTTTGAATCAAATACTCTATTTATGCTTTTAAGTGGGTTACACTGTGGTTTTGCTGAATACCTTTAACCAAGGAATGTAATAGAGCATCAATTCAGTTAGGATTAGTAGTATTCAGTTTAAGACCTTCAGTAAATGCTGAAAATGTAAACAATGAATACTCCTGCCGGAAACTCAGCACTCCTGTTATGATTAATCTAGACGGCAGTTTCAAATCAGTGACAGATCTAAGCCAAGATCAGTAATCAATGAACGTTACTGTTCTGTCAGTCAAGCAGAACATAGCGTTCATAAGAACAGGTACAGTTGCCGAACAGGAAGTTATGACCCCATTGTGAACAGGTGAGTGGGCCGCTGTCATCATCAGACAGGTAGCCAGGGTAAGGAGTGGCCGGGCTGCTGGCGTCACAGCTCCTCTGTGAATAATCCCTGCAGGTATTTCCGCTCAGGCCTCGGCCCACTCACAATGAGGCGTGGGAGGTGGGAGGAGCCGACCTACTCACTAGAGGAATTATGGGGGAGGTTAACTCTTTGAGTGTCACACCGGAAACTGACAAGAGGAATTTTACCAGAATCATGCTCTGAATTTCCAGGTTTTTCTGCTATGAGCTGTTTTATAGGTGTCCAAGTTGAGTTAATGAATGACTGTTTAGGGTCCATTAAACCTTCATGACTCTCTTTTCAGATTTAAGGGCTTTTATTGTATCATAATTGAATTGATTTTAAATTGTCGAGCAAATTCTGCCTGTAATTCAAACAAAGAGAGAATCTTAAGATGTCTGTGCAGATGAAACATTATTCTTTGAAAGAATAAACGGGTGTGTTTGCTGAGAGCTCAACTCTATTTTGTGATTTCAGGAAAACAATACAGCAGGGAAAGAGAGGTGCTAAAGCCAGAGATACTCTCAAACCGCCATGTGTTTTCAATCTCAGCCCTTTGGCTCCCTCCTCTCTCCGCTCCCAAATGCTCCAGAAAATAATCTTGCTCTGTTTTTTCCCCCAGCTTGCTGGAAATGACCTAACTACTGCCAGGAAGAGGAATGTGAAGCATTCCCTGGAGCTGTTCGTGACGTCGGAGCGCTGAGGAGGCCCCTGCTCTTCCGCCAGCTTGGATATTCCAGAGCACACTCAACCCAAACTCCCAACAGCTGGAGTCAACTGCTGCCTCGCTCCAGCTCCAAAACAATCCCGAAAACACACACACACATAGAGGCGCACACACACACACACACCTCCCACCTCATGTCCTCTCAGCCCTGTATGTGTGTCTCACATCTGGGTCTTTGCTGTTAACAATTGTGCGCTGAGAACATTTTTATACTTCAAATGAAAATATTTTCATTTAATCAGGATTTAAACGAGACACACAAACTTTAGGCAATAAAGAGGTTTTCATTTAATGTATATTTCCAATTGTTGTATTTTGTCTATTAATCCTCCTCTTTGGCATTGACTCTTCAGAGCCTGATGCTTTTTTGTGCCGCTGTAAACGAGCCAGTCGTGTTGTGCAAGTGCCTGTGAATCTTTTAGGTGTATTTTTTGATCGCCCGAGGAAATATGATTTGCGTTCATAATTCAAAACAGAGAAATGCAAGTAAAGATGTCACTTTGCTTTTTTTTGGTCAATGCTATTTTAGACAGGTAATATGTAGTCAAGTGAAACTTAGATATTGGTCAATTGGCAGAGAGCTATAACTGTCCTACCTCAGACATGAAGGGTATCATAAACTGGGGTTATTATTAGATGTATTAAAAACCTGAGGATCTCATGTTTGGCTTTGAAATACTTTCACACACTTCAGACTCCTACAAGATAATCAAAAACATGATCTGTCAATTTATGAATGCTCAATATTTCTCATCAGCTGCAGACCAAATTCTTATTGAAGCTCCCAAATCCTCTTAATTGCACAAGAACTCTCTCATGTATTAAAGTTGAAGTTTCCTGCAGATACACACTGTAACTCTTCAACTATAGTGCCTGATATGTTGAGTGTTGCTGCAATCATCATGACCTGCATGACACATTCAGGTCCATTTCTTTTTTGTGTGCATTTTAGATGTTTGTATGTTCAGTGTGTGAGTGTAAAAACTATGTCAAATCATGCACACAAGATTGTGCACAGCGAGGGAAAAACATCCAGATGAAGACACAATGGAGAAACACATGTACTGTGTTGCGTGGTCTCACCATGGTGGGTATATGTGGATGATATCTCTGGGTGCAGGAATCAGCTGGGCTGCAGTCTCTCTGTTAAACAGCACCAGCACACGAGCGCTCTCCTCAGAGAGGGGGTCACTGTGCTGGTGGCCCTCTCCAGGGGGCCGCTGGTGCTCACAGAGGGCCAGTTGCATGCTGCACTCCTCCTGAACCTCCAGCACCTCCAGCACCAGTTTGCCAGGCCTGTCCACTGGGGAGCGAAGCAAAAACAACAACACAGATGTTGAGTGTTTGTCCGTTTCATTCTGTGTGTGTGTGTGTGTGTGTGTGTGTGTGCGTGCGCAGATTGTACTGATGCTCTCACGGACTCCAGCTCTCTGTGGGACTCATTATGTATTATATGAGCAGTTCAGTTTGAGAATCAGTACAATTTGCACTGTGTAACTGTAAAGGCTTTTCTGACTCAGGCTAAGTTGGACATGAGATGCAGTGAATCCCACAGGGTGAGTGTGCAAATGTTTGGAATTTCACCACGGTGCTGACTGTGCTTTTGGCCCGAACAATAAAGTCACCAGAGATAATTACTGAGAGCAAATCAAGACAATGTCCTGAAGCTATAAATCAAATCCCAGATAATCAGAGAAACTTGGCTGCGTGTTCATTTTTATGTAAGGTTGATTGCCCTGAATTGTGAAAAGCACACATGTGTAGTTCAGTGTTAGCGATCTCTTGAAGTGGCCAGAGGGGAGGGCTTAATAAATAATAAAAATTCTCCTCCTAAGAATGGATTGAGAGCTGAAGAGTTTTAACATGAATTTGCCCGAACATGAAAGTGATTGTTTGTGCTCCGAGCATTTACGTCACAGATCACAAAACCATCAGAGTAACCACAAGCCGACTTGAAGATTGAGCTAGAGTCCTCCTTCTGACCTATAATGATCTGATAAGTTTCAGGTGGAGCTTTAAGTCAGGAAACAATTTAGGGCCTCCTACACGTGCGAGTGCGAGTACAAGTGCACTTACATCACACGCCAAAATTACTACGACAGAGATAAACAGGTGTGTGGCAACAGAGTTGTGATTCTTAACAATTTGTGCAGGCGTTTGGGAACATAAAATGATGTAACTTTTGCTGTAAAAATAAACCGAATCCAATATATCAATCAATAACACTATAATATTAACGAAACTTAAGAAACGATATTGGAGTATATCTCCAATGCTTGTCCTCTGTTCAACTCTCGACTGACTGCAAACTCTAAACTAACATCAGGTAGTTTCTTTTCTTTTTCCACCAGTAACTGTCACTTTGAAGCCACTGTTTGGGTCCTATTATGAAGAGATACTTAACCAGAGAACAGGAGTGGTTTGGTCTACCACGGAATGGAAAGAAAGACCTAGGCAAGCAGTTTCCTGTCACCTACATACTAAGTTCACAGTTCAGGGGCACAGTGATCAACCTCCAGCCAGCACTTCCTCTGCATGGTCTCTCAATGCAGTCACAGACAACATTAAATATATATATATGAATAACGTCTCCCGCTCTCGCACAAATCAAAGCTTCTCATTGAACATGAGTAATTATGGATCAATTATTGTTTTTTTTGTAAGGATCACCTGTTGCTGTTGAAGTTTCAGAGATGGACTGGTGCCGCCAGAAGCTAACGGCTGACCTCTGTCTGCTCTGGAGTCGATTCAGCCTCTCAGCGAGACCTCCGCTGTGCAACAAACACACAAACAAACAAACAAACATAAGAGGAACAACAGATGATTGTTCTTGGCAACTCTCACGACTCAAATTGAAGCATATGTTTGTTTGTTTTTTATTTTAAAAAGAAGATTATCTGATGCAGAACAATCGAGGTGTCAAAGAAGACAGATAGGTATCTGTCAGGTTTGGGGGTCTTGGAGATGGCAATGACATTTAGCACCCTTATCATGACACCAGGTGTCCCTTTTATCATCCTTGTTGTCGTGGAAACATTGCTGCCAAAGTCTGTCTGTCACCTGTAAGTGTGATGTCTATTGTGTTGCTTTGTTGGCTCTTTTTGTGGGGCAATATTTCAAATGTATGCAGCAAAGTGAGGTGGGTAACAGCTCCTTCTAGCCCACGAAACAGCTTAAGTCATGTTTTATTAAAATAGACTGTTTACACTGTAAGAAAGAAGGTATTTTTTGTGCATCATAACATCAACACGGTTTTGCAAACCTTTGAAATTTCCTTTTCTTTTTGGCGGAGTCCTCGGGAGTCTTGGATTGCCTCTCAAGTGGTTTCTTAGGCGTCTGCAGCATCACCTGAGCAGATCTAACCCAGTCACTGACGGACCTTCTGCTGCTTTCACCGCTTTGGAGAAGAAAGCTCTCACAGTCCAGCCTGCTGGAATTTGCTGTGCAGGTGACGGTCTCGCCATCAGACATGTAGTCTGAGATCTCCTGCTCTTTCACCTGAGGACAGAGGGATTATACTTAAGATAACAAAAATAATTATTTGACCCAGTTTTGGAAACACTTCACTCCTTAGGGTTCAGTTACGGATAACACACTGCTTCGCTTCAGGGTAAATAAGGATTCTCAATTGGCCTTCTGTGAATTAATAACGACTCATTAAAGATTAAATCAAATAAACTCTTTAATATGGAGAGCTGATGTGTGCACTGACTTCCTGTCAGGCTGATTGATTTACATAAAATAGTAATATAACAATCCTTTTTGCTGTCTCACTGCTCACTTCACCTGAGGGAATCGGCTCTCATGGAAAAATCCACAAGAAACCTGAGTTCCTGTCATGTGCAGACATGACCAACATACCAAGCTCTGTCAGCTAACGTGCGTTCTTATTTGATTCAACTTGACCCTGGTAGGCGCGCTGCCAGCAGACGTCACACTCTAACCAGCTACAGAGAATAAGGAACACTATGTTCCTGGCCGCCACTCAAAAATGTTTTCACCCTGCACTGAAAGCATTGTAAGTACACACAGCCTTGTGCAGCCTCATCCACTTGCATGTTTTCCTGAGCAAACAGTAGTAAAACGATGTTTATAGCCTGCTGTGTTGACACGGCCCTGATCTAGCTACAGATGTGATGTGGTGGGAGGGGGAGGTTGTTGACCCTCAATGTTCGCGGGCTTCATCTGCTCAGAGACCATCCTCTTTGGCTTTTAAAATTAAAAGTGGCCCTCGCGGCTCCGCCTGTCCACTTTTAGCACTGGTACAATAATACAGAGATCTGGCAGAAATACATCAAATGAGTCAGCCGTACATTTATCTGGAGTAGTAAACTTCAACTTGGACTGCGATCTCTCCCTCTGTATCCTGTCAAATCCGGTTTGATTTAAAACTGGCAGTCAGTAAGAATGTTTTCCAGGCAGCAAAGAAACTGGGCTGTTATAATCTGCAGCTCTAATTTAATCAAAACTGTAAATGAATTCAAAAATATCATGTTCTACGGCATTTGATTGCTGTTTCCATCACTGCAATTACTGAGTGGCGAGAAAACAAACTGTCAAAATACCACATGTTCATTTTCACGCAACCATATCAGAAAACTAGGACCCCTAAAAGAGTTTCGCTCGAGCCGGCCCCTGACCACAAGCTTGCTGTTAGGTGATCTTTGACCCCAGAGCGCTGATAGCAGCAAATTAAAGTGTGACAAGAGGAAGTAGCTGGGTCTGCGGGACTGATGCTAATCTGTCAACGGGCTTCCTCTCCACATACAACCTGCAAACTTGCAAGAAGAAGTCATTGGTTACTTCAGTTTGTTCCATGCTTTATATGATAACACGACTTAACATGTGCTGCTAAGTCTAATACGGTATCAGGATGATCCAGATCATCACTGCCATGAACCAAAGTTGTCCTGTCTAGAAAAGAGCCTCATTCCAGTAAGTTGGCTATGTCTACTAAAAGCTAAAAACACGACTTGAGGTCTTGAACCTGAGCGTTACACCTTCCCCACCACTCCTTGTACATTCTCTCCGTGCCAGCCCTGCCTTTAACAAACACTGATCCTGAACCGCTTCTCAGAAGGGAGAACTGCAATCAAAGTCTATTCAGGGTACAGCAGGGCCCGAAGGAGAAAGACTGAAGCTAAAACAAATACATTTGTTGAACTGAATGCGTTCGAGTCATCCGCAGTGAATGCATCTTATTCCAGAGAGTTTGGGCAGTATTTACGTCATGTATCGAGTCGCTGATCTCAAGATTTGAGGGGTCGTCATGAGCTGCATGGATTCACTGACACATCGGCAAGTCAATTGTGCAAAACACCATCATTAACAGCTGGGTAAAGATACTATCACTGAAGAAACTTGTCATGTAAAGGTGGAAATAGCTTTTAAAAGCCTCTCAGGTACAGAGCTCTACTGATTTTCTGTGTGTTGTATCTCTTTGTACTGAAAGTCTTAGAGTTTTTTTTTTTTTTTTTTTTTTAGACAAAAGATAAAATTAGCTATGAATCTAGATGTAACTAATCTTATTTACAGTCTTGGTGAACATTCAGCCCAAGAGCCTGAGCTGCTGTGAATAAAAGTCTTGCAAACAGTTAAAACCTCAAAAAAATAATTAAATAAATAAAACAATTTACTGGAATTCAGCAAAAAGGCAGCAGCAATTTTTTACATGTAAGATCCTGGAACTGTTAAATATTTGACATTTTGACTTGAAAAATAATTCTATAGAAAGTCATATCTTATTTCTGTCCTTGTAAACTGTGCTGCAGCTCCGCTATGTTTTCATTCCCATTAATTACTCGACTGAGAGCTATTTAAATCTTTACAAATCCAGGTTTTAGAGGATAAAAGGAGACGTTAAACTTCATACTCCCACATTACAAACTGTTTAAAAAGTACTTTGGATCGGTGAATAATTGGCAGCACATTCACTCAGTGTTTTATTGCTACCTCAGCTTGTGAACTTTGACTGTTTGGAACATGAGTGCACAGTACAGTGCTAGTTTGAGCCTGTGAGGCCCTTTCAGGACATGGGAGGAAGACTTGCAGTGCTCCCCCTGCTGGTATGAAGGCTGAAGACCCAAATTAAATCCAAATCACTTGCTTATAACTGAGGGTAACATTTAATATAAAACAGTAAAATCATTAATTATGTCATGCAAACACATGCTCATTAATGAAATGTCATCACCTAATACTAAAGCTCATCAGATTTGATGAACACAGTGTACAGAGTTTCACCTGGTATTGTACACCGGACTCGAGGAAAAGTACAAACACTTGAGTCACTACTTCTGGAGAATCTGCATAAACTGACAGTCAACTAAACACACTTAATTAAAAACATCTTGAGAGCTCAATTAGCTATTCAGGGTGTAAAAGGTTGTGTAGCCCCATCTAGTGTTCGTTCAAGCATATGGCAGGCTTTAAAAAATAGCCCGGTAATAAACAGGCCTGAAATACTAGGATCTCACTGTTCTTGTCCACTTGCCAACTTTGCAGCTGTGTTCCCAGGACAAACTGTTAAACTCACAGTAATTAATGAAGTCCACAAATTGATTTAAGTCTACTTGTTGCAATAGAAACATGATGTGTTTGAGTTTTTAATTAATTCAACCGCGTCAAAAACTGTGTAGATACTGTTTATAGACTACAAGTGCTATAGGGTTTTGTTGTTGTTGTCACTGAGGCTTTGAGAGCCATGAAAACTTGACATGAGTACTCAGGCCGTTTTGAAGCACCAGAAACTATCAGATGAAGTTTACTCACATTTTCAGGAGAATTCTGAGGTAAAGTTTCTGGTTTTTCATCATCTGACTCACAGTCAGAGATTTGTTGACCACAGTCTTTTTCAGCATCCTCCTCAGACTCATCCAGATCACTGTCTGTGTCAATCACAGGAAGATCATCTGACGAAATGAAAAGACAAGAAATTGTTTTGATAAAGAAAACATCACAAGTAAGTTTACTAATAGTTTGCTTTCCCTGGGACTCGGTGTACGGAGCAGCTTTGTTTTGGGTAAACTCAAGGAAACTGAGAAAAATCTTGAAAATGTTAGATGATTCTTTTTAACATAATCTGTGAAGTAAATATGAAGCCACACCCTGCAGCCAGTTAGTTTAGCCTATTGACCAAACAGGTGAAAACTAAGTGGCTCTGCAAGAACATGACCCAACCAGCCAACTCACGTGCCAAAACTTTTAAAAAAAAGTGCCTTTTAAATCTTGTTTGTTCTATGCATAATAATAAAAAAAGTCTTTCTGGTTTTACTGGAAATTAAATGCAGCTCTCTCCTGGTTAGGATCAGGTGTGGTTGTTAGACAACCTCAACATGACAATGACAACACTGGTTGAAAAGGGTTGGATCATGACTAACTGCAATTATTGAGCCACTAGAAACAGTCCATCCGTTATAGTTCACATGAAGACAGGAAATGTACCGTCTAAACTGATTCACCCCAAGAAATTAAACCAATGAATTTGCCAAAATGTTGAGGTTGATACATTTTCACACTAATCTGGGTATGAATCTCATGATCCTAGACTTACAAAGCCTCTGCTTTAAAATAAGCTGGACTACTTCAGAGTAATATTTACATGTCTGGGCTTGGCTGGTTACAGCAAATTCAATTTACCTTTTTCTCTGGTGTGATACTGACTCAGAGCTGTGGGTCTTGCTGGTCTCTTAGGACGTTGTTGCTGATTTTGAGTCTCATCATCAGGCTGCTCACTGTCACTGGAGCTCCATGCTATATTCACTGCATCTTCATTACGGTGAATAGCACTGGTCTGCACTAGGGAAAACACCAGAGCACATGAGAAGATATTATCATACAGTGATCACTAGAACAGGGTGATTAAAAAATAATAATTATAATAATAATAATGATAATAAATTTTGTTTATAATGTGCTTTTACAGGTGCTCAAAGATGCCTTACAAAGAAAAAGAAGAAAAGAAAATAAGAAACACAATTTAATATACAGAAAGTTTTGAGAAATAAAACCAATGATGTAAAAGATTAAAAAAGACACAATATGAGAAAACAATAGAAGAACAGTTCACAGGTTAAAAGCCAATTTAAAATGATGTGTTTTTAAGAGTGATTTAAAAGTGTGGGGGTCTGTACAGTCTCGGATGGGTTCGGGGAGTGAATTCCAGAGGGTGGGGGCGGCAATGGAGAGGCTCTGCCCCCCCAAAATTCGGTTGACAGGTTAAACAACATCATTACCATGAGGAAAACCTCCTGACAACTCAGAAATTCAGGAAAGAGGGCACTGACATTAGTATGGTATTAAAATGAGTCAGGTACAGTATGTTAACCAGAGCAGTATTTCAGTATTTATTGATAAAACACATCCTCACTCATCTCGCTGACAAACTAAACTGAAACTTCAGGAGGTGGTTTAAGTTTATCAATCTAGGAAACTCTGTATGTTGATAAATGTTTGCTGCCTTAATCTGAAACTCATTAATTTGTTTACAACAAAATGTCGTACCAGGCGCCATGAAATAAATATTTTTATTCTGTTCTATCTTGAGGTTACAGTCTGTCTTATTATGACATGATTACAGAGGTTGTTACACTCAAATAGATTTGACTCCAATTTAAAAAAGGTTACAAGTGTGTGCTAGCCAGACAGGAAGTAATAAATAATCAAGATTACTAATATTCTTCACTGGTTTGGTTGATCTGTTGTAAGGCTCGTGCAAACCAGGGTTTGATACCTGGAATACATTATTTCACAGCTCTTGCTGTAAACTGAACATTAAATTACCCAAAGACTTGGACTGTGTCAGCTGCCTTATATGTGATAGTTTCCTTCCTGATGATTTGAGGTTCTGCAAAGGCAACGACAACAGTATTAATACCATGGACGATGTCTGAACACCAGAGTAATAATCAATAATGATGAAACTCATAAATGTTACTCCACCTTGATCAGAGGAGACTCCAGGAAACTGTCCCCACAGTTCTGCCAGCTTTTTGCAGAGGACACACATGAACGTGAAGACGGCTCTCTGTCAGCTTTTAAGAAACGATTATTCACATCATCCGGGAAGAAAACACACTTAATATCCTTAGAGCATCTTTTACGCTGTAAAAATAGAAAAACGTGTTTAAATTATTATTTCACAATAAGGTTTTACATCAACAAGTTTAGAAATCGCAGCTGATTCTCATTATCAACTTTGTTTTTAACCGAAGTTGTCTCTTTTAACAAACTACAATCAAAAAACATGTTATCTGTACGTGTTGTGACAGTATATAAAGTTCAGCTCAGTTTTTACATGACTGTCAGGTAAAGTCCCAGAGCTGTGGGTGGGCTGAGCTACATGATGAATTGCAGTTCTAAGTTAGCTCAACTTTGCTAGCATGCTAGGGAGCTAGCAGTTTCCTTACCTTTCTGGCAGACATGGAGAACACATTTGAATGAATTCACACAGCTGGTGTAGTTTTTGCTTGTATCGAAATGACACTGTCAAACTAAATATGTTTTGCGACCTATTGTCATGCATTAACAGTTTGCCGGTGGCTGCTGCTGCTGCTTCACTCGTTTACAAACTCTGCTAGCTAGTCATAGCTGACTGTTACTCAATCTGAGAAGGGGTGTGTTTGATTTAGGAACAGCGTGGACCGACGAAAGCCCGCCAGGAGTATGTGAACTACCCTTCCTAAAAGTCAAGAACTATTTCTTTAGGTGTCTAGGTCTTTTCTGCTTAGCTGTATGTTCATCTTCTCCTTTTTTAACTTAAGCTTCCCCGTGGAATATATTCCCCATATTCTATCTACAGTCTATGGCGCCCCTCTACATATCTCTTATATAAATTTGTTTTATACATCAATTGTGGTATCTATGAGCTACAACATGAGGTCAAAACATAAAAGTCCACCATTTTAGCTCAGAGGACTAATAAAGTCATAATTGTAGCTCTGGGGTAAGTTGCTCAACTGAGAAAGTAAAAGAGTCTGATGAGAGGATCAGACTTTCAGTTCAGATTGTTGAAATGTGTTACTTTTTCTCTTCAAAAATACAGCTGTGAATGTTCTGAATCACCTAAAGGCATTCTCATGTTAAAATGGCTTTTTACAAAACAGCTCTTTAGCAGTTATTTGCAATAATATTTAAAAGAATTATTGTACCAGTTGAATAGAGTATAATCGATAAAAATACAAATAAAGGTTAACAAGCGACTGTTATTAAGGGAGAGAGAAGCTGAGGGAGGGCTGAGGTGGTGAGTGGTCAACTTACCCATATACACGGGGTAAGTTGAACATAGGAGACCACTTTTTTGCCATGCTTTATTATCAAGACAGTTATGTTTACACTCATTCTGTTGGTTTGCAGGGATGCACAACATCTTAATATATGCAGAAACACTAGTTAGAGACAAAACTATGATTGTCTTGATGTAGTGATCTGAAATATGAAAAATAGCTCATCTTACCCCACTCTCTCCTATATTTATTTTGAAAATGCTATTTAGTATAAGTAGTATTTTTGAATGTAATAAGAGTACTAGTTATTGCCATTTTGTTCCATAAAAGTATTTTGCAGGTACAAAGTAACTATTAATATACCGTAGCCAGAGCACACTAGAAGCTTAAAAACCAAATGTGTACACTAAAGTACCATAAAAGACAAGCAGCAGTACAACTCATCAGTTCACAAAAGTAGTTTCTTATGAAGAATATTTCTCACATGGAAAGCTCTTCCACAAAATACATTTTATTTTTGCATTTTAAATGTTTAAGTCTAAGGCCTCAGACAAAACTTTACAGTACAACATTCATCCTGCAAGAAATGGCTTCATCTGCACTGATTTAACAGTGTTTAATGAATTGCTAACAACATAGGCCATGCCAAATGCATGCTGGGTAGTGGGTGCCACACAGTGCTTGGTAACTACTAGCAAGTTTCACTACCTTTTCAAAGTATGAGGAACATTTACTGTTTTTTAAGTGACCTGCACCCACTTTCCTAATTTGCATATTGAGCGATCCATTTCATCGTGAAATGAGCACATTTCATGTACAGGTTAATTTATGCATGTTCACATACAACACTGCTAATAAGGTGAGTTAAGCATACTTCTGTTTGTTTCCTGCTTCTGCGAATATAAGTTTGAGCATCCGACAACTAAAATCAAGATCTGGAGAAAATTACAGAAATGAAGATTTTCTTTGCTGCGTTAAGGGGAAAAATCAGTATCAACTATAGATGTATTTTCCTCACTTAAATTTTACTGAAAGTTATCTTATGATTGACTGCTCCTACTCCACATAGAAGATAAAACATCATCAAGCCTCAACATATCGCCAGAAGAAACAACTGATAGTTTGATTTATTTCTTTTATATTTTAGGGCCGCTCTATTTCCTCTTCTTTTGGTAACATCACAACACTGCCATGAACTTAAAATTGTAATTTTATTACAGCAAATCCATCCGAATCTCAACAACTTTCAAATAGCAGGTTAACCATACAAAAAGCTCACTTAACATACTTGTTTTTTATTAAATATGTAAAAAGCAGGTCAAGTTATTCACAAATAAAATGCATACATGCAACACATTTTTGGGGGAATGCATAATGAGTGGGACATGAAAAAAACATTTACCATTCATTAATTATTGACAGTACATGTTTACATTCCTTTTCATTTACACAATTATATATGACTAAAGCATTATGGTGCACTGCCCAGTTCAATATTAGTTAATGCAATATTAAGAAAGGGTATACAATGTACTTACTGGAATATAGGATGGCAAATTACTCAGTGAACCGACTCCCTAAGACCTGTGGTTTAAAAAAAGAAATACTCAGAAACAAACAGCTGAAATCTGAACAGACCACAAGTTCCAGCTGAGGTTTAAAACATAAAATGCTGCACCATTGTAAGACTAGACCACAATAATGATTCTTCCTTCCCTATGTTCATCACTTACAAAAGTAACCTATAACCAAACCACCTTGTATGGTGTGAATAACACATCGTTGAACACACTGATTATCTGAAATCTTGTAATTTGCGTGTGGATAGCTGTCAAACAGTCATAAGTTGGCATTAAACTACATTTAATTCACAATTCATCAGCTGTATTGTCCTCCTTCATGAGGATGCAATGCAGGATCTTGCACTATTTCTAAGGCTTAATAATAATAAATATGGTGAGGGTCTATGGACAGATTGTCCAGTACAGAGTCAAATGTCAGTGCAAATTATGGAAGGAGGAGGTTAAATAAGAGCCACTACGAGCCCTTTCCGGGCTTTGCTTATTGCATTTTTGTGATTAATATAGTTGATATGAAAAATATAAAACAAAACAAAGAAAAAGAAAAAAAAAAAAAAAAAGGAGAAGCTGGGGAGTTAACACTTGCACTGACAGATAACAGTTACCTGTCTAAACTTCAGCATTTCATCACTTCTGAGATTTTGAGCTGACTTTCCACCCACAGTCCTCTGAAACTTCTGTGATGGTCTGAGCTTGGAGGTTGTCTCCACAAACCTGCCACAGCAGTTCACCAAAAGTCACAAAAAACATCAAACAGTGAGCGGAGGAGAGATACGAAAAAAATAAAAACTGTGATGGTGCTTGCATTCAGGAGGTTGCTTCATGTGCTCAGTCTCAGAGAGAACAAAAAGGGAACCATGAGGAAAAATCAAAATCCGTTCAACAGTTCTCACATATTAAAAAGAGGGGTGTAACTGTAGTGAGGGATAATGATGACAATGATGGCAGTCAGTATTCGTCTTGTTCCTCCTGCTGGTCGTCTGGTGCCTCGTCCGGGGCTTGCTGGTCCACTTCTTGTCCGTCACCCTCAGCCAGCTCTGCTCCCTCCTACAAATGGAGGCAGACACAGCTTAAGATGAGTGCTACCAAAGTGTGCTCCGAGGCAGACACACTTGAGTAGACACAAAGGCCGACTTCTTATCTTTTTAAGCATATCATAACTTCCACATGATTTAACCACAAGAGAAAATAGCACTCACATTTTTTACTGGTGAATACACAGCAGCAAACAACTAATCTAAGGCAGATAAAAAGACAGCTTCAAATTGATCTCGATTCTGTTCAGATCAATATACAGGTCACAGACTGACCTGTTCGTCTGAGGAGTAGAGGACCTCCATTAGCCGGTCGACAAACGGGCCGTTTTCTTCACCCTGTTCCTGGCACAGCAGCTCCACCTCTCGCAGCTTGCCAAAGTAGTAGTCCCTCTCCTTCTCCACTCCTTCCAGTGCCAACTTTAACGTGTTAACCTGCAAAAACAACAGTCGCTAACATGAGTTTCTGCACTGATATGAACTCACACAAAACTGTGTGGACTTAGGTAACAGGCAAAAGGCAACAGATACGGAGTCACAAGATACACTGGACAACAAACAGATGTGTCACACACAGAGAGCTTTGTATTACATACACACGCAAGCTATGTTATCAGAAACCGTGAAAGGACTTGGATTTAGCGACATTCAGCAGATACAAGGTTCATTCAGGATTAACTGCACTAATAAGTTTTTTTCTGCCAGTCAGCGTCTGCAGAGACGAGTCAAACAGGATCATTACACACCCCCTTTTTGAGTTGAAAAAGTAAACTTGCCAGCAAGACGTTGCTTAAAGCACTTTAAGAGAGACAGTTTTATTATTGACTTGCCTAGCACATTTAAGTTCAAGTGATTGATGATGCATATCAGTGGTCACCAGTATATAAGTCCACTTAAAGTGACACAAATTAAGTATCAGATACTATTCATGACTTTGGCTGGTGGGAAAAGGCTCCAAGTAAAATGGGTCAACAAGTCAAGGATGAAATGAGAATTTGTTCGCCAGTGAGTCACTTTGTGCAGCGGCCGTGTCAGGAAACAACACTGTGAGGAGGAACGAGAAGCTGAAGTGACAGGCTGGACAACAAAACGCTTAAATCTGAGACAAGCTGCATGTTCAGCTGATAATTTTCTGGAGGTCACATCACAACAAGCAACACCTTTCAGATGTAAACGTATATTTATTAAACACATAGCAACTTTAAATGATAAAGCAAACTGTATTAAAGGCCAACCACATTTAAGTCCACAGGAATCTGGCTAACTGATTCTTTTATCGATTGCAACTCAGTCTTTTCTAATCATTGTTCAAATAATCATTTGTCATAATCAGTCATTTGTCAACACAGCCTAACATGTCAGGTCATCTCTCTTTCATGTATAATTTCTGTACTTTTTGTATTTCCAATAACACAAAAATTAAGTATTTTTTAAAAAATACATGGAAAGTGGAAACCAAAAAACTGTGATATGCAATGCCAACTATAACTGTGCACTTAAATGAGTTTGTATCAGCCCTGATTTCTGATACGTGAAATAAATTAGGCTATAAGAATATATAAAAAGATTATGAACAAACGTTTTGATCTTGCCTAGGCAAAAACAATAAAAATTGTAATCAAAAAGAAGTCCTGGATTCCTCCTCTCATATTTAACATTTAACCTTTTTATATGACTATAATGACACAATGAAAGCATTTATTTGTGAAGTTGGTTTGGGAGAAAAAAGCTCATTGGCTGATATCTACTTGGGCTTGGGGACTCCATTTTATGAGAATGAATCAGTTAGTTTTAAAGTTTTAAATAATAAGTAGATTAATCGATGAGTTATACTAAGTTTTAGCCAAACCGTGATAGTTTGATATTCTGATCGTTTAATTTTGAAAGAACATTAATATCTTAAAATAACCAGAATTAAAGTTTTACACACAACAAAAACAAACATAGATTTTCATGAACCCACCTGGTCTGTAAGATGTGTGACCTGTGCTTCCAGTTCTTTCTCTCCTTTGGCAGGAGTTGCTGCTGCTGCTGCTGCTGCTGCTGCTGCTGCTGCAGGGATCTTTTTGGCTGAAGAGGGTCTGGATGTTGGCGTTGAGGATTTGGGAGTTGTTGAGCTTGACCTTGATGCTCCTGCAGCAGACAAAAGTGTTTTCTGTTTTACTTTACTTAGGGATTAGTGATCAACAATGTTAGCATTTAAAAAGGTAATGCCTGCAAACATATCTGTTTGAACAGCAAAAGAAAAGCTTCTTTTCAGCAGTGTTTGAAGATTACCTGCCGTCGGAGAACTGGCTGCATGGTGGGACTTCTTTGGCAGGTTGAAGATCTGCTCTCCAGGATCAGGTGGGGGGATAGCATCCTGTCCCTGTCTTGCTGCAACTGGGTCATAGTCTTTACCATCATAATTGGCATCGAAGAACTTCTTAAACCACTGGATGAAATCGAGATTGTCCTGAAATCTACCTTTGACCAGTTTCTCTACAGGGATAATCTAAACAGAGAGGAAGAATAATAACAAATTAAGTGCACTTCATTCAAACTGCGAATAAAATAAATGCCGTTCAAGAGAAATGTAAGGATGAGCGAAGTCACCTTGTCCACATTCATCCTTTTGAAGGATGCCTGCAACAGCTTGAAATTGTGAATGTACTCATGCTCCAGCTTCGCTTGAAATTTGACCTTCTTAAGACTGATGCAACCAGGAAAGAGCAGATCCATGAACTGGCAATAAGCAGCTCCTAAAGATGCAAAAAAAGTAAAAAATTATCTTACAAAAGAGGACTTTTTTTCTTCAAAGATAATCCAAGAAAATACTGAAGACTGAGTCCAGATATAGGCCGGGATGCATCATGCTTGCCTTAATTATCAAAAATAAAAAAGTGGGAATGTCTTTGTAATAATAGATCATTAACCTTGTTTCTGAAAAAAAAAAGGGGACTTGAACTGCAAATTCTCAGCAACATCGCATATATAAGCCTGAAGCCTTGTAGGACCTTAATCCTTTGGAAAAAGAGGACACCAGCTCAACTCTAGCTTATGTGACTTTTATCTCGAAGTGCTCACCCTCTTCCAAACAGAGGGCACATAAGTAATCAAAGAAGCAGATTACACCTGAAGAAAAGCAGGGGGCTGTGTGTGTTTCTGTAGTGACTGAAATTGGATTACTTGGTCACAGCAGAAGAACACGGTAGGCTACAGGTTTATTTATAGACAAGTCTCTGCCAGGGAAAGGTGAGCATGTCGCTACAGGTTGTTTTAAACTGCCAGAATAGACTGAAATTTAAACGAAACCCTCACAGGTGGCCATTTCATCTGAAACATGCATCCTTTGGTTCATAACGTACAAGCTGAGAGAACAGGATAAAGAGTACTGAAGGACTTTTTTTTAAAACTCTGTTCTTACCTGAAGAGAGCTGCTCCACTTTTGTATAGTTTAGGCAGAGAATATCATTAACCCAGGCAGTGATGTCATGCCTGCTCATAGTCTCCTGGGTTATTGAGGTAGAATATACGTTGACCGCCATCCCCCAACTGCAAAAAAAGGAACAACTCTTACAATTGAAAGCAGTGACTTGAGAGAAAATCTGCAGATCCTCATTCCTTACACTAGTTCCCTTACCTGAAAAATACATGATTTGATAACATTGTAAAATATAAAGAGTGTTCCTGCTGTGTGTCTGAAATCTTGCACATAAAACACACTTACATAACTTCTCAAATATCTTATAAGTAATGATGACAAAAGGTTACCAACAGAAGTAGTATGTCAATGTTTATTCAAAATAAAACAAAATATCAGGTCAAATTTATTGGTAATTTTGTTACAAAGCCTCAGATTTCTCTGAAAGCCCTGCAGAAAAACTGATTCACAATTTCCTCTCTACTGCATGTCCGGACAAACCCAGCAAGAAGCACGAATATGTGCCACAACCCCACTGAATCCAATGCAGACCTAGACCATCACAATATCCCACAGCCCAGTGTGATGTCTTCACGTGTCATTTTTGAGTCCAAAGCACAAGGCTCCAACCTCGATGATAGAGGCACAACTGAACCAAGTAACTGACACATTAAACCTTGTTGGTCACACTGCAAATCAAATGGCAATTGAATTTCACTGAATCGGTGTACATTATAACAGATTCTTTAACAGTACATCAGTTAACCCAGACAACTTATCCACGACTTCCGTCACCAGTATTTTAAGTCACACATTACACTCTAAAACTTCTTTACTTTAGAAAAACAGAATATGTTAGTGCCGTGTTCATACCCCAGTTGTAGCAGACCTTGTTTGTGTCTGTGGTGTAGTGATTAGACTTCAGATTAAGTTAGATTTTCATGGTGAGTTGGTTGCGGAAAGATGCTGTAATTTCACTCACATGTCTCTTGAATTCTTTCGCTGCTTACACTTTCTATATGCAGGAATCTACAGAGAGCACACGGTGTGCCAACGTAAATTTATAGGGGGAGTTCACAGTTTGATCTGTAAGCCACAGATTAAAGAGTTACACGGCTTAGCCACAAAACAATGAGTAACAGCTTAGAATTAACTTCCTAGACCCTTAATACTAAAAAGGTCTCGGTCCAAGTACTTCCCGCACAACCATACATTAAAGTGTATCTTGACTAACTTATAGAAAAAAATAATGTAGAGATCATGTGGAGAAATGTATACTATGTTTTAGTAGTACATCTCTGCAATATTACTCTCACAAGCATAAAACAGGGTGTTTTTGGTTATTTAAAGCCTAATCAGTATCATCAGTGTGTATTTCAGCTATAACCATTCTACAGTATATGTCCATCAAGAGAGCAGTCCTTTATTTTGCAGCTTAACTCCATCAATGGGCTGCCTTTTCACACCACTCTCTGTAGCAGAAATGCTAATGAATCATGCCTCATCATCATCGTCCGTGTCTGGCAAATACCAGTCTATGCAGGATGATGATAATAATAACCCTTCAGCTGTAAAGTTTGGCTATCAGAGCACAGCACAGCACTGCAGGAGCTGTGCCTCGGTTCACTGATTCTCCGGGAAGGAAAGGAAGAAGGAAAAGTGGGCCAGCCGATCCCATGTCAACAAAGCGGATGTATGCGCTCGCTGCTAGCATGCTTTGTTAGCCGGGGGTACAGATAGCCAGCCGATACCAGGGCTGGGCTGATGCCGCGATTCATAGAGAGGAGGGGATCGTCGGGCTGGTGCGGCAACTGGTGAAGTTTCGTAGACATGGAAACACGATACCAGATATACATACGCTGTGATATTAAGTGTTTGAGCTGCGTTAAGTGTCATGTCACGATGGGAATATTCTGGTAGCAGCAGGAGCAGCAGCAGCAGCAGCAGGGGCGTCTGTCGGTGTATTCCTGTCATCTGACAACCAGTCCACCAAAAAATCTGCCCGTGCCACTGCGCACATAACCATTTCGCATTTAACACGTGTCAGCAATAATCGTAGAGGGATGGGAGACTATAAACCCGATTAAGATGAATAAGGATTTGTGCTAGCTTGATAGCGATTTACGCCATTCTGGGAGCTAACATGACAGGAGAGACAACAGGGGGAGGAAAAATAGCAGATGGGTGCAAAGCAAAACCAACACAGGACGCGAAGGAGGGCCAGGCCAGAATGCGGGGTTGTGTCTGCAGTAGTGTCTTGTCCCTTTGATGATTTCCCTACATGAAAATCAAATGCGACTTTACACTGATTTACCTGTAGGCGCGCTCTCCTCGCACTGTATTTTTCCTGTAAGGAATGATGTTGGATCCGTTGTCCTGGACGATGTCGTTGTTATTCTCTCCATTTGGGGAAAGGGCTTGGGTGGGACCGGGCATTTGGGTCTCTATAATGTGGAACAGATACTCTGTTCTCTGTCTGGCCGGGAAACAACAAAAAAACAACAACAGGAACGGTGCAAATGCTAAGAAAGTGCCGCACCTCCGGGGCTCCTTCACTTCTGTCTGCTTATTCTTCACAAATCTCTGCCCGAATGACGTCGCTGCACCCCGTACCACGTGACTGATGGGACTGGCTGCCTGTTCCTTATGGTGGGCTATTTCAGTAGACCAAATTACATTGATCATCTGTGTGCTAAAAAGGCATCATCGTTATCATCACCAGTCAGATCGATTAATGCTCGATGTAGAAATATAGATTATCTTTGTGACAGAGAGGTCACTCATCAAATACTCAGAGGGAATGCCCATCAACTACAGAGAGTATGAAATTAATGAACTAACAAGGAATATGCAGCACCACCCAGGTTCACCTTCAACTGTTTCTATGAATACATGAGAGTTTCTACGTACCACAGCACGCAATGGGCGTGGTCAAAAACGTAAAGAGCAGGAAGATCCAGGATGGATGGATATGGATGATAAAAGAGACCAGTGAAAACACTTTTGACTACTAACCATGTTATCTGTCAAAGATGCATGGTGTTTGAAATGGGAATGCACTGTATGTGTTTCCATAGCTGTACTATTTTTAGGTGAATCAAAACCATCGCCTTTGTTTTTTGTCATATTTTGTATGAGCAACTATTCTCAAAGGCTTAGCCAGAGCTAGGGCTGGGCAATAAAATGATTACGATATATATATAGTGAGAAAACTAATTTCCCTCAACATCAATATAAAACATGGACAATATGCTTTTCAATAGTCGGCATTCTGCCATGTTTTCTACCCCCAGCAGAAATGCAGGTGAGTGCTCAACAGATGATAACATCCTCGACAACACTGGCACGAAAATGTCGGTGGTGTGGAGGTATTTCGGTTTTTTGAGAGCGGACATAAAGTAGAATAATGTGCACTGCAAATTTTGTAAAGTACATGTTCTTGCAAAGTCGGAGAATACCTCAAATCTTTTTCACCACCTGAAGCAGAGCCACCCGGCAGAGCACGCGCAATGCAAAAGGTTACAAACCTCAAGCGGAGCAAGGAGCCCACGGCACCTGTGCAGCCAAAACAGCCGACCATTCAGTCCGCATTCTGTAGCGCAACGCCTTATGACCAAATGTCGAAGAGACACAAAGACCTCTCAGATTCAGTAGCTTATTGTATTGCAAAAGACATGCCACCAATAAGCACTGTTAAATTTCATTTTTTATATCATGATATAAATCGTATAAACTTTTTCCAAAATTGCCCAGCCCTAGCCAGAACTAAGCAGTCTCATTCCAGTCTCAAACTATTTTCAACCACGACTTATTTTAGCTGTTACTTAACTCGGGGATGCACTAATCTGATACTGGTATTCGATATTGGTTTGATATGGAGTCCAACTTCTGTGTTGGGTGGGAAGAAGCTGTGATAAGCACTTTGAAGTGTTTTTTTTTTTCACATCTGCCATGACAGTTAGTTCTGGGGCTTCTTGCAATAGCTGCAAAGCCTACAGTTCAAGGGGTGGGGTGAGTAAACCAAACACAAACTCCAGAAGCAACATGCAAACCAACACAAGTTTAACTACTGACAGTGCTCAAAAACACTGTTCAGGATGAGCAATCCTTAAGTAATGTTTAGAACCAGACTCCACACTTTTCCCAGAAAATTTGGGAAAAGAGGCACTGTTCAATTCATAATTTACAAATATGCTGTTCACATAAAACACAAGATGTCCCTTGTCAGTGATTTGAAACTCCTAATCTTATTAAGGGATGTAAAAAATTACAAGTGCCTGCCATGTTAAGAGCAAGTAAAATCATTATCAGTTGTATAACTATTTTATACTGAACATTCAACAGTTTTAAATTTACACCAACAAGTCATATTATTTTAAGAAAGGGCGGTTGAATGTCCTTTAACATTCAAGGTTTAATAAAAAAAAAAAACAGTCTCAGTAATTGAATGATAATAATAACCAAGTTTATTGAACATAAATAATACTGAGTGAAAATATTTTAATTATGCTTAAACTAGGAGCATGTCTTTTTTAGTGTTAATTCAACACTTTTTTTTTAGGCACCGGGGTACGGTTTCACCATCACTTCACAATCATAACTGCCAATATATTTCATTTTATCTTTGGGAATTTTTAATCCAATAAATTTGTCAATGTTTACAAAGTTGCATGAGCAACATTTAAATTGAGCTTGATGTACTTGAAACCAAAATATAATCAAAACAAGACAGTTTTACAAGTGCATCCCCCAAAAATTATAAAAATAAATCATGACAATAGCAATGTATCCAAGTGTCTCATGAATCACTCCAATCCCAAGATGAATAATATACTGTGGATCCACTCTTGAACATGGTTAGTAATCAATGAGAAGAAGCACAGAAAACTGTCTAACAGACACAAGCACACTACACAGCTCTCTACAGCACTAGATCATACCATGAGCTGATACAACATAGACTCTATGAGCTCCCATGCAGGAATTTTATGCAAGTATGCACAGCAAAGGTCTCAAGCCAATGATATGGTATTTCTGTATTGATTGTTTTCCAAATGTTTTATTTTGTAGTTTCATTACTACATTGTAAAAAAAAAAAAAGGGCCACCACTCTTTAACAGAATTGTATGGGTACACAGAGCAATGGTACAGTGTAGATTTTCAGGTCAGCAACAACAGCACAACACAGTATCTGAGTTTTTTAAACATGATCAGCTCTTGTATTAGCCACTGTGTCGACATACTTGTCATAGTGAGTAGTGCTGCAACAACTAGTTAATCAGTGGTTTGATATCAAATCAACTGCCAACATTAGTGACTTTGATTTTCAATATGAATTGATTATTGTAAGTCTTCTTTGTTAGAACTACAATAGTGTATATTTTAGAGGCCTTAAACACAGTCTATTGACCGATAAATTGCTTTACCCTTCATTTCCAACTAGAGTCAGCATTTACATTAACTCTGAAGAGGGCATGTGTCCACTAATGCTTTTGAATGTGAGCATTAAATGTGAGATTTAAAACTATCCCTCTGGTGCCACCATCAGGCCAAAGTTTTGAGCTACCACACCACAGCACATTAACTGCTGCAGAGAGTCTTTGATATGTGGATTTTTCAAAAGATTTTTAGTCCAGTCTTTTTGTTGATACATTTTACCAATCCCTGTCACATTCACCACGAGCCTATCCCTTATTCAAAGATGATGCAAAATAATGAAGTATTTTTACAAAGATGATCTTGGGAGCCACCACACATAATTCAAATTCCAACAGTTTTACTTAAGTGGAAGTTTAGCAACAATTTAACATCACTCATGCCCACATTATAGCTTATTAAAGTGAAGTGACATCTCAGTCAAGTGGATCCATAAGCCACAGATCCCTGAAATGTGCATCTAAGCTAACTTGTTAGGTCTTTTACTAATGCCAGAGGTAAATCAAGGCAGTGGCATTCAATTCATCTTTGGGGGATAAAATGTTCAGGAACATCCTCCTCAATTGGGCCAAAAGTTCTTGTTGGTCTATACAAAAATTCCTGCAGAGCTAAGCACATGGCATAACCAAGCGCTAATCACAGTAAGTGGACATGTCTCTGCCAATTATCGAAAGCATGCAGCACCACATTTATACAACAGCAATGCTATGGGCTGTTTCAGACTGGAAAGTGACAACTGCAGCATTTTGATCATATCCTAACTGCACAACAGGAAGACCAATGGTCTGTGTCCTGATAAAGACTGGTTCAAAAGGGGCAGCTGTGGCTCGGAGGTAGAGTTGGTTGTTTATCCACTAAAAAGTTTGTCTAGACTGCACTCTGCAGTCATGCCAAGACAATTAACTCCAGATTGTGGCTGGAACTAGTTAATACTGTTAAACGTTCGCATTGAGTCCTCTGACAGCAGTTTGTGAATGAATAAAAGGTGATGTGTGGCACAAAAGAAGTAGTCAAGAAGACCAAGAGCACACAAGAAAAGTACATTAACTATTTTCTAGTTACACCAGATGCTGAGCGGAACACAGAAGCATTCGGCTTTCCTTTTTGCACCCATGTCAGCGAATTAAGCATCTTTTATGGAAACCTAGGGCGAACAAATGTGAAGCCTTTTCATTTGAATTGTTTTAAAGTTTATAGTTACACATATTGTTTTATAACAACGATAAATCATGTTGACAATACAGCATTCTTTCTACTCTCAGTGCAAACCCTGTGACACGGGCAGCCACTGGTAGATTGGTTGCCAAAAGTCTGTGCCTGGCTGTCATGAGATGTCACTTCCCAGTCTGACAGGCCTTTCAGTGTCACCACAGAAGTAAAGCATGCGTGTCCTGCCGAGCAGTAATGATCAGACTAAGAGGACTTAAGTGAAGCAAATGGGAATACTGTAATAACAAGAGAAAAATAATAAGAGAGACAAAGAAACCTGTACAGAGGTGGTCCTCCTTTGCACTCTCAACAAAATGGAAGCTTTAATATCCAACAAAAAAAAAAACAAAGACATATCTGCAGTTATTTTAAAAGTCCAAGTGTCTCTTCAGCAGCTTTTCTCAAAGGAATGGCTGATCCAAGCATAGCAATGTTGTTTCAGTTACCACAGAGAAGAAGGTACGAGTCTTTCAGACAAGACGCAAAACATATCTTCGAGGCTTTTCTCCACCATAGGGAAGGTATTTTAACTACGAAAGGGATTTACAGGAATCGCATAGAAATCCTGAGTGGCCAAAACAGTTGTCCTGAGGTGCAGTTAAATATTTGGTTAGGTCATTTTATTTCCCTGACCCACCTGTGTCTCAGATGAACGGGGAGTTGTGAGTTTAGGGTCAAACACACCATAATACTGAGTTAGACACCCCGTCAAGAGATTAATGTTGCCGACCACTTGCTTACCAACTTTAGTAACGACCACACCTTAGCAATACACAGCGGTCTGAGGAGCCATAAACAAACCTCAACCAAAACGCCACTCTATAGCCACAAATAATGCTCAGAACAGCACCTAATTTCATCAACAGGACATAACGGGTCCCAGCCATAGTACTAGCCACCAAAAATCTTTTTAGCTTTGCCTAATTTCTTCAGCAAAGAGTCTAAACATAACTCACCTACTCTCTTCCAGCAGCCGCTTGTGACCTCAGGTCAGTCCATTACGGACTACAGCGGGGTGACGCAGCACAAGCAAGAACATTTATGATCATTTCTTTATCATTTCTTTGAAGTAATAATCACCATATTAATCATTTTGTGCTGCAGACGTGGTAGTTCTGCCTTAGCGACTCGGTCTGATTGCATTTCCATGAAGAAATTATCATAAATGTTCTTCCTTGAGCTGCGTCACCCCACTGCAGTCGGTGATGGACTCTTCTGAGGTCTTCCTACAAACAAGCGGCTGCTTGAAGAGAGTAGGTGAGTTGTGTTTAGACTCTTTGCTAAAGAAATTAGGCAAAGCTAAAAAGATGTTTGGTGGCTAGTACTATGGCTGGGACCCTATATGTACTGTTGATGAAGTTAAGTGTTGTTCTGAGCATTATTTGTGGCTTTTTGGTTGAGGTTTGTATGTGGAGCCATAGACTGCTGTGTCTTGCTATCGTGCGGTTGCAATAAAGTTGGTAAAACTAGAGAAGCAAGCAGTCTGCAACATTTATCTCTTAAGGGAGTGTCTAACTCGGTGTTATGGTGTGTTTGACCCTAACTTAAATTTACGCCGAAATATCCCTTTACAGTGTGTAGATATGGTTCAGTTGTAGAGACTATGCAGTCAACCTACTTGCAGGGACAAAGTCTGAAAAATATTCATGTCAGCTAAATGACGCTGCAAGTCAGGAGCTGCAATCCCAGAAACTGTAACCTCATCACATACAAATACCGGGATTAGTGTATCTTTAGATAATGCATTTGTTGAAATGGATTCGTGTAAATTGATTTGTGGTAGTATCAGGTGTGCATCACTCTGTAATCAAGCAAGCCAAGTCATAACAGCTGCTCTAACTAGTTTTTCTCTTCATTAGCATGCTTTTAGTTGTATGAGGGTGGGGTAACAAGTGGATTACACACAGCTGGAGGATGATGATGCTGTGCAGTCTCTGTTTAATGCCTTTAAAAAGGTTACAGTGAATCACTGCTCTGTCTATTGAGTCATTTCAAGAGGACATGCAGCTCTTTTTTGGGGGGACTGGGTAATGGAAAGGGTGGGTGGCGTGTTGGCAGTGGCAGGTCCACCCAACAGACATTACACCTAAAACATATATATGCATGAAAGGAGGTCACTGTTAACCCAAACTGTAATTTGACAGGTTACAAGTTTGGTTAATGCTTAATGCTTAAGATAAGGTATGCAAAGTACTATGACCCCTCTTCAGTCCCTGCTGGAATCAGCTTTAATGGTAGCATTATGGGAGTCTTAGCATTTTTCTGAGATTTCACCGGAGCAGCTAGCGGCTGTAAGTGAAGCTAACTCAGCTCCGTCTAAGAAATGTCATAAACAGGAGGGATAAATGAACGTTAGTAAAGGCTAATACACAGTCAAGCTGTTCGAAAGCGAAAAGGAAAGTCTTCTTTACCAATAAGGTTTAACATATAGGAGCAGTCTTACCCGCTTTGTTCACCTAACGGCCAATTTTACAGTAAGCTAATTTGTGCCTACTACCGTCTATGTCAAAATAGTGACAGCCGACATATGCCCTGACCCTGGGTGACTAACATCTCCGTACGAGCCGCCGACACACACGTTAGTTACGCTCAGGTTTTTGCATGTGGAGTTCATTGTGAACACTACGAAACAAGTTGCACACTCGAATTGTTCAGCAAAGCAAAATGTGACTTACCAGTGAACTCCGATTCGCAGGTTACTAGGTGTTGAAATTCGCTGTTTTCCGGCTGAGTCACCCCACCCTCAGACGCCCATTCTGTATTCTCGCAAGACGATGAGTTGTCAGCGGGCAGTTGATTGGACGCTACTCCACCAGGTTTGAAGCTGATTGGTCCGTCGCTGACATCTGTCGTAAATTTGACCAATCGAGTTCTGATGCGTTGATCATTCAGAACATCTGACAGCTTTTCGTCTTGTCGATTTTGGTAACATCATTCCTTCTACCCAGGATGAGCTCGGTTGTAATTTAGAGCGAAACGAGTCCCTTTGCCACCATCTACGACTGAATAAATCTCAAGTTAATTCAGTTTTACATGAAATATGAGGAAATCGTTTAAAAACACCGAGTCTCTTGTTTTTTTTCTTTGTTTTTCTATATAATGTCAAGTAAAAGACACACCAAAAATAAATTGTTACGCCCATATCTATTGTAAGATTATAAGACACGAAAACTATCAAATTGAAAAAACACTTTGGCTTCACATTTGCATGGACTAATATTTCTGAACAGAGCCGGCCCAAGGCATAAGCGAACTAAGCGTCTGCTCAGGGCCCCACAGCCAGTAGGGGGGCCTCTCAAGAGCAATCAACAAAAATAAATAAATAAAATATTTTTCATTTTTTGCATGTATGAGTGATGCTTTCTGTATGATCATATATATATATATTATCATAAAAATAAAATAAAATAAAGTAAAAACATTTTAGTGCTGCTGGTGATGTCAGCCTGTGATTCTTACCAGTGTTGTTTTCGTTGTCGTCATCATCAACGAAAACAACACTGCAGAACATATGTTTAGCATTTGACTGACGAAATGCTCATGAATTTAACAACTCTGTTCGGCGTCCACCACCTACGTTTTCGTCTAATCTCGTCAACATAAATGCACATTCGTCTCGTCACATTTTAGACATCTAAGACTTATGTTTAGCTCGTCAATGCCATGTCTTCGTCGTGGAAAAAAAGGGGACGGAAAAACAACACTGATTTTTACTGCCAATATGTCAAAGCTCGGCTACCGTTTTGTGCCCCCTGCTGTGCAATGTGCACCGAGCATCCTGAATGTGTTACATTTTGGGATTAAAAACCATATGTGGCACCCTGAACACCATTCATCAGTCATTCATTGGTATTCTTTGTATGGTTGCATTGGTGTTATTTATGTTATTACCTAGGCCACCTCCTTAAATGTCTCTTTAAACATGTCAGGTGCATTAAATTTATACTGTAGTAGGTGTGTGAATGATCAACAATCAATATTGTTGGCAGAAATAGAGGGCCCCAAAAATAAAATTTTGCTTAGGGCCCCATTGAGGCTTGGGCTGGCTCTGTTTCTGAATATGAATTGATCATCATTGTCATTTCCTTTCTGCATAGCCCACTCAGGTTAAAAGGCCAATAATCTCATACTGTTGTCGAGTTAAATGGACTTGCTGAGACGGCACTGAAGAGATTTATTGCAAGACATGTACGGTCGTATCCACTTCATTGCTAATTAGAGAAAATTAAAAACTGGTGTGCCCCAAGGAAATCAAAATTGGCACCTTTGACTGGGAACACTGATGTTCAGCTGCTGCAACTGCATTACTTGTATTTCGACACCAGGGTGCAGCCACGTACCTGATAAAAGACAATACTTGGGGAAAGCTTGAAATTCACTAGTATGGAGGACACTTTCTTTCACAATTTTCCTGAGGCAGACACATAAGAGACCAGATTAAAAATAATGTAATGAGAAAAACCTTGATTTGGGCTGTGGTGGGTACCAAAATTGATATTATAGGTCTAGCTTGTAGGTAATATGTAAAATAAATACCATGAAAGCATAATTGTAAAGATTAAAAACAGTTCATTTATATGCCAATAATAATGCCTCAGGCTGGGAGTAAAACTCTTCTTCTAATATTCGCATGAGATCCAGTGCCGGTTGGTTGCTTTAGTGTTACCTCAGATGGTGGGTCTATGTGATGAATTATAGACAATAGGGTGTGAGCAGTCAACAGTGCATTTATGACAGATAATAAATGTGCTCTGCTGAACCCAGCCAATTGAAGTGTGCTGTTCTGGAATGAAAAAGAAAAAGAAATGGAGTTCATAGGCAAAAAAAAAGAAAAAAAAGATTTTGTGTCAACACTTTATTATGCATCACCACCATGCAAAATCACTGCTATGAACTTGCTCAAAAATCAAACTATATATACTTCACACATTTATGATTTTAAGATTGGCTCGTCACTTCTTCTAGAGTGACTGAGTTCATTTCCACGCACACTCAAAAACTACATTATGAGAGTGTATGATGGTGTGCAAGATACACAGGGATTTCTGTGTGAGTGCGTTGTTGCCAACAGAGAAAATGGCAAATGACTTGTGGCCAAACCATAATTCATAAGCAGTTGATGGTAAACATTATTTGATCAATGCCCTTACCAGTGCAAACCTTTGAATATCAGTAATTTAAAGTATTTGAATTCTCTCCATTTACTTTAACCAATTCATCCATTTACAGAAGCCTTAATTTACAGTTTACAATGTACTGTATGAAGACAGAGTACATATTTGCAGATCAAACCCCTCTACAGACTTAAATCACTTCTTGAATATTGGATTTGTCTAATTTATCTAGTGAATTAATCTAGAAATGCACCTTATCTTATGTCTTATTGTTGGCTACATGCTGCATTGACAGCTTGAATGAGCTCATTCAAGAGGCCACCCAATCAGCTAAGGCAGTGTACATTAAAATGATAATGTATCAAATAAAATTAATGTATCTGATTGGCCTGTTCCAAAAACAAGTAAAGAAAAAAAAAAAATACAAAAGCCACTTGACAGCAACAGTAAGAAATCTATGGAACAGTGGTAGAAATTTGTCTGAGTTAGACATTTACAAAATATTGCAATTTGATCATCTAAAAATTCAAGTCCAACTTGATTCCAGGATCAGATGACAAACAAATATTCAAACCTAGTTCACTGCTTTCAAAAAACAAAAAAACATTAGAAATCAAAATCATGATTTAATCATGTTTGCAATCCTGTACTAACACTGAAGTAGTACATTAGCTTGACAACTCATACAAAAAGGCTAAAAATCAAGGTATAATTCCCCAAAGTCATGTGGTTTTTATGGCACCAGTGGTATAATAGACAGGTCACTAATTAATCTCTTTACATCAGCTCACAGTATTACCTTAAATATGTGGTTGGTTAAAAAATATATCTTTACATAAATGTATTCTATGGTTGGGTTCAGCCATTTACTCAACTTAAAGTCTTCATATCTTTAGTGCTTGTTCTGCAGACCCAGTGTTACCATGTCCAGTGTCTTCTACTTGTTGCTTTTTATATTGCTCACCTGTAAAGAACACAAAACATGTGATCAACAGCTTGGTGCAGGAAAGAGGTCAGTTTAAAGCAGAGGAAGGCAAAATTGGTGGTCTTACATGACGCATTTCTGGGTATATACCACTGACCGCATTTGAAAACGACATACATGTAATTTGGAAATTCAGACTAGACTTCGGCATGTTTTCAAGTGATGAAAATTGTCATTGTTGTGCAATTTTTGTCTGAACATAGGTTGTATGATATGGAAGCTAATCTGTGCCATCTGATTTTGAATTTGAATTTCTAAAGCTGAATTTTTTTTGCATCAAAACCAGACTTTGAATTTCAAAACCACCGAATTTCAAGCACGCATTATTTCTGACACTAATTTTTTTCACAATGATTGAATAAATTTAGAGTAAAAAAAAAAATCTGTCTATCAAAATATTTGTTTAGTGAAAATTCAACTTAAAAATTCATTTAAAAGAGACCGACTGAGGAATCGATTGCCTCTCCTGGTTACCCGGATGTTGAGTCTGTCTCTTTTACACTGAATTTTTTTTATCACTGAATCATTTGACACTGAATTTTTTTGATGTTGAATTTTTTTACACATTTTTTTAAGTTGAATTTTTACTAAACAAATATTTATGAGACCTTTATTTTTACACTGAATTTATTTCATCATTGTGAAAAAAAAGTGGCAGAAATAAAAATGCGTGCTTGAAATTCGATGGTTTTGAAACTCAAAGTCTGATTCTGATGCAAAAAAAAATTCAGCTTTAGAAATTCAAATTCAAGAATCAGATGGCACAGATTTACTTCCAAAGTATAATTGCTGTTTAACTTGTTTCTATGATAAATTTCCCTTCAAGACAGACACTATGAAAAAAAAAATCTCCACTTGGATTGATTTTCACTGCTTTACAACATAGAGGGACAAAAGTTAAAAAAGAGAGCTTTTATTTTGAAAGTCTCAATCAGGCTGTGGCCACGCCCATTACCTGCGTAGTGTGAAGGTAGCAGCATGCTAGCATCAATAAGCTAAGCTAAAAAACCTAGCTAAACATACTTATTCCTGACAGCCTGAACAGGTAGCCTGTTGGGTATCAAGCTAAGATACTAGGATGGTAAGTGTTACTCACACTTTGTTTCAGTTGTTTGTTAGCTCATTTGCACATAACTGGCTGTGGCTGACACTTAAATTAACATCAACTACAGTATGCTAGTCTTTCTAGAGTCTGTGTTGGAGACTCTGGGGTCTATTTTACAAAACTTACAATGTTAACTGTTACTCTCATTGACAACAGACCGTGAAAATGGATTTGAAGTCTTGGTTTAAAAAGTGTCTCTAATATAGGACTACACACTGAGAAACTCATGGGAAAAAAGATCCTACTTGTCTTTTATTTATCATGTTCCTGAGCTGTAATGACCTCAAAGTTGAATTTTTTAGCACTAAATGTCAAATGTTAGAATTCTCAGACTAGACTACAAGTGTTAATCCAAATGTAAAATGGAGGCCATATTTAAGTATTCAGTCACCTACCAGTCCCATTGATCAACTTTGTTACTACTGCTGCAGAGTCACCTAAGTAAAAAAATAAAGTCAAAATAGAGATCCTGTTAGAATCAGACGAGTGTTTAAATACACAATATTCTCCTTCTCCTTCAGTGCTATGATGGAAACTTGAACTAACCATGCACGTTTTGTCTGGTTCCTGTCTGTGCTTCATCAGCTCCTCCAGCTTGAGCTCGTCCTCCAGCTGCTGCTCCAGATCATTCTCAAAGCTCTCCTCTGCGGCGCTGGAACTCCTTGGACAGACAGCAGGCATTTTCGAATAGGATGAAAAATCAGTGTTGGTACTGAAAACTGAAGGTACTGTGACCAAATGTGACCTTTAAGCTCTTCGAACAGTATTACACTTAAATCATGGGATTACAGAAATGTAAAAGTCTTGTATATGAAGTCTTTGCCATACCAGCTCTTGTAAAGGACAAGGTTTCATCATGGTCATTATCTATGAATTTAAATCCTCAATATACATTTTGGGGATGTATTTTTACACATTTAATCTGAGGGAGCTTGGCAGTTAGCATTAAAGAAATAAAAAAACGAGTTAAATAAATAATAATTAAAGATATGGGTTCAAGAGTTTACAACAAGAGAGAGAAAATAATCAACACTACATTAAGAACTGTAATTTTAACAGTTGAAATATGTAAAATTTGAGATTCTTGCCCAACTGCAATGATACAATGATAAAACCAAGACCCAAGTACCCTTGTTTATCCAAAATAAGATGACTGGCTGAGACTGAGGTTTAAAAGAATTTTTGTAGCAAGGCCACAGACGCATTTCCTATTATGACCTGAGAATCTCTCCAGCAAGGCCCACTTAGATTCTTTCTCGTAGCTTTCTCCAACATTCCTAAATATATATTTATATAAAGTAAGCTGCTTCACCTGAGTTTATATTGAAAGCTGAGATTCACTCAGGGCTCAGTTTGTAACATCCAAAAAGCATAAAAACTGTTTCCTGACATTATAACAATGTCTACATCACTTGAAGCATATCTTTTAGAACATCCTTGTATTTGATTTTTGCCAACTGAGCTTGCTTTGCTTTTCCCTGTTGTTTTCATAATTAAGTTTTTGTTGTCTTTAGTTTTTATATCCTCACAGAATTTTCTACTGGAAATGTAGGATTTAATTTTTTTCTTTTTTGTAGTAACGGCAGAACTAGAGGGGTAAAAGCCAGATTTTTGGCCATATGAAAATGTTGAAGTCAATTCCCTACAGTTTTTTACAGAAGTACCTTGGTTTGAATGTGAAGAGGGGGTCTGATGAGTTTGTGGCCAGTAAATCACCACGTCCAAAGTCTGAATCCACAATGCTTTCAGTCTCACTGCCCCCTTCTGTGGAACAAAAAAACAGCTTAAAGCAGTTCTCATGTACAAAAGTAGGAGAGCAAACACATGCTTTTCTTTCATTTTTTCACCTGAATTGAGCTCTTTAACCAGCGATGACATTGTGTTGGTGATGGAGTCGGCAGCAATGAGCAAGTCGTTTCTCAAATTTCGTCTTGGACCTTTCGAAATGTGCCAAAAAGTAGCTTTGAATTAAACATAAATTCCAAGCATAGTTTGCGCACTCTGTCTTTAATTAAACAACTATGTTACCCTGAGCAAAGGCCTCCTGAACGTCTCCACCCACGCCCATCAGTGAGTCCTGAGGTGTGTGCGTTGGGGTTGTGACAGCAGAGTTAGACTGGATTGGTGTGGGGATCGGCCGGCTGATGGTGTGGCTGGGGGAAGAGCGCGGAGAGCCGGGACCCTGAGTCTGCAACACATACAGACAGCTCGAACGTTAACAAGTGCCCTTGTGCTGGCATTGTTAACAGAGCAAGCTGAAGCAGAAAATATATTCTGGATAAAAGGGTTTCCCATCAAAGCAAATCCTCCAACAGCTGTGCAACAAGTAAGACCTTTCATTTTCAGCTCAAAACACAGCAAAGAACTCAGACTCCAAAAAACAGCTACAAACATCCCGGTTAGATATTTTTTTGAAGTCAACAGAGAAGCAAATTTGTCCCAGAAGAAAACCACGGCATGCTTGTGAGTAACAAACATTGGAAACATGCTAGAAATTTTACCCATGCGGACGATGCATTTGCTATGACATGGCAGTATATTATGTGAAAATATCTGTTTAATAAATAGAGTATTTAAAAAGAGATATTTCATCTGACAAACAGCGCAATAATTTACACAAACCAAACCAAAAGAAATCGCTGTCATGTGAATACAATGCATCTTCATTATTTTGAAAAACTACATAATTACAGAGATTGTGGCATCTCCTAAAATAAGCCAACATCTGAAAGATACAAAGTTTTCCCCTGACAGCTGCAAAGTTATCCTTTTCAAACATACAATTCAAGCTGTAGTGCCTTTTCTCTTTCTCCACAGTGTCACACTTACAGCTGCCTTTCTCTCCTCCTCCAGCTGAAAAAAACAACAACAGTGTTTTATGGTTCATAAGTACCTCTCAAAAGAATTCAATCAGCGTTTTCCCCAGGACGTGACAAGCATGTGGCATCCTCATGCAGGTTTAATGGATTAACATTGATCCCTTTTGGCTAATTAGATTGATATCCTCTACACTTAAGCCACTATGGTAAGCAGTTTATGTAGGCTTTGAGGAACTCCTGTCTTGTTCGCTGTAGAAGATATTCTCGCACCAAAGGTTATCCGTCTTACAGGAGAGTAGGCATGTTGTCTTATGAGGTGCAATAGGGCGTAATCCTAAATTTAGCATCTTAAATCGGCTGTCTGACAGCATGAAATACCTGTGCATAACATAGCTAATCGAGGGTGTATTATGAATCATGTTTTGTGGAATATTTATATGAAGGGGTGGTTTTCATCATCCAAAATGGGAACAGAACTGTAGCACGTATAAAAATTAAAAAAACACCAACTTTGTTTATATATTAATCCTAAAATAAAAATGTTAAATTAGCCTAAAAGAGCTTTTCTATATAAGTGCGCCCTCTTACGAACATTTGCGGTAATTTCTCACATGTTTTCTGCAGCTTTTCTTAATTTTGCATGTAAACGCTCTATCTGGTGATACTGTTACCTTCTGTCTCAAAATTAGGAGTGAAAAATACAAGCGACAGCAGACACAGCTAATCCTGAACGTCATGGCTCCCCACGGGACACAGATCATGTCTTTGTCTTGTAATTATGAAGGCATCATAACTGTCTACGAGCAATGTGAAGTGAAATGGATGCAACACACATCTGTAATACCTTGAGAAGCATCATTAGCTGCTCCAGCTGCACCATGAGTTCCCTGCGACTCTCCTGCAGAGTAGACATTCTTTGTTCAAGCTCATCTTTGCGTTGCCTAGCAGAGGGAACAAATTAAACAGTGTGATGATACTAAAATGTCCCTTTTAAAAGAAAACTATTGAGCATCTTTATAATTCATCATATGCTATTTACTCGACTGGTTAGCAACAGGGGATTTTACTACATTCCCTTTTAGTGAGAGGAGAAAATGGCTTGTTGGTGCAGGATTTAAGTATGTAGACTTACCTGAGAAGTCGAAGCTCAGCCAGCAGGGTTGGGTTATGCTGGGCCTTGTCAGGTGGTGGCTGGGAGGCCTCCTCATGTTGGAGGCGCAACCGCTGGATCTCCTGCAAGATTTCTCTGAAACAGGCAAAGACGTATATGAATACAAGCTAAAAGCAGAGCAGTTTTTAAAAAAACCTTTTGAAAGTTACATATTCAGAAGCTCAACTTGATAGACATTGATGCTGATTTGGTGATAATTTTTATGCTTTACTGACTACGAAAGGGTTTCAAGTGCACCAAAATAGTGAAGTTGCACTCCAGACACAATGATTGGTTTTAAGTATGTGCTATAGTTGCATCAAAACCTATGTACCTGTTCACTGTGGCCTGTACTTTAGCCCCTTCCCCCCGGTTTGATTGATGACCCTTATCCTCTGAGCTTAATTGAAAAAGGATTTTTTTTGTCCGAGCAATTTTTTTAACCAATTCTTTAAGCAATCATGCAAGGTATACTCAATATGCCATATAAATTAATGACCTTGTCTGGCCCTGCATAACCTGATTTTAATGAGTGTATTATTTATACAGGATTTATAAAGTTACAGTTATTATAAACATGTAAAATGCAGATGTTAACTTGTCTATGTGACACTATTTAAATTCATGTTTTGTTTTTACATTCATATTGCATTGTGTAGCTTAAAAATAATAGACAAACAAAAGCAAACTGAACAATATCAACAAAGCGGCTCTCTCTAACCTGTTTTTGCTCTCGAGCTCAGCGATGAGCTGCCTCTGCTGCTTGTTGGCATCCAGAGAGCAAGGGAGGTCTGTGGGGACCCTGTGCTGCTGAGCCTGTCGGTAAATCCAAGCAGGAGACATCACGTGACATGGCTTTAACTCAGGATGATGTCATTCTACACCTTATTTCATATCTCACAGGATGAGAACAAAACAGAACAGATAAACCACATATACATCAAGACTTGATCTAACCGTAAACGTTGTACATGTCAGGTGAAAAAATTATCACTACTTGTAAATCCCTTCAAATGACAGAGACTGAAATCCCCAAAGGCCGACCACAGTGTATGTCAGACTGCCTTTTTGCAGCAGACATCACTGAAAGATGCTATGACAGTGCATGCTTTAATATCTTGTATACAGTATATCTCACCGCAGCATCAGCAGCCAGTCTGGCAGCATAGCGGGCGATGAGACTGTGCTCTTCATCTTGATGGTTACTACTCTTCAGCAAACTGTTAAAGAGGAAAATAGAGATGGGAGTCACAACATGAAACAGTTACTACAAAGAGATGCACACAGAGGAGAAAATCACGTCAAAGTTTAGTTGTTCAAAAGTCAGAGTTAGAAAGCTTAATATGTTTTATTGTAGAAGCTTAAATAATGCTTATTTACTGCTATAAAAACACAAAAACAAGAATGCAGCTGAGTTGTTATATAAAGGCAGGCGGAGGGTTTATTTACTTTGTAACTGAAAAGCCTTTTGCACAGTCTGATCAATGATACTACACAATATAGCGGTTATACATGTACAGGAACACATATCATGAAAGCAGTTAACTGCACTCGGATAAGAAGACACTCGATGCTCTGATAAGGTGCTAAAACATCCAGAATAGACAATATTGTACATAAAATACCACACCCACTAAAACACACACAAGCCAATTATTGCACAGACAAAATAATGACACCCTGTTATGGTGTTGCTTGTAAGTGACATAATTAAAACAACTTGAAAATGCGCCATGTAATATAAAACTAGTCCTCATATTAGTTTTGTACACTTACAGTTTAATGTAAAAATGGAAGTCAATGTGGGATGACCATAGACTGTATATAAGAATATATATATATATATATATATATATCTTATATACAGTCTATGGGGATGACCTTAAGCTTGCATTCTTTTTAATGGCCAGTAGGGGGAGACTTCACTGGTTTCAGAAGGAAGTTCTGTTGCTACAATTTTACATCCTACAGTACAGTTTAACATGAACAATGAACGTGGATTACAATCACTTTTCCTTCAGCTTGGGCATACCCTTTATTATGCAAATCCCAGTGTAGCTCCTAGCCTTTGAGATACCATAACTATTGTGTTTGAAAATATCAACGCCCATACAGTGTGTACAAAGATGGAAAGAGGCAACACAGACCAAAACTGGATGTGAAAATATGGAACGCAGTGGGGATTGTTTGACTTCAGCAGCCAGCCCTATTTGATAAAATGCGTTTTCTTGTACCTCTATATTGGCTTCACTTTTCAGCACTGGAGGTTGCCCTTTGATTTTTACAGATTAACCTTTTAGGGTCACAGCTATTTTTGGACTCATCAGACAGAATGATCAATTATAGTCCCATTTACAGTAAATTACTTTTGGGTTTGGTTATCTTATTTAAAAACAAAACAAACAAAAAAACATGAAGTATATGTATAAAGCCCATGTTTGGCTGTTGTTCAAAGGTACTACTACATTTGCACCCTGCTAATCAAGCTATGGGAGAAATAACTGAGAACTGAGATAAGTAAATCCTCTTTTAAACCCAATCCCATCCTGTTCTCAAACATTTAAGAAAATTATACTATGAAAAGTGTTTAACTATTTTTTAATGACCTAATAAGTAAATAAATAAAAAGCATTCACAGCTGACTGTAATAGTTATTCTGTATATATTTTTAAAGCACAGAATAACTTTGCACTAAAATGAATGGTTAACTTTAAGAAGTCAAAGCTTCATCATTTTAATGTAACGAATAGGACTTTTTAACCTTTTTTACATATGTTCACAAAGTGTTTTGAGGAATCAGAAATAGAAAATGCAGTTTCAAGTTGAAAAGAAATTCAATTTTTACTTTTGTCTTGTTGAAACAGAGCATGAAGTGATTGTGCTGTGAAACACTGCGAATAAAGCTGGGTTAGGGTAAAGACTGTGAGGTAGCAGTTCAACAGAGCACATATTTTCCACTGGTGTTTGGCAAACACAGCACCACACCAACTAACCATGTTTTGGGGTTGTTTTGGAGTAGATTCACATAGAAGCCAATCAGAGCATGTTCGTCAGCAAGTCTATCAGCAACATCAAGGTTGTAGTTCAACCTGGAACAGTGCAGGGTTTCACAAAACATAAAAACATTACATTACACAGGTGACAATAGAGGGACAAAGAAAAAAAAAAGATAGAAGGCAACAAAAGAAGAGGAGGAGGAGGGAGGGGGGGGAGCAGCTGAAAAGCTGCCATTCATGGGTGACTAGAGAGAAACAAGGCCGCATTATGTTTGGGAAAGACACCGCCGTTGAAGGCTAAGAGCACGGTTAAGAACATGCCCAGAAATAAAAGTCTAAAAGCTGCATGCACTTTTATATTCTGCAAGCATCAATCGGTCAGTGTTCTACTATTAAAACTATTGCAAATGATTATTCTTCATCAAAAAATCCACTCCTCAAGACTTAAAGCGCAGCAGTCTTTGTGTTACAACCTCATAGTCTGATAGTAGCCATTACTACTTCCTTTGTGGGGATTGATAAAGAATAATCTCTGACCATGAAATAGCTGAAAACGGCAACAATAAAGAAAAGCAAATCCAGAAAAATCTCAACTAAAAATTGTTAGTCTAGCTTAAACTGCTTTAATAAGTTTATTCTGTATTCTTCACTTGAACTCTTTTCAAGATTTATACTACATCCCAGAAAAAAACTTGTATTTTGGTTCTTTCCAGCAAGTTAATGACCAAGTAGCTAATGTGCAGCAAAAGCCTTTTAAGAAACACCCTAAACAGCATATCTTTGGCGTGAAGATGATGGCCACTGCTGTGTACATGTAGCCACAAGCTAGTAGGAGAGGATATAATACAATGCAATATGATACTGGAGAATAGGAAACAATACAATATGATGGGATTTAATATGATACGAGACACTTAATTATGCCTCTTGGGGAGATTAATCTTTTAACTCAAGTGCTGCACAAACAGGAGTGCCTCCACAGCGGAGCTGAAATAACATAAACAAGCTGATCTGCTGATAAATGTTCCCTTGATATTTTCGTGTAGCATTAAGCAAAAAAGAGAGTATTTTGGATGACAGCTGAAGGTTTCCAAAAATAACAATATCAACCTACTCCTGAGCAGTAGACTTTGCTATGTTCTCAGTTTGTCCTTTACTTTTGTTTTTAAGTATTTGGTATGAAAAGAAACATATTTTTGAAGGTGAATCATAAAAAATATACACAAAAGTAAAAGGGAAAAAAACACTTTGATACTATATTTCATATAATGTTGGTTTGCAGCGACTGTATGACTCATTACAAATTTAATCTGTTTTCAAAGCTACATTTTTTAAAAGCCATCCAGGTATTTCAAGAAGTTTTTGCATTTATACTAATATTTGCACCTTATCACTCTTTTCAGTTTGTATTATATGTTGCATCAGATATTCAACAACCTCAAGTTAAGAACAAGTTAGACAATTGTCCCCTTAGTTATTGCTTTCCTCAGCAACTGCAGGTTTTCTTTCAGTCAGAACAGGTAAAGTTTTCACATAAATGATAAAGAGTCAGGATATGTTTTTTTTTTAACTAATGGCAAAATTTTCACAGGTTTATATGAGAAAAAGTTAGTATTACCCATGAAAAGCTTGTAACAAACACTCAAGCAGAACTGCTGGTCATCTTTGTGATGCACACTAACCCAGCGTCCTTGAAAGTACATGAAGTACAACCCTCTGGAGAAAGCTGATTCACTTATTGTTTCCAGAAGGCGGTTAGCATTCTACCTAATGCTCTGTGGTTATCATCTATATTAGTTCAGGCATGCATTTGAGCTACAGAGGCTCTTTCATCGGCACACCTATGGCACTTACCCTTTACCTTTCAACAGATGTGGAGCAGCCCCAGTCTGAGGCTTTCTTATCTCAACATCATTTTCCCTGCTGTAAGGCAAACTTTTTACATTCAGCGTAAGAAAAAAACACACAGAAGACAAGCAGTATAGTGATACACAAATGTTTTCATACACACTAACACACACACACACACGCTCGGAAAATAAAGGAAAGGGGAAAAAAAAGGTGGTGTGGGTCACAGAGTCTGCGGGGCATGAGGCCTTTAGGGAGTTTGGCACACTGAAAGGATCTGCTGTGAAATCCAGGACATCTATTGTTGCGGCTTTTCACTCACTTTTTGGTGGAGTAAGGGTTCCCTGATGTAGGCATGGAGTGGGAGAGTGCGTAGTCATTGGTGAAGTTCACTGGTCTCGGTGGCCTAAACAGGAAATATCTTTTAGTTCAAAACTGAGAAGGATAGTTCATGATAAAGAGGACAATGAACTCCTCTGTCCTCTATTCTTCTAACAGTATGGATCGGTGCTAATTTTCCATAGTGGTAGGTCTGCTGTTTATTAATCAGGGTGGCACAAATGTCAGATATGATTGGTTATGAAAGGTGGAGTAAATAATAAGAACATGCAATGAGTGGAGAAATGAATATTTGAAATGACAAATAACACATGTTGAAATGTTTCGACAATAGTGACTGTCATTGTTGTCAGTTTGTAAGACAGATTGGGATTTGACTTCACTGATTATAACAAGCACAACATGAGCATGAAGGATTGAAGCCCATAACCGAGTGCACAAAGACGCAACTTGTCATGTGTTAAATAATCAAAGCAAACTCACCACGTATCTCTGAGGAAAGTACAGAACAAGAAGAAAGGAATGAAAATTTGTTATAATTTGCCCATCAGTTCAAGCGCTATGCTTCATGTAGATAACAAGAAAATATCATAGATTAGATTAGATAGGTTCCCTCAAGGAAATTAAAAAGTACCAAAAATAGAAAACATCAAGTATATAGACATTATCATTAGCTAAACGTAGCCTGAATCAAACATATCAGTACTTCTTATATCTTCTTCTTCTATTGACCTTAAAAGAATTGTTATTTTAAGTATGATAAAGCAGCCTAGTTTTGTCCCCATCAGATGTTTGGACTAAATGATATTTTATTTGCTTAGAATTAAGAATTAATATACTTAAAAATCCACTTAAAGCTCCACAAACTGGCTGCAATAAGCTTCAAACGTAGGCTGTTAAAGGTTATGAAACCCTCTTATTTATCAGAAGAACTTTTAACCATAAGAGGCTATTTTTGCACATAGAGCAGGGTTTAGACCCTATTCCTAGTTTGTTTTCTATTTTCAATTATTCTTGATTAAGAGCGTTCGAGCACTACAGTGCATGTGCTAAGCATAGGCTTTGTTTTATTATCTATAAAAGAAAGCATCAGTGAAGATTGGGAAACGGTAGCAGCTGTGTTGCAGGATGCAGTCATTCCCAAGGCTATAATTAAGCCTCATTGATCAGTTGACCTAAGAGATTGACTAGAATCACTTCAGACACAGAGGCAGCAACAAGATAATTATCAGCTGAGGGAAATAATTGAACATTTTAACAAGTCAGAGAGGACTACATAATTCGATTCCTCTTTTACAGTATTATAAAGGGAAAAAAAACAAGAGGATGAACTGACACAATGTGAGCGAGGTTCAGAGGTTTGTCTGGCATTTCAGGGAACATGGGGTGAAGAGGCTCTCTGCTGGATGCACAGCTCAGTGACTTACTGAGGGCATGGGATAACTTCTTGGCAGGAGATTTCTGGAAAAAAAAAAAAAAACACACAAGTGATGAGCCAATTCTGAGAACACAGAGACGCTAATTTCTTTTTTTTAAATCCGCATGAATCACTTGAGGAATAATGTCACCTGCATGGAACAATCAGCATCATCTCTACATTGGCGTGAATCAGAGCAAAAAATAGCCTCATTGAGTGGTCCACGGTAAGACACACCTCCGTTAGCCTGCTCCCATCCTCCCCCTTCCTCTCCTCTCCTCTCCACTCCTTACCCATGACGTATACTCCTTCATTTGGTGCTGGTTGCTATGGGAACCGCTGGCATGCCCCCTCCAGAAGCAGTCCTGACAGAGCTGGTAATTATGACATTGCTGGCAGCGGTAGCGGAAGCCCATCATACTCTCAGTATGGCAGTAGGAGCACTCGACCGGGTGAAAGACTGCGGGGAGGAGAGGAGGGGTCAGACACACAAACACACGCGCACAAACAAACAAACAAACAAAATGGATGTACACATACACACAAACAGCTGCTATTGTAAAACCCAGACATCTAACACATTGCAAAAACCAGAGGATTAATATCCATTATCTTAGGGACAGATGTGCAGTGGTTTTACATTTTTGGCCAAAGCAGTACAATGTCAGAATGCTGACAATGTGTTAGCATGAAACAAACTAGCAAAGATGAGTGCGTCACAAACATACACACACTCGTACACAAGGTGTGAGGTCCCTATGGGTCATCGTCTCCCACTCCCTTCACTAGAGGTGTGTGTGTTTTCTTGCATCTCTCTACCAAACCAAGTGTGGATGATGACTCAAGATTGTGATGCAAAGCTGAACTTAACATCCCCTTATTTTTTTTTATATTATAAATATTACACTTACCGTTTTCTACGTTGGCGAGCCGATGCATGAGCGATAACCACACCAGACACTGAGGGGGCGGGTCTGACATCAATGTATCGAGGAATGTATTGAGGGAAACCTTTTTCTGTAAACGTTAAACACAGAGGAGAGTGAGATCATAATCATCCACCGCGTCAGTGCTGGAAAACTTACACTACCGCTTACGTAAGCCGCGCTGTACTCACCTGCTGTGTAAAGCACATTCTTGCAGCTTGTTCAGTGTAACCAAAAGAAGGTCCCTCGAAAACCGCCATGGGTAATTTGAGAGCCTCCCGCAGAAACTGGTCAAACTGTGAGTGCACCAATAATCCAGAAGAATCTGATAGCTGTGAAAAAATATCTGGGAACAATGCAAATGAGTCAAACTAATTATCAGTTGCCACCACAGTCGGCTAATTACAGCGCCACACAATACAATTATCCCACTTATTTGTGAAAACAAATCAAAGGAGAGCAGTTATTCTAATCAACTGTTATAATAAAGTGGAAACGCAGCCTCTTTTTTTCTGTTCAACTGCTCCCACAGATTATGTACATTATACATTAAACTTAAGATGGCAAATAATGAGTTGCTCCAGTCACAAAGAGCTACTGAGTACTGTTTCTTATTTTAGAAACAATAAACTGAGTTGACAGAGATTATACAGACAGCTACGATTGTACGTTCAAAATTAAAATGCACTACATTACTTGGATGACCTTTACAGAGACTATTAGCTGATTTATTACAGGTAAAATGTGTTGTTTATGTTTCATTTGTCACAATTACAAGTGTAAAAAGTATCTGTTGTGTTACTTACATCTTAATTTATCCAGAATTTTCCCACCACAGATGGTGCCTAGGACCATTTTCACAACAAAGACGGTTAACTTGCCATGGCCCTCCCTAAAAAGAGCAGATAGAGTTGACATTTCAGCCACAGAATCTTTAAAAGAAGCCGTCAAGAAACATGGCAGTCATCATCTTAAATATGTTTAACTTGGCTTCTTAATTATACTCATACAAAAACATGCTGTGATAATATGAAGGTAAACAGTTTGTATTAACACTCCGCCGTAGCAGACACCTCAGAGTCACATTTCACACAACACAGGCTCACGTCAAAACCCTCAGGTGTGAAAGTACACAACCAGCCGCTGACTGTGGTGTGATGTGTTACTCACGGGTCATACGATGCCAGCAGGAAGTTGAGCAGCAGGTTGATGGAGTGATCCACGTTGATCTGGTGGGTGGTGGGCATTCGCTTGTTGAGCTGGTAAAAAATGGTGGACAGTACCACTTCGAGACGAGCCACGGAAAGCTCAGCGTTGAGGTCCATGGTGTTGATGCCATTTTCTCGGAAAGCCTCGATGACATTCCAGATGTCCACGAGATGCACTAGAGTGAAAGCAGGGAGAGGGACTCTATACATCTTGTTTGGAAGATTTTAGACACAGTAATGCAGTTAATCTTACATCATACTCACAATTGCATTTCTTCTGAACAAATCTGAGTTTGCAGGCTGTTCTGTATGTCGATAACCGTATGGAGTCCAAATCTTGAGCCCCTGGTTATTAGATAACATCATAAATGTCAATACTAGTTTCAAGATATTATGTCACTTTGAAAGCAGAGCGTGTGTTAGCCTTAAACAATTCAGTTTAAACAACTTTATTTCATGAAAAGACATTTAAGAAAAATACAGCAATACACTAACAGCATTAAAACACATCAGGGCATTATTTATACTGACAATAGATAAGTTAAATTAATAGTTTTGATCTACAGATAAAATTCACTCTATCCATTTACTCAAAGCAGGTGTAGGACTGCTCATTAAGAAATAATACTGTAAAAAACATAGCAGACTTGAGCTTCATGACATTACTTTTACCTGTTACAGAGAGGAATTTGACATTTTTATTTTCAGCATGTGAAACAGTCAGGTATACATCACATTGAGCTGTGGCCCTGAGCACTTACTCATCTCCACAAACAGTTGCCTTCTATCTGCCATGTTGTCACCACTCCCACCGCAGTCTTCAATCATTCTGATCAAGAGGAGAGAAAGTCATGTCAGAGTCTGTAAACCTGCTTTCAGCAGAGATAGTTGGAATAGTGACATTCCTCTGTCACAGAATAAGCTCTTAAAACTGTTTTCAGCTTTATGCTACACAAAAGAACTACATGTAAGCCTACATTCAGAAGCATTTGAAAGCTTTTTTATGATAAATGAATAAACACTCACTGAATGACTTATACATCCCTTTTGTAGCTCACAGTAAAGCTGTCAGTGTACTTCAACGAATACATTATGGCTGTTTACATGCCTAAACTCTCCCCCAGGAATGCTTCTGACCAGCTGTCTTCCAGTATTGACCTTCACATTATGCTCTTGTTGCAACCACAAAGGTTAGACTAACATCCAGGCAAAGCAAGGAGCAGCCTGGGACCCAGACCTAAAACAGACTCTAGGTTCAAAGAAGTGGCCCCTCTGGTTACTGTCACCACAGCTGTTTAACTGTCTAAGCTAACATGCAGATGGGGGGAAATTTTTTAAACCAAGTAGTTAAAAAAAGAATGGTACTTAAAGTGGGGCCATCAGGTAAACAGAAGCAGCAACTTTATATGAGAGCTGGAAGATTTTATCAGCTGAAGCTGGCTGAAATAAGGCTAGCACCAGTTGTCTGAAACAGTAATAATTTATGCAGGACATCATCAAGAGGTAAGATGAATATTTTTAACCACAAAGTGCACCAAAATTGACAGAAACCAAAAGTTCCGGGAGGGTTAGCATTGAGGACCACTCTCCTCCAAAAAAACAAAACTATTTTTCTTATTTCGGGTAAATGATTCCTAAAAAACTGAACATGTCATATATCGAAACAAAATATGCTTTATTTCTAAAGGCTAATTGTCACTTTAAGGAGGAAGAAGCTGGCAGGGAGTCACTGGCTTGTAGATTAGCGCACAGGACAACAAAACTGTGCCAATATTGGGTCCAATTCCCCCCTCCTGACAAGTGTCAGCAAATGTTGCATTGTCATCTAGCAGATGCTTTTATCCAAAGTGATGTACATTCAACAGCAACAAATATATAAGCAAAAATACAACACAAGACAAGAGGAAAACAGGATCAGTAAGAGCAACAAAGTGCCTCTAGTCTATTTAGACACAGGTATTGCCATGTAGTGTTAAAGGTAATGCACATAGTATAAAAAGCTTTTTTTTTATGAACATAGTTTGATGAACATGAACAACGAAGCAACCAATTATCAGTTTAAGACCTTTAGGCATTGCCATCAATTAAATTGTCCTCACAACAATAATTACCTAAGTACAAAGTGCTAGGTCACTCACAAGGGGCTGAGCACAAAAATCCCAGAAATCCCACCACTGGGGACAACAGTGGAGACGAGTCAGGTTAAGTGCATAGTGTTCTCTAAAGAGTTAGGTCTTTAGCTGTCTTTTAAAAGCAAAGGCCCTTTTATCCCAGCCTAGTTCTAAAGATGGTCTTCTCAGATTATCCTTTAGTGTAAAGAGGGATTTTTCTAACTTCCTATATGCGCAAAAAAAAACAATTGGAGCCGCCCCAACCTGACGGTTGATCACACATGCTGTCTATTGTCACGTGGAACAACTGGATAGCTATTTAGGAGCTGACCGTAGCTGGGAAATGATAGTAAACGTAAGGCATAAACTGAAATGGACGTACAAAATACAGAATCCATTTGTTGATACATGAGAACAACACAACAGTTTACTCAACATGTTTGGTAAAACGCACTGCAACCAAAATGACAAGGAGAAGCACGAAAGTGAACTTTAGTGGAAGTACCAGGAAGCTAAGCTGCTTGCATGGCGAGCCACCATAGTCTGCCTTGTTTTTTACTCAAAAATCACGTTTGATCCCAAGAGACTTCAAAAATTTCTAGTTATGATAGTAGGGTGTAACAAAGTGAAAAAAAGTCATTGTGTGTACAATGTGCTGTGTTTATCGCATTGCTGCACACCACTCACCATCAGAACAAAATCTGTCATCACACTCGATAAATATTTTCCATGTTTAAAGTTCTGTTGTGCTCATGTCGTGCTTTATCCTGATTTTCTGTGAATATCTGATTATTATTTACTCTTGGGGATACAATGGGGTCCCACTGCTAAATTTGCCCCGGGTCACATAGCCAGTAAATCCGGTCCTGGTAGCCGTAGTCTTACCTCCTTTTCTTTTTTCCTTCTAAAGTACATTTGCAAATTGAATGTAGCACACTACAGTGATTATCAGAAATGTGAGGGGTGGGTGGGGTAGGGGTGTATAGAAAAACTTAAGTAAGACAAGGACAAGACTTTGGAAAGGGGCAGAGCAGTAGAGAGAGTGCTCACACCATGCCTCACTGCACACTGTCCGAGGCAATCTAATATACCTAGTCATGTGGTTTGTTGCCATGGCAGCAAAGATCCCAGCCGCTCCATTCGTAAAAACACAGTGTTAGCCCCCCCACCCAAACACACACACACACACACACACACACACTCACTCACTCACACACACAACACCTACCACAGCACACAGGCAAAGTTTCTCGTAAAAAGTTTTTACTTTAACATGTTTTATATTTTAACGCTTGATAGGAAGAGGCATTCTGGCACTTTCTCTGCAAGACAGTCACTCAGGCTTGGCAATTCAAATTACACTGACAGTAATTGGTAGACCCAAATATTTATGCTGCATAGACCAATGGTGTGGAAATTTGAATTCACCTCATATTAAAAAGCAAACAACAGCGTACTTTTCTCTCTTTGCTGTCCCTCCTCTGATCGCGATTACTAAAGGCAGTCAATAATAGAGCTTTGGGAATCCTGTTAAAGAGTGAGAAGATTAAACTAATAAGTTAATGCAGAATTAAAGAATCACATGTAATGACACGAAAGTTTAAAATACAAGAGAAAATGTTTAATGCGGAAATGTTATCATATGAGGGGGAACAGAAGATCCTCATAACAGTTATTTTTGTTGTTTTTTTATTATTTATAAAGTTAAACCCCTGCAATAGCTCACATTAACACAAATTTCATCAGTGTAGTGGCATAATAAATGGACCACCAACAGTACACAATCAGTACTGGCAGCCAGAGGTTGTGTTATTTTGAAAGAAATATGTATGCAAGTCCATTCATCACTTCCACAGAATGAATCTAAAGGTGTACAAGGATATATATATACCCTTTTTTATAGATTAACATTGATATCCTTTCCACATCACAAGGAAACACACCCTGAGCACCAGCTATGTGACCTTCTGTACTCTGTTTTCAGTCTGGGAAAATAACTGAGATTGATACAATCTATTGCAAGAGCAGATATTAAACCAGCACAGCCGATAAAAACTGTATGACAGAGAGGGGAACAAAATGATCAACATACCTTTCATAAAGCACCATGTTCGTACTTCTTCCCCCTGCTTTAGTCAAGTCACTTGCCAAACTATGTCTCCTCTTTATAGAAACACACAGTATGTACAAGATGCAAACTCCTTTCTTACAAGGCACCAACACAACAAAAGCATCCCAAACGCATGAGGCTGCCTGAAGATATCTGAAATTAGAAACTGTCAGCTAGGACACAGCCTGTGCTGCCTCTATCTTTAACTACAAATGAGAAGGCTCCACATTCTTGAACAGCTTTACTCGCTCTCTAGTTGCAGACCCCAAACCTCATTCCTGGCATGTACCCAGCAAACATTACTCTCTCCCTGTGGCACTGTCACAGTGGCAGCATTAGAAAATAACTGCCCTTAAAAGACCAAAATCATCACATAACATTAACATCGCAGAAGAGGCTGGTAAGACTGCCAAAAGCAAACCAAAAGGGTCTCTTAGAATTTGTCATTTTTAATCATGTACCGATTTCCTTTGGCTGAGTGTGAGACCAGCAGCAACAGAAAAACAAGCCTTATTAGCCAGTTATGTATAATATGAGCCTGTGTCTGTAACAGAGCATTAAAATATAACACTGCAAGTCCTCCTTGGTAAACAAATTGCTACAAGCTACTTGAGTTACAGCTCAATCTTGTGTTTGGCCAGCTTGGTACAGTTCATTGCAGCTGTTAGCACTGATTGGCCAGAGTTATTTTTACATCACGAGACTGTAAACGACACTGGCATCCCAATCTCATCCCCTGACAGAAAAAAAAAAAAAAAAAAAAAAAAAGACTGCACCATTGACTTAAGGTTAATCAGCTAGAGCTCAGTGCAGCCAGCAATGTTGTTGTGCTTCAGTGTAGGTGTAAGTGAAACTGTTTCTCTCCTCTTGTCTGGTACCAGCCGGTGATGTCTGCTGGGCCCTGCGCTCTGTGTGTCCCCTGCTGATGATCACCATGGTTTCAGCTGCGAAAAGGCCAAAACTTTTGGAGAGAGTGGCTACAAATCTTACATGGAAGACGCAGTGATGTTGTTCACAACACTACCCCAAATGTTGTATTAATGAGCTCCTTGTGAGAACTAAAAAGTGTAGATCCTAGACAGAGACGATGTACTGAAGGACAATACAGATTTATGTTTGCATTTGACAGATAGTGTCATGTAAACCTCTCTGCAGTGATACAAACACCACACTTTTACTAGTTATAGGTTAAAAAGAAGGCAACAGGCACCACTCAGCTCGGGCATCACCTGTCACGCCAGGGACACCTGTGTGTACCAGAGACAAAGATCTCATTGTTTATAAAAAATCGTTTTCTCCTGTTTTATCACTATTCTTACTCGATTCTATCCTGCAACTTGATCGTAAAACTCATTTCCGATAGAGTGACAAAGTAGGTTAAGGTCGCTGCTCCACCGCTTGCCAGCTCCAGCTCCAGCAGCAGCTGCAGCAGCAGTAGCAGCAGAAGCGCCGCACTTGAACAGGACTTACCAGAATTTATTTCGAGGCAACATCACTGTTTTTTCCATCCAGGGAACCCGACAGCCGGTCGTGTCCTGCGGTGCGATCAGGGTTTCTTTGGTGTAAGGTGCTGCATCACTGCACGAAGCGGCAGTTTGTGGTGCCGCTCTCCACACAAACGCTCTCTCTCGTGTAGTGGAAATTTTCGAGCAGCGGACTGACTGAGCTGAGCTGAGCTGAACACACACGGCAGCAGCAGCAGCAGCAGCTCCGCTCTGCTCGTGTCTGTGGCCTGTACCGCGATGACGTAATGCGGAATCTCTTCGCTTGCGTCAGTCAGTGTGCCTCTGCAAAATGATCAAGTTTGTTAGGAAAACTGAGAAAAAAGAGGCTCAATAAGCATGTTTTACTCCATATTTAAGTGTAAGTGGTGATAAACATATGCCATTACTTTAACGTTTTTGTCGCTTTATGGATAGGACGTAGGGGAGACCGGGGCTTGTTGTCACACTTTTTACACTCTTATAGATAAAACTTGGAATCAATACGTCACATGTAAACAAAATGTGTACCAGATGAAACACCAAAGTCTTAGGTATATATTTTGTGTTCATGTCATTTTTATATCTTGTGTCAGTGCAGAGTTATAAGCAATAAGATAGAGAGTGTGAACATGTTACATGTTGCCCCACCATTGGGTAAGTTGTCGCACCATATCGGGTAAGATGTCACAGTGGATTTTGCAGCAGTGTTGTTTTCGTTGACGATGATGTTGACGAAATTTTTTCGTCAACGTCAACATCAACGAAAACAACTACCATGTTTGCTAATTCTAGCTTAAAGTAAGCTTAAATCAGAATAATGATTAAGGTATGACAGGATGCCTTAATCTCTCCTCTAACAAGTCCGCATATATCACTGCTTTGATTTTTATCTGGAAGAAGCTTATTTTAGAATATATCGTTTTTTTGTTTTTTTTTACTTTGGGTTGTGCGAAATGGTTAATCGGCACTCTTATCTGCTCACAATGTGCTCTTATCTTCTCAGACAGGACACAACCCCTGACCATGTAAAGGAATAAAACTAGTATTCCACTTTTTAGTTGCGCCCTCTGGTGGCAAAGATAATTGCAACGTGTCAACTTACCCATGTGACAACAAGCCCCGGTCTCCCCTACATCACTTTTTTGGTTTTCCAGAAGGCCGGAAAAAAAATTAATAAGGTCAATTCCTGTAAACAAAAACAGAAATAGATTGTTTGCAAGACTGTTTAAATCCTTTATTTGATTGAAAATAGAGCAAAGACCGATATGTCAAACAGAAAAAAAGGCTTTGTGAAAAATGTATGCAAATTTTAAATTTGATACTACAGTATTTGTAAACAGCCAGGACAGCAACAGATTTGTTGTTGTGTTGCATCACCTCATTTAACCACAGTCTGTAAATGTTTGGGGACTGAGGGGACCAGTGTTTCGAGTTGGAAGATAAGTGTTTCCTTGCCAATCCTCCCTGATATCAAATAGTAATGTATAGGTGCAGAATGTAGTTTCCAAGGATGCACCTTAAAAAGGCATTGCCTGGATGGCAGAACATTGCTCCAAAACTTGTACCATTCAGCATTAATGGAGTCTTCCCAGATATGTTAACTGGCTCTATCATAAACATCTGAGCATCCCAAAATCATCAGGAATGCTGGTTTAAATTGTGCACTTATAACAAGCTGGATGAATCTTCTGCTCTTTAAAGAGAGGGATGCAGCATCCCTGATTTCCACATTTCTCCAGCCTGGAGAATTTGCCTGCATATGTTGATCATGTTTATGTGTGGTTTCCTCTTTGCATGGTACATTTTTAATATGGGAATGTACTGACAAACTATGTTTGAGCCAGTGCATTGACTTCCACCGCAGAGTTCTGTCTGTTTTTGATGCTGTACCACTCGAGGGCCTGAAAATCACAGCCATCTAACATCAGTTATCAGCCTTGTCCCTTTTCTAAAGACATTTCTCCAGATTCTCTGAATCTTTGAATGGTATGTAGTTCACTGTAGTTGAAGAATCCTTGAATTCTTTGCAATTTTACACCGAGGAACATTATAAGTGCTGCACTATTTCCTCACTCAAAACACATACTTGAAAATAATTTGGATGTACGATTTCAGAGATTACTATCCAAAAAGTCACAAAGAAGTACTGTCCAACTCCACTTTCATAGACTGTCCATTTTTCCAACTTCATAGCAAAGTTTGCCCGTTAAGTCTTAGAGTGATAGTTACCTTTTCCATTGCAAAGATCTCTTTAACTGTCAGTATGTCGATCCATTCACTGAGATTTGGGGGCTCAGGTTTTTACCATTTCTTTGCCTTTCCTTCTTTTTACAAGCAGCAAGCAGTATTTCACACAACGCCAGTCTACTTTTGTAACAGTATTGTTGTTAATAATTAAACCTAAACAGAGGACCTTTGCATCATTAAGGACTCCAAAACCCCAAATCTTACTCGGTGTTAGGCATATATTCAACTAGAATGTCTTTACTTTTGGACACATCAAAAAAGAGTGGGAGTGATTGGCATCCATGTTCCCACACTGGCTTCAGTTTGGCTGATATGATGGAGAATTTGCTCTATTTTCAACAAAACATAGGCTTGAAATGATTTGGAAGCCTGTGTTCTTCTGTTTTATTTACATTTTTCACAGCATTTCACTTTTGTGTTGTTGGGGTTGTAAGTTGTAACCTCTGTATCAGACACAGAAAATACATTTGATGGTTAAAACAGTGAGTGTAATTTTAGGAAATCAGATATGTTTAACAGATATTTGAAGGCTGCATTTCTGTTCCTGTATACTGAGACAATGTCAATTTAGGAGTGCATGGTTGTGCCATGTGTGGTAAAACACCATAAACAATCTTGCCGAGACACTAATACCAAATAAAACCATTATAGGGATTTTCAAAAAAATGTAAATGTGTGATTGTATCAAGGTAAAGTGTCCTGGCATACGGATTTTTTGACCAGTCTGTAGAAAAAAATTCTTTAACATGTAAAAGACAATCTGAATAACTCGGATTTTTGTTTGTTTTCTTGTATCAACATGCAGTATATTGATAATAAATTGTATTAAAGCAAGAGAAACTGTAACATGCCATCCTTATAACCTAATGTGCTGCTGTGTGTTCACGACGGCACGAACCATTGCTGTTCTTGAACATACCTCGCTCTCTCCCAGCACAGCCCCTTGTTGCCTAGCAACCCCCGCGTAAGATTGACAGCAGAAACTTCAGTTCACTCATTTGTTGAAAACTTTAATGAAAGGCTACTTTTTTTAACAGGACAGCTGCGGCGTTGTCTCTGGAGGAGAACAATGAGAAACTTCAAGACGACCAAAAGATAGCTGACAGCTATTGTTGTGTCAATACAAGTAAGTTGATAGCAAGCTATTTTTTACGCTTTCACTTTCTGCCATGACGACGGCGGCCCCCCACCTGCTAATTAATAAATCATTAGCACAGTTAATTAACCGTTAACTTAGCGTTAGGTAAGAGGGCAGCATCCGGAGATGAGTGGGGGTATCCATTTCAACTTAAACAAATGTTAACTAACTTTGTTCGGACGACAGCTTCAAAAATTAATGTCTGAGCTCACTTACAGTAACTTTTTTTTTAAACATATTTCAGGTCCGTGTTGAACAGAAAAGCCACGACGTTTCCACACGACGGAGGAGAAGATAAACACATTTGTTTTAATTGTATCCTATGGAGAAGTTTCAGTGATGCCAGACGTCGAACCGCTCAGATTCCCATCAAGGGAGGGACGACCAAACCAGCAAGGTGAGAGTCAAACCTGTCTCGATATTTGTAAACCTATGTAAACATGCAGACTCACATGTTTGTAACACAGTAATAATTTGTGTTTTGATACAGCTACAGGGAGAGTTATGGGTGTGTGTTAACAGACATGCATACACCAACCAGCCACAGTATGATGAACGCTTGGGCAATGTAATGAAAATGTATGTGCATTGTATTTTGTCCACTTCATTTTCCAAACATGAGCGGAACAAAATATTAGGAAAACCTTTCAATATAATGCACTTCAATACAGCTTTAACAATTAATTCAAAGAATATTTATCATCTATCTGACCATATCAACAAAAACCGGTCTTGAGTTGTATTCGATCTCCCAGGTGTTCATCGTAGTAAAGCTGGCCACTCCTAACAGAATGAATATCAATAAAATATGAACAAACAAGTGTGGTTAGTGATTGTTCAGCATACATTATCTGTTGCAGCCTACAGCAGACTGTTTTATTTAAATGGACATTATGATAAAATGTCAGAAAATACAAGCAAAGATTAAGCCAGAAGGAAACGACATAAGCTGGTGCCACAAACTGTTTAACCCGTCCCCAGGTCAAGTTAGAAAGCTGTCCAAACAAAGTCCAGTTTGAAGACTGTATCTCGATTCCAGCCAGTGCATCAGCTGGACTGGTTTTAGGAAGTTAAGCTGATCAGTAATAGATATGAAAACAGTTTGATGACAGACACATTAAGCTATCCGATATCACCTGTGAAATAGTGGGTGAATCTGATTGGCTCTCACTCTCACATGAGCCTACTCTGTGGCAATAATACACCCTGCCATTATGATTTAGAGCTTATTCAGCCCACTGATGACATATTGCCTTACCACCTTCCTACCCCACTTGGTTCTTTCACTGTGTATTATTCATCTAAACTGCGCAGCAACAGATGGCTTATATTTCTGGTTTCCCTGCAGTTTTTCCTCAACTGTTCTTGTATTGGTCTGAGTCAGCTCAGTTGCAAGCCATCCTACTGACTAATCATGACAGGATAACTGTTATTTCAGGTGGTAAAGATTCTATAAAGTGTGAGGTAGAGGATGTAGTGCCCACTTTGTCCCGATTAGAGTGCCCCCTTTCTCCACAGGGGCTTAACAACAACTCCAAATGTGATGTTATAGTTAAAAAGATGACTGGCAACAGTTCAGTATATGTTGAAACTGTGAGACACAACTCTATATAGTGTGTTTCAATGACACTTATACCAAAATATTGATGTATAAGACACTGGATTGGAAGTAGTAGCTGATGTAGTTGATGTTAATGTAATCTTTCATACAGAGAAGCCTCTAAAACTAATATAAAATTGATCTTTACATTTCACATTCACCAAATCAGAGTAGATTTACTCATAAATAAGCATGACTTTGCACCATACTTTAATCTACACAATATTTTACAGAAATTTGTAGGGAAAGATTGAAATCTGCACCACTGCTGTTTTACCTTTTTTGTCAGCCAGATGGCATCCTTTCACTTCTGAGAATTCAGCTCGAAGGTTTTTTCCTTAGATGTTCGAATGAGTTTCCTCTGCTTTTTATTGCAGAGCATATGCAACCAGAGTCAAGTTGAGTATCGAAAAGCATTTTTAATAGCCAAATAGATTGTTGAAATTGCTATTCAGAATAAACCAAGAAGAGGGAGTGTTTCCAGATAGAGTGTTGTGTTTCATTTTTTTAATTGAACAATGCTTCAAAAGAGTGTCCTTTCTGAAAGATTTTAGAGGTTTTTGTGCCATCATGTAAATGCAGCAAGGATTGGCTTTTTACTGGTCCTCTGAAAGTTTGTTCATGATGACACAAATTCACATTTCTCAATCTTTTGTGCCCCAAGACCAAGCAGATCTTCAGCCAGTGTGCTCTGGTAGACGACGCACTTGTGTTTTGCTCAACAGTCCCTCGCCATATGTCAACACTGTCATTTACCATATCCAGGAGTTCAAGATGACAGTAGAAAATTGGTTCCGGCAGGTAAACTAATGTGATCAGACCTGTGAAAGAACGTAGCATAAATGTTTGATCAGTGTACAGATCAATTGATTTTGTCTGTTTTGTCTTGCACCAGGCTGGTAAATACCATCCACATCCGCTTGATCAGGACAAACACTGTTACGGCAAAACTTTGAGGTGGTACTCTTGACTGTTTCATTTACAGTTAACTTTAATCTAACCCAATGAATTGTAAGATACTGTGTAACACATGTCTGAATTCTTTTTGTATTTTACAGATTTCAATCCAGAGACTCAGACTCTGACTCAGTGACATCAACAGAATTGTTTGTTGAAGGAATCGCGATCAGTGCCAGAGGTGAACAGATTTTTTTATCAAAGTACCATCAAAGAACGATTTTTGGGATATTTTTTTCTATAATTTTTCATGTAGTTGAAATGTAACACATAGTTCCTGTAGCACTTACAGATTAAGAGCTACAATTAAGTGTCAGTGCAATGTCAGTAATGAGCCTCTTTAGAGAAGTGGTCAGTCAATAAATGAGTCTCTGCTACTTGTTCACAGTTTCTCTATGATCTTTAATTAGGTGCATGTCTCTTTGAAATATACCATGGATACATTTTAGGGTTTCCTCCACTTAGTTGTTGATCAAACAGTGTTAAAATGGGTTTGCGAAAATAAAAGTAGAGTTAGATAAAAGATAAAAGTAAAGATACAGCAAAAGACACTGTGCCAACCATGGTTAAGTTTTTTATCCTCTAGAAAGATGTCCATTATCGCCACTATTGAAGAACATAAATGATGTCCTTGGAGAGGTTGTGTATCTGATTGAGCGCCTAGAAGCTGATAGGCAGTATGCAGAGGAAGCTCTCCACAAAGAGAAGAGGAGAAAACACATTTTGGAGGACGAAGTGGACAGCATTTCACTTTGGAAGCAACAAGAGCACTCCTTTGCTGTCCAAAAAGGTCAGTGCCAGAGACGAGGTTTTTTATTTCGCACCATTGGCATATTTGTGTCCTAAGGAGTACTGTAAGGCTTCTGGTAATCTAAAATATGAATAAGCATTCTTATTTGCTTATTCACAGTTTTGCAATTTCTATTTTTCTTTTCACAGAGCATGAAGCTTGCATTAGAGATATTACTGAACTACAATGGCAGCTAAAAGTAGAAAGAGAAAAACTTGTCCAAGCCCAGGAGAAGCTCTCACACACTGAGGTGTTAAACCAGCGCTTGCATGAGGACATAAGCTTTGCCAAAAAACAAGGTCCCATCGTGAAACAAAACATGGAACTGCAAAGAGGCATCATAAATGAAATCAACACCGCACAAGCTGAGGTAACCTTGAATTTAATGCAGGTTTATGAAAGACTGGAGACTTGTGTTTAGTTCTGTCTGCTGCTGTGTCTGTTTAGGAATTATTTTTGTGTTTTTGCAGGAATTATTCAGATAACAGATCAGAGTTTGTTTTCAACACAGTCAAGTTGTGTTAATATTAAAAAAAATGTTGATGAGCTTTGTTTCCAGCTGGATGTGAGGAAGCGATCCTAACACCACATCTCGGTACATTTTACACATGAACAAGTCGCAAGGATGGGATGAACAGTCGTTCCATCTCTCCTGCTTTATTGTCCTTTCTAGCTCTGTTTTAATCCATAAGTATTATGGCACCAGGGATTACAGTGTTTGTTGGTCTATCGGTTCAGTGTTCATCCAACACTTTGGCCCAAAGTGAAATCATTTGAACCATTGACTGAATTGCCATGAAATTTGGTCCCGACATTCTCAGTCCCCAGAGGTTGAATCCTAATAACTTTGTTTAATTCCCTGAATTTTCATTTAGCTTATTCAGTTAATTTCTTTTGTCCAAGTCAAGATGCTCCCAAATCTAATGCCCAGTTCAGCCTCGGATGTACTTGGAGTTTAACTGTATTCATGCGGTCATGACAGTTTGCCAAACCCTGTACAGCCAAGACTGATGAGCGAGAGTCTGAGGAGTTACAAGAACGAGGTCAACTTCGATTCCAAATCAATGCATGCAGATTTAGGATTTAGGACCAGGTACAAGCCAAGGAAAAACCTTTATGATGTGTATTTGGCTCTCTGTGTAAGACTTAATACCGCCTTTGACAGGGTATAATTTAATACGAGTCTTTTACTGCTGTAAATACCAAGACTTAAACTGACCACAAATAATATTTGGGGAAAAACTGTTTGTCCTTCTTTGGCTAGGCTGATGAGGTTTACTCAAAAACACAAAGTGAGCTCATGCAGGTGAAGGAGGAGTTGAAAAAGCTGGAGCTGGAAGTCAACAATGAAAAGAAATCAATGGATCATGTGCTGCTGTCAATGAAGAATCAGCTGACTAATAAAGGGTGAGTATCTATCTTAATGGCCTGGAATGGCATGGAGGTGATCATCCTGTGGCACTGCTGAGGCATTAGTGGGGCCCAGGTTACTTTGACAATGGCTTCCAGCTCGTTCCTGTTTTTGAGATGGATGTTTCTCATCTTCTTGACAAATATCCTGCAGATTGTCAGTGGGGTTTCAGACCAGGCCAGTTGGCTGGTCAGTCAAGCAAAATAGTTTTATGACCAGCAAGCCATTTAGTAATAATTTTGGCAATACGGGCAAGTGCCCTACTGGAAAAGGGGATCAGCATCTCTGCAAAGCTGGTCAGCAGATGGAAGCGTGAAGTGCTCCAAGATCACCATGTTGATGGCTGTGATGACTTTGGACTTGGTAAAACACAGTGGGACACCCACAGGAAACAAGCATGGGAAACCAAGTCATAGACAGCAGAAACTTCACACTGGACTTCAAACACCTTGGATTTTGTGCCTCTCCACTCTTCTTTCTGACTTTAGGACTGTGATTTCCAAATGAAATGCAAAACTTACTCTCATCTGGAAAGAGGACTTTGGGTCACTGAGCTCTTAGCCCAGATACTTTAGGCATCTGTGTGTTGCAGCACTTGACATACTGACACCAATCTCAGTCCAGTCCTTGTGAAGCTCTTCCAAGTTCTTGATTCATCTGCGTCTTGACAGTTATGAGGCTGTGGCTGCCCCTATTGCTTGTGCACCTTTCCTGCCATACTTTCCCTTTCTTTAAAATGATTTGATACAGCAAACTGTAAACAGCCAGCCTATTTAGAAATGACCTTCTCTGGGTTTTCTTCCTTGTGGGGGTTGTCAACATCCAAAGACTACAATTAATTCAAGATGCTGCCGCCAGACTTTTAACTCTTAGCAAGAGAGGTGACCATATAACACCAGTCCTTTCTGCCTTTTGCTGGCTCCCTGCAAGTTTTAGAATAGATTTTAAAATTTTACGGCTTCTTTTTAAAGCCTTAAATGGCCAGGCTCCAGCTTATGTCTGTGAGCTGCTAACTCCATATGAGCCTGACTGCAGCCTGAGGTCTTCTAGTAGGATCCTACTTGTGGTTGTAGATTAAGAGGTGACTTAGTCTACAATATATTAAATGTTCACTTTGTTAAATAACTGGTGAAAAATATTGAACTTTTAACAATCTTCTAATTCTTTGAGATGCACCTTTATCGTCTCTTGTGTATATTTTTTCTGCACACAGGCTATAGTCCTTGTTGCACTGGCTGTAAGATTGATTTCCAGCCCCAGCATAAGTAGGAGCATGTCATCCCCTCCACACACATACACGCATTTTTAGTCTCTCTCAAACTGTCCCATCAAATTAAAGGCAAAATCCCCCCAAAAAAACAATCTTAGAAAAGTACTTTCTGTAAAGTATTTTGAATGTAAACTAAGGTCATAGACACAAAACATACTGTACTTTTTTATCTCTGGGAAAAATATTTCTGCCAATTTAATGTGAAATTTTAAGATGAAGCTTTACAGATATAACTCAATTTTCAGATAGTATTATGTTAAATGCAGCATATGACAGTGCTGTTTCTAGATAACCTTAAATTTCTCTGGAGCACTGGATTTCCAAAACCAACTACAATCCAACAATTTGTTAACCAATTCTGTTTTTTTTCTGTTTAGGGAAGAATTGAACTCTCTCATGGTGCTTGAAAAAAGTTTACACACAGAAATAGAAGACGCTGAGACAGCAGTCATTCAAACAGAGGAAAAGTGTGCCGCCATAACACAGAGCATCCCTGAAACTACAGAGCTCATGAAGACTGGGAAAGACCAGGTAACTGATATTATTCATGTTTACATTTTTTAAAATGTTAAATACATTTCCTCTCAGTGGAGAGTGTGTCAAATTAACCATTTTCTTTCTATTTGAACAGATTGTGGAGTTGAAATATCACATCGAGGAGGAAGTGCGAAAGAATAAAAAATTAAAGGAAAAACTAATATCCCTGCAGGAACACATTGAGAAAGCTGTATGTATTATCACAGTATTGTTGCTTTTACAATGTGGGTGCTGCTTCGGCTACTTATGTGTGTCTTGATAGTTCATTGGGTAGTGCATGGCTCACGACTGCCAGACTATGATTGGACTCTCACTGAAGCTATGCATGCTAATAATGTTTGAATTCATGGGGCTGTAAGGTGTTTTGCATGTGCATCCACACAGTGGCACACTATATGTTGTGTTATCCACAGAGACTCAGTGGGGAAGCAGAGGTTTCCTGCATAGAAGAGCAGCTCCGTTCAAAATGTAATGCCTTCACAGCTCTCTGTGAAGAGAACTTGGGCTTTGAGCAGGATATAGAAGACTACAAGAGGAAACTTTCAGAGAGGTTCCTTGTCAAAACAAAGCCTAAACACACATAAAATATCTCATCTTTGCTGTATGCCACTTATGTGTGTTTACTATCATTTCTCTGCACGTTTTTTTTTTTCTCCAGTGAGAAAACAGTGAGGCAGATGAGTGAGGAGAAAAAGCAGATGCTCCAGAAAATCATTGACAATGACAGGCAGTGGGAAAAGGCCAAGGAGGAAGTGACCGACGTTGTAGCTCAGCACAGTGTCACCCGGACTAAACTGGAAGAGCAGGAGCAGCGCACCTTCATGGAAGAACAGAGAGCCAGGGTCAGCGGCGGCATGTCCACGAACTGTGTGCATGTTCTATACTGCATGAGTCACAGTTAGTAAGGAAAACGTGATATGCCTGATGCTCCCTTCAGTGTTATGTGGTTTTTGTTTTACGCTCCGCAGAAAGAGATTGAAAACCTGAAGAAAGACCTGACAGGTCAGACCACTGCCCTAGAACTACTAAAGGTAAATTCATGAGACTGGGTCCTTGTTTCTGACTGAGTGCTTTTCACTTAGAGTGACAGAAAATGAGAGTGACAAAGACAGTTGACAACCTCAGGTTATATTGCTAACTTTCCTGATTTAATGTTTTGATGGTACCAGGATATATAGTTATGTAAACATGACGAAGAGGTGAACTTTGTTAGGGCACCGGCTGAATAAGAACTGAACGTTAGATATTTCACAGTTAGTTTTGAATTTACAGCTGTGTTGATTTGTATTTTTCCCAACACCAGTTGAATGAAATTATACTTTCTTTGGCCTGTACATATTTTTTCTAAGAGGGAAATACATTCTGGTCTTATTTACTTTTGCATCAGGCTCATTGTGAAGATTTAAATGAAGAATTGTATCGGCACCAGAGGTGCTCAGCGCTGACAAACCAAAAACTTCAGAAGGAATTTGACGAAGCATCTTCAGCAACAAAGACTCTGGAAACAAAGGTTGAGGTACTGAAAGAATTTAGCAAATATTAGAACATTATTACATCTCGACTCTAGTTATAATATTTAGGACAATTTGTAGAAGTTTTAAGTCTAGCATTTTTACTTAACTTTTATTTCTGCAGAAAATCAGACTGTTGACGGAAAAGTTTGAAAGGACTGAGAGCGAACAAAAGATCTCATTAATCAACCTCGACCAGGAGAAGAAACTCAAATGTGATCGCCTGAGAGCTGCTGAGGTAAGAAACAAAAACCAACGAGTGAACTGAAGCAACTCTGTCTATACTTAAGGAAGAGTCCAACTTGCTTTGTGTGTCGCAAATCACAGTGATGGAACAAAATGATCTCTTGTTCAAAACAAACTGCTTTTTAGATTTTTTTGTTACACTTTATTTGACGCCTATCTCTATAACGCATTATGAATATATGTATAATGCATGGTAATCACATTAAAGCACTGTATAACTGTCATCATAAACACTCACAAATGATCAGAATGCTATATAGCAATAACCATAACACATTATAAACCATATAATCATCAGGTATTATAATGTGTTACGCTAATTGTTAGAAAGCCTTCTGATAATTAATAAATGTTTATAATGATAGTCATACAAGTTTATAAGCAAATTAAAACACATCATAAGCATTATCTACGTGGGCATTGTCAGTGAGTTGTTAACAATTTTAACACATTATAATACTTAACCTTGTAAGTCATGATAAAAATGCTTTTTAATGTGTCATGATTATAGCTATAAAGCATTATGATCATTTATGAGTGTTTATAACTATAGTTATACACTGCTATAATGTGATTATAACGCATTAAACATATATTTATAATGCCTTATAGAAATAGGCGTCAAGTAAAGTGTTACCATTTTTATTTTCTACACAAATGCTACTGTTTCTCCTCAGGATTTACATGCTGCCACTGTAAAGAGATACGAAAACATCCTGGACAGAATCAGTGGCCTCACAGAGAAGAGCAAAGAATACCAAGTTGCTTCAGATGAAATGGAAAAAATCGCTGAAATTATACCAGGAAATATAGAAGACCTTAAGTAAGTCGGTCATACTCAGCGTAAAAATAACCATAGAAATACTCAGCCTTTGCTTGATAACGAAGAAAGCCTTTCATCATATGTTTAACAGTATTTAAAAATGTTCCTAATGAGGAGTATTTTCTAAAATAATGATTTAGTTTGAGTAAATTTATATCAGCTCTCCTGCTAATGTCGCAATCCTATAATTATGACATCAAAGAAATGCCTTTTTAGAAAATGAATATCATTGTTGTGTATAATTCTTTCCTCCAGAAGTGTTTTTGATGTGGTGGAATTCAAAAACAAATCAGCTGCTCTCATAATGAGCACTTTGCAGTCTGATATTAATAACTGCCAACAACGAACACAGCGATCCATGCAGACACACACTGCTCATCTTACTGCAAGAAAACAAGAAATGGAAGACACCAAGGTAACACGACGTTATTCAGTCTAACTCTGTGTAAATACATGACTTTTTGTTGTGTCAAGAAGTGTGAGACAAGCTGTAAAAAAAGATAGAAAAAAAAAAAACATCTCATTGTTTATTTGTTTGTGGATTAGTGTCAGCACATTGCTTGTCACAATACTTCCCTTAAGATGCAGAGAAAAGAGCTGCGTGCAATTAAAATTACAAGCCATGGTCAATCTTGTTTAAGTGCTTTCCCACAAATGACAACTCACTGTTGTTGTAGTCTTTTGTCTGGATGAGTTTGATGATGCATGTCATTGTGAGATTCAGTGCATATTGTGTTACCTGTAGGCCAATATTTTACATAGCAATTTCACTGTAAGCACACAGTTTAGAATATCAAATAAGCATTTAACGTCTGCATTTTTTACCATCACATCAGAAATAGTCTCTGGTAAAAACACCAGCATACTGTGCACAAAATGGCATGTATTTGAACTCTCTTTTGTGAGAGAAACCCCTATTTATTGTAAGGTTTTCATCTGCAGGATTATCAGCCCCAGCCAGAGCCTCTTTGCTGATGGGGGTTTCACATGGCTTATCTAATGTGAAATCGCCATGTGGTATATAGTTTCATTAAACGGTGATCAAGAATGCATTAGTTCAAAACAAGAAAAGGCAATGGAGCTTAAGCCGCCATGCATCCAAGTGCAGCAACTTTAAAGAAGTTGTTGGCGTGAGACAATTTAAGAATTAGAAGTCTTCCTCATAGACACAACTCCCATTAGCCAGATAAAAGTTAGTCATGCAAAGCAGGGTTTAGTCTTTTCACTCGACGAAATAAGATGATATAACAACAATACTCCTCACCAAATAAAAAGATCACAGAGAGTGAAGCTGTAAGGAAATTGGTCACTTTAATCGTTGCAACCAATATAAAGCACACATAATGTCTGCATTAGCATAAGCACAGTGTGCACTCAGAAATCACAGTGCATGAAGCAGAATGGTTAGACACTTCCAAATATTCTTATAGAAGAGATTTCTTCTAAAAATGCTGACCAAATACTCCACTCTTACGAGCTCCTGTGGATTTACAGCCCCTCTTTTATATTAGAGACTAATACGGGTCAATATAACTAAAAACCTGGAAAATCCAAATGTGGCTGTCTCAGATTACACCTATGAAGTATTATTTTGAAGATACTAACACAGGGTCTTTAAATTTGAATTCTGTTGATGTGTTTCATCCAAGGTATTCCCTCTGCATCACATACGTACCTAAAAAGTGTTTCATCTTTCATACATGCACCTATTTTTTTTGTTTTTATTTGATCAGGGCCTGTCGTATGGCGAGCACAAAGTAAACAATGCAAACTGCCGACGCTATCAGTTTCTTATGGGCAATGAAGTGTAATTTGTTCCATTTACACTTCACAACAGCATCAGATGGGCTTTGTCAGTGCTGCATGGAGTAATTAAACCTGAAATCAATAGCAGGCATTTGTCATGTTTACAGCCCCTCTTTCTGCTGGGTTAAACTCATCACTTTAGTGCTGTTCTGTTTTACTGCAGAGACACACTTCATTATGTCTGCAGGTAGAGTTGAGATATTTGCCAGCCACATATCCCGCACTCAGGAAACATTGTTCACATGAAAAGAGGACATGCAGAGAGACACATACTCAATTTGATTTATTGTCTTGATTCCCTAGAAAAGTGCCCAATATTGCATGCCTGCTTTTCATGTTACCCTCATTTACAGCACTAATACAGGAAAAAGAGCATATTGTACTTTATGCACACGTTGCAGAACAGCGATACAACTTGAACGTTTCCTCAGCGGTCAGTACGATCTTACTATGTGTTGTGTACAGTAGAGGTCGACAGATATCACTTTTTCAGCTGCTGATGCCGATAAAGATTATAAGGGAGCATTTTAGCTGATTGCCAATATTACATGCTGATTCTAAATTGATACTGATTCTAATGTCATGTTGTTTCATTTTTTCTTCTTTGTTTGAATTTGACAAAATAAAACTATTAGATAATGCGAAGAAATGACAAACAAAATTGCTAAACTTGAATTAATATTTTTTAAATAAATGCAGATGGAGAGACATTTGGCTCTGTAAAATATCGCTACATGGGATTTTTGAATTTATATCCAGTTGTCTAAAAGTGCAAAAAATCATATGAGGTAAATATTAAGGTTTGAATAACAATCGAAAAAAGGTAATTTACAGATTCATTATTTCATGCAAACTAAAATCTGATATGCATGGTTATTATCCAGGAACATGTTAGATTTCAGAAAATAGGTGTTTTTTCTATCTTACTATTATCACATGATCTATATTAAAACACTAACCAGTGCTGGTCCAACACCAGATTGGTGCAGGGCCAATGCTAAGCTTGTTAACCCAATAAAGAAATCAGCCATGAGGTGATTGGCCAACTTTAAATTTGGTTTGTTACTAATGTAAGTTACATTAATTGAGTCACAGAGGAACACAGGCTTAAGTTAACCAGCATAACAGTGAACACAACAACATGTTACCTGACATAACGCTGTAATTATTCTAGTCATTTTTGCACTATGCGATATTCAGAGTTTAATTAAGGGGAAAAGAGAAAACCGGTATACCTCGACAGACGCTCTGAAGTGATGTTCCAGGGTAATGAATATGAGAAAAGTAGATGGATCTGTGTATTACAAATGAAGGTATAGAGATGGTGTAAGTTTGTCACTTTGAAAGTAGTTAGATTATTAGCCTGCTTGTGATTTCTTGGTTATTAAAAAATTCTGTTGTTCTCACTTTACGTGTTCGCAGGACACATTGAAAATTGCGCTACAGGAGAACGAACAGCTTGCCAGCAAGTACGAAAAACTTAAGAGGATCCTCACTGAGGCAAAACAGGAATCAGTGTCTGTCCTGGGGGAGAAAAACCACACACATGATGCTTTTCATTGCTGCACACAGGTACCGTTTATATATGTCCTAAACATCACTTCCCCTCTCTTTATTTTTACATTTTGTTTGTCGGCTTTAAAGTTTTCACTGCCATCTTATGCCCTGATCCCACATGTTCTATCCCATGCACTGGAAAGCTCCTCTTTGCATGGGCAGCCTTTTAAACAAGGTTTTAGTCTTGCAACCAGCGAGGAGGTTACTGCAGCAATCTAATAATGATGAGATAACTTGAGTGGAGGAGGATGATGGATGTGACATAATGTAATGATAGCACTGTGGTTTTGCCACCAAAGGGAGTATAGAGAAAGGTTGATGGTACATGTAAATACTCTACCTACTACATTTTCTTGATTATAGCTTTAGTAAGGTGGTCAGAGGTGAAACATTTTATTATCAACGGTGTCACAAATGTGCCCCTGCTCACTACAGCTCACACACCATTAGTTAGGCACAGGTTAGAAATGACAAAAAAGCACATCCAGTACTAAAATATCAACCGGGGTCTTGACTAGTTGAGGGAGACAACAGAGCAGCATTTTAGCATTTAATCTTTATAGTTTTTGACACTATTTAACTGGAATAGAATTACGCATGACAGGCATAACACTCGAAAGAAGCCACAGTGCTCCTGCAATAGAAAATACATATTATTTGTTCCAAAAATGACTAATACCTTTACTTGAGCAATTCCTCATCTAACTGCATGAATGTTATCAAGTGAAAAATGCATGCAAAAATAAAATCCTGTGGACAGGATTTTCCACGCTCATGATCAAAGCCTGATTTTCTTTTACTCTGGATTCAGCCTTCACCATTTTTGTTTGTTTCAACTCCACACTTCTACAACAGCAGCCTCTTGGCTAGTGTTTTATAAATTTAGTTTTTCTAACAAGCTTATGATTAAAAAATGTTTGTGAGATGTAGATGCAGGCCTTTCACATTTAATCTGATATAAACAAGAAGATTTAAGCCCTCTTCTTTCCTGTTTTTAAGATTACAGTTATCTTTATACTGCTTGCTTTTTATGTCCTAGTAAGTATACGTACTTGATAATGTGATTATCCTTGATTTATTTGTAACTAGAGGCAATGGGGGAAAGATACAACACTGTCAGTATCTTTGCATGAATCGCAACATGTATCTGTGAGAGATGCCCCACACCTTTCATTTATGGGTGCAGGGCTCATAATCTCTTTAATTCAATTCAACCGAGAGGCATAATGAAAACCATCTCTTGTGTTTTCTGATATAGAAGTACAATCAGGTCAGCAGGCATCCCTTACCTGAACCCTTATCTAACAGTAGCATGTACAGAAACAAAAGATGGCTCTACCTTAAGAGCAGAAATGGTTTATTTTCCACAAGCTGACATATTGGGATAGATAATGTCACCCCTTTAATGTTAGAGAAGATTAAACAACTATACACATGAGAACTAAATTCAATAACTCAACACCAGTATCAAAACTACTTATATTTAAGAGCCTTAGTAGTGCCTTTAAGTGCCTTGAATTAGTATATTTTTAATTTTTTCCCATTTACTGATATAGTACTTTTTACATATACTCTAAGATCTCTTTGTCTCTTTATGTGGACAGATTTCTGGGGTAGTATATATACAGCCATGTGTACGGTCAAACAACTACCATCAACTTTCTATGAAAACAGAGTTTGAAGATCTTTGGTCACTCAAATGTGTTAGTTTGGGAGTTTTTCTATATTTCGCCATTACAGGTGATGCTCACACCACAGCAGCTTTAACATACATTTATTTTAGATGAAAACATATGTTTATGAATTAGATGGCCATCCAACTTGAAATTATGGTTATATGTAGAATACCACAGCTTTCTATTTTAAAGCATACAAGTGGTATGTTTCCAATTTTTTTTAGTCAACACATTTCTTAACAACATTACTTTTTTATGCTGTTGCAGTAATGTTGATTGTTCTGCATGGGTATATGACCTCATCAGAATTCAGTAATTGTAAAGACACCATAATAAATAAGGTTCTCATCCATAATTGAAAAAAAATGTCATCTGATTGTACTTGCCAGTATGTGCCTCTTGTAAAAATCCTCCAAATTGTATACTGTACATGAAAGCATCGCTTTGTTTATGTGGAGGCTTTCAGCTCTTAGTTTTAACAGGGTACACCATAAAGAGCATTCTTGTTATTGTCTTTCCTTCAGGAGCTGATGACTGAGCTAATTCGCTTTAGTTTTCAATGCACTGGGGAACACATTGCCAAGCAATGATAAGCTTTGTAGGAAGAGTAGAGAGATGGAGGGGGGAAGAAAAGCAATGGCATCTATCAGAATTTAAACCTCTTTGCTTGAAACTGTGTTCAAATAATAAAGCAAGCAGCATGTCTTTCCGAGAGACTAGGAATAATTTCTGGTTTCAGTGGGGGGTTCATGACTCTGTGTGTATGTGTAAAATATGTCTTGAGGGGATTGGTATAAAGTTAAACTGGGTGAAGTAGAAATATTTTACTCATCAGCTTTGCAGTCACAGAGTTTGCCTCGGCTAGAACAAAACTGCTGAAGCATTTAGAGAAAATTAACCCCCCATCCTGGCAGCCAGATGTGACTGGATTCTGATGAGTGCACACGAGTGGGCAGAGAAACCAAGAGACTGTGAAATTCCTGTCAGGCCCGTGTACTGCAGAATGGGCTATTGACTGCTTTCTCTATTCCCCTCCATCATTCTTCTTGAACACTGCCATTAATTTCCTCTCCTGCCTTACCAATTCCTTTTCTCTCCCTTCTCTCCCTCTAGCTCTCTTTGTTGCAGAAGAGGATGCACAAAGCTTTGGTGAAATACTTCAAACAACGCAGCCTCTACAGCCAGGCTGAACTGGACCGGTGCCAGGCTCTTTCTCAAGAGACCGACCAGAAAATAAAAACAGCCCAGGTATTTGTACAAATAAATGTAAAACAGGCAGGGAAACTTCACAACTGTCCCTATTCATATAAATGGTAAATCCCTTTATTCAACTTTTATCCAAGTCTAGGTATTCTACCGGATGGAGGGGTATTCTTTCCATACTACACTAACTCCATGTTATGCTTGGCATTGTTTGAGCCTCTTCTGGCTAGTCGGTTGCCTTGTGTCTTCTTTGCCAAGCAAGGGCAGCCAGGCAGACATCCACCAAGGCTTTGTGCCTCATTGCTATGGGGGGAGTTAAAGACACCACTCTTACATTACACTCTATACATTCACTCATCAGATCACATACTCCCGTGATGGATGATGTGTCTGCTAGACTTCCTATGCAGTGACTCCATGTCTGAGGCTAACTCTGCCTCCCTAGATAACTCTATACACACAACACACCGCTTGCACACGTTGCATTAACATTGAACATGTTTAGCAGGGGCATGTGTTACTTTTATGGCTCTTATGGAGAGTTATCAGTCATCTGGAGGATATCCGCGTTACAGATTCTCTCTTGTGAGCGCAGCAACCCCCGCTGTCTGTCTTGCAGAAGAGTAGCAGCATGTCCTGCAAGGTTGAGAAGTAAGGATCTTCATTTAGAGGATAATCGGTGTCTAATCTGTGCTGTGATGTGAGATGAGGTCAAAGCGGACGGAGAGACAGTGATGAATCTTTATGAAATACCCTGTCCAGCATCACCACTGAGCCAGGTGGCATAAGACCATGCTAGGAATTACTCTCCCAACACTTTTCACTCCTTTTGAATTTACTATTCATGTTTTGCTGTCAAATAAATATGTATTCTGATTTTTTAGCCTATTTTTGTTCACAAAAATCTTATTACTACTTGTCTATTTACGCAAAGTACTCTGATTAGATTTGAGCTTGTCCACGGGAGCCCTTAGTGAAAATACTATTAAGTGGTTTCTCTCTCAGTTCCTCCTCCTCTGACTGCTGACATGTTTTTTTGATGGGTTTGCTCCAGACATTACAGGGAGCAGCCATGTCTCACTGGCCCAGCCTGAAAAGGCCCCAGCAGATCACAGCTCAAGGCAGGGAGGAGTAGGGCACAGGGGGAGGAGCTATCAGAGAGCCGCAGAGTGTGAAGGACAAAAGAGCTGGTGTATTCAAGCGCACCACACCGTCACCCGTCACAGCTCAGCACAGGGTCCATCAGAGCAGGCAGCACTCACTTTAAACAGGCTCTTCGTGAACAGTCCAGCTAAGGGTCTCTCCTTCAAAACGTACACATGTAGAAAAACCTATAGGAGAAAGGTAAAGAAATAAAAAATCTTACAGGAGTTTATGAGCAGGAATAAACACACAATCTACACTAATCTCTAAAAACTAATTTGGTGTTATGGTCCTCCAAATGCGAAGAAACATTATTATGACTGTTTTAATAGTTGAGCAGTTAACAAAGAGGTTTACTCTTTATTAAATGATGCACATGATTAACATGATCAGAATTGTAGCAGCTTTGAAGGAAAAACTGTAGACATCAGAAAGGATAACCGATACTTGTTGTAAATGGAGTCTTAGCAGGCTGAATCCAGATGAGACCTATAGTAATCCATCATATCCACTTAACCCCACAAGCACAACATAAGAGAGGTCAGGTTAGTACTTTCACGGCTAGAGTGTGCTTGATCCAGAAGCAAAACGGCATCTTGCTCAAAAGTAGCTTGAGGGGGAGGAAGGCCAGGGAACCCTAGGGTGGGTGGATGGGAGTGGGTGGTGGTGGTGGTGGTGGTGGTGGTGGTGGGAGAGAGAGTGGGGGGGCGGCGGGCTGTCATCCTGTTACACTCCTGCCAGAACTGGCAGTTCAGCTTTGTGTTCTGCAGTTTACACTAGGGATGGCATAATTGACAATGGCTAACAGCGGAGAGCAGTGCAGAGCCTTGTTGAATGGCCAGTAATGATTGGAGCAGACGCCCACTGCCCCAGTCCCGAGGGACAGTAATCCAAGATCCTGTTGCTGATATAATTGTTAGTCAGAGAATTTCTGCATGGCTAGGCCGGTTCAGATTCCCAAGCTGGTTGACAGTGCCAGGCAGTTTAATAGAAAAACTGGATGCTGAGGTTTTTAAAACAGAGGAGCACTGAACCTGTACGCAGTTCACCAGGAGCCTCTTGTTCTCCTTCCTCAGAAAAATAAGAACAGGATGGTAACTTAACTCTCACAATTACAGCACCACCATCATCTGCGAGTGTGGGATGCACAAGTTTGTATCACTGCCTTTGTGCACAAACAGCGTTTACTTTAATTAGCTGTTTCATTTATTCTGCGTCCTCTTTTTTTTAAACAGGGGGGGCTGTCAGAAGATATTCAGCTCATCTCTGCATTTCTGCAAACCCTGACAGATGACTCTACTACCACTAGTGATGCTGTGGTGAACAAGCAAACCCGTCCAGATGCGGCTGGATCGAAGGAGTAGATGCCTTCAGTTCAAACAGCGGTGTAATTGGACATTCACCTGTACCAGACAACTTACTTACCCTAGCACGCTTCACTATCCCCCCTCTTTACTTGCAGCAAATCCATAACAATGAAACAGGTGACTTTCATGCTGCTGTCAGGACTGATCTAATTTTAGCTGGGTGAATGATTGCAATTGGCTTTGCCTCATCAGATAATTAATCTATGTCACCATTAATTGGAAAAGAGAATAATTACAGGCAGTGTTGACAGAAATTCTACGCTTCTCCAGATTCCAAGATCTAATTACAACTAGTGAAACCCTGTGACCTTAACTAGCACTTAGTACACCTTGGCCACCTTGACCATGTCCATGTGATGACCACTGTCTCACGAAGGACCCTGTTTTTGTTATGGCACTCCGCACTATGCGCTCCTTTCTCTCACCTCACACTCTGAAAGCTGTCTCCCTCAATCACTTTTCAATATTCAATCTTAATTTTGTGGAAGTTTAGCATTTTCAATGAGCTGGAGATGAATGATTAATGAATAAATTTAAATGCTTCATTTTGTCCATGGATCATTAGTTAAGTCCTTTGTGGGAAGGACCTGAGAAAGGAGTGAAAATTATTGAGACATTAGCCTGAAGCAATCCAGGGGTAAATAGTGTGCACAAAAGGATGTTGTGTGTGCACTATCCACTGGCTTTCTAAAGAAGCCTGGGGAAACGGTGTTTTCAATTTGGAATCTTAACTGAATCACATTTAGTACTTGTAGAAAATTGATTTTTGTTTCATCATGTTTCAACAATGTCATACTAATGGAGCACACTAATGCCTCTTCCATATAGTCCTTAAAAGTTAACTGTAAGGGTTTCTAGATGAACAGTACTTGAGTAAATTTTGGTCGATACATATTTGAATATACATCACAGAAGAAGCACAAGTAAATAATACCTCCAATTTTCGTCTTTTAAGTGTACAAATACTGTTATTTTTTCTATCAGCTCTGTTTATTCTAAGGTCAAAGCTCCTTGACTGTTCTCCTTATGTGTTACCCCCTGTTTCAGTCTGTGCGACTTACAGGGATGCTGTTGTTGTTATCAGTACACCCAGTCTCTCCTACTCATGGAGACAGAAGGGGGCAGTGTGAACACAACATTAAAAAGACATAAAAGTCCAGCCCTGTATCCTCAACTTGACCATTACATGTCATTTTAAATTAAGGACCTAGCCAAGTGTAATATTATGAGCAATTTTGGTTTTCAAAAATAATTAAATAGCCTGACTTGTGTTGTCTCTTTATGCATGAAAGAATAAATTCTTTGAGTTTTAATTCTTTCGAATCTCTTCACTCCAACATACTATATCACAATTATTAGTCAGAAAAGTAAAAGCAAAATAGCACCAACTCTGCACCTTTCACTGACCACTCACAAAGTCATGATGCCACATAATCTCTGAGAGCACTCTAAAGAGAAAAACGTTCAGTCCGTCATATACTCTCTACCAACTATAAGGCAATATTTCAAGTGAAGGTCCCTGACTGGTACATTTATCTACTGTCTTTGCATCCAATCAATCTCTTAATAAATGAAAATGAGCCACAACTAGATGTCATCACATTTATCTGCAGGTGTGCTTCGATGTGCACACACCTAGATGCTGCTGCTCCCGAGAGGGTGGACGTTGAAAGTACTAATGGGACTCCTTGACAGATGAGATGTATTTTTTTTTTATATTAAATGTTTGTTTCAGGAAGATTTGGGTAAAATATACAGCACAAGCCTCACTCCAGTGTTGCGCTCTGTGATACGTCTAAGCTGCTTTTGAAGATCTTTGTGTAGTTTTGTGAAAAAAAAGCAGATTTTTCTGGAGACATGTTGGGAAAATCTGATTTACAGGCAGCATGATACTCAATTTCCGCCTGGTGCCACCATGCAGACGATGGGCCTGTTTCATTTGGATTCACTTCAGCGGTTACTTCTGATCGCTGACGTGAAGCCAAGTGAATCAGGGCAACATCCTGTCTTCTGAAGCTAACCAAAATTCTGTTTTGAGATCGTTTTAAAAACCAGGAAAATGGAGGTGTCCACTCAAGCCGTCCTGTCTTTGTTCAGAAGCAAGTGGAGAGTTGAGCCATGGAGCTGATGGAGTCAAAGAAAGAATGTGAGTAGAGAGAGGTGCTACTGTGTCTAAAATATCAATGAGGGAGATGCTGCCAAGTTTTGGTGCACACAGAGGGGAACAGGTCCTCTGTTAACAAAGAGTAGACCAGGCAGCTCTTCTCTGCTTTATTTTGTGATTATCTCTACCCTTATAGTGGAAGATTTTATTCTGTTTCAACCTACAAACTTTACTCATTGTCTTTTCCTCATTCCCCCAGTGTTTACACATAACAGGCTATCAGGGAGAGAGCTGCTTTAAAGTTTAGGCGACCACAGCATCTGTCATTCAGTCATACTTTACAGCTGAACAATACACTGGAACGCTGTGTGTTTGCCCAGGTGAGTCTTTAATGTGGAACTCTGCAGAAAACATGCCAAACAAACTCATCAGTATAACAATACGTGTTCCTTGTGTTTCCACACTCGTTTGATTTCAAAGATATTTATCTTAACAGGATAATAATTTGTGAAAGTCTCTGACATTTGTGGCTAGCTAGCATGATAATAAATCCATGGCTTGGAACATTTTTTAGTTAATTAGAGTCAATCAATCCAAACTTTGCTCACTTACCGGTGTGAAACCGGAGTATAATGAGCAGAAATCAGCATGGTGATTGGAAAACACAAATTACAGCTGTTAAAGAGAAACTCATCCACTTTTCTTCTGTTGATGCCAGTGCCTGCTGCGAGGATTTAAAATTAGCATGGCATTCCTTTAATGGATGTTGGGGGAATGTGCTCCTCTATAATTAAAAAACCTGTTAATATCCTTGCAGGTTAAAATAAGAGGAGGTTAGTATGATTACATGACAACCCCTCAAATGGACATATTGGCCGGCTTATTGTTACACACAAAAATCCCTGTTTTTTTATTTAGTTTTAACGTGACATTACTGATTTTTTTCTTTTGTTATTTCTAAAATAAAAGCCCCCTATTAACCTCCACAGCCTACGTAAGGTATATGCTGTTTAAATGATGTATTAGCAAGGTTGTTTTCCTGTTTATGTGTATTATGAGAAAATGAAGTAACAGTACATAATGGTGTGTGACCACATGAGCAAGGTGGTCAGCACTACTGCTTCAGCAAGATTATGTGGCTTATTAATGAACTTCTATAATATACACAGACTGTCTTTGCTGTTACAGGCTGTGTATGTCTCCATATTCAGAGCTACATTCATATTAGTCTTGACATATTCCGTGCACCTTACATTCGTGGAGTAATGATGTGAGTAATAACCTGGTGATGTTAACAGAAGACTTTTATCAATGCTTGGATATGACCTGGCTGCTTGTGGTCACAACGTATGTGACCTCAGTGCTGGATGTAATTTCCCCTAAAGAGCTCTTGGAATGGGAAAGCTTATGTTGTTGAGCTCATGTCGTCGGGGCTGCTAACAGCAGCTTGCCATTGTATTAATTATTGTCAGGGAATCCAAGGGGTGTAGATAATACAGAATGCACTGGTTGGTCCCATTTGTTTCACTTGTCAGTGGAGTGAATAATTGGGAGTGCTGACCATATTAGACACAGAGAATTTCTAAAACATACGACTGAAACAGTTGCAACACAAAAGTATGGCTGGCAAATTAAAAAGCTTAATGTCTGAGAATTTCAAATCACTATGGAATAATTTGCTAGCTTTCCTTTGCCAAAAGGATTCAGTGAAGTTTAACCCTGAGAACAGTAATTCTGATTCATAATGGAGTATACAGTTTAGAGTATGATGCTGAATAGGAAAAAAAAACACTTGTTTATCATTTTATTTTGCATTTGATGTTGCAAAAAGGATTACATTAGGTATTTAATATTTCTTAAGTTCACCTTTAAACTTTAAAGTTGCATTTGCTTCTTAGATAACTGTCAGATATTTTGCACCCCAACTTCTTTCTCTAAAGGCTTGAGAACATTGATACAGTTTTAGTAGAGGGGGTTTGCTAATACAATGGGGCTCATCTTGCAATTCTCCCAAGGAATAACTATCAGTCCTGCTACAGCAGCTTCAGCGTCCCTAGGTGACCGCGCCACTGAGCCCGTGCTCGCTCCATCGCACCCCACTCCACGCCTGCTGCCACCCTGAAGGTAGATGCATCACGCTGGGGAGACTGCGCAACAGCAGCCCCCTCTCTCTCCAGCCCCCAAACCTCCTCCCCAGCACTGTGGCCTCCTGCGGCCCCAGCACATCTCCGGGTATCCACTACAGCCCCGGTCCCTTCTGTCCAGACTCTCCCTCAGGTGAGTCTTCACGCCACCTTTATGTCTCCTCCCACCTGAACGGCACAACTGGCATCCTTTTGTCATTCGAGAAATGCCACACATGCACACATACTGTACACACACATACACACACATGCTCCTGTGCTCACTCTAAAGGGGACACCGCCTGTTCTTTCTGCTCACCTCCCGGCTGCCGGCTGGCTCTCTGAGCCGTGTCTGTGGTGGCTACGCCATGTGTGGGGATCTAGGGGTTTAAAACAGCAGGCCTCCCATACTCCCTGAATGGCAAATATAAGTGCTTCCAATTTATTACACAGAGGATGTTTTATGAATCATCTTTGACTAACTTTCATCTGGAGTGACCAGCACTCACTAATCAGTTCCTGTATCTAGATGTATATGACATAGAGGAATATTCAGTCAAGTTTACATTCACCTGCATTTGTTCAAATTTCTTAATTCCACTTTATCAAAAGAAAGTTGCCATCATTATCTACAGCAGACCTTTTTCTCTGACATTCATATTTTATCACTTCAAGTGAAATTATTCCCCTAATTAGGAAGCCAGGCTGATTACAAACTGGTGAATCCATTATTCCTAACACCCTAAGATACAGTTTGCTGGGACTCACACAGAAGCTTCTAATCAAACCCTCTCAGTATACAGTTTCCTGTTAAATCACATGATATTATTTCATACCACTGTGAACTCTGCTTAGGTGATATAAAACACAGTTTAACATGTTAGAACAAAGGAATCCTCACTGTGTTTTGACACATAGTTGATTGTGTTAAAGGGAGGGCTCTATTTTCATTTAAGATCTGAAAGCCATATAACTAGGTATTCATTGTACCCTACACTCAGCTGTATTTCTCTTCCCTGAATTCTGCAGCATTTCATTTTTAAATATTTCACTATTTTTATCAGACAAAAACCTCTAAACTATAACAGTTTCAATAAAACATAAATTACAACTTTCACTTTATAGGTTGCCATACCACAGCACACTTAGTTAACAAAATATTTTACAAACAAGATGATATCACCCTCTCCATGATATTAATATGATATGTTCTCTGATCTGTAAACAGCTGGTTATCTTGCTTTTCCACGATAAGAGAAAGTGCTGAGGATTTACGCTTGGTGAGCACATTTGGGCTGAATCTTTCACACGTCACAAATTGCAGATGGGAAGCAGTGATCTTGAACAGCCGATCACATTTCCGTGACCATCTGACACCTTCCATTTAGGAAAATAATACTTTCTATCTTAGCATACCCCTCTGCAGCAGCCAGCAAAAGGAATTATGCCTGGTAGACTTTTGCTATTCACAAGTTTGGAGCTTCTCATTTTGTTTTGTTCCATTGCACTGATTAGATTAAATGCTCACTCTTTAATCAGTCATTCAAGACCAGAAAAATATCTACAGTTTGTTATGTTTGGTTTTATTTTATCCATTTAAACATGAGAAATCATACTATAAGGGCAGCAGTAAACCAGCAGACGGAGGGAATAGGGGGCTTTATACAGTCCAGCTATATTAAAAGGGTATTGTATGAGATCACTGTGTACATTTCAAGCCCTGTTTAAATAGAAACCTTAGAAGTGAACAATTCAAATCTCAAGCAATTGTTATTTACTCAAGATGCTCAATAGCATCAGGGTACACAAATAGTTTTTACCCATAGAGGTAGATATGGTATCTGAGTAATATGACAGATAAATATGAGTTGAGTTAACTGGTACAGAGAGTTGTAAATCACTGTGGTGTGATTCTTTGTCTCAAAGGGTTTAATTAGTCTAGAAATTCTTTTCTTATCTGATGACCCCCCCCTTCCACCCCCCCACCCCCTCCACCCCTTCCTCCCTCCCTCTGCACACTGCAACAACTTACAACCATAAACGCCCTGCAATCTGAAGACCAGTGGCCTCAGGAGACTGAGTTGCTACAAAGAGCTGAAAGAGTTGGAAATGGTCATTTTATTGCGTTAGAATAGCACGCTCGAGACTTGGGTAATGTAGTGCTAACTGAGTGCTAGTCCAGATAACAGTGTGCGGCTCTGAGGTGAAATACAGTGGATTACTGTAATAGTCTGCAGTGTCAAGTGATTTGAAAATGAGGCAACACACGACGAGTAGTAAACAATAACACAAACTGCTTTCTTAATGGTTTCAGCTGCTAATTTATACCACAGTGTCATAGTTTTCTGGCAGTTTTTACTTAAAATAAAGCACAAAGTCTAATCGTTCATCTCGTAGAGTTCATGTAGAAAGAATATACTCGGTTTAACTTGAAGAAGCTGCAGACTGCGTGCTTGTCAAACACTCAAACATCAAGCTATCTGGTTCCATCTATTATAAGTGCTACCTATATGTGGCCTGTTATTGCTTGACGATAGCATGGTGCAGCTCTATTTCATAGTACATGAACATACCCATTTATCCCTATCTGTCATTTCATAACTTGTGAAGTATCTGTCACTTCTGGTCCCATGGGAGTCCTATATGTTAGTTGTTGTTTTTTTTTTTTACTCTAATTGAGCTCTTTATTTAATTGACAGTTTATTCACTCCTAATAAGTCATTTATATCAGCTTTGATTGGATTATAAAGAATGTTGTTTTACTTGATTCTTAACCTGCAACTCTTCTGTGTCAAACTGCTAATGATTAGGATTACATTACCTCATTACTCACGTACAGGGTCATAGGAAGGATGCACTTCTAATTAAGATAATACGATTAGATGGCTTAGTTTACAAGTTTTTAAATGTAAGTGTGTCACATCCACACCTCCAGGATCAGGCAGGAGCTGGGGGGGAGTTAACATGGAGTGGTTGAAGGCTCTTATTGTGATATGACAGAAACTATGAGGCAACCAGGAGTTTTGTTTTTTTATGACGTGATGCATCAACCGCCTTGTTTTAATGGACAGAGAGCAGTCTAGTGGGCTTTGTGGGTCCGAGGGGGTGAAAGTGTACGTGGAATCTAAATATCTAACCAGGACTTGGACATACAACACACTATGTGCACTGATGGATGTTGTATTAGGTTTCAAGCCTTTGTGTTTTAAGGCCTGCAGCTAGACCCCAGGTTGTGAGACAATGCACTCCTCAGATAATAGTACACAAAAACACAGCATGTAATGTCAGACTTTATTTTCTCGCTTGTTCTTTTCTAACTTTACATCACTTTATATGCTTGTGTGTGTGTGAAGCAGGGTGCTTTTGTCACATAAGATGTAGGGCTTTAATGAAACATAATAAACAATGCAGGGATAGTATAGTGCAAATTATGTTAGTGATACAGATGCAAAACTTGTGTGTGTTGTGTAAAGCACCTTCTTTTGAAGGACTAGCGGGAGCAGAATGAGATGAGGGGTTATTTTGGCGATGGAGATTAAGGCAGGGGCTTTTTGTCATTTGTGCGAGACAAGCCATTCATCCATCCAGTTCACAGCCAAAAAAAGGCTGGTCCCAGAAATTAGCAGTTTCAGCTCAGCAGCAAAGTCGTCGGGCTGTGAAGGCAGAGAGAAATTGACTAATTAGCAATGCGCACTAAAACTTGACGGTTCTCTCTATAACAGCGAGGGAAAGATTCGGTTTTTCTCCCCCTTTCTCTTTTCTTTCTTCCATAGATGTTTGAAATCGCAGTCATTTACGCTCGACAGTTTTTACAATAGCCTTGAGCCATAATTTTGCGAGTCTCTCCAGCATCCATACCCCTGCATGGTCTCTCTCCACCGGCCATGCACGACCGTTTCTCTCCCCAACCGTGGATTTCCTATTACTCTCGTTACGACTCACTGAGCCCCAGGCCCAAGGATAATGATGTGTTGTTTCTTGGTAGCATAATTTGTCACACGTATATTTCTTCTTCTTCTTCTCTTGCAGAAAGCACAGCTCCCTCTCACACACTCACACACTTCTTGTTAATTCAGAAGAACAAATGATCAACGTCAACAAATAACCTGAAATAGTGACTTTCTGAGTTGGAATCAATGGTGATTTTGAGACACCACCGACAATAGACTTTAAAGGAAAAGGACATTTCTCTAAAAAGGAAGAACAAAGGAAAATTCAAGTGAGATTATTGGGAACCTGAAGCTTTACTTTTCTTTTTTGTCAAGAGCTGAAGTCAGGTAAGTTTGGCTCCTTCTCAGGCGAGCTGCTCACATCATTTAGTTGTGACAGGCGCTTTTAGTGTATCTGGCGACAACGTTACAGCACGCTTCTGTCAAGTTTACACTCGTAGAAATAGCTTTTAGAAAACAATAGAGATGCATTGTACGTTTAACTTTACCGAAAGCTTCATTCCAGTTGTTGTATTCCGATACTCACGTCTGTTTAACTCAGGGGGAGGCTAAAAAAGCGAAACGCATCCGTAGTGCTGCTTGCTGACGGCTCGGAGACAAACTAATTGCTTTTGTATGACTCCGTAAATCTGAGCGGTGTGTGATGTCCTCGTCTTCGTGGGGGAGAGACGGGAGAAGTGTTGTCTGAATGCTGCATGTTCTCCGTCCACCGTGGCGGCTGTTTTTCCCTGGTCCTCATCCGACAACTTCAGCCGCGTTAACCGAGCGAAGGGGGGGGAAAAGCGCTGCAGCATCTCCGTATCTCCGCGTTTTTTCTCTTTTGACAGCGCCCTTCAAAAAGCGTCAGCCTCCATTTAAAACGTATCGTTCTCGAGTTAAGAATGAATAAGAGTGGCACGCTGTGGGAACTACTGCGTTTTTGTTTGTTGCTTTACGACCAGAGCTCAAAGTTGAAAGCGACTGAAACCGTGCTGGATGTAGATAGTCGCCGGCAGGCATGGCATGATGGTTATTCCCCGCTGGACGGACGGGAGATCTGCTCAATAACTTAGGCTACTGGAGAAATTTGGGTTATAAAGAGCGGACTGTAGGCAGCTATAGGCTGCTGTGTGTTGTTCAAATAAATGACCTGAGGTAAATGGCTTGCATGGTTTATTTGTTGCCTAGGTGGCGTTCACAGTCAGGAAGTCATGTCCAGATCGGGTGATAGAACATCCACCTTTGACCCAACACACAGTGACACCCTGCTGCATGGGCTCAACCTCTTATGGAGAAAACAGCTGTTCTGTGATGTGACTCTCACTGCCCAGGGACAGCAGTTCCACTGCCACAAAGCTGTACTGGCATCCTGCTCTCAGTATTTCAGATCTCTCTTCTCCTCCCATAATGCCATCAACAATGAAGGGAGCAAAGGGGACCAGGGCAGCAGTGGGACCCCGTCATCCTCTCCTGACGACAAGTTGGTGACCCCCAGCGCCAGGCCCATTAATAACCTGGTACTCCAGGGCTGCTCCTCCATTGGACTACGATTAGTGCTGGAGTACCTGTACACTGCCAACGTGACTCTTTCCCTGGACACGGTGGAAGAGGTGCTGTCAGTCAGCAAGATCCTCAACATCCCCCAGATTACCAAGCTTAGCGTGCAGTTCCTTAATGACCAGATCTCTGTGCAGAACTACAAGCAGATCTGCAAGATTGCTGCACTCCATGGACTGGATGAGACCAAGAAGTTGGCCAACAAGTACCTGGTGGAGGATGTGCTGCTGCTGAACTTTGAGGAGATGTGTGCCATGCTGGATGCTCTGCCACCTCCAGTGGAGTCAGAGCTGGCTCTGTTCCAGATGTCAGTCCTGTGGCTGGAGCATGACCGGGAGACTCGCATGCACTATGCCCCAGACCTTATGAAAAGGCTGCGTTTCGCCCTCATACCTGCTCCAGAGCTGGTGGAGAGGGTGCAGTCTGTTGACTTCATGAGGAGTGACCCTGTGTGCCAGAAACTACTGCTGGATGCCATGAACTACCACCTCATGCCCTTCAGGCAGCACTGCAGGCAGACTGTGGCCAGCAGGTGAGGATCAAACAGACAAATACACAGAGATATAAAAAAAAGAAGAGAAACACACACAGACATGATTTCACACTCTCTCTCTCACACACACTGACACAGTAATGAGCTGTTTGAAAGTGGACGGAAGGCGACTAAATGCCTCCCACTTGTTAAATTTAAACAAATTGCCGACTCAAGTATTGCCCACTCACTCAAGTATACTGGTCCCACTGCCTGCATAGTTTAGACCTCGTAGGTGGTCAGTCAGAGCTGTGAGGTTTGCGGCCCACTTAATGAGGATTTTTGGGGTTTTCCTGTTATAAATTGCCAGCAGGCACAGGGACTTGATCTGCTCTTTGCTACACTATATTCATCATAACCATAGGATCACCTTATGTTTCATTGGAGGAAAAAACAACAACTCTTAATTTCCTCACACATCTGTGTAATTGGTCTCTAATCGATGTAGACAAGATGCAGCAAATTAGATAAAAAAGGTTTTGCTTTTGATGTGTGCTGTACTGGGATGAATACAACTTGAAATGCTCGTATTAATTTGTTACTAGAATGACATGGTATTTGTAATTCAACTCTGGTTTAAGTTTAAGGATACTTCAACAATTAAGGTAGTGATAACTGACCAAATATTAATGGAGCGCTAATCTCGGTGTGCAATATATATCAAAGAAGGCAGTCTTTATTTCAAATTATGCATAATTTAGAGATATTACCAGCACTTTATTTAATTGCAGAAAGTTCCACCCATAAATGAGCCAAGCTGCATGTGTCACTTCCATGTTTGTCCTGATCAGCACTTTAAGGGGCCGATGAGTAGCCAAGCGTTGTCAGCATGTTGATTGATTGACGGGGCTTTTGTCAGGTTTTGTTTACAGGGCTGACTGTACAGTCAAGCCTGAAATTTCTTATGAGCAGTGATGGCATCAGTATTCAAATTTGGTATTCACTGCATACATCTTTCAAGAGCAGAAATTACAGTTGTGGCATTGGGAGTCTTAATAACTTACAAGTCGAATTTTGAACACAAAGATCTTGAAGGGTTTTTTTTTTTTTTTTTTATTCAGTTGTAACCAGCTCTACATTATCCAAATTACACATTTATTCTCACATACAGACCTAAATGAGCAAAGAATAAGGAATCCTCATAATTAGTTTCACATGCCACTGTTTCTCTCCTCTCTCAATTAATCACCATTATCTATGTCCAGGGGCTCATTTGCATATGAATAACCCCAAAACACTTCACAGTGGGCCAGTAGCAGAGAGAATGTACCAAGACGATGAGGATTTTATCAAGCATAAAAAGTGAAAAGGGAGAAAAGGTGGATGTGGCTGAATATAAAGGCCAGCTACTCTTAATATTTTCCACTGCATATTGTGATTAATTGGTGGATTTGCTCTAAAATTCTGTAGGAGAGGGATCGTGTTTGTTAGTGTACAGTAAAGTGTTGAGTTTTTGGGTAGTGTATCAAACATAAACAGCAGAAAATATCCCAAAGATGTCACATGAATCACTGCAGCCAATGAAATGGAGACGTTGTATGGGCAGGTTTATGTACTCAATTGTGCTTTTGGCCTCTAGAATGGCACCCTCCCCGACCCTCATCACTTCACACCTAATTGAAAAAATGTCTTTTGAGTACCATAACCACTTAATAATGCATAAAAGCATAAGTAAGTAGTTAAGTTTCTTCTGTTAATCATGATAAATGCAGCCACAAATTGCATGATTAGTTGTCTTAAATTAATGAACATAACAGGCATTTGTTCAGCATTTCATTTATGGCTTATTTCATTCATAAATGGAATATTTGCATAGTAACAAAGAAAAAAACACATCGCTTTTGCTGTTGAAAATATAAAAGTAATTGTGTAAATTGGGAATTAAAGGTGTACAGATTCTGATTGTGCTTATTTTTGCCTTTGGATGTTTTATCTCAAGTCTAAATACCTGTTTTGTTCTCTGTTTCCCAAACACTTGTCCACACACCCACACTTCTGACATTACAGAATCCGTTCCAATAAGAGAATGCTGTTACTGGTGGGTGGTTTGCCTCCTGGACCTGATCGTCTCCCAAGCAATTTGGTCCAGTACTATGACGACGAGAAAAAGACATGGAAGATCCTCACAAGTGAGTAGCAAAGGCTCTGCTGCATTTTTTTTTTCACCTGAGGCATCTTGTGTTAGTGGCTTTTTTTATGATGAGACAAAGTTGTTCCTATGGATGACTTTAACACAGGTTAATTTCCACAGAAAATGAGAGGAAGGAGTTCCCTAAATCCTTTAGGTAATAATGTATCACTATCACTTTTAATATAAGTTTTTAATCAGAGCGTGACTTCACAGCACTGTGGAGCTTCATGCCCGGTTTCCCTTGTTTTTGCTGAAATATGCTGGCAGGATGCATGATGAGATTTACAGCAATCTAATGATCTATTGTGGCAGTGATAGAACAGTAATGAATGCAACTTTTTCTCAAAAGCTTTTAAAAGTAGCTTGATTATTCACTTGCATTGATCAGTACAGGAAATTGAGTTTTTCCATACATTCTAAAAGGTACATATTGAAAAAAAAGATTTTGATCCGCTTAGCATGTGTTAAATAAGAAGATGGGTGGGGTTGGTGAACACGACATTCAAAAGCAGATACAATGATTTCAAACAAGTTAGAAAATTGAGAGAAAAACATGAAAATGTATCTTTAAACTTCAGCGATTTATACTAATGACGGTATTGATTGAATGGTATTACTGAAAGGAAGTCATCCTGATTTTTATCATTTTTTCATCGATAGAAATTCCACATCATAGACAAAACAACTGAAGGACAGACATCACAGCACTCACTTCTGTAGCATACCCTGTACTCTCTTTTCTCTCTGTCTTTTCTGACCTTTTGAGGCTCACCACTATATTGTTGCCATATTGAAAGGTCAAACAAGAGCTAATGGGAGACCTTTTTTGTGCTTTGCATCATTATCATCCGACATATTGAGTTTTTTGTCCTTTTGTTTTGGTTGGAGACATATCTCAGCTGGGTCTCTTCATCCGTATATATTAGCCAGAGGTTTGTTTCTGTCAGTTTGGCACTGTGCAGTCTGTATTCCCGTTTTATGGCACGAGTTTTTAGTAAGTCTGGCAGTGTATCATTATATTCATAGCTCAGACAGTCTTAAATTCAGTAAATGTTTTGGATCTGTTTCTATCTCTGCTGGAATTACTATTTTCTTGATGGTTGTTTAATATTACTGAGCTCATATTTGGCCATATTTTACTAAAGGAGCCATGCATACACAACAGCCTGAGACTTTGGAGTCTAGATTGTCAATTTCTCATTTAGCTCACACTCCTGGGTATAAACTGCAACAAGCAAAAGGTCAACAGGGATTTCCATCGCTCAAAACTAAAAAGTTAACACTCAAATGGTCCGTGTCCAAGTGGAAGGACAAAACTGCAAAATCATCCCCTTAACACATCAGTGACCATCTGATGTAGCCTCCACACAATGGATGTGGAATGAAGATTATTAACATTCAATCATAACTTTTCAATGAGGCGAAACCTGAGAGGGACAGCCTTTGATTAAGACATTCATCAACACAATTTGGGGAGAATCTGATCCCTCTCTGGCTGTGTCAGATATATCTGCTGCTCGGTGATTCCAGTGTAAAGTTTGCCATCTAGTGTACCCACAGCAGCGTGGACAAACACAAGACAATGGCAGGCACAGGCTCAGCCACAATGCTTCACTGTACTCTCCCTGCTCTTCTGTAAACCAACCTGATATTACAATCTCCCTCACGGAAATGGACCTCATCTACGCAGTATGGCCTAGAACAAAGGAATCCAGCTCAGTGGGATGCAATCGTAATGGTTGTTAAAGGCACGTCAGAGCTCTAGCAGCAGTGGTGCATTAGCTGTGGAGTCAGTCAACCAACCCCGACTGTGCCTCAATGCAGAGGTTTCTGACTCCCTCTAGTGAGCCCTAGAGCTCACTGTAGACTAGAGAGATGGCATCCATCTCACAGAGGACATACTCATCCTGCCCTCCTATGGCCGCTCACCCCTGGGGTTAGCTGGCGACTCAGGCAAGAGGTGGTGAATAGGTAGATTAATTTCACACCTTTGCTGTGGTGGTAATTTTCTGTCAGGTCTTGCACATTGTAGAAGGGAAAACACTAAATATGTTTGATCATTTTTGTTTGTTTCAAACAGTATACACTATTACTTCTGCTGCTGTTTACCAGTGTGATTGTAACACCTGTAGAGGTACAGCAAATGTTCCAAATCCTCTCACTCTTCATACTGTAGCTGCCTCTTCAATAATCTTCCTTTCAGGCGGGTACAAGATGGTTTTTAGTAGGAGTACAAGTCAGTTGACATCAAATAAAAAGTCACCCATCCATGTCCTATATACTGTCGACTGAATGATAATGTAAATAGCATGTAAGGGAATTTGGCAGTCATATGGCACTCGTCTTTGAGGTGCACTGGAGGCAGGCAACCTAATCCTCTCATTCCAGATAAAGCTGTGTTTAGGGTATGTAGTATTAGTTCCTATCTGAGACTCCCCCCTTCTACCCCCACACCCCCCCCATAGAGGACTGGCACATGTCAGCCAGCCAGAGTGAGATTGCAGGGAGAGGCCAATTGGAAAGAAATGAGATTCAAGGCTGTCTAATTTTGCAGCAACTGCGATCCATCAGGCATTGGGGAGGTGACAGTGGAAATGACTGATGGAGACAGACAGGTGGGCTTTAACATTCCACTGATTTGTGCTCAAAAAGCACCGGGCCTGAGATTTATTGAGTGAACACGATCATGTTCATTATGACTGTCACCTAAGACCATTTCTCTACATCTCAATGGGGTCACTTCAGCAAGAGAAGATGGAGGAGCAGAAGGGAGCACAAAACATACTCAGGGGGGAAATCCTCCACAATAGGCCCCTCTGCAGTTTGTCGCCATTCATGCTAACTCGTACTAAAAGGATTGAGAATACGCTACAGCGCAGATCATATTTCTTGGATGATTTTCATATTTAACTTGAACGAAAGCTGAAAATTTGCTGCTTTTAATAGTAAATGGACTTAAGCTTTTCTAGTTTTCCCAACCACTTAAAGCACTTTGTCACTACTTGTCATATCCAATCATACAATATTCATATAGTGACGGCTCAATGGGCACTTTGGCATGTGACCACAGGAGCAGGGTTTGAACCCCAATCTTCCCCAATTAAAAGACAATCCACTTCACCAATGAGTTAGAGCAGACCCTTTTAACCTAGAGATAGATAGATAGATAGATAGATAGATAGATAGATAGATAGATAGATAGATAGATAGATAGATAGATAGATGTATTGTTGCTACTAACAGTAGCAGAGTTTTCTCTGCTTTGTATTTTTCATTTGTTCCAGTTTGAGAGTCAACAGGCTTGATTCCCCTCAAGAAATCACTTCCTGGAGATGGATGAATGGAAGGGTAGAAAACAAAAGCAATGAGCAGGAGAAATAAATCCTACAATAGAGGCTCAGATTGATGATTGAGAAATATGTGTGTCACTGTAACAAGCATGTTCTGTGCTAATGAGTGCATGGTGTGATTAAATCAAACCTGACATTAAAATGCAGTAAAACAATTCCTACTTTACGACAACAGACTCAGTACATCAGAGTAAAATTAGTCATGATATGTAAATCACTGCCAGTACAAGTGTTGCTTATTAAAACATTGAAATAATATTTTGTGGATGTTTTAAAGATGAAAATGTAATTTTATTAGGACTAATTAAAGTTAATTGTCTGTATCAGAGAACCTGAGTGATAGGTAACCAGGATAAGTTTTTTGTGTGGCTTTGTTTAGTAGAGGGTCAATTTAGTTTTCTGGGAAGGAGTTTTACAAGTTTTTTGCCCATTTTGTTAGTCTGAGCATTGTAAAGTTTGTAAAAAAATAGAGTTGACAATTTTTGATTTCTTGGGCTCCTAGTTTAATCTAATACATACTGGGACACCTAGTAGTGTAGTACCAAACACCTGCAGTATACCACACGTGCTTTAATATTGTAATGCTTCATTGGCATTAAACTGAACTCATATACAGTTGTGTGTTCTGCATTTGTTGCACAAAGGGACTTATGATGACAGCTGACAGTTGTCTATCATATCAGCCCCGGATACTTTACATTATACATATATTTGCATTATAGAGATAGGCGTCAAATAAAGTGTTACCACAAGAGGGTTTATGGACTTAGGTTTCATTGAGATAATAAACTACATATACTTATAATTAAACCTCAGACAGTTCTAAATCAACAAGCTAGCTTTGATATCGCAAAGGTAATGGTTAAAGCAGTGTGTTGTAAGAAATGATGTAGTAAAGATTATTATTCAGTCTTCAACAAGTTAAGTTTTAAACCTGCAACTTACCTGTTTCATTCACCTGTTTTAGTGATTGATGTCTTTAACGTTTGTGTCTCATCCAGTTATGCCTTACAACAGCGCCCATCACTGCGTGGTGGAGGTGGAAAACTTCCTGCTGCTGCTTGGCGGAGAGGACCAGTGGAACCCCAATGGTACAATAACACCTCTGCAGCCTGAAAGCCTTTCTTTTCAGTGATTTCCAACAACAAATATGACACATTTATATAGCTGAGAGAACACTCGGAGCCAGAGTTGATATAAGTTCAAACTCATCAGAGTTAATGTAACACTTTCAGATAGCTTCAGACACTCATCCTGGAGCCAAACCAGCTCTGAGTGTACAAACAACACTCCATCAACACTTGTCCATAATTGGCCCAGAAAAATAACTGTTATTAACACCAAAACATTTTTGAAAGTGTTAGGTCCTTTTAGTGGCAACACACCGCAGTAGTAAGAAAGGAAGACTGTAAATGAACAAAAAAAAAAATCTGACACTGTCCTTTTGTTCTCCTTTCTGCACTTTGTACTATCAGAGTGTTTTATTCAGCATTTTAATTCAAAATAAATGTTGAGGATCACTTAATATGTTTTGAACATGGGTCTAACAACACCAGGTCACTCTGTTTGAAAACCCAGTGTTTAGTCAACACTTATTGACTCTCACAGCAGTCAAAAGCAGCAGAGAGCAACACTAAAAATAATCACCAGTGGGTGGTGACTCTCAGATCATATGCTTTTACTAAACAGAAACCTGCACAGCCAAAGAAGTGAATTTCATTTGCACTGCACATTAAAAAACAACAAACCAGTTCAAACCGAGCAGTGCCTCAGCCTGCCAAAACTATGTTGCATCATAAACGCTTAACCCACTAGACTGAAACATGTCAGTAATCTATGTTTTTGTCTTGATCTAATTTTGCAGGAAAGCACAGCACTAATTTTGTCAGCCGCTATGATCCCAGATTCAACAGCTGGATACAACTGCCTCCTATGCAGGAGAGGTTAGTGTGATTATGGTGGAATAATGATTTGTTAATGATGTGGTAATGGAAATACAGCTGATGATTCACAAAGACTCTGTAGGATTTGGAGTCTCTGCCTCAAAAAACTGCTTTAAGTGTTAACTCTGAATAAGCGATATATAGAAAAACATATTGGGGAAATGAAAATTAATAGATTTATATGAGATACTCTGAAGGTATTTCTACTATAAATACAGTTTTGGAATTGATGCTGTTACATACAAAAAAAAAAACATACACATATAAAATTTGGCATAAAACAGATGTCCATGGTATCATGTAAACTTTAGGGGTCAACATATTTTGAATCTATCTGTTCATCTTATTATAGTAACTTCAGAATCCTCAAATAAATCATGTCCTTGCTGGTTTCGTGACATTGTCTGGATGACACTTGTTTCTCAGGAGAGCAAGTTTCTTCGCCTGCCGTCTGGAAAAGCACCTGTATGTGATTGGTGGAAGGAATGAGAGTGGCTACCTCTCCAGCGTGGAGTCTTACAACCTGGAGACTAACGAGTGGAACTACGTGTCATCTCTGCCACAGCCTCTGGCTGCACATGCAGGAGCTGTGCACAACGGCAAGATCTACATATCAGGTCAGAAAGTGCCTGTTGTATTATCATGAAATACTCATTTAGTTTAATGTAAACAATTTACCTGAACTCCTCCTTGAAAACAGTATTGTAAGGAGTATCTGCCACAACAAAACTTTACATTTATATCAAGTGGTCATCTCTCTTATCAAACCATTTCAGATTCAGAATGGACAATAGGGATGAAACTATCAACGCCACAGAAACAGTTTTTATCTCTTTCTATGGCACAACCAGATGTTGTCATTTCTCACATAAAACTTAGCTGGAGAATCAGTGTGTGAAGCAGATGACCCACTGAGCAATGGAAGGCTATTAGACGTCTATTTTTATTTAGACCTAATTTTAACTCCCAAGATTCTGTATATTTTTAGATGGAATTTAGATGTTGCACTTTAACCCATTATTCGATAACTATTTATTTCAAAAGCAACTGTGAGTTGCATAACTGATCTCCAAGTACTTAACCAAAATAATTATGATAGCTGTTGAGCAATATACAGTGTAGTATAGATATAGCCCAGATTTAGATTTAGTCTAAACTTGGTCTAAATTTAGATGTCTAAAAACCTTCATTTTTAGACCTGTGGTAGCCTGATTTTAGACCAGTCTAGACTACATTTAGACGTCTGTTAGACCTCTCTTAGACCTCTTTCAGACAAAAAAAAGCTTAGTGGGGATGTAGCTGCTAACCTGTAAGTAAAATGAGGAGAAGGCTACAAATATGTGATCTAACCATTCTTTACCGATATCACGCATCACCCTTGTAAAAAACATTTTAAGATTTGAATCTGAAATAGCCAAAAGACTAATTTACGGTATATCCATCTTCAAAATTATGATTCTGACATGTATTTATGAGTTTTAGACAAGGTTCTGAGGTCTGATATTTCAAAATCTTCTCTCAAAGGATAGATATAACATTTTAGACTTTTATTTCTTAAAACATAAAAAACACCTACTGTGCCCTCTGGTTTGTATCAGAGAAGTTCCTTGAATGGTGCAAACTCACAGGTTAGTGATGAACCCTGCTCCACAATTCATGAAAACCAACTCCGTGTAGATTCAGTATAGTGTGGATACACTACAACAGCTGCTGCCACAGTGTCTTTTATTTAATTGACATTTAAATCAAAGACTCATCACACCAACACATAATAAACCAAAATCCTCCTCTTCCAAAAGCTGGCTTTCACTGAATCATCAGTGAACTTTGTGACGTGACTATTGTGCTGTGCCAGTCAGCACAATTTAAAACTAAAAGAAGGGAACAAAAGCACCAGCCTTGATTAGAACCTGTGCTCAATAGAACTCCTTGGGAAAAGCACCGTTGACTCTGACGCACTATGAGCTGTTGGTAAAAAAAACGTCACAGTTTAAAAGTAAGAGCCGGTAAGGTTTCTCTGTGAGGCGAGTGAACTGGTCTGTATGAGAAACCAAATTAATCATTCTGTAAAACAGTCATATGTTGTGTGATTAATACTTCTGACTGTGTGCATCTGCATGAACAGTCTGCCAGTCTGTCTACACAAACATGAATCTCGACCCAGTTTTGAAGGCATGGCTCTGTTCTAATCTGGTGCAGGTGGAGTTCATAATGGAGAGTATGTTTCCTGGCTCTACTGTTATGACCCTATAATGGACGTGTGGGCGAGGAAACAGGATATGAACACAAAACGTGCAATTCATGCCCTGGCCGGAATGAACGACCGCTTGTATGCCATTGGTGGGAATCATTTGAAAGGTGAGTGCTTGAGCGCTTCAGGAGTTGAAGAAAAAAAAAAACACAGGTCAAGATTGATACTTTTTTAAAAGCAGCGTATAAAGAACTGCTGCCATTAGTGCGAGGATGACCTCTTTCTTCCTCCCACCTCTTGTACACTTAATCTTTTAAAGGTGGTAAAAGGAAAACAGGAAAAAGCAATGGTTAGCTGGTATGTGTCATGTGTCAGGATTGGTATTTTATTGGGAAAATCAAGTGTGGACATTTTAGTGAAGATCTTCAAAAATAACTTAATTTATTTTAAAAGACTATTCAATTTATGATGTTTCCTCTGCCTGTTGTATGATTTCTTGATTGATCTTCTGAAAACGGTCACATGTCACAAGCTCTTTTTCAGCTGATACTTATGACCTGCAAAGGCTTTTTTGAGTGCAATTACCATCTTTACTGTGAGGACAGATTTGCACTGTCAGGCACCACATTGACAGTCAGATCCTCTTCCAATCATTTGAGATTTAGGAAATTCTCATTTTGCCTCGTTTTCCCTGCACAAAAAGTAACGCCAGGCATGTCTAAACATGTGAGATCAATTCAATATAGATGTCTGTATGAGGGCTATACTGACAAAGAAAGGCCCAGAGGCCCACAACAAAAACTACTGTAAGAAACATTTTAATGTATAATAAAGCCTAACAAGTTAACCTAGAGATGAGAACCAAACTGGATGATAGAGAAATGTTTTAAGTGTAATTTACAGCTGATTTAAGACATGGGTCAAAACCTCGAGTGTGTAGTAAAAGCTAACACAGGAGGAAGGTTAAGGATGTAGCTGTATTGAAGTATTTGGAATAGGCGCACAATACGGAATCAATGGGACAAACATCAGAGGCCACATTAAGAAACATCAGTTGTGTAGACAGCAGAGTAATATTTAGTCGTCAAGATTCACACATGCACAGAGAGGACATGCAGACTCCACACAGACAGGCTCCTGTCAAACCAAGGATTCAAACCAGGAACTCTTCTGCTGTGAAGCAATAGCACTCGCCGCTGCACCACAGTCAAAGACATGCTTGTCTGGTTAATTGGTCACTCTGGAATTATCCACGGGTGTAAGTGCGTGCATGATCGGTTGTTTATCTCTTTATATTATTCCTGTGATGGACTGGTGACCTGTCCAGGGTGTACTTGGCTCTCTCCCACTGACAGCTGGGATAGATTCCAGCCCTCTGCAACCCCAAATGGAATAAGCAGTAAAGATAATAGATGGATGAAGGTTTAAATACAAACAGGCAGTATATTTAACCACAGTAAAATTAAAGGGCTGGTTAACTGTGAGCAGTATACTAAAGACAAAAAACAGACTTTAACACAAAGAATAAATAAACAGCTGTTATATTTAACACAAATAGGCTCGCATGATGCTGATTATAAACATGTGGTAGTGGAAGTCATGTATTTTTACCTCACTTTGCAATGATTATGCAGTGATAATAACTGCCAAAGGGGGAAGACTAAAGTCCCACTTTGCAAGTTGAAAATTTATGTCAACAATAAAAAAAAAAAAAAAAATCACATTAATGAATAAAATCAATCTCAAGTTTTATTCTGAATGTAATATTTGATCTTCTCAGCAAATCTGCTCCATCAGGGCTGTGTGGGTGCTTTATGATCAGATATTATTAACAGCATCCTGGCAACATAAATAACCCCACAACTGTCATAGGTTTGGATTCAAGAGTCCCGCCCACTCACAGAAGTCAGAAGACAGTCAGAAAACACAGGAATAACCAAAACTGTGCAAATTTAGTGGGGCAGTTTGTGTTTCGTTCAGAACCGCTCCCCAAGAGTAAAAGTTGATCGACTATGATGTGTGCCTTTAATCAAATTAACTTCACTTTATACACTGAAGCTCAGTCATTAAAGTACAAGCTGCTGCCATCTGGTTGCAGATACACTCCACCTGGATACAGGACAAACGAATTCAAGAGCTGACTTTTTCCTTGCACTGTTGGCCTCATAAATACCATCATGTGACTCTTCACCCCCCCTCGATGCCCCTATCTCTTGCTGTGTAACAAACTGCCCCTCTGGGATAATCAAATTTACTTTGGCCTAGATTGTTTGAACTTATCTTACTTCTCTTTCAAAGGTTTCTCTCATCTAGACGTAATGCTGGTCGAGTGTTATGATCCGAAAGCTGACCAGTGGAACATTCTGCAGACGCCCATCCTGGAGGGTCGCAGCGGCCCAGGCTGTGCTGTTCTGGATGACAGCATCTTTCTCGTGGGGGGCTACAGCTGGAGCATGGTATGGGTTTAATACATCAAATATCATCAAACTGCGGATTGTTTTTATTTTTGTAAACAACCTCAAAAAACAAGTATAATCCGCAACATGTTTGCTAAAATGTGTGCTAACTTCTCTACTAAATCTTAGATATTAAACATGGGTCCCTTTTTCTAATATAGTTCTCTTAAACATAGTGGCATAAGTGAAGGCTGATGCTTTATTTTCACTTTAACCAAACTCCTCTATGTTTTGTGTTTCAAAAATAAGTGATAATTTGATTTCTTAACCACATTTAATTATTTTTCTTTGTGTTTGTGATTTAATTTTATTTGAGATTTCTGTGGGAGTTTAATTTTTTTTTTTTTTTAATTATTTTTTTTATACCAAACAGCTTGTTTTCTTTTCAGGAATTTTTTTACGTTGTTAGAATTATATCAGAATTAAAGATTTTAAAAGCCTAATCATCAGCCTAAGGTAGCTTATCTGGAACACTTTAAATAACTGTTTAAAATCCTCTTTTAATAACAGTCTCTTCTCCATTCAAACTATCACCCTCTCCATGGGCTTAGTGTAACCGTAATACAGCATAATGTTCTGTTTACCATCTTAATCTAGTCTTAAATATCACAATCCAAAGCTTGAGATTCACCCGTACTCTGACGAAGTCCAGGACAAAGTTATGGTGAGCAGGCACACGCCAGATTTTTGAAAATCCCTCTTGGTGATATCTAATCCCTAGTTAGAGTGGCCATAATACCGACATTGAGTGAGACAATCACCGATGTAATCTTGAGTGCTGTTGATCTCTTTTGTTGTTAGGAAATGTCACTCAGACTAGAAAAAAAAAAGAAAAATTTGTGTTAGATATTTTAAGCTGAAGGATTTTAAACACAGTTGGCATACTATGGGGTATTTCTGGCAGCAGGGTGCAGGTATATTTGGGACAGACTTAAAATAAATTGCAGTTCATGGTAATAAGGGAACATGTCATCCAGTGCGACACTTTGGCTCTTTGCTGTGTTTCTGGAGAACGGTGGAGCTTCATTGCACAGAGAAATAAGCTGTACCGGCTTTTCTACATAGACAATTCTTGTCAGGGAATCATTGTGTTACTAGTTGGTTGTTAAATGGAATTCTCAGACCATATACTGTACTGCATGTATAGCTGTTTTTTTTTTTTTTATAATCTTACTTCTGAAGCTTAATCAAACGACATTGTTCATTCTTACAAAACAAAGCTTTTCTCTACCACAGCTAGAAATCTTCGAGAGGAAAAAAAAGGTACTGACTTGATTTTCTGTTTTCCTCAGGGGGCCTATAAGTCTTCTACCATCTGCTACAGCCCTGAGAAAGGAACATGGACAGAGTTGGAGGGTGAAGTGGCAGAGCCTTTGGCAGGCCCAGCCTGTTCTACTGTCATACTGCCGGCCTGCCTCCCTTTTAACAAATGACAACTAATCAAACGGAAGGGCGGTGATGAGGGCGAGGAGAAGCTCACTGAATGGGAGGAGGACCATCAATAAGCAAAACAGCTGTCAACAATTTTGTGACAAACCCGCCTCTTAGATGACGGGGATCTGTATAAATTATTTTTTTACAGGATTGACCAGAGCACTTTCGTTATTGCCTACTGAAGGTTTAAAAAAAAAAAAGATTGTGTAAGTCATGTATTTAAACTCATCTGTGTTCTGAGAAAAGGTCAGTTTCATACTTGATTTCATTTTAACTGATAGTAAGTGTTTTTGGCTTCTCTTCTATAGCACGCATAGTGTTGGACTGAATTATAGCTTTCAATTCCATTGTATCTTGTATTCAGTAGAGGCATAATTCCAGCAAAATGCAGTGTTGTTTCATGGACTGATCCTGGGAGGAGAGCGCATCAGTCCAAATCTTCATGGAGTTTAACTAGAGCTGGGTGAGTAACATGAACAGTGATGATCAAGGTAAATATTCTTCATCACTTGACGATTTTCAGCCAGACTGAAGTGGCGTTTCTGTATACCTTGTTGAACAGAGAGTTCCTTACAGGTAACCTGCTTGACAAAAACATCTCACCAAATGTTTGTGGCCACTACTCTTTCTGCTCCAAGCTGTGAGGCTGACCATTATTCCCTTATCTTCATAGAAGCACTGATGTTCACGTTGATTTGACAACAAAAGGTACAATCAAATTGTAACTGCTAGCCAGTGTACTCGTGGTTAGCTTGTTTAGAGAATGAGATAATGCTAGGAGGCCTGTTTGTGAGGTCACGTTGCATTTCCTTGGTGGGATTTTAATCATTATTGTATGAAACCCAAACAGGCATACATTGGTCCTCAACGCACTAATAGTCAACTTTCAATTCAGCACTTTTAAGTAACTAAAACATAAAAATAATCCATGTGCTGTGTTGAGGAAGATCCACAGTGCAAAGGAATCCAAGTCCAGTGTAGTCTACATTTCTAGGTCTAAGGAGTTGACTCTAAATATCAATGCAGTACCCGTTGAATTCTGTAAAGATTTGTTGATTTCATTCTTGTACATAGTCGCTTGCAGTGAAACATTTTTGTGCACTCAATTTTGGATTTATTCTCAAATCCTGTTATGTCCTTTGCATTTTAGAAAATGAAAATAAATTGACTCTTGATGATTAAAATTTCTTTTGCAGATTTTTGACATTTTAGTCAGGAGGAGTGTGATAATTAAGCAGCTATGTTGTTCTGAAAGTGACTTTGAGATTGGCCCATGGCAGAAAAACATGCGGTGTGTCTGCTAACATTATTTTGACATTATATGTGACTTTTATTGAATTTTTTTATTCCAGGAATTTACCAAAATAGCGAAAGATTTCTGGACTTCAACTGTTTATCACTCAAGAAGAAATTACAACTTCACACTTTGACAGCTCAGATACTCAAGGAAAAGCCAGACATTTTCCGCTCACTAGTAAATCTGGAATATTTTTCTCTTTGTAAGCGCCGTATTTATCACTTATTCTTATAAAAAAAAAGGCAAAGCTAGCTTTCAGTACTTGTCTGAGGACTTCACTGTAGTTACCTTGGCCGGGCTGCAGGATAATTAATGTCAATATGAGTTAAAGAGAGATTAATTTAACTTGCACTTCACCTCTGCAGTCGTTAATACCTCCCCCAGATGGATAAAGACTTGTCTCGGTACTCTTGAGTCTGTGGATTATTAATAAATCTGACCTTGGAACACCTTTAGATTGAAATAGAAACCACAGCATTACACAAAGCAGGAGTCTGTATAATGTGAACTAGCAAGCATACAAAGCAGGCCTGATGTTTACCCTCAAGGCAGCTTCTCATGCCAGACCACATTTGATTTTCCAACCATTTACTACCAGCTGTGCCATGCACTAAACGGCACGCACCCCCACGCGCATACACACCTGATGGTTGAATGTCTTTTTGTTGTGGTTTTTAAAATTTCCTTCCATGGCAGCAGTTCCTCTGCTGTGCATCTCCACTTCATGCATCCACTTGGCCGTGTGCCCTAGAGGATAAGATGGCAATTATTTCTGCACTGAGATGATTCTTCTAGATTACATAAATCCATATCTAATTCAAACAATATGGGATCAGGGCATTAGAAAGTACTCTGTGTTCCTCTTGTTACAAAATGCTCACAGACGTAGCCAACTATGGCAGCTGATACTGGCAGATACTGCAGAGATATCTAAACGCTTCCTCTGTCAGCAGTAGAAAGACCTAACCACCTAACTAAAAACACACTCAGTTATTGGACATTATCTACCAAGAGAAAGATTTGTCGTTCTTTCTATGGACTGAAGAACTTGAGAGAGAAATACTGTCGTGTATGTGGACTTGAAGTCTTCATTTACTCTTCAGTGTAGGTGTTGGCAGATGGTTTCTGCACTGTGCTCAGTCCCATTGCTAACACTTGGTCCTCAGCTGAGGGAATAACAGGATTGCTTAAAATGAACACGACTGGCCTTTTAATTAAGTACATGGACCATGGTGGCACTGTAGTAATCACAGAAAACTGTTCTCTGTCCTCAGCTCTATATACAGCAGCCTATGTAAATACTGTATCCAAAGCAGTTTGAAGCGAGTAAATTAAAACATTTTTGGGCTCGGATAGTAGCTGTATTTTTCACAATCCTTGTAATTTTGTATGGTCCAGTGCCCATATGTAGTCTTGTGTAGTGTTAGTTTCATCTGTCCTGGAGGAACCATGTTTCCTCACACTGTTCAGTAAATGTTAATAGTTGAATTGACCACAAACTCATCCTACAGTCTTCTTTAATTTTATCTATCTATCTATCTATCTATCTATCTATCTATCTATCTATCTATCTATCTATCTATCTATCTATCTATCTATCTATCTATCTATCTATCTAAAAAAAAAAAACTAGAAACAAAAAAACACCGAACAAAATAATACATATGTACACCAAACAACTGTACATGTCAAAGCTAAATTAACACACACACACACACACACACACACACACACATATATAGCATGGCAGGTGTGCAGACATTCATCATGTCGCTCTGCAAGTTATGATTTAAAGCAATGGCCCAAGAATACAATGTACATTTAGAAGATTTTAAGGGAAAACCTCTCACCTTATGCTACTTTTGGTAATTCTTATACACTCAGCCAACAAATCAATAATGCCTATAAGTCTTATCTATCTTCTTACTGTTGTAGTAAATTATTTTAGTCTATTTTTTAAGATATCACAGTATCTCCTTCCTTCATTGGTCAATTTCCAGGGTACAAAGTGTTGGTATTGTTACACCAGGTGGATTATAACTTTGATTTTCTAGCACCAGTTGATGCTTCTACTGCACTCTTTAAAACCAGTTTTATGTACTAGCATTGTATCTAGCTGTTACCATCAGTGTAGTGAGTGTGCAACTTATAAACTTAAACAGCACTCAAAGCAGATTTGCTCCACTTCTTTCCCTGCTCCAGTATTCTGTTTTCACTATTAATATTTGCATGTTAGTTCCTCCATGTATGTAGCATATCTACTCTCCTGTGTAGGTGTGTCTGCAGTGTGGGCATGGGAATTCCATAACATTCCTCGCTCCTGCTCTCCTGCTAATCATGCACACCTGCTGAATCTGCTCCCCCGCTGTACAACTACTCATCAACTCAGCAGTTGATAAGTAGATATGCAAGTCATCTGCCTGCCACCCTGTCTTCAGTCTGCTAACCCACCTGCCTGCTCATATAGGGCCATCACATTCAACGCTCCTACCTCTTCCCCCGCTCCAAGACATCCTTACCACCAACACAGCCAGAGAGTTTGGGGAGCTTCTTGTGGAGCTGTCTCCTGTTTCTATTTGGCCTTTGGCTGAATCACTTTACCTCAGTTGCTACCTGTCCTGTAAAGCCAGTGAAGTTTCTTTAAACGGCCAAATAGGACTGGGCGATATATCGATATAAGAAATATATCAATATATGTTTTGAATGCGATATGGAATTGGACCATATTGCATATATCGATATACAGATATCAGATGCTGTTGATGACAGGCTGGTGTTTCTTGCACAAGAAGGACACACTTGTCTATCCTCTAATGTCTACCTCAAGACAGCACTAGCTGTTTATCAAGGTAAAAAAAAGAGGGGGAAACGTTTACTGAGTTTACATAGTCTGTTCACAGTCTTGTGCAACTGGTTGAGACTGTTAAGAAGATAAGAAAGACAGATAAGTAATCTCAAAATTATGTTTAAAAGCAAATTTCTTAAACTGAGCACTTTATTTTGTTCTGTCTTTATACCTGTAAATGCTGCCCTTACTAGAGTTTGTCATATTTAATTCTTTTGTAGTGTTTGTTGTTTGCATCTGTGGATTTGTTAGAGAGGAGAAGAAAATCTGCGATTTGATTTTAATAGGCCATTTATAGTTGTCAAAATGTTGATGCTTTTCTCATAGAAGTACATTTATTTCAGAAAAAGATTGGCCTATTTTACTTTATGGGCTATTTTTATTTAACCCTTTAATGCCTGACACCACAAATTATGGCCATAAAATTCAAATTTTTTGGAGCTGAAATGTTTATTTCACTTACTTCTGAAAACCCCCAAAATCAAAATATCCTTAAAATTTAACAAATATATTTATTTATCTCATTTGATACATTAGATGTTTTTGTAAACTAATCAACTACAAGAGAACATTTTTATCATTTATCAGACTGTATTTAGGTGTTTTTTTCAGTAATTTGTTGATTTGTTGATCATATTGATTTGATAGACGTATATAAAAGTATGTATCAAATATGATACAAGGCACTAAAGGGTTAAGATATATTTTTCATTTAAATGTGCACCTTATGAAGCTCCAGTTAAAAAAAGTATTTATGTTTACATTTTATTGTTCTTTGAACAGCTGAGCATAATTTCATCCAGTCAGTTTAAATAGAACTACTTGAGAGATATCATATTTGGCTTTGACTGTGACCAAACATTTGCTCTCACTTTGCCATAACAATATCGGGATATATATATCGTGTATCGGGATATGACTTCTGGTCCATATCGCCCAGCCCTACAGCCAAACAACCTTCAAAAAATGAGCAAGCAGAGTAATTCACTGGTGTCAGTACAATGGCTGATACTGTGGACTACTTTATTCCAGGTAGTCTGTGGCTGTAGTCCACCATCTAGTGGCAAATAGACTGGATTTCATCGTGTCTTTTTTTAACAGACCACCGTATGAACTGCACGGACCTGTTGCATTTGGAACTGATATCTACACAGGTAAAACACTCGCAGCCACTGATGATTCAATCAACTCTTAAGATGAAGTTTTTGAGAGACAACACTCACTCATGTTGACCCACTTTAAGTGACTCATATCACCGCAGCCTGCCATGGAATATGATTGGGATTATTTCCATGCCTGCTCGCTCCTGTCCCCATGCCTGTTTACGTTCATGTGAGCCACACTCCCCTGGCTGCCAGCCACCCCGCGGTATTTATAGTCAAACAGCGGCAATCAGAGCTCAAGGATTCCTCGCGAAATCCTCCTCAAACCTCCAAACTTGGACTGACTGAGAGGCAGAGAGGGGCTGGTTTTCAGGATCCACACCTGAACGAGGCTCTCTGACGATGAAGGAGCGCGCGGCACCTCAAGGTAAAGCTGTCAAATTCATTTCTCATTTCATCAGTTAATTGAGCTTTTTTTTTTTCTGTTTCCTGCGGCGCGCGCTGCGTTAATCCTCCATTCAAATGAACATTTTTTTTCCCATCTTATTCATGTCTTTGTACTTGTGGCTCGTGCTCCTTGTGTCTTTTCCCTCTTTTCTTACCTGTTTGTGCGACAAACAGTTAACTCCAGTAGAAAAAAAAGAGCAACCTAATTAGCATTACCTGCTAAAAGGCTAGTTAATGTATTTCCTGAACGATGGCAGACCTGCAGCTGAGGCTTGTTGTTCCCTCCCGTAGGCTTTACAATGGTGACACTAATTAAAGCCAGGAGTTGATTTGAATTTAAAAGGAAAGAGCATCTCCACACAAGTGTTTTAACTTTCATGAATTATCAAGATAAAGTGGACATCTTTGGCAGCACTAATTATTGTGTATATTGTCTCCTTTACAATGGAGCTCAGTTAAATACTATCATTCCTCATGCATCCATGCCTATCACTCTAAATTCTTGTCCATGCAGCTTCTTTATAGAGGTGCCTTGACGTTTTGTTTTCCTGCATCAGAACTGGATGGTAACACAAGATGTCTTTTTGAACTTGCATGTCTGTGAAAAATCAAAAGCATCCCAGCTATCAGCAGCACAAAGCTGCGATCAAGCCGCCTGTGTAAATGTGTGCGCTGACCTTGTAGCCTCTCCAGGCTTTCAGACGTGCGCTGTGCCAGGTTTGAGGCCAGAGCTCAACTCAAAGCGTGTCCAGTTCATGTCTGAGGAGCCCTGCTGCTGATGAGTGAGTCACTGTACCTTGTGCTTCGGCTCTCCCACACTCAGTCATCTTCCTTTTAGCTCCAGCTCAGTGGAAACAGCCTTGTTTCGTCTGTCTCTGACTGGCTCACCTCAAACTTGCTGTTTTTCAGCCTTGACACCTCATCTCATCACATATTTCTCAGTATCAGTGTACACACATACACGCTTAGCTGGACAGAGGGAGCAACAACAACAGGATAATGGTTTTATTTGTTGTGTTCAGTGTTTTAGAAACACTACATGAGAGGACAAAAGCAAGAAAGTCCAGGCTGTGGTCAGTGCTTTTTAGAAACTGAAAAATCTCACCTCTCTGAATGTGTCATCGCTGCTTTTACCAGACCCACTTTCTGTGCAGGCTTATTCTGCTCACCAGTACAACTACAATTTCTATTTCTGAGTGTCTGTTGGTTCGATGCTTTTGTTCCTGCTGTCAGATGCAGCGCCAGTTTTAAGATCATGCTGAAGATGAGGGGATCATTTAGTCAAAGTACGGTTTAATAGTGCTCTTTGTTCGCGGTTTTAGAGGTTCTGTTTGGAAGGGCGACGCTCTGTTTGTTCCAGTTAATCTAATGTGTCACAAATTCTTTTCTTTCACAGCCACTCTTGGACAAATGAAGGTGGTTTGCTGTATAAAATTATAGTCATGCTGATATATCTGTGAGGCTGTATGTAAGCACCACTTTGGAGCAGGTTCAGCGAAATAATACTGTCCTGGTGCTATCAAATTCACAATGACATGATGATGTTGAGCAGGTGTTCTGTTCACTATACTCTCCGCCCTTGTAAAACTCATTAACATGCAGATGTTTGCCACTTAGCTGTAAATATAAATTACACTTTTGGCCAGTACAAGTTGAATATTTCATTTTATTATTACAAAAGGCATTAGATGAGCAGATTTTTTTCTCTCGAGACGATGGATCTTGATAAAAAAGCAAATTAATTACTAAAAGGTAAAGCTTTTGAGATGAATATTATAAGGATCGTTCAAATGGTATTTCACCAAAAAAAGTTAAACTACTTGGTTGCCCTTGAGGAATATTCTTGTGATTAATGAATTTGTAAGAATATCCAAGTAATATCTGGTCCGTAGATGTTAAGATAGTCTACAAATCTATATTTTTGACTTTCTAGACTAGAGTAATGCTGCTTTTGTTATTAAGAATAGAGAAACAGTGATTTGAAAGATGTGCGTTTTTTACTTATTATTATCAGAAGTCATGTTTTATTGTTTTATTTGACCGTTAGCTTTTTTTTCTCCTTAGCATTATGGTGAAACCTCCAACTCCAGTCCTCTGCAGAGATGCACTCCAGTTCAGACCAATCCCTCACCCGCTCTCTCACACCAAACCTCTATTCCCCGTCCAGCCGTGGTCCAGGGGGTCAGACACACGTCCACTCCTCTCTGTCGCTCCCCGAACCTGAGGCCTGGAGGAAACCCAGCCCCGCAGCTCGTCATGGCCTGGCACAAGGAGCCCGCTCCTGCTCCCTGCAGGTCCCGCACACGGCCCCGGAGTACCTCGGGCTGCCCCCTCGAGCCGCCAGCTTTGACGTGCCCTGCTGTCATGATGAAGTATCTTCAGATCAGGGTTCAGGGTCGCTGAGCCCGCACGCCATGCTGCGGAGGAGAGGAGGACTGGTGGAGCAGAAGGACATCATCATGGCTCACCAGGCTCACAAAATCCAGAGCACACCGCAAGCCCGCAGGAAGGAGTGGGAGTAAGTATAAAAGAGCTTCAGAAGCAAAGGAGTCCTCTTTAATTATACGTGTAAAGATGATAAATCAGCATGGAGGTGGATGAAAGTGCCACTGTAAAAGAACCGCACACTTTTTATGCTGTATATCTTCTCAACCTGTTGAACCTGTTTTTTGGTTTGCCTCTGCAGAAGTCACTGTAAAGCTATTGCACTTTATTAAAATGTAAACAAGTCTGAAGGTTTTTGAAAGTTATACAATTGATAAAATGACTAACAGATTTTACAGAAAATTTAAAAAAAAAGTTGCCGAATTTTTCTTTTGAAGTATGAAAACCTCGCAGATACTTGCTTATGTCAGGTAGATGCGTCAACATCTAGAATTTCCAGGATCATAAGTCAGTTTGTGTTTCAGCTCCAAAAAAAAAAACAACTTCCTCCTCCTAATGATGGGATGTCTCACTCTCCCGAGTGCACATTTTTTTTTTTTTTTTTTTTGTGCAGTGACTTTTTTTTTTTCACAGACAAGTGAAAATCTAGAAAATCAGGGAAAACTGTGGAGGGTGTGCGCAGCCCTGATCTCGTTGTTGAGAGCCAAAAATGAACAAGCCACTCAGTACTAATCCAACAAGTGAGCAACAGGCAGTGTTAGTGCTTCTGTGCTTTTCGTGGGTCTTTGCAACATGAAATGAGTAAACATCATAACAGTTATAAAAATTGTTTCTGTTTTTTGGGTTTACTCGGCCTCAGACAGGAAACGGTCCAGATCAGTTGTCACTGCCCTCACTGCAAATGTAGCTCCATTCATCAGGTTTAATTCGAGGAAGGAGGGACGGTATTTGTTTCCTTTTGTTTTAAAATATCAACAAACTTCCACCTGAATAAAAGCACTGGTTTGTCTGATTAGGAGTTTTTGATCCCCCTAGTGGTAAAAACTTGTAAGGTATTTAGCAGGGAAAAAATATAAAGGTCACAAGGGGAGTTGTAGACCAACCAAGTATTTGTTTGTTTACATCTTCCCAAACATTGTATTGTATATTTTGAAGCTACAATGAGTATTAAATCTGCAGCAACACTTAGAAATCTGTGTTTTTGCTTCTATCAGGCTTCGTATCGCCTTTAGCAGCACATTTCTCCACTTCACATTACTACTCTACACATTAATATTCCTCACACTGTTGCAGTGCCATCTATTGTCATTGACAGTATGATGTGTAAAAATTAGTGGAACAGTGTGCATGTGCATCCTTTTGCGTACGACCCCCTCTCACTTGTCCCGTAGTGCTGATAGAGGTCAAAAAAATCTCCACAGTGCTGAAAACATTAAAGTTCAAGGGTTCAGATGATTAGCCATGCTGGTTTGAAGTATAACACTTGTCACTGTTGTGTTGTTGCTTAGCTGCAGAGTGCTTATCTCACATTGTGCCCCACTGTAAAAACACATATGCTGAATCCTTTGTTTTCGGTATTGTTGTACTTCCTCCAGTGAACCACAAATGCTTTCATCAGCTGTTGTGATGTTGTTGTTGTTGTTATTGTTTGTTGGGGTATTTATCCATTTTATTTCTATAATGCCTGTGTAACATTATTGGCTGCAGTCTCCTGTAATCAGATCTGGATAGCATAATTAATGGTGTAACCAAGGGTGCTTGCAGGTGAACTTTTGAACTCTGGAGCCAACATTGCTCTGATTATCAGCTTCCCACCACTCCAGCATGAAGTGGTACTCCATCAGCGTAACCCCAACCCACGAACAAGCTCCCTCCCTCCCTCACTCCTACTCCTCCTCCTCCTCCTTCTCCATCCTCTGATTTCTTTTAATTTTACCTCCACTACCCACTCCACATCCACTTTACACTGCTATGATGTAATTCTCTCCTCCTCTATCCCTGCCTTCTCTTATTCTGACATGAGCAAACACAGTAATAGTCTGCAATCTGATTTGTTTTCCCATTTCCATATAATCTGACTCGACTGCGTTTCCATCTATACCACACAGAGGTGTAAAACATGAAACGGTGAGCTGATGAAAAGCAGCTGCTCGTTGACTACTCTGCATGTATTGTGGTTAGTTGTCCATTAGGGGATGCTAGGGAATCAAAGTAGGAGAGTAGCAGGGAGGCAGTAGAGGACATTGTATGAGCTGAACAGCAGAGTTCGGATGTTGTTTGGCTTTTCTGACATTTACATTTCTGAGACGTTCTCATACTGACTTTGATTTGAGGAAATATCCCAGTTGATTAGTGATATCAAATGTCCACATAATAAGATATCTTTCAAGTGAGATCAGCTGATTTATTACAATGAACTTTTGAAGCTTCGCTGATTAATTTGAAACTTTTGTCAGCTTTAATCTTCAGGGTTGTAAGACAGCTGATTTACTTTAAAACCCCAACCACAATGCAAAATATGCTTAAAGGTAAACTCAGACGAATCCGCAACAATATGCAATAAGTGGCAGTTATTGGTGGAATCAAACTGACATAACTCAGTACTAGAGGATGTCTGTTGCTAGGGAACAGAGAGAAAAATAAAATGCTAAAGCCACTCCAGTCAACGTTGGATGAAAGCCTGGCTGCAATTATATAAATGCTCTTCAGAGTTCTGCCACAAAGCAGGTCCATTAACGTTTAAACGCGCAGTGCCTGTCACCTGCTGCAGGGCTTCATCTGTCTTCCTCCACTACAGTTTTTCCCAAGGTGTTCCTTGTTCAGCAGTAGATAGGAACAGGTCTGTTTCCGAGAAACTACTTGTGTTTCGCAGAAGAGAGCTACTGTACCTTTATCTTCAAAGTATGAACCTTTTTTTTTTTCTTTTTTTTCGCTTTGCCTTCATGTTTCAAAGTTTTCTCGGGCCCAAGCAAATAGAAGCTTTTCTGCAGTTTACACAGCTATTTTTAGCAGACTTTGAGTAGGCTGTGCTGGAGAGCAGAACAAAAGCAGACTCCATGTGGTCAATCTATACAGTACAGTGGATCATCATCATACAGACAGGGCTGTGATGTAGTGTGTCAGCTTCCTGAAGACGGCCAATGACCTTGATCAAAGTGTGTGTGTGCGTTTGTGTGTGTTTGTATGTGTATGTGTCTAAGTGTGTGTTGGGAGGAACAGATTTCTGTAGGATGAAATTGCTCCATTGTGCAACATGGCTTTTGTTGGCAGAAATGAAAAGAACGGAGCAGGAATTCAAGAGAGCTATGTCGCTATGGAAACAACAGCAAAGAGAGCGCCGGAGACAGAGATAGAAAGAGGGGAGATATTTTCTGTTTGCAGAGATGGACAAATATTTGTTAGTTGGGCGTCATACAAGTCGATTAAGTTTAATTGTTTCTAATGAGCGCTTATGTAACAAGTTCTTAAAGTGGAGATGGGTGTGAGATATATGTGTGTGTGTGTCACTTACAGTAATCAAACTGACTGCTGATTGCCACTCTGCTATTTTTACACACTGCACTGATAGATCACTCTTGCCGTTGCGTTGCTCACCTGCTTTGCATGAAGTGACACACCCCGCCTGCTTCATGCAGATGAGGAAGAGGAGGGAACAGAGTCACGGATGGAGCCCAGTTAGGGACGTATTCATAGATCCTGTTAAATCAATGATTTTTGCCTCATCTCCCCCAGATCTCGACTGGTTTGCCAGGCATACATTTGTCACTCCCTCTTGGCTTGCTTTCACGACTACCACACCACCCCTCCTGTCAGAGCCTTGCCAGTCTGCGCTCTGCAATACCTGCCTTGATATGTTTTTTATGTCAGCTCTTCAAGTGGAAAGAGGTTGGGTTTGATTTTGATTGCTTTTATTTAAACAGCATCGAGCGGGCCCCCCCCCCCAGTTGAATAATCTGATGTGTGTGGGGGCTGAAGTGGTCATCTTGAGGGAACAGTGGGGAAGAGAGCAGAGCAGCAGATGGAGCGAGAGAGCCCAGTTGCCTAATGAGGTCTCACTTGTGGCACCGAGTGTGAAAAAGACCCTGCTTCTCTTCTCCGCTCCCTCAAAAAAGGGAGCAGCCCTAAGATCTATTTCATGCTCTATTTTTACCTCTCACTTTTACTCCAATATTAGCACAATGGCCTACTTTTTAAATGTTTTAATAGTCTGTCTCCATTAATGAAAATATGACAATGCTCTCTGATTATTAGATCGTGAACAGCTCGTGCAAAAAATGAGTCAAACCCCTGATCTATAAATCGCCTTAAATGTTAAGTCTCTTTCATATATGCCCACTTGTTGCCCTTTTTTCTGTGCATTGTGCTCTTTGTATTGGTGTTAAATGTATTTTCACACTTGTTGTCTTGCTGCTGCACCCACTAACATCTTTACATAATTGTTTTGGAGCCACATACCCACACATCCTGGTGCATATAGGCTCCCTTTTTTTTTTTTGTTTTTTGTAAGGCAAATGTTTTTGTTCATCCTCAGCAAACTCTAATTGCTATGGTAACAAAATACATGTACCTCCTCTCCAACCAGCCTCCATTCAGATGGATTTTGAAATCGCCATCATGACATGTAACTGTGGGAGGAGGGGGCTCGTGCGCTCCTGGCTGCGTGATAATTCTTCCAGCAGGTGTTAGGAGTGAAAGATGCTTCTGATCTGGCGATTCAAACAAGCTCTCTGACAACATTTTTCAGCCTGATTTAGACATCAATATCTGACTCAGTTTTCTCAAATACTGGTTCTAACGCGATAACTGGGCTTCCTTTTTCGTACGAGATCTTCCTTTTCTGTCAAGTTTTCTCGGTCGGGAAGATGCGTAAAGTTTGCCAAGACTTGCCTCGGAGGTCTCCATCTAGTTTGCGCAAAGTGATTTGTGATTTTTTCTGATGAAAGCGAGTTTGGATGTTCATAGAAAAACAACAAGGTGTAAACTCAGTGGATCTTTTTTTTCATCCTTCTCTGCAGCTTGACTTTACAGACGCGCGCATTAAAAGTTGCTCAGAGCTGATTGTAAGGCAGATGGGACAACAGAGATGCTTTGGTTTTTCAGTCACCGATAAACAAATGGATGTTTTGCCCCGTGCGTTAAAGTCATTTGAATCCTGTACTTTACTTCTTCACGTGGATATGGAGTGAAAAAAAAAATCTACAACTTTTGGGGGGAATTTTGGCGCTCGAAAAGCTGTCTTGTGGATTGAAGGTGCATCTTTTTTCCCCCCTCTCTTAACTTTACTTCACATTTTTCTCCCTCCTTGAAACACTCTAAGCCGGCGGTGTCCTCATCTCTTTGTAGAATGGCTCGCTTCGGAGACGAGTCCGCTCCCACCACGGTGGACTCCGGGGATGGGGACGTGGAGCGCAGCGGGGACGCACAGGACGCTGCAGCGGCGGGACTGACTGCCTCTATGAAACAAGCCAAGGCGCAGCGGGCCCGGACCATGGCTCTGTACAACCCCGTCCCCCACCGGCAGAACTGCCTCACCGTCAACAGGTCGCTCTTCATATTCGCAGAGGACAACATCATTAGGAAATACGCACGGAAAATCATTGAGTGGCCATATCCTTCCATAAAAAATCAGGAGAGATAAGTTGAAAGTTGTTTTCTCACTGGTGGCAATAGAAAATGCATGGTGGTTTGCCGTCTGTTCAGCACCATGGAGAGCGACAGACGGTATGGCTGCAGCTTAAAAATACAAATCCCTACAATCAATGTCTGAAAAGTGCCAAAAGTGCGTTTAGGGGCCTTTTACCTCAATACTGTCACTGTGTTTTGTGTGATTTTATTGTATTTGCTTATCTGCAGCGCAAACTCCATCAATCCAGCTTCCAGATTGAAAAGCAGCACCTGAATCAAACACACAACATCTGAACTAAACCTCCTCTGCTAACTGTAACCTGCCCTGATTAGACTCATCTGTGGGCTCCATGTGCTGGCAGCAAACACAAAGTTAGCATGTGGTGATCATTAGAAGCGGCTCTGCTCACTGTGGGGGAGGCATGTAGGCACATCTCTTGCTTGCCTTAGTGCTCATTGGAATATGAACCTGGCCATGAGTAGGTGTCAGTTCAAATCCAACAGGCAGTATTTCTCTGCTTCCTGCTGCAGCATTGGCCAACACTTTTTTTTTCTCTTTTCTGTTGAACTTCTGCAGATCTAAGAAGGATTAGCAGGGAAGTTACTTTACCTGAGGCAGCAGCACAGTCAGATAATGTTTACATACAGTGCTGTAAAAGTCCCTCATTTGTCTACCTAACAATCTATCTTTTTAATACATATATTTGCATTTTTATTCACCTGCATTAGTATTTTTCATGATATATAAGTAAATATGCAGGCCTTTCAGTGGTGTAATCAGTTTAAAAACATTATTCAGTTGCCTCTCCTGCCCACTGCTCCTCCTGTCTTACACCCCCTTCAATGCAACGTGCCAGTCTCCCACTGTTATCTAACCACAGGCTCTGTGTGCTGTGTGGGAGTGGGTCTAGTGGTCAAGACTAGCTGGCCACTGGCAGCTTGGTAATGTGACTGTCGGTATCACAGAGGCAGAGGTATGTGGGAGAGAGCTGGCCAGTAGTACTGTGGTGGATTGTGGGCTGTAAAAGCAGCACATGTCAGAGTATTGACTGGATGAGACCCAGATATTTGCGCTCGGTGTCCAAGTTCTCAGTGAAAACAGATATGGATTCACAGCAGTGGTGTTTCTTTGATGGTAATGTTGCTGTATGGACACAGTGGAGTGTTGCCACGGGACACTCTGGACTGTGATTCCCCAGTTTAGGCCACAGTGTCTGCACCAAAGGGTAGATCTTGGGAACCAGTGTTCCTACATATAAGAGATCATGTGTGATGGGCAGGTTGTTATATTAAACCATGAGCTACAGTAAGAAGTTTATTATAGTGTCAATTTAACTGATAAAGTGAATTTGCAGTGATTTGATGATTGACTAATAGACAGTGAAATCCATAAATGAGGCTGTGTGTTTTAACACAATAAAATATAGACTGATTGTAATTCATAATGATGGGATTTTAAAATTTTCCATAGCCTCTGTATAGCAGACCATTAATGATTATAAGCTGTAAAGAGAGACAGTGGTTTTCATTGATTTGCATAAAACAAAAGACCACCTTTGGAGACTTGTGGGATTGTGTTATCTATCATTGTCCATGAATTACTGCCAGGGTAACAATATGAATTTGACAAAATTAATTCAGAAGTTAGCTGCAGGGAGTCGTAGGAGTTTCAAACAACAAATCTGAACTGTATTTTTATCAAGCAGTGAGTGCAGCCAGAATAGATCAGAAACGGCAGAAACGGTTTCTTCTGTAATCATTTAAAAATCTTAAATTCACTGATTTCATCTCCTGAATTTTTCTTTTTCTTATGTGATTCTAAAGCTAATCTTTTCGGGGGGTTGAACAGCTTTTTAACAAAACAAGCATTTTGGGTCTTTGTATAATGAGTTACTGATTTCCATATTGTGCTAAAATTCATGAAAGTCAATGAGAGATCAGAAAATCAAGTTACGTAAAGTATGCATCAAGGCTAAGAAAGCGGTTAACAGTAGGGGATCTGTCTCCAACACATGCATAATCTCTGGTTAGCATTGTAACAGGTAACAGGTAGTGACAGGGTGGGCGAGATTTATTAAGTATTTCCCACTTTAGCTATTTTTGACTGCTTTCAGTGGCAACAATGTGGACTTGTCAATGTGAGTCAGTGTTGCTCCCTGAGGCCCCCATCACAGCTCTCCTCTGTGAATCAGTGACCCCGTTTCTCTCAAGGCAGGAAAATTAATAACAAGAAGCAGCTGCCTCATGGGAACTCCGACCACAGAGAGTCACAAGCACAAGTATTGGGGATCATTGTCACACCAAGAGCATGCTGGGTCATAAGTATACATGTGCTGTCACAGATTGAAGCTTTACTTTGAAGTTTAAGTTGAAGTTTTGGCATATTTGAAGAAACAGGGCTGCACCCACTTGTTATCGGGATTCTTGATAAATTTTTAAAGTTGTTGTGAATGTCCCACAAAACTTTCATGACAGCTCTAGATGGCATCACCAAATCACCTTGTAAATGTCATCAACTTTGAGTACAAAACATAAAGACAGTTAGGTTTGAGTGGAGACTGACATAGAAGAAAGTCATAACAGGTGAAAAAAAATTTATACTTTATAGTATTGACCAGCTCAACATGCTGTTTTTAATATTTTATTGCAAATTACAACACCTGTTACTCATTTTAAAATTTGTAAATCTCTAATTTTGCAACAAAATTTCTGATTCATAAACCTGATGTTTTATATCATCTGTCTATATTTGCATCAGCTCTTGCATCGATTCTTTTGGTTCTCAGACTTTCCTACCTCAACCTTCCTGCTGATGGTTATTTTCAGTTATGGCTCAGTGGATAAAATGAAAGAAAAAAAAAAAACAGAATGTAATGCCCATTGCAGTTTTTCAAAGATGATCTGGACATATGACTGTTTGTCTAACCCAATACTACAAACCAAGTGGCAGCTGTGACGTCGACTAGTCAGTGATTGAGGAATTCTGTCTGTCTTGTGACTTGAGAAGCAGAAAAGCATTTAGAGTTAAGAAACAATGTCTCACAGCAGACTGCTGGCTGCAGCAGACACCGGTTAAAGTTAAATGTTGAGCTCAGGGTTGCATTTCAACCGACTGTGTTTCAGCTTTTTCACTTATACCACATTTTTGATTTTTGAACTTGAGCACGGCCCATGGTGACTGCCTAGTTTAAAAATTCATCCTTTAAAATGAACAGTTTCTGTTTTTTTTTTTTTTTTAGTTCAATGTTTGTGGGTCTTTTAACAATTTAAATATTGATGTTTGCCGAGGTGCCACGATCACGATCAAAATTGATTCCAGATCAAACGGTCCACGCTGGCTGCTCCTCTTTAGCAGCAAAAAGACTTGAAAGCTGTGAGTTTGTGGTGTGCTGTGGCGGATTTGTACTTTGTGTAGTTCAACCAGCCAGGCCAAGGTGACCATGCAGCGCTCTCTCTAAATATATCTCTGCATTTCTTTGTCTCTCTCTCTCTCTTTCTGTCCCTCTCAGTCTCTCAGTCTCCCTCTGTCTCCGTCTGTCTGTCTCTCTCTTTCTCCCTTGCTCTCTCTCCCCCTGACTTGCTCTTTTTCTCTTCATGAAAAGCACTTTTAAAAGCAGGTTGCCATGGATACTGCAATCTCTCTAACAGATTGCTTCCAATACCAGAGAATATGAACCGTGCCATAATTCATCTGTCATTTAATCGTCCATCCATCTATGCTTTTTTTGCCCTTTTCATGGTATCATGCTCTCATCTCTGGAAACATCTCTGGAGTTTAGAAAAATAATAATGTATAGGTCCCTAAAAAAATGAGCATCATGGGTTCTGTTGTTAAATACATGCTCAAGTGTTGTCTGTTATGTGATCATGACTCCCTTATATAAACTCAGCATCCTTGGAGTTATCTCTATAGGTTTGTTTTGCACTTACAGCGTGACAAAAGCCCTTTCCTTAACTTCATGGCCTTTACACCATTTGAGTACATGATCCTGGCCACCATCACCGCCAACTGTGTTGTCCTGGCCTTGGAGCAGCACCTCCCCGGAGAGGACAAGACCCCCATGGCAAAGAGACTGGTGAGGACAAATTACCTTTTTTATCTTCCCAACACAGAGATGAGGGTTTGTGATCAAGGACATGAAAAATAAAAAACAGACAACAGAGAAATTTCAGGGACAAATTGAAGTCTGGTGGTGAGGACAGATAATCAAGTGCTGCACTTAGAGACAGTGTGTTAGAGCTAGGAGGACCTATTTCCAGAGAGAGGAAATTCTCATTAGTTTGGCTTTATTAGTGTGCTAATAAAGTGACTTTTTAAAATCATGTTTTATTTGTTTTTAATTTTCAAAAGGAAACGGGAGAGCCAAACTTATATAAAAGACAAACAAGCGTCATCATGTGGGCTTAGATAGATAGATAGATAGATAGGAGACTAAATTTAACTCAAAGTGGGTTATAAAGTGGTGCCAATGAATTAGGGGTTTTACATATACTGTATGTGACTCATCTTTTATAGATTTACCTTTTGGCTTGGTGGTGTTGAGCTTATCTTTAATTTTGTCCATAAATGGTTCCCTTGTTCACTGAAATTTATCAGAGTCATCTTTTATAAACCTTAGTTTTTTCAAACCTGAGGTGCTGCATCTTGTCTCCCAGCCAACGAGTCCAGCTTGAGGGATGATTTGATTTTTACTGGAGGAGAATCAGCCTTTTAACTCAAAGTTACAGATTTTGTTATTCTAAGATCGGTAACTGAAAGGTCCTTGTTTTTTTTTTCTTTAGCATTTGTCAGATCAGGTTGGACTGCCAAACTGAAAACATCAGACGGAGAGAGATTTTGGAAAATTGAGTTCCAACAAGTGGAAAGACTATTGAAGTGTATTTTACAGAAAACTTTAAGCTACAGTTAACTATAACTCATCCCACTGTGCAATGCAATGTCGAAATGACATCTATTTAACGTATTTTTTCGACAATGAGGTACAAATGTAGACGTCATTTCAACGTCTAAAAGAGGTCCAATAATGACGTCTAAATCTTGGATCCGATGTCTAGATTTGGTCTTCAGATGACGTCCAAATTCTAAACATCAGAGAGACGTCTAAAAAAGCTCCAATTTGGACGTAGAAATTTCTAACCTATTTTGCACGTCGCACTGACATCTAGATGTGGTCTTTGAAGGACCGACCCAATACTGACTTGATCTGCACGTCTCTTCAACGTCCGATGTTTGGTGGGATACTCTTGATTAATGCCACAGCAGTTAGTCTTTGTCTAGATTTATCAATTACACATGCAGCCAAAGCAGCTGACTTTGATGGATGAACAACAAAAGTAGATATATTCAACAAAGAACAGAAAGTCTGTGGTTTGTAGACACACACTAAGCATTGTGTAGAAAATTGTTTGAGATGCCTTAAACAGTTGTAGAACTGCTGCATAACGGCAAAACCATCCTTGTCAGAGTTTCTGTAGACTGCTTCCTGTATTTTTCATTTAAGGGCCGATAAACATTATGATGCAACTTACAAGATATGCTTAAAAAACTTTAAAAGTTGTGATATGAAGGTAATTGCTGTTCATTAATGCTGTTGAAAAAAGGTATTTATTTGTCTCCTGGTTTTCAAAAGCTCTTCCACGTTCTAAATTTGATGTGTAGAAATCCAGCTTGTGGTTCCTCAAGGAGGTCCACCATGTTTCAACAGTCTATGATGATATTTTAATCAACCAAACACTTTATTGAATGTTGTTGAATTTCCTCAGCCTGCCATGATTCAGACCCATCTGGTTCTGAAAGAGTTACTTTGAGGTAGCTGAAGGTTTCAGTGCATGCTCAGTACACTGTGAAGAATTTGAACAGTCACCTTCATTTACATGTTGTGTCCCATTCTGTTATGCCCTCTCACTCTTTTCAACTATGGTGAAATATCTCCCTTAAAATATCCTTTACATTAAACAGCAGCGTACATTTTTAAAACGGGGCTAACTTAATGTCAAAACTCTGAGTCTGTTGTGTGAAAAGGTTTACAGTTGGACTGCTTCGCAATCAAGATTTAATGTGTGAAGCCGATGAATCAAACCTAACACGCTGTCGTTTGTCAGTTGTACATTGTTTGTACTGAGCTGACCCGTTTCTTGCACACACTTCCCACAGGAAAAGACAGAGCCCTACTTCATTGGGATCTTCTGCTTCGAAGCGGGGATCAAGCTGGTGGCTCTTGGTTTTGTTTTCCATAAAGGGTCGTACCTGAGGAACGGCTGGAACGTCATGGACTTCATAGTCGTTCTCAGTGGGTAAGTGAAATATCAGCCGGCCTCAATGACCCTCATATCAACCTTTGTCTTTGTTTTAAATATCATCCTCCTCAGATTCCTAAATTACTATTTTCTTCATGTGCTGATGAAGCAGATTTGGAAACAGTTCTTAAACACTTCACTGTAAATAACGAACAGTTTGACCGTGGGCAAACCAAGTTGATGCTTAGTGTCTGCACTTTGGCTTTTGTTTGGCAGTGGTGTCTTCTTACAGAAAACTTCTCACAAAGATGTCCCACGGTTTGTCTTCTATCAGAGTGATTAATAGATCTTCCTCATCGCAGTCTCGCTTGAAAAAAGGCCTAGGTGTGACTAATAAATTGACAATGGCTCAGTTCCACCAGGTTTTCATTACAGTGCCAGTTCCACCCCAGAGCTGGCTCACCTAAATGGAACACAGCCATTGTTAGGATTATTAATTACATCTGTACTTTTCTTATTATAGCATGTGCTAATGTCTGCTGTGTGAAGGGTATATTGGACCCTTGCTGTTAGATGAGGATTCAAGCAGTTGCTACTATTGAAGATGTCACTAATAGTGGATGTTTTGACTGCTAGAGGCTGGAGTTGTCATAGTTATCCCTCCTATATGTATTAGTGTCCATTACAGCTGCTCAGCAAGATAAGACATTTTGGCATCTTTTTATCTCCAAGTAGTACAAAACTGGAGCACATTATCATCATAGTTAGACATAGCAGCATCCTAATCACATGGTTTTTGTGATTGGTCTAAATCCATTAAGCAATGTCAAGGACAACCTGACCATGCATGTCAGACAAATCAACCAATCCATGGAAGAGAGCAGATTTCTTTTATGATTTCCTCTCTTCCTGTTGATATTGTGACACAAATGTCATTGTTAGGGTGATTTTCTTCAGCCAGTCATGTCAGCTTTTAAGGTGGTAGAGCTGTGTCACTCAAATGCCTTGGATTCTTTGGTGCTAGATTTCTGGAGCCATGGGCCTCCAACAGCTATCCTCAACAAGGACCTTCTACCCATGTTTAACATCATTCAGGCTCCCAAAATATGTTGTGTTTTGTTGTTACCCTACATCAGTGGTTCTCGAGTCCAGTCCTCGAGTCCCCCCAGTCCTGCATGTTTTGGATGTTTCCCTGCTCCAACACACCTGATTCAAATGATCAGCTCGTTATTAAGCCATTACAGAGCTTGATAACGAGCCGATCATTTGAATCAGGTGTGTTGGAGCAGGGAAAAGTCCAAAACACGCAGGACAGGGAGGCTCAAGGACTGGACTTGAGAACCACTGCCCTACATGGACCTTCAGGTCAACAAGATGCAAGCAGAATGTTTGGAAACATGGACGGCTTTATATACTTGAACAGTCTCAGACCGATCTTTGTTACACCTGTGGCATGATGGAGCTGTAACCCTGATCTACAACCAGTAAAGCTTGTCAAAGCGATCATTTGTGTGGATCTTCCATTTTTAAAGTGTGAACATGGGCTAGGCATCCTTTCAATTATTTATGATAGCTTTGTTTTTCATCATCATCATCATCATCATCATCATCATCATCATCATCATCATCATCATCATCATCATCATCATCATCATCATCTTTTACTCTGGTGACAGGGTGGACCCTTCATGAAGTAACACGCTCATGTCCTTCAGTCGTAATGCAGGGACATGTTACCCAGTGCGGTGATATGGGTCACTTATCTGACAACACTGGAGCTCTGTGGCACAAAGGAGCAAAAACACTGGGTCAGTGTTTGACCCAGTTAGTATGTTTGAAGTTAGAATCAAATCATGGTTGATTTTGGCCTTTTCATGAGTTTGTCGTGAGAAAATATAAAAGCTTTCCTGCCTTACATGAACAATCCTTTGCTGGCCGCAGTCGACTCGTTAGATTCTTAGCTGAAGTTCTGTTGAAATCAAAGCTCCTCTCATTAAAATGCAGAATGTATTTCCAGAAGAGTGGGTTTTTGTTTGTGCTGCTCTCTTTTAATTTTGAATACGGTCGGCTGAACTTTGGTTGAATGATGCACGACACACTTTAACGATCGCAAAACACTGTTAAAAAAGGTTTTTAAATTCATCCACGGGAACTGATTCTGCAACTGAGAATTTATTTGAACTCTACTAGGCTGTGGGTTATGAACCAAAAGATTAATTTCAAGTCACTGATTGTCAAATAAAGTTGATGCATTCATGCATGTTTGAGCTGCTTCTGTTCCACTGATCTGATTTTGTTGTTTCACTTTATCCTTAGATGCCATACCTCATGTCTGACACATGGTATTTAATGGTTGACCCTATAGGCAGGTTTTTAATTATTGTAAATCTGTTGATGGCATTTTTCTCTGTAAGCGTATACATTTACTCACCACATACATCCACGGGAAACACAACACATAATGCTCGAAAATATGTGTTTCCATGGTATACTCTGGCTCTGCAGCCAGCAATAGGTGGGTGGATAAGTGGATTGGCAGTTGTGTCTAAAACCTGCTTCGGTTCGCCCCCAGGACCTCTGTGAATTAAATGTGAATGCATTGCTGAACATGTTATGCAAAAATGTGAAAAGAAAGGATGGTGGTGGAAAAAAAATAAGAAGGAAGAAAAGAGAGGAAAACAAGGGGGAGGACGGAGGATGAAGAGTTAAACCCAGGAAAAAATGAGATACTTCATTTGTTCTCTTTTAAGCCTCGGAGTCAGCAAATTAATTTGCGCAGGAGTTTAACATTGTTACCACCGGTGTGCTGTTGTTTGTGGCTAAGTGTACAGTATTCAGCATTCAGGGAAGATTGCTGTTGGCACGTTGACATCTCATTTCAACCTGACACCCACATCCTGCTTTTTTCCAGTATATCTTATTTCTCTGTCTGTCTTTCTAGCTCCCAGTCTCTCTGCCTCTTACATAAAAGGCACATATCAGCATCACGTTTGCAAACCATCTGAATGCTGAACAGCTGTGTTGTTGACAGATTTTCACAGAATTCGCTGCTGTAAAGAGTTCAGTCGGTTTAATAATCTCTTCAGAAACAGAACTGGGCTGGTTGCTTTAGTTGGGGGACTTTGAAATTGTCTCATTAGACATCGATCTGAGTTTGCATCAAAACATTTCTTGTTTTCTGCCTTTCAAAAAAGAAAAAAAATGTCTTGTTAGCCAAAAGGAACGGAGAGGAAAGAGAAAAAAGATATGTTTGCGACAAGTAACAGCTCATTTACTCAGAAGGCTTTGGCTAGTTGTGGATTTATAACTTTTTTGATGGGAAGATGTAACAGGCAAGGATGTCTGAAGAAACATAAAAATGTGCAAGAATTGAATAGAAATAATTCGCCTGGCTTTGATTTGTACCCACCGCTTTAAAAAGGAAAGAAGCATAGGTTTACAACTTATACGACAGAAACAAACAAACACTGTGGCGTTACCTACTGGTGTTTGTTTGCCATGTGCTCAAAAGCAGTGATTGTGTCAACTTCGTTAGTGTATTCAAACATGTAATAAACTAGTAAGAAGTGCTGTATTCTTGTACCGGCCAATCATCAAGCCTACAAACAGTGAGTGTTATCAAAAATAGGGATTTGGCGTAGGATGTCACTTGAAGGCCGGTGGTACAAGTTGTGTAGGAGTTTGATGGTGTTGTGAGTGAGATGTAGTGTAGACCTGATCTGAGTTCATCTTTAATGGTTTTCCTGCCTTTAAACAATCTGCTGTGACTGTGATTATTTACTTCATCTACTCTAAAGTGTGAATGGATTTTGTTCAGCAGCGTCCCGTCCTTGCTCACACACCATTCTCTACAGCAAATAAGCTACACTACTGATTGTTGTAGTTTTACTCTGTGTGTGTGTACGATTGTGCAGCATTACATGAATCAAATAAAAGCACACAGCAGAACGAGCACAAGGTCGACTGAATGACACGTGGACTTTATGTAAGATTGTGCATCGGGAGTTGGAGATTGAACAGATGAGGATTTTTTTTTCTGTTACACAAAGCTCTCAGCTTTTATATATATAAGAAAGAGGTTTGGTAACACTTTATTTGACGCCTGTCTCTATAATGCGTTATAAATATATGTATAATACGTTATAATCACGTTATAACACTGTATAACTATAGTTATAAACACTTATAAATGATCAAAATACTTTATAGCAATAATCATAACACATTATAAAGCATTTTATCATGACTTACAATGTCAGGTATTATGTATTTTAACTGTTAATAACAGTTGCAATGCATTATCTATGAGGGCATTGTCAGTGAGTTGTTAACAGTTATAAAACATTATAACACTTGATCTTGTAAGTCATGATAAAATGCTTTATAATGGGTTATGATAAAATGCTATAAGGCATTATAATCATTTATGAGTGTTTATAACTATAGTTATAAAGCACTATAACATGATTATTACGCATTATACATATATTTGCGTTATAGTGAGAGGCGTTGAGTAAAGTGTTACCAGAGGTTTTTAGCTCTTAAGAAGCTAAAACTACTTATGCATCATAAATAATCAAACACCGCTCTGCCTGGTGAACCAACAGAGAATTATCACCTATGTCTGCTTCCCCTCTCACCTTTATGCAGGTGCATTGTGGGTTTCAGCTCATTGTTTAGCTGTTTATTTGTTTTTCTGTTTTGGTTTGCTCTCACCGCCCTCGCAGCTGTGTTTTTTGGTCCCGGCAGGCATGCTGTTTTCAGCAAAAGGCCTCGAAATCCACTGTACACTACCTGCTCAGAAACAAACAGCGGGTAGGCACAGTTAGCAACTAACTGTTGAACAAAGGAGCAGCTGAAGAGCCAGATATTTCCCTCAAGAGTAGGTACAAAAAAGTCAAATCATAAACAAGTGAGCAGGAGATGCTAGTGTACTAACTAAGGCAGGTCTCAAGTTTACAAAAAAATCAACAATAGTGTTGCCCCAGTTTTGCTGGAAAAGTAAATTTGCAACTGTGCGCTTTGTAGTGCTCATAAGCTGCAACCACAGCAAAAAGCAATGAGCTCTTTAAAATATGAAACTAGAGTAAACTCCGCAGACTCCAGTGTCTAATCTCATGTTAATCTTTGGAACCATGTCACTTACAGTCTAAGATGCACAAAGTTGTCAGTGTACTTTCTGCGGCTCACTGATCATCTCGCTTCATTCCAGCCACAGCTGGTTGGTAACTGATGACCTGGTTTCCTGCCACCTATCTGACACATTTTCTCCTAGCACATATGCTCCTCTCCCCTGTCTCTCTCTCTCGCTCTGTCATACACACACACACACACACACATATCCACACTCACAAACAGACACACTGCGACTCTCACACACACTTGTGGCACGGCACAAGTAAGTCAGACTTAAAAGAAAACACACATGTGTCATAGGGGCCAGTTGGGAATAAAAACCAGGCCACTGGGCCAACGCTGGCGGCATTCATTCCATTTCATATTAATGAATTGCCAGAAGCGAATCTGCTGGGACACTGAGCTCAATTAAAATCCCTAATCTGAGTGAGGAGTGTGTAGCAAAAAAGGACCACAGCTAGAACAACGTACCCACAAACCAATTTAATTCAATGGGATTCCTAAAATGGTCAATTATATCCTGGGGCAGACAGACAGGCACAGGTGGATTTGATGCTTTGATTAGCAATAAAATACCTCCCAAATGACTTGTACGTGTGTGTGAGAGCGAGAAAGAACGTGTTGAAAGTACAAATTATTGCTGTCAAGACTGTTACCCTCATCTGAACATGATTTCTTTTTAGACTCCCTCCCAAAACTTAAACTACATTCTTCCTTTCCAAGCATGCACACCTCCATATACGCATGTGTGCGTGTGTTTTTATGTACGTCGCTGTGAACATCCCATCATGGAGCATGAAGGATCAGCTTTCACCATTGCCCCAGTCTGCAGTCCCCTTTACTGTGTGACACTTAGCAAAAATTGATGCTCTTTTGACAAGATGAATAATACAACTAGGTGGGAGTTAGGAGTGATTCATTAGCCATCTGGCATAAGGACAGACACACAGGAGCAATGAGGGAAGTCTTTCTCCTGTGAGTCTATCCTTTGCATTGCAGTTTGCGCTCATTTTATTTAATGTGGAAATCCAAAAGATGGGCGGATAAACAGAATGTAGGGCCCTGATCAACAGTTCCTGACTCCATCCCAGTACCTGTTTGTAAAGAAAAGTTCATGTTCTTAGATAAATAATATAATAGTTGTAGCAATCTTAAGAAGATATGGGAGAAAGATTGGTCTTGTACACTGGATGGAAAACCATGGGAAGGGATCCTCTCCAACACTGAAGAATACATAAGAGAAGCCAGAGGCGAATTTATTCAGTATAAAATAATTCATAGATATTATTGTACAGCATCAAGACTTAACAGAATGGGTTTGATTAATAATGATCTATGTTGGAAATGTGGGGCAGAAAGTAGCACATTTATTCATGCATTATGGGACTGTTCTAAGATCCTCCCCTTGTGGGAAAAAGTTAAAGACTATATGAGCAAATCATTAAATTACGAACTTCCCATATCACCAAGATTATGTCTCCTTGGAGACAGAACTATGGTGCCCCTGTTGAATAAAAACTGTTTTAGAATATTAAAAAGTGGCCTAATAACATGTACGGACTATTCTGAAGTGTTGGAAGGAACCCCAAGTTTTGGTAGACAGTTGTGTTAAAGGTGGGGTAGGCAGGATCTGAGAAAGTGCCAGTTTTTGGGAGAAATCTCGAATGTAAACACTACCCCTCCCAACCAGTTTTCCCCTCAGCTCCTCCTCTCCCCTCCCTCTCTGCTCCAGTAAGTCCCGCCCACAAACGTTATCGTTCCAATTAAATTCAGATATGATGCAGATAGATACTTCAGATAATTACAAATGGGGCCCAGTCAATGTGAGAGTAAAAAGCATTGGTGCTACTGTAGATGCCAACAGACTACCAGCAAACATAATGTTTTCAGGACTTCTACAACCAGGATAAAGTGACATAGTCCAGGACCCGAGGTTAACAGTTTAGCGGTGCAACAAAACGCAGCAGGTCCCATTTGACAAGAAACACTTCTGTTACAGACACTTGGCTTACTTTGTTAAAGTGGTTTACCTGTCCAGTAGAAAGGTTACAGGGTCTGGAAGACCCCCCCATCATTGTTGACTCAGCTTTTTTAGCTCTTGTCTGGGTGGTCTACCTCAATTTTAAGCGTCGGTTGTTCCGCCAGAGTCTCTGGTATTTACTTCGTTTTCTTGCTTGTGTCAGAGTTGTGGCCGAAGGAGGATTCAGACACTTTTCTGTACTTTTTGGTTGGTTTCTACTGTCTGATATTGTAGCACGCTAACTTTGTTTGGGCCCCTGAACGACATGGGGACCAGCGCCTGCTTCACAAGACGCTGGACAATACACCTGGACACTGTGATTGGTACCTACCATTCTAGTGTGCTTTTTAAATGGGCGCCAGCTTTGAGACTGTGTCCACCTATGACAGAGGCCGGTAGAAACTAATACAGGAATTAAAAGTTAACTTCAAGATTTCATAAACACCATGTTTTTTTAGGACAGCTCCAGGGGTCTCACCTCTAATTTCAGTCTCATAATTGAACTGAGCAAACAATAGCTTACAGTCCCAGGTGGGTTTTCTTTGGAAAAACATGCACCCAGCCATTTATTCTATGACTAATAGTGAATAAACGGTCTTTTTTTCCCCCCAATGTAATCCCAATTGAACACAGCAGTATTAGTGTTGCCATTAGATGGTTTATTTTTATACAGACTTAATTCAAAGGTATTAATTTGTTTGTGCATTATGTTGATGTTGCCTTAACTGCACATTGCTTATGCAGAGCTCTGCTTAAATGGTGAACAACGTGATGCTGCTGATTACTTTAGTTTTTTTTTTTCTTTTTTTGTGGTGTTCTCAGTGTAGGTGGAGGTGTGTGGGAGAGGCTGCATTTTGTGCATGTAATGAATTCATCCTCTCCAGAGCCAGTTTGGTATAATACTGTGCTGCAGTGCCTCACTTAAAGAGCAAATGAGGAAGAGATTAGCCTCTTGCTATGAGCATTAACTCGCTACTTTAATGTAACAGAGCCGTATGAGTTTGAGGCATGAGTTTTTAGCTGTTTTTGACTGAGTAATGATATTGGCAGGGAAGTGAGTTGTGAAATTTGACATTGTTCTCAGCAGTAATTGAGCTACAAATTGTTACTGTCAACAGTCATTTCTGCAAAACAGTCAGTTGTTCTAACCAACTTGCCCAAAGGTGAGAAAAGAGTCTAAATCTAGCAGGATTTAGTGATGTCAGATTGGTTTGTTGGGTGTGCCTACCATAAGCAGAGTTAGCACCACAGGCCTTTGGTCTTCATCGCAGGTTCATCCACTTACCTACTGTATGTTGGCTGTAAATTTCTGTGGTTGAGTGGTATTATGCCAGTTAAAGCAGACATAGCCTGCATACAACTTTATCTGTCAAACCATGCAGCGCTATCAATGAGATAACATTTTTGAGGTTGTGTTAAAGGTGGGGTAGGCAGGATCGTAGGAAGTGACAGTTTTTGGGAGAAATCTTGAATGTAAACTCTACCCCTCCCAACCTGTTTTCCCCTCAGCTCCTCCTCTCCCCTCCCTCTCTGCTCAAGCAAGCCCCGCCCACAAACAGACGCTCCTGCTCCCAGTTAAATTCAGATATAATGCAGATAAATACTTTGGATAATTACAAATGGGGCCCAGTCAACATGAGAGTAAAAAGCATTGGTGCTACTATAGATACCAACAGACTACCAGCAAACACAATGTTTGCAGGACTTCTACAACTAGGATAAAGTGACATAGTCCAGGACCCGAGGTAAACAGATTAGTAGCGCTACGACACACAGCAGGTCCCATTTGACAAGAAACACTTCTGTTACAGACACTTGGCTTACTTTGTTAAAGTGGTTTACCTGTCCAGCAGAAAGGTTACAGGGTCTGGAAGATCCCAAAACGTTCCCCATCATTGTTGACCCGGCTTGTTAGCTCTTGTCAGGTTGGTCTACCTCTGTTATAAGCGCCCGTTATTCCACCAGAGTCTCCGGTATTTACTTCGTTTTATTGCTTGTGTTGGCAGACATGGCCAAAGGAGGATTCAGACAATTTTCGGTACTTCGGTTGGTTTCTACTGTCCGATATTGTAGCACGCTAACTTTGTTTGGTCTCGTGAACATTATTTAAGGACGTGGAGTGTGCCCCACAACATGGGGGAGCAGCGCCCGCCTCACAACCAATCAGGTTGGGGGAGGTGGAGATTGGTTTTGAGTTTGACATTGTTTCTTCTGTTATTACTCTGGAAGTCAAGACAGTGAATTTAAGAGAAATAATAGTAATCATGTTCTTCAATTGTGTTAACAAGTTGAAGATAAAATGAAGAGGACCAAAAATTGAACCCTGTGGAACATCAAATGAAGTTACGAAAAGCATTTTAGCACCACCAACCCCCGTCCCACCCAAAATTTAAGTTTATCCGGCAGTCTTACAAATCCCTGAAGAGGTTCAATGTGAATCCGCCCATTCAGCTCCTCAGATAAAGAGAAACATTGGTATGACTACGGAAGCTGGGAGGCCCTTACAATGTTTGTTTGAATGATGACTGATTGTGTCCGTGAATTTTGTTCCTGCTGTGAAACAATTTCCAAACCCAACAAAGGAAAATGGCCTCTCTGTGAGTAGGGATGATTCATAAGCTACCACAAGCAGACAGAATATTTGCTTTAATTTTAAGGGAGCCTCCGCTGAATTGTTGTGCTCAAAGTGCATCCTTGAAGGAGCTGTGCTGCTGCCTGCCTTTGTTCAGGGTGTTTGGTTTGAAGGCTATTTCTACAGACTCCCACTCCTCTGCTCCTGCTCTCTGTCTCAGTGTCTCTCGCTGTGTCATCTCTTTGTCTGACTCACTCACTCACTCATTTGCTCATTCGCTCACTCACTTCATACATTTAGATACACAGTAAAAACCAATAACTCCAGGTAACCGCAGAAATAGTCCAAACTATTTCGTAGACTCCTTAGTGACAAAGTATGACAAAAGATAAAGCAAGAAGAACCAATAGAAGTTACTTTAATCATGTCACAGTAAAGTACAGGCATGCATAGATTAGCTTGTCCAGGGGAACAGCTAAGTTGATGTCAGATAAATGCTAGCTTTAGGACATTAACATGCTCTTGATGGTTATACTAGCATAGGCCCACTGACGTTTTTGTTCAAAGCGCCTGTACAGAACTTTCTGTCTGTGTTGAATTTGGCGCCCCCTGTGGCCAAAGTGGAAACTTATGTTGTTGTTAATTTTTTTAATTGAAATTTGAGACTCACCTTGTGTATTTTGTTGAGGGTAAGGTACCTTAGGCTGTTTCTTCAGCCTACCTACCCCTTCACAGCAGTTACAGGCAGTACAAATTACAATATAGACGGTGTTTATCTCATCTTAAATGGTCTCTTTTGCTCTTGTACATCATAGAAATGCATCACTGTTCATTTCAGTCTGTCTCATCACCCATTAAAAACTCCTCAAAGGAGCTTTAACTCTTAATGATAAATTTTCCAATGAGACACAAGTTAGACTTTTTAAAATTTTGTCTTGTACCTATGTTTTTTTTTTTTTGCCAGGTGTCAAATGTTCAGTTGATCTTCACCTTTGTCAGAGCTCATGGATTACCATTGAAGCTGCATGGAAACATCCTTTAACTCTTGAAATCTGAACAGCCAATATAGCCCTCATTGCAAATCTCTGGGAGTTTGGGAGCATAGGACAAAACATGCAAAAGCTAACATTGTTCACCGAAGAATTTATTTGGGATGTTTGTACACAGTAAAATGCCGTTTATTTGACATTAGGAGAACTCATTTGCTCCCAAAACTGAAAGAAAAATAAATATTTTATTATTGTGAAGCTTCGTTTCCTAATTTTGAAAATCCTAGCTTTGAGTACAGGGCAGAAAGAAAATAAACTACATAAACTGTGAAAACTTTTGATCCTTTTATATGTGAAGCTTCAGTATAGACGCAGCTGCTACGTCAGTTGTCCTATTCTTGCTGTGAACTGTTGGAGAGAGGTCCTGATCATGGTGGTATGGACAGTGAGCACTTTGAACCGCATTTCTGTGTTTATCTGCAGTAGTGGCATCTCTCATTCACTCACTCATCCGGCCTCTCTCCCCTCCCACTGCTTTTCAGGAGAGATTCTGCGTGGGCTTACACTCGAGTTTCTGCCATGTGCTTTCTACCCCCCCACCCCCCTGCACACACACACACACACACACAAACATATACCCTCCCCCACACTTCCTAACACTGTCCAAAGATTTTTATGAGTTTGTATATTTGTACCTGTGTGAAACAGAAGGAGAAATCTGGATCGTTTTATCTCCGCTCAAATATGACCGCGCAAATTAGCAGTGGATATCAATCCTCCCATCTGTAACAGCGTTAGAGGTTACGAGCCACAAAATTTGCTTTGGTGTAAAATGTAGCCCAAATGAAAAAGCTGGATTTAGTTTAGGCATTACCCTCTCCCATTAGAAAAACTAATAAAATCCTGCTTTGGTTGGATACATTCAGATGTGATTTCTGGAACACATTGGTAAAATATTGCCTGTTGGTTGCTCCTGCTGCTGTTTTTCAGTGTTTATATGTGTAGGTGGAGGGACATCAATGTGTGCGTGGGCGGATGTGAGTAGAGATGCCTGGCAGGTGTATGTAGCTGTGCATTCTTTGTCTCTCACCATACAAGTCTGGTGCACTAAATGGATTCTCGGCACTGCTGCATGACATTGAATCAGTTTATTATTTGCGATTTTTTTTCCTTTGAAATGAATCACTTTCCAAAAATATGCTTGAGCTAGCTTCATTTGTTTCCTTTTACCTATTTCTGTAACTAAATTAGTCAGACACCGCTGACATAAAACATTCATCTCATGACAGGAAAGGGAGACTTGGAACCAGATTTAGCTGCTAACAGAGGCTGCTTCGTTTTAATAAATCCCTGTTGATTTTTCTCTATTTTAAGCTTGGTATATTTTCGTTTTATGGCTGCCATGTGTAATTGCGCAAATGATAAGAGATAAATTCAGCTGTATTTTTAGCCCAAAGGTCAAAAAGTAATGAATGAAGTAAAGTCTTTTCATGATGTGTGTGTTTGTTCTGTAGGATTCTGGCCACAGCTGGCTCACACATGAACATCCCAGTAGACCTGCGGACTCTCAGGGCTGTGCGAGTGCTGAGGCCTCTCAAACTCGTCTCTGGGATCCCCAGTGAGTTGAATATTGACTCCTAATCTCGCTCTGTGAAGTTGTTTGAACTGGTGTATTGCTTCGAATGGCAAATGACTATTCTCTGTGTTATCGCTAGAACATTTTTAGAGTCATAAATCCAGGTGTTAAACACTGTCTAATGCATAAAATCTCAATTTTTAGCTCATACAAAACCATTTACACTTATTCTATTATAATGTATGCCTCTAATTCAGGGGTTCTGATATTTTTCAGCTTAGAAATAATGGTCCCCACTGTCCTTCAAGCTGGTTGAATGTTGTTCACAGACATGGGCAAGCACTAAGAGGCCAATTCAAATACAGACAGCAGACCAGCATTAACACCAAAAACAGCCAAACAGCTTTGACATTTTATAGGGATTTTAAAAAAGGCCAAAAGCAAAACAATATGAGCAATCTTCATGTTCACGCTGAAGCAGTGGTGCAACTTCTTAATGAGCAAACGCACTGGTAAGTCTGTGCTCATATGTGATTTTATGGCTTCATGCCAAGGATACCTAATTAAACTTGTTTGCAGAAAATTAGCCCATGTGCATATAATGCTGTCGCTGATTGAAATTAAAACTGTTGTAATCAACTTAGGGGTCAAAAAAAGCTGGAAACTACTTTTTTTATCTGCATGATTTTATCTAAACTTGAATATCTGTTTTGGCTGATATATTTGCAAGAATGTATGAAATATGAGTTTTTTATTATTTAGTTTTGTTTAGAAGGCATCTTGCCCATAAGTGAATCACAGCCCCCGCTTTGAGGCCACTGATCTACAAGTTTGAGAACTTTTCTTGTGAATCTCGAAGCAAGTGTTCAATAGGATTCTCTAACATTTCATTGAGCCAGCAGGCAATAAAATGGCAGTGTACACTCTAGCCTTTTTTGAAAAATAGTAAGTTTTGACTTTGTGAATTCTTTAAGGTCTGCAGATTGTGCTGAAGTCCATCATGAAGGCTATGATCCCGCTGCTCCAGATCGGCCTCCTCTTGTTCTTTGCAATCCTCATGTTCGCCATCATTGGTCTGGAGTTCTACAGCGGGAAGCTTCACCAAACCTGCCTGCCATCTGTCGACATCCTTGGTATGGTCCATACCTACACACACACACACACACATGCACACATACACACACACAGAGCTAACAGCCTTCCTATTGTGAAGCGAAGTGGGCAGTCCGCGCAGCACAAGTGTTATTGTTTTAGATTCATTTGTTGTTTGAAAAGTGTGAAAGTAAACAGTCAGACACAATAGAAACATTTGGATTTGTTTCTGAGTTCGTATGAAGGTTTCACCAAGAATGGAACGTGACTGAAAACACCTCCTGAGATATTTTATTGCTGTGCGGTTGGTTAATTGGTATATTACAACAGCTTTCAGCCTCCTCAACAGTTTGATTGTATAAGAATGGATTTTGGCTTAACCAGCTCACCATCTGCAGGCACCTTCTGTTCTTAGGTGCACCTGCTTTTATCACAATACCAGGGCTCGCAACAAGATAACTGTTACCTTTGTTTTCTTATAACTTATGTCTGAATTGGACTGATTTACCAAAAGGTATGTGTGGTTTGCTCTGTTCTCAGAGTGAACCACAGACGCTGCTTTGTTTTAAAACACGATCCCAATAACGGCGAGCTCTGAAGTATTATTAAAAATGTTCCTGCTTAATTAGGGAACAACCACTCTGTAATCATATGGCACACCATAGCATTTACTGTCGTCCTTTCACTGTGGTCTTTTTTTCAAAGTGTGTAAAGAAGGATGAAGAAACCTGAATTAGTTCAAAATATCAGATCCTCTCCCTTTTTTATACTGTGAAGCTCCTGTATAGAGTGGGAGCTTGTGATGATATGGACTGTAATTCATACTGATGGCTGTATTTGACCCACAAAAGCAAACAAGACCGTAAATGACAAGACTGACTGTTTCTATATTGTTATATTTAATGTCTGGAACTAGCGCTGCGGGGTTCGTGTCAAACAAAGTGATTGACAGGATGCTGCCAAAAAAAGTCCTTTCATTACATTTTCACTGCAAAGATTCAGTCACTTACTTATTGTATTTAAGTGAATCCAACAGCCACTAGCTGAGGCTGTAGCTCCATTTAATAGATCCTGCCACAATGCTCAAATGCTCTGCTGCTTGGATGGAAATAAGCACAGACAACTGATGGCGTCTCATCATCATCATTTTCAGTAAGGATATGGAGATAAAGTTGTATGCTGAGTTTGGTTAAACTGACATATACCCACTTGACCAAAACAATGCATAATGAGCATTGCCATGTGAATTTCAGATCAGATCAGATCAGATCAGCTAGCCACACTCTGCAAACTAGTTTGACGTTACAGATCCGCATTGACAAAGAATGCATTTAGCAGAGTTTCAATTACTAAACTTAAGACGGGAACAAGGACGAAATTGTTTGTTTCGAACATCCCTATTGGCGACATTTGGTAACAGTGACAAAGAAAGACTGCTTTCAACAGGCAGAAATCTTAGACAGGACCAGACTCGTGTCAAACCCCCATCTGCTGTGACTGTGTTGGGCTTGGTGGGCAAGAAGGAGATGCAGAGAGATGAACAAATAAACAAAACAACAATAACAACAACAACAACAACAACAGATAAGACAGCTGCAAGTTTCCACATCACCGTTGTGTAGATTATGTTTTGGACCAACCTCTGGCATTAAGGCCACACTTTGATGTTGGTGCTGCTAACTCAGATTTAATGAAGGTGAGGAAAGTTTCTATCAGATTAAACCAACTCATTCTTCTCCTTTTAAACCCCAATGACATCAATTGTCACTGTGAAGCTAGCAATAAGAAAAACATGTCTAAAGAATATATAATGTAAAGTTAAGAGCATTAACAGTAGGTTAAAACATAGTGAATCTGTATCTGGTGTGTTCAATATGTAGAAAAAATCCAGTGAAAGGAGACAGGTTGTGCTTTTGAGATTTTACAGATGGTTTTACACAAATGGATGTGAATTATACAGTATTCACAAACCAAATGCATCATCACAGCTTGATGTACAGATTTTGTGTATAGAATTAACTCAACTAAGATTTCTTTCTCCCCAGCTGCCCAGCTGAAAAAAAAAACAAAAAAAACAGTCTATTACCGTGGACCATATTGGTTACCGTATGTTTCTTCATTTTAGACAATGAGACTGTAGACTCAACAGAGTTGGCATTTGCCTGTGGGGTGAGGAAGTGTCCTGAGGGTTACGACTGCAACGACACCTGGATCGGACCCAACGACGGCATCACACAGTTCGACAACATCTTGTTCGCTGTACTGACTGTCTTCCAGTGCATCACCATGGAGGGATGGACGGCTGTTCTGTATAATGTAAGCTCAGTCAGTCAGTCAGTCAGTCTTTATTTATATGGCACCAACTGAGATGCTTTATTAAGAGCCCTATTCTTCCATGTATTTCAAAGACTCAACATCCAGATTATTTTTTAGGCAACTAAAGTGATAATGAGTCAATGCTGTTGATTTTAGACCAACGATGCCTTGGGTCCCTCATGGAACTGGGTGTACTTTATCCCCCTAATCATTATCGGCTCATTCTTTGTCCTGAACCTGGTTTTGGGTGTCCTGTCTGGGTGAGTCTAACTCTTCTTGTGTGTACTCCTTTCCTGTTTCTGTCCGTATCATGCATCATGACCACATTTTTTTTTTATACTTCCTCCCTCAGAGAATTTGCCAAGGAGAGAGAGCGGGTGGAGAACAGGCGTGCCTTCATGAAACTTCGCCGGCAGCAGCAGGTGGAGCGAGAATTGAACGGCTACAGAGCCTGGATAGACAGGGCAGGTACTGGGACACACATCTGAAGATATACACTCATTGGTTCAGTGATGTAAAGATATGCAGCTGTAAAGAGTGACCGCTAATGATTCAGTATCTTCTGCTTAAAAGAAAACTTTTGTCTAGTTTACTAAACCACCTCTAAGTTAAAGTTTTTACCTTTTTTTGGCTGTTAAATTATATTTCTGTTGAATTAAATGGCCACAAGAGAGAGCATAATGCCAAATCATTATTTCAAAGAGTCATTGATTTAATATTTTATTGATGTACCGTTCCAGTCATTTAACAGATGAATAGTAATTCTTTTTTTCCAGCTGATTTTGTAAAGTGATCGCTCTGCTACAGACACTTTCAGACTCTTTTGGACCCGCAGTAGAGTCGCACATCCACACACACACACACACACTGCATTAATAGCAATCTACATCGCTTGTCTCCCACGCAATAAAGGGTGAGGAAAAGGTGATACTGACTCACTGACTTAAATTTGCGTGCGTGTTCATACGTGCACGCGCACTTTTGTGTATGCGAGAGAGCGCATGTTTCTCTCTGCGTGGATGTGGGAGAGTGTGGGAAGAGGAAGAGAGAAAAGAGAGCGGTAGAGGGAGATTGGGCGAGCGTAACAGAGAATAAGAGCTCTCTCTAATCAAGGTCACGCCGGTCGCTCAAAGCACTCTCTGTCTTACATCACTTTGGCCTCAGTTCCTGTATGTGTTTGCAGACATCCTAAAGAATTGAAGGCCGGGATATCGAACATTTCCATGTCAGGTGGTTTAAACTACATAAAGTGAATCTCTATATAACCTCCCGTTTTATTGTATTACAGAGGAAGTGATGCTGGCAGAGGAGAATAAAAATTCAGGGAGATCGGCATTGGATGGTGAGTTTACACACCTGTTAGACACACAGTCTATCACCTATTTCACCCTATTTCCCCTCGATGAATAAAAATCACAGGGTATGTGACGGACGCGGAAAACGTCTCATTTGAACTGTCAGCGGAAACATATTTAACCTTGTTTCAGTCAACATTTAACCACCTCTGTGCGGTAAGTGATTGTGCAAGCTGCAGGTAACCATAGCAACAATATTAATGCCAGATTTTTTTTTATTGCCGATTCAGTCTCATTGGGGAAACTAAAGCGCTTTTTTTTTTTTTTTTTCAGACAAGCACCTCGTTACATAAACATGTTTGCGATTTAACATGTTGGTCTCATGAGTCACTTTTACATAAAAAATCACATCATCAATCTGACGTGGATGGATGCAAGTCATGTTAAGACTCATGGTCTCTGTAGAATATTTTTCAGTTCAGGAGAAAAAGAAACAGTGGAGCGAGACCGTTTAAGGTTATAAAGACAGTCTTATATCTATTTTTAAATCTCTATACGGAGAAGAAACCAAAATACGAATGACCATATTTATTATCCCACATGCTGTCTCTGTTTTTGTAAATCCAGTTTCTGTTAATGTGTGCAGTGCAGTCAGACATCATTAAAAAGGCCCAAGAATGACGTGAGAGACATAAACATGGCAAATAAATGATGAAACAGTTACGCGTCTATAACACTTAATTATTCATAGGTAATCAGTGGGAAAGTGCCTTTGAAGGTCACAGTGCTATAAATGGTAAATGGACTATATTTATATAGCGCTGTCTCTAGTCCTCTGACCATTCGCACACTGACAGCAGAGGCTGCTATTTTAAGCGTAATCAGTTTTGACTAATCCGTTCACACACCACTGGGCGCAGCCAGTGGGGAGAGGTTGAGGTTGAGTTCCTTGGTCAAGGACACTTCAGCATGTGGACAGCAACATCTAGAATCAAACCCCTGACCTTCCAATTAAGAGGTGACCGTCCCCCACTCTACCACCTGTGACAATTTGGTACATGTCATCTACACTCACTTCACTTCAGCTGTATCGATGATAAGACAAAGGCCAAAACATGATCTTTATAAAAGCCTCACTGTCGCTGATACTAGTGCTGTTGTGTTCAACTGATCGCAAACTCATGTTGCTATTTTGGCCTGAGTGTGCACCCCACATGCAGAGGTTGTAGTCCTTATTGCAGCAGTGATTGTGGTCCAACCCCTGGCTGCAGCCCTTTGCTGTATGTTGTCCCACAGTCTTTGCTCTGCACATTTCTTGTCTTTCTTCAAGCTGTCCCATCCAATACAGAAAATAGGCATCCAAAATAATAACTCAATAACAATAGATTAATTAATTATAAAAATGAATCAAATCAGCATCCGTGCACTGCATAAATGTCTCATTTAAGAGTCGATGCACCCAAGTCAGCATACAAAAAAATGCAGCCAAGAGAGGTCAAGTGATTTTTTAAGCTGTTCCCTCTCTAAGAAGATTTTAGATTTTAAATAGTTATAACAAATATGTACATATAATACATACCAGATTACACAATACAATTGAAAATAACAGAAAAGTGAAAAGGTTCCAAAAGTCTAGAATACAGATACAGTCTAAATATGAGTGTTTTCTGTGTTGCTGGAATTTCCATTATGATATCCCTAAATGTAAAGTTTGAATGACCTGTAACTTTTGTGTAACTTTTTTAGTGTTAAAAAGAGCGAGTAAGAAGACCGGAGCACGGAGAGGAGCTCCGGGGGACGAAAAGTTTACAGACACGTCGACTGCCAGTGAGTGAAGATCTTTTACTATTTCAGTCTGCTGGGTTACTTTTTGCTTTGATGGTAGTCACATCCTGTATCTCTCACCTCCATTTCACCTCTTCCCCTCTATCTTGCCTTCTTACTCTTGATGCTTTTCTACCATCTTTATCTCTCAGGCATGTCCAGATCCAGGATGAACTTCCGCAGCGGTCGGCGCGGCCCTGCTGCCTACCTGCGGCGTAAAGAGCGTATGCTACGTATCTCCATCCGCCGCATGGTGAAGACAGACACTTTCTATCTGATGGTGCTCAGTCTTGTGGCTCTGAACACTATCTGTGTAGCCATCGTCCATCACAACCAGCCTGACTGGCTGACCATCTTCCTCTGTGGGTTTGAGTTTTGAGCTTTTCTAAAATGTAGGACCTTGAAAATAACTGGAGTGACATCTGATAAAGGCAATATTCCTGTGTCGACAGCTGTCTTCTTATCCTTTTGTTTAATTGCTTTTTTTATTTGTTTCTTTATCTTCAGACTATGCAGAGTTTGTTTTCCTCGGGCTGTTTTTGGCTGAGATGTTTTTGAAAATGTATGGTCTGGGTTTCCGGCTCTACTTTCACTCATCCTTCAACTGCTTCGACTGTGGGGTGAGGTCTTTCGCCATTTATTCTATCGCCATGTTATACAAGGAAATTTATATTAAAAAGGGAAATGTCATTTTTCTCCAATTAAGTATCTACACTGCCCTGTCACTGCAATATACATGCACATTGTACCTTACGTTTTCAAGGGACAGGTTAAAGGCAGCTGTATCTTGTTGTATTTGAAACAAATACTTGTATATTTGAATAGAGACTTTCTACGTGGTGCATCAAGTAGAAGTGGAAATATTTTGCAGTATCTGTCAGTGAGATTTCAGATTCTAGCAAATGCCTCTTTGCTCACCCGTCTCCCTAATGGTCTTAGAAAACAGAAAGCTGCTGTTATGCATGAAAGATATGATCCAAGATTTTACCACCAGTACAGAGACAGGACCATCACCCTCTTCTTCTTCTTTGTCCTCCAAGCTGTATATTCAGCAGTCAACTAATGAATACATAATTAGTCATTATTAGTCATTATAAGTATGTCCCTTCTGTGCTACTGTAGAAACAGAGGATGGCTGCCACCTGCTCCTTATGTAAACAAAATTTTTTATTCTAAGCTTTTAAAAACATAATATATAATACTCAGGTAAATATACACTGAATAAATACAATTTTATGTCTTATTCCATTTCCACTGAGTCTGCTCTACTAACTGCCACTAAAATATTACATACTGCACCTTTAAAAATGGTGGATTCCTGATAAACATCTGTTTGAGGGGACCTGATTTGGTTCATGAACAGGTGCTATCATGAACAGCAGCTTTGGGTTTTACTCTCACCTGCTGCATTTAACCCCCCCCCCCACACACACACACACACACACACACACACACACACACACACATACACACACACCTGTCAAATAGGATCAAAATAATCTCAAACAATGACAGAATAAATGAATATGTTTGTAATAATTATGTTATTCTGTCAGTTGTGAGCTTAAACTCATTATATGATTTATAACCCGTGTGCTCCTAACCGTTCTTAAAATGTTTTTTATGAATGGTCAGGCAGAATCTTTGGGAAACTGTTTGTTGAACTGGTTTGCAGGTCATTGTGGGCAGCATCTTTGAAGTGGTTTGGGGCTTCTTCCGGCCCGGCATGTCCTTTGGGATCAGTGTGCTGAGAGCGCTGAGACTCCTGAGAATCTTCAAGATCACAAAGTAAGGATCTTTTTATAAATGAATACATAAGGGTGTCAGCTGAATTGTATTCTTTGATTTTAGAGATGCACAACCATCACTCTATTCTTCTAAGACAATGACACTAAGCATATGCTGGTTACAAATTGGTGTAACTGGTGTACTTTGCAGAGACAAATACTATGTGGTTTCCTCCTGTCAGGTACTGGGCATCTCTCAGGAACCTGGTTGTGTCCCTCATGAGCTCAATGAAGTCTATCATCAGCCTGCTGTTTCTTCTCTTCCTCTTCATCGTGGTGTTTGCTCTGCTGGGGATGCAGCTTTTTGGAGGAAGGTGGGTAAAGCCTTCAGGGCTTCAAAACTGAAACCCTCATTTTCTTAGTTCTGGGCACAGCTTTCTTTTGATATATCATTTTAACCTACATATCCGATCACACTGCTGTCTTTGAAATGCCTACTACACCCTGCAAACGGAACTGCAGTTTCTTCAATGGTGTGTATGATGAAGAGGAGAGGAAATGATATGTCCGGATGAAAATAGCTTCGCGTCCTCCTCCTCCTCTGCTTCCTCCTCCTCTTCCTATTCTTCCCTGGTCATATCTGACCCTGCTTTCTATCTGCCTTCCCTCTAGGTTCATCTTTGAAGATTACACTCCCACCAACTTTGACACATTTCCAGCTGCCATCATGACAGTGTTTCAGGTTTGGCTCCCACAGATCCCCTCGTTCTGCCTGCTCTCCATGACACATTGCACCCTGGGATATTTCTCACCCCAGGCGCAGATTAAACAACTCTGCTCACTCGCTCCCTACCCCCTGCCTCCGCTATCATCCCACACATCCGTGCACACATATGCGCACATGAATATCAGACAAGTGAAACGTGAACAAATCCACATCAGATCTGCTACAAAACCAGCCGTACTGTGAAGGACTGTTTGATCAGCACACATAGTAATGACTTACCCTGCTGCCATTTTAATAGCTTATTCTGAACTGGTTTGCATGCAGAGGACACGGATCCTGTTTCAAGTCATTTTAAAACATATGTCTCTCCACAGATGGGAGTAATGTAGTGATTTATGCAAAATGTTCTTTGCATTAACCTGCAGATTTTGACTGGTGAGGACTGGAACGAGGTGATGTACAACGGGATTCGCTCTCAGGGTGGGGTGCAGTATGGCATGTGGTCATCCATCTACTTCATAGTGCTCACCCTTTTTGGAAACTGTATCCTTTCTCAACTTTTGATAGTAGTCAGGATAAATGCGGTGTAATGTGAGTAGGGGACTACTCCATCATAGGTTATTCAAAATTTGACTAGGATAAAATCACAGAGCCACAAGAATACTATTAGAATGGATAATATCCGAATCATAGACTGTGTATACTATGGACAACTTGGTTCTGCCTTTGGCCAGTATTTGGATTTGAAGCCAAAAAGCTCTGTAATTTTGCGTTTTTTCTCCATTTCCTGTAACCAACATTGAGCAGTAGCATTGTACGCATTCAGCGGGAGAGTTTGCTGAGAGTCACTGGGATGACACTCGACTCAAACAGCGTAACCCCCGGGTGGCAATATTTTTTTTTTGTAGGACAGTAGGGGAAAGTCCCGCCTCCTTCGCCTCTGATTGGCTAGAAAAGCTGGAAACGTCATCACACCCTCAAACCAAATGCAGGCTGTCGGCTGTGTACATCAAACAGAACATTACTGTACTACTGAATCTCCTAACTCTAGACCCTAACCCGACAGAAGGTGACGTTTCACAGCCATTAGGAATAACCAATCGGAGCCTAGCTCTTCTAGCCAATCAGAGGCGAAGGAGGGTGGGACCTTCTCCTACCATCCTACAAAAAAAAAAATTTGCCCGCGGGTGGGCTACACAATCTTCGCACACCCATAGGCTGTATCAAGTGCCAATTATAGAAAACATAAACCCCTGAATCACTTTTAAAAATAGAGCTGTGCAGGAAAAAGAGGACTTGAACACAAACCAGTCTCACGGTAACTACATGTCAACATCGCAAGCAGGGGGGAGAAAAATTTATATTCTGTGTGATAACTTTTTAAAGTTTGTCCACAGCTCCATAGGGATTGCTGGAGGAGGCGGGATTTATGACCTATACTGCAGCCTGTCACCAGAGGGTGCTGTTCTCGGGGCGGCTTCCCCTAGCGAGGAGGCAGATGTCGTCCATTTTATATACAGTCTATGGTCCAAACACTGTTCCTCCACCCAAGTATTACATTGTTATCATTATATTGACATTCACTGTGTAGATCGGGGTTTTAAAATGCGATAAAACAATGAGCCTTAGTGTGACTTTTGTAACTCCACTTCAGTTTATCTTTTTATGAAAGACAGAGGGAAGTACACAAACACACACACACGAACACGATAGGCTCCTACAGGTGTGTTTTTCTTAACAGCCTCCATGACAGACACACTGCTGAATGTCTTCTTGGCTATCGCTGTGGATAATCTCGCCAACGCACAGGAACTGACAAAGGTTTGTACTATCTTTACCTCAGTGTTGGCAGTTGACCAACTTTTTTTTTATAAATATATATAGTACACACCTTTAGGGATGTACCTTACAAGTGTAATATATAACAGATATAGATGCATTTCTGGTGTTACACTGGAATATTGAGTATATGTGAATTTTAATTTCATTTTCTTTTAACAGGATGAGGAGGAGGAGGAGGAGTTCTTCAACCAGAGATACGCCAGAGGCAGAGACGGTCTAATATCTGAGTAAGTTTTTGCAGCTTTTAGACAACAGAAAAAGGCTTCCAGAGAGGAGAGATGGAATGAGCATTTACAGCTCTGAGGAAGCTCTCAGCCGTCAGAGTAAGACTGATTCTCAGATCAGGTCTCCTCTTGAGTAAAAGGAAGTTTCTGATTGGGCCAAAAATTGCTTCCTCTTTTTGGCATCAAAGTGGGGAGTCTTAGTCTTATTCAGATACAGAAGTAATCAATATACTCATCCTTATTGAAAAGGACGTGTTTGAATATTGGGGTCAAGATGTCACCAATGTTACTGATAGTGAACTTTCTGAGAACCAGTTTCTTCTGCTGCATGGGGAATGCCAGATTAGAAGGCATGAATTACAGTGTGGATGACATGATAATGAATGTTTACTGAATGTGCCTGATTTCAAAGCATGACCCTTTTGCTACAAGGCAATTTTGAGAAATTACGTGCCTGTAAACAGCACAAGAACCAGGCAGGTAGTGCTTTTAAGCTATTGGGGGGCTGTTTGAATTTTCCATGTTTCGCTGAGCCAAGAGGAGGCACATTTTGGAGCATGTTAGAGGACTGTGAGAATGAAACTACAAAAGTACATGGCTCATCAGGGGAATGATAACCGGAATACTTAAATGGCCACCATGTAAGAGGTCTTGAGTATAAACAGAGCCACATGACACATCTCTTTCAGAGCGCTGGCTTGGCTTGGTGAGAACTGTATTCAAAATTTCGCATGCTTTTACACCATTAACCACAAACTGATTCAGCGTTTCTATCACTTGCCAGGTTTTTTCTCAAACCAAATCACATCAATACAAACTGAAACATTTGACTGTTTTTTTAAATGATTGATTGCTAAACAAACAAAACCGTTAGTGGGGGCTTTTTTTTTGCATTTATAACAACAGATTTCTGTTTTCTAAGCAGGTCCCTCCACAAAGTTAAAAAGACAAATCTTCCACTGTCACTGAAGTAGTTGTTGTATACGTTACAGTAAAAACACACGCTGCACAGACTCTGACTTTGTAGAGGAGACACTGAGTGTATCATTTGTCTGTTACATATTTGAATGTCAGTCTTGTTTTTGTTGCAGCTATCAAGATGCTGATTTGGACGTGTATGACTGTGTTTGCTGGTTCCATCACATTGTCTTGTTTTTTATGCCTGTTATGTGATACTGAACAAAATGATAGCAATTACTCTGTTAGCTCTGGAGTCGCTTCAATACCAAATATTATTCCGTTTTAATCACCAAAAGATCAGCACTTCTTGAATTGACATACCCGCAGAGTTTTACCGTAAGAAAAACTTGTATAATCTTTAGCTTCAGGTTGCATCCCCCTCTACAAATTTTGTTCTGTGTCACAACAAATGTTCTGTGTATGTTGTAAAACACTAATGTCTTGTTTTCGAATAATCACTCATTGATTACATGGACAACTAAAGAATCTGAACACCAGTAAGTATGATTGTATGCATCCCTGTCTCACAGATTTCCTACCTTTAGTTCCCTCACTCAGTTATCAAAATTATGTTCTCGATGTTACACTAGTTGTATTTGTATTTCAATCCTTGCACCTTGCCCTTTTTTTGTTCTGGTGGTTTTTCGTTTTTATTCTTGTCTTTTAATCTGTCCTATCCTCTCAGGTAATTTTTCAGTTTCTGGATGTATTTTTAATTTGTAGTTTGGAGTATTTTGCTTGAGTATTTTTCCATGGGATTTCTTTTCTGTTTCTGATTTAACTAACATTAAAATTCACAGAAAAGGTCTGTCCTTTTCTTGCAACTTGTTTTTGGTTATTATTTGATAAAGCTGGTATGCTACTTGGACGTAGTCTCGATGTTTTTGTCACCAGTGTCTTAAATTTTGGCTTGTTCAGACATGAAATTGATGTGAACTATATTGTGGTTCTTAGTGGGAGGAGAAGACCCTACCTATACAGGAAACGAGCCATTCACAGAGGACGGCCAAACTTCCCAGAGGACCCAGATGGTGCACCCGGGGCCGCAGATGAACAGCCTCTCAATGGTGCAAAACCTTTTTCAAACCGCCGTGAGAGGAGACGAAAGGTCAACATGTCGGTGTGGGAGCAGAGAGCCAATCAGCTACGCAAACGTCGCCAGATGGCGAGTAGAGAGGAACTTTTTGCCAGCCCCACCGAGGACACCGCCGAAACCCCTACTGCTGCCCACCATCCCGCCACCATCTCCCCAGAGGCCAGCCCAGCTCACCTGCCTGAGTCCCCCATGTCTGTCGGGATGCCCCTCCCCGAGCCCCCTATGTCCATCTCCATTCCCATGCCAGAGCCTCCTACAGCCGAGCCTCTGGTCAACCTGAATGAGGACAAATCAGGAGGAGGAAATCACAGAGCCACAGGAGGGGGAAGGCACAGGATGGCCCGCAAGTTCAGACCCAGTCAGGGGCCGGACGAAGGGGCCAGACACAGACGCCACCGTCATCGGGAAGCTCGACCAGAAGCCAAGAGTCTGGACTGTTCCCAAGTGCCACATGAGGTGCTGCAAGTGAGACGGTCGCTCAGCCAAGAGAGGAGGGTACTGGATGAGAGGGAGGAGAAATCAGAGGCGGAAAGAGGGTCAGTTCAAGACGACTGTGGAACAACCATCATTAACCCGTATGCAGAAGTTGGAGAAGACAACAGAAGGTAAGCTCATTCTTATGTTTCTCTGATGGAGACATTTTCCTAAAGAGTGAATGACAAGTCTCTCACAATCCAAAGCACATTTTTACATTCGTGTCTCTACCTTGTTATTTAATCCCTCTTCCTCCTGTGTGCTACTATCTGCTGAAGGCTATTTTGATTGAAATGTCAACAAATGATTTCGCCCCATAAAAGGAAAACACCTTGACGTTTCTCTTTTTAGCTTTTTTCAAATGATGAGAGAAAGGTAATATGTATATATTCTACTCATTTAATCTCACTGAAATACGATCCCCTTAAATGAGGCGAAGGTGAAAAAACTACACCATCACTTGAACTTGACAAAGTAGCTGCCGAGGGCAAACACTTCAGACTCTGTTTGGCGTGTCCTCTTTTTGACTCACAGTAGTATATCTCTTTATAGTTCCAGGAAAAAGGTATAGAGCTAATGCTAAAAGTGCTCCGCTAGGCGAGACAGCAGTATGCAGAAATTTGTAGTAACACTTTAAGGTACACAAAATTACAGTAGTTAATGAGGAACTAATCAAGAACTAATGAGGAACTAATGAGTAGTTACTGAGCAACTGAGGTACTCAAAGTTAGAGTATAGTTACTGAGGGGCTAAGGTACACAAAATTAGAGTAGTTATTGAGGAACTAATAAGTAACTAACTATTAGTTAATGGCCAGTTCTTCAAGAACTCCTGACCAGATTTCAGTGGAGTAGTTACTGAGGAACTAAGTAGGAACTCATGGAGAGGATGTGCCAGGTTGTCCTGGACGGTACACATGGCCATGATGAAGTAATGATTCAGTACTCATAAACTAGTACTTACGATGTCATACTTTAAGGTACACAAAAAGGTAGGTAATGACTAAGTAATAGTTAGTTCCTCAGTGACTAATTTGTTCCTTGTTAGTTCTTTTTTATGTTCCTGATTTGCTCCTCAGTAACTATTCATTAGTTCCCCACTAACTACTCCTCTGATATTTGATCAGAGGTTACTGAAACTCTGACTATTTAATAGTTACTTTATCGTTATTTCCTCACTAACTACTTCTCTGAAATTTGATCAGGGGTTACTGAAGAGCTGACTATTAACAAATAGTTAGTTTATTATTACTTCCTCAGTAACTACTCTAATTTCGTGTACTTAAGTTCCTTAGTAACTGGTCATTAGTTCCTCATTAGTTATAATAATGCATCAGATTTTATAGTGCTTTATCAGAGCTCCTCAAAGTGCTTGACATTGGATACATCATTCATTCGCTCACACACTCACACCTCGGTGGTAGTAAACTAGTAGTCATCTTAGTAGTCTCTTACCATCACCACACAACACTCACAATCATACACTAGTGGAGGACACACTGGGAGCAAGGTGGTTAAGTGTCTTGCCCAAGGACACAATGGACAGACTAGGGACAGAGGGAATCAAACCATCAACCGCTCTACCTCCTGAGCTACCTGTAGTCTTTCTCAGTAACTACTACATTGTTGTGTACCTTATTGTAAAGTGTTACCAACTTTGTAATACATAAAAAAAGCCAACATTCATGGGTTAACCATGAAACTTCAGCTTCTTAGCATGCTAACAGATGCACATTTTATTAAATAATTTATCTGATAGACACCCTGGTCAGAAGTGGATTACAATGAAATACCCACCAATGCCAAGAAAACATACTTAGATACTTGTTGAACTGATTTAAGCTTTTCTTCCCCGTGTCAGATCCACTCTGCCCGGTGCCGACATCCCTGAGCCTCCCCAGTGCGATCAGCTGCTGGACTGTTCCTGGTCCGAGCAGGGTGAAGGTAGACACACAGACCAGTACCAGCCCGTGGAGTCCGCCTTAGAGGCCACGGAGTACACTGTGAGGACCATTGAGTCAGAAAGCCGCCCTGTCTCCCTCAAACGTAATAAAACCAACCTGGAAGGAAGCGTGGCCATCGAAATGTCAGCACAGCCACTACTGGAGCTCACGCCCATGACAGGTAACGCCGTGACTACTCTCACCGCAGTCACACTGTTTCACTGAGCATCATCAAGTGGGATTAAGCGTCGGTATCACTCTGTCTCACCGTGTGTAGGTGTTCCTGACATCTGATAAAGAGTGCCACACTTTTTTTTTTTTTTTTTGATGCATCTATTGTGCCGGTGACTCACATTCTTTCTCTTTTCGTAGCAGTCCACGAAACCGCTTAAACATTCACTTCTCTCAAATCTCCGTCTGGGTTTTAGTGAACAGTAAAGAGTTGGAGGCATACAGCTCCGACCAGAAGGATGATGATGATGATGATGATGAAACGGAAGATGAGGAGCCTCCCATTCCTCCTAAACCTGTAGCTCCAGACAGCATGTTTATCTTCAAAGCCTCCAACCCGTAAGATAAAACTAGTCCAGAGAATCATTTTCAGTGTATGATATTTAACTCTTCGAATCACTGTTGACTTCTTACCTTCTGCTGATTTGCAGTATCAGGAGGATATGCCACTATGTAGTCACGATGCGCTACTTTGAGATGACCATCCTCCTTGTGATCGTGGCGAGCAGCATTGCTCTGGCTGCAGAGGACCCTGTGTGCACAAATTCAGACAGAAATAAGGTAAAATCAACGGAGATCTCACCATTTTAAGATTATACATGATTGTGCCAGACACCAGCCTGAGGTCAGCTCATTTAAGCTGCAAAATCAAGATAGGCGACACAACAATTTGAACACGTCAGCAAACAAACATGTTAATAGCTGTTACTCACAGCAAACAAATCTGCCATCACAAGTACAAAGACTGTGAAATTTAGCTGTTTTAAAAACACGAATAGACGAGAATCTATTCAGCAATGCTGATTGTTCCTCCAGTGATTGTTGTGTGTGAAGTAGCCTTCAAGTTAAGGTTCATTTGTCTCCAAATTTCTCCCTCAGAAAAGAAATTCTTTGAAAAGAACAAAATATTTAAAAAAATATAAATCCAACATACTCTTTTGACACCAAGGAGGACATTTATTTGCCTCAGGTTGGCTGTTTGATCTCTAGTTGACATAACACTGTCTCAGCAACAATGTGTCGTGACACATTTGGTTTCACGCACATCCAAGGTGACAATCAGCAGCTTTGACTGGGACATCGCTGTGCAAATTGTTTTTCACAGTTTTATTACAACTCAGCTTCATGAAAAGTGTCAAGCGTGACCGGATGAGCACAAAGTAGTAGATCGACATTGTAGCTGGCTTCACTGCTGGCAGAGAAACAGAGTCAAGATACACACAAAGACACATTTGAAATGTCAGTCATTTTCTATAGTTGGATGGCATCCCCACAGGCCCTGAAAAGACATCTGTCTGAAGATATGTTTTTTATGGTGGCTGTGCAGCTGTTGAAACAGAGCAGTAACACTTACAAAGAAGCTAAAAGATTCACATTTGATCCATTTATTTTTACATTTTAGCCCTGGTGAAGTGATGCCTCCCTCAACACCGTTGTTTGGTTCGGTTACAGGCTCAAAAACCTTTTCTTTTTACTGCATTAAACCACTATTACCTGTGATCCTTGGTGGTGTAAGAGGTGAATCAGGCTCCTCACTTTCAATCTGCACTGAGGTCTTGCATCCTGTTAATAATGTACTCTTTAAAGGGCAATTCCACTCAGCTCTGTAATGTGTTTGATTCTGCCAGAGAGGGAAGAGGTTGCATCTTGAGAGTCATGATCTGTATTTCAGACAAAAATTCAGAATATCTAGCCTGTAACTTGAAGATATGTTTCTATACTCTTAAGATGGGGCGATATTACTGCAAATGCTGCTCAATATTTCTATGAATCTTCTTTGCCTGTCAGCAGATCCATAATTTTTAAAGCGCTCTTGCATATTCCTCCTACTTCTGTGGCAGTGTTTGTTTCCTGAGGCTATGGTTTGCATAGATCTCACTAATATAGCCTTAGAAAGTGTCTATTCAAAAGAAGTGGCTTTGAGTTGATCTGTGTCTTTTTGTCTTTTATTGGTGTTACTCTACACTTGTTGTGATCCAGGTCCTGCGTTATTTTGATTATGTCTTCACCGGAGTCTTCACTTTTGAAATGATCATCAAGGTGAGTGACTGAAGCATGTTTCAATATAGATCGCACTCTTTTAAAGAACTCTTATCAACTCATCATGAACTCCGAGGTATTTAAATCCCTGTGTATCTGTGTGTGTGCTTGTACATATTTACCTTACAGATGATAGACCAGGGTCTCATTCTGCACGACGGCTCTTACTTCCGAGACATGTGGAACATCCTGGACTTCATCGTGGTGGTGGGAGCTCTCATTGCCTTTGCTCTAACGTGAGTCACCGTATAGTGCCGCCTGTTGATGACTAATGACTGACTCACTGCAGCAAATCGTTTTCTGAGCATACAATATTGTTATAAACGACCTTCCTTTAAAGACCCGTTTTTCAAAAAAAGCAGTCTGGTCCAATGACAAAGGAGCAGCTCTTAACTGATGGCATGCCTGGGTCTGTGAAGCGTGTAACTCAGATTTAACTGTTGGTATGGATTTCTGTGTAATTTGGGAGAATTCACATGGGCGAGATGTGTCATGAGTGCTGTTAAAAAGCCTCGACTGTATTTGTTTCTGTTGTCGTTCCCAGCCCAAGTGTGACGGATAACTGACTAAACCTTTTTTCCGCCTTCTGTTGTACTGTACAGGACTGTACTGTGGATTTCTCTGTTGTGAATATAACTGTGATCTTCTGAGCTTTGCTCACAGTGATTCTTTTTTTATGCCTCGATTTTTTTTCTCTGTTGTTCCTGTGGATTTTATCACTGTTGGGGCTACCAGGAATGTGATGGGGTAAAAATTTCTGTCACACTAAATGTCAATGTCTTCCATAAGCTTAAAATGTAGATCTTTAATTTTTGTTTGTATTTATTTTTGACTTGTTTTTGTCATGTCTTTTAAATCTCACCAATATGTTTCAGGGGTTCAATGTTGGACTAATAGGCTTCCCTAAAAAAAACACTCTCGCCTTTCTAGTTCTACCCTCTTTTTTTGCTGATTGACATAAACAGGTTTTTAAGCTCAAAATAAATCCTAACCTTATGTCTCAATGCACACACTGCTGATATTTTGTTTGATAAAGATAAAATCAAATAAATTGTGTAATTCAATGTGATGCCCTTGATAGGAGAAAATTAGTTGGCACTACGCAAAAATACTCACATATTTAAAAAACTACCGCTCACCTTTTTTCAGTACATTAATACAAATATGATAAGAGCAGGTGAAGAAATTAAATTAATTTTAACCCAAATTTAAGCTTCAAATAAATCAGTGAGGTTTTCCCTTAATTATAACAAACTGAAATAGATAGAGGGACGCACAGACACGTACAAATACACACAAAGAAATAAAAGTGTAAAAGCCATATCACACTGGTATGTTTTTTACAAAAACCCGGATTTGTGTTCACAAAGACTTAGTTAAGAATTACAAATAAATGATCAGCATTTTAACCCCTGACACCTGCTGGGCTTTCTACAAACACTCTCAAGATGAACTTCTGTTTTCCACTGCACTTTTTTTATATGCACTACTATCACCATTTTGATTTGACTGTTTGTCCCTTCTTTCACTGTTATAAATGTAACCAGACCGTGTCTTCTTGTGCCTTTAGCTCGAGTTTACAGCCATATCTCTAAGTGCTTTATTTCAATGTCAACAGAAACAACAAAGGCAGAGACATCAAAACAATCAAGTCTCTCAGAGTTCTGAGAGTTCTGCGGCCTCTTAAAACCATCAAGAGGCTCCCGAAACTCAAGGTACGGTGTAAAAGTTTGCACGCGCTCTGCTGTATTTTGATTTCTGGCGGTATTTCACAGACGTCTGACGGGTTGCTCTTCTCTGCAGGCTGTCTTTGACTGTGTGGTCACATCTCTGAAGAACGTCTTCAACATCCTCATCGTGTACCAGCTCTTCATGTTCATCTTTGCCGTCATTGCTGTGCAGCTCTTCAAGGGGAGGTTCTTCTACTGCACCGACAGCTCTATGAACACTGAGAAAGAATGCCAGTGAGTGACTGTGACTGAAAAACGCTCCACATTTTAAATAGGGGCAGGGTAATACTTCAAGTAGTGAAGGTCCTGTCCTCAATATTGTACTTAAGTAAAGGCTAAAATATCCAGAAGTCAAATTTCTTATAATGCAATGTTGCTGATAATCAAGGTTAGCTTGTTTGCTGGGGGAGTTAACAAACTGAGAGGAAATAGTGTCATTTTCCAGACTTCCATGCTATAGGACTACTTTCTGCAACCGGTTGAATCGCCCCCTGCTGGGCCATTTAAGAAAAAGTCAATGTGGTGGACTGCAAAGCTTCACTTCTAGACATTAATAGTGCAAAGGCAGGACAGGGTGTTATCTCTCTTCATTTGAAGTTGAAGTTGAGTTTAGTGAGTCAATGACCCGTGGACTGCTCTGTTTCCTACAGAGGCTACTACATCGACTACAGCAGAGACAAGAAGGAGGTGAAGAGACGAGAGTGGAGGAGACACGAGTTTCACTATGACAACGTCTGCTGGGCGCTCCTTACGCTTTTTACTGTCTCGACTGGAGAGGGATGGCCTCAGTAAGTAGATTAATACTAAAAAAAAAAAAAAAAACACTTCAGCAGTATGACCTTCATAATCTGCCAGATGAGCGAAACATTTCTGTTCACTCGCCTGGAAAAGATCATTTAAATCTCCTCATTTCCTGCCAGGGTCCTGCAGCACTCCACCGATGTGACAGAGGAGAACATCGGGCCGAGTCGAGGAAACCGGATGGAGATGTCTGTTTTCTACGTGGTCTACTTTGTGGTCTTCCCGTTCTTCTTCGTCAACATCTTCGTGGCTTTGATCATCATCACCTTCCAGGAGCAGGGCGACAAGATGATCCAGGAGTGCAGCCTGGAGAAGAATGAGGTGTGGACGAGTTAAACACAGTCGCACAGAAGAAGCATTCACATATGTCCACTTAACATCTCTGTGTATTTGATTTTTGTTTTTTTATCTCCACCAGAGAGCTTGCATAGACTTCGCCATCAGCGCAAAGCCGATGACCCGCTACATGCCCCAGAACAGACAAACGTTCCAGTACAGACTCTGGCACTTTGTGGCTTCACCCTCTTTTGAGTACACAGTGCTGGTCATGATCGCTCTCAACACTGTGGTCCTCATGATGAAGGTAAAAATGAGGAAATTAAGAAACATTCTCTTATGCTCTCCACCCAAGCCCTCCCTCACCTTCTTTCTCCCTAAATCACAGTCACTTCTTCACATTCATTTGTATTTTTATCTGTTATACACTATTCAACTGGTACAATAATTCTTTTTATTATTATTGCATATAACTGCTTAAAAGCTGTTTTGTAAAAATCCATTTTAACATGAGAATGTCTTTAAGTGATTCACAGCTGTATTTTTAGAAAGAAAAAGTAAAACATTTCAACAATCTGAACTGAACCTCTGATCCTCTCATCAGACTCCTTTACTTTCTCAGTTGAGCCACTGGTTCAATTTACCCCAGAACTACTATTATGACTTCATTCGTCCTCTTAGCTAAAATGGTGGACTTCTATGTTAGGTTTTTGACCTCATGTTGTAGCTCATCGATACAATTGATGTTTAAAACAAATTTAAAATGATCTTTTTTGGTCTGAACACAATTCTAATCAAACTTATGACAGACTAAATTCACTTTCAAGAGTGAAAAACGTTTTTTTTTTCTTGTAAATAAATGTCTAACCTCTTCACCCATGTGCTTCTGACCTTCACAGACTCCATGAATTGATGCCCATCTTCTAAATATTTAGTCCCATGAGCAATGTCTTTTACCATTTCCAAGCAACCCTTTAGCTCAACTTACCCCACTCTCCCTATATCCAAATGTTAACCATACTGTCTCTTTTCACTTAGTACCATTCGGCCCCGACAGCCTACGACACAGTCCTGAAACACCTCAACACAGCCTTCACCGTCCTCTTCTCTTTGGAGTGTATCTTAAAGATTATGGCGTTTGGTTTTGTGGTAAGTCTTTAAAATAAAAGAGGAAAACTCGACAAAGTAGAATTTGTCTTCTCCAGTCGTAAGAATTCAAACATTTTTCTTTCCTTTGCCACAGAACTACTTTCGAGACACTTGGAATATTTTTGATTTCATCACTGTTCTTGGCAGCATCACTGAGATAATTGTGGATTTACAGGTAAGCGACTGCCAAGACAGTTTTTTCTCACTTTCACACTGTGGTGACCCAAAATAAAAGCGCCGGAAATATCCGGCTCTAAACACAGCGTTTTTGTTTTTTTTTCTGTCCGAGTCTCCTGGTGTGCTGCGATCCCTGCCTCCTGACACAACTTAAGTCATGTTGTGATGAATCTTGCCATCTGTGTTTTTACATCATGCCTCTGCCGTCTGTCTGCCACTCTCTCTCTCTCTCTCTCTCTCCTTCCTCTCGTGTCGCCCTCTCTCCAACTACCCATGCTTGTTTTCCTAGTCTGTGAACACAATCAACATGAGTTTCCTGAAGCTTTTCCGGGCAGCCAGGTTGATCAAGCTGCTGAGACAAGGATACACCATCCGAATACTGCTGTGGACGTTTGTACAATCTTTTAAGGTCACGTTTCAGTCAGCGTCTTCTCACATGCCACTTGATGATTTTGTGATTTTGTCAATAAAACTTGAACTTTTGTGACAAGTTGAAGTCACGTCTTTGCTTTCTTTCTTTTCTCCAACAGGCTCTACCGTACGTCTGTCTCCTTATTGCGATGCTTTTCTTCATATACGCCATTATTGGAATGCAGGTATCCTCTCTCTAATGTATTAAAATCTACATATTAGACCACCATAGCTCTACTTAGAGTAGTTTTAGTTTTTCATGCTCAGATTACAGAATTACTTTTTATTCTGGACTGCAACTGCTTGAGAAAATAGAGATCCAGTTGACCACACAGCTCACCTTCCTGGTGGTTCTGTCGTTTTCTGCAGGTATTTGGAAACATCAAACTCAATGATGAGAGTCACATCAATCAACACAACAACTTTAAGACCTTTTTCAGTGCGCTGATGCTGCTCTTCAGGTGGGTTCACCGGGAAACATCCTCTGAGCTTAACGCCTTCAGTTTCACTCCTTCAAAATGGATCTTGATGTGACTTCAGCCCGTCATGTGTCTTTGTTTTACCTCCAGGAGTGCCACTGGGGAGTCCTGGCAGGAGATTATGCTTTCGTGTCTCTCAGGTCAGGAGTGTGAGCCCGACCCTTCCATGGCCCCCTTTACTCTGTCTCCAGACCACGAAGGAGGCTGCGGGACCGACTTTGCTTACTGCTACTTCGTCTCATTTATCTTCTTCAGCTCCTTCTTGGTATTCACTCTCACAAATACGCTCATTTTGTACTGTTTCCCCACTTTTCTGACCACATCTTTCCTCTCTTCACTTCCCTTTTCAGATGCTGAACCTGTTTGTGGCTGTGATCATGGATAACTTTGAGTATCTCACGAGAGACTCCTCCATCCTGGGTCCACATCACCTCGATGAGTTTGTTCGTATCTGGGGGGAGTATGACCGTCTGGCGTGGTAAGACCTTAATCCTCACGCATTTTCACATCTACTTCATTTTCACTGAATCAACAGTCATGTTCTATATTTATCCAGCAGAGGGCCATAGAAGAGTGTGGGATGGTTGTGCATTTTTAAGTGCAGTGAGCCTCAAGCTGATATGATTCAAGTCTAAAAGAGCTCTCAGAGTTCACAGCGCTGACATCTTTTAGCAGGAAAGAAAAGTTGTAAATATGTCAAATGTAAAATTAGCTCAAGAACCTGAAGGGAAACTTGTGCCACTCTTTAAACTGACTTCACTCATCCCTCCTGTGTTTCCTTTAAAGTGGTCGTATCCACTACACCGCCATGTACGAGATGTTAACACACATGTCACCGCCGCTGGGCCTCGGCAAAAAGTGTCCCGCTAAGATTGCCTATAAGGTACTGAAAATACTAGCTTTTATCACACAAACACAGTATTTAGCTGTGAACATTTATCATAGATGTAGCAGATTAGAGTGGATTTAATTCTTCCTTTTCTGTCTCTGTCCTTCGTTTAAATCTCAGAGGTTGGTGTTGATGAACATGCCTGTGGATGAGGACATGACTGTCCACTTCACTTCCACCCTGATGTCACTCATCCGCACAGCTCTGGAGATCAAAATAGCACGAGGTCAGAGAAACCAAGAGGCTATCAGGATACGCAATCAAGGGCTGCAGCTTGAGTTGAAGTTTCATTTTTGTCCGATAAGCAATAAATAGTTTTGTCCATGAAATGTCAAGAAGAGCAAAAACCCTGATTATTATCCAAATACTGGTTTAATTTGCTCTCTTTTTGATGTCAAACATGGATGTTTAAAAATGCGTCTTTGCCACAGGCGGTGAGGATCGTGTCGCTCTGGATACTGAACTGCAGAAAGAGATCAGCATCATTTGGCCTTATCTGCCACAGAAGACTTTGGATCTTCTGGTACCTATCAACAAAGGTCTGACTAAAACTACAGACAAATTACTCAATGTAATTCTGAGGAAGGAACCTTTAAGGTCAATAAAACGTGTTTCTTCTCACAGATACTGACATGACGGTGGGGAAGATCTACGCTTCGATGATGATAATGGACTACTTCAAACAGAACAAAGCCAAGAAACTCAGGCAACAACTTGAAGCTCAGGTCAGCTTTGAGACCTGTTGGTAACTTAAATAAACCTTGCTGCGTCTTTTTTCTCTTGCACTAATAATAAAAAACTTTTTTTTTTGAGAAGGGAAGGTCCAAAAAAATCCCAAATCACAGCTTTATTTCCTCCTAAATGACAAGAGGCAGATATTTAAGGCAAAACTTGATCAGTAACAAGAGAGTGGTTCACCTTGAATGCTGTGCCAGCTTAACTCGGATAATGAAACAGAAATAAGCTACATCTGCTCATGTGATGTGAAAAATAAATGAACTGAAGCTGTGAGTTTAAAGAAAATGGTGGATAGGACCCAGATGTAGACTTCACAGGTAGAAATAGAGCTGTACAAGAGTTTTATTGCAGAAAGACGGTGGGATAATTGCGAAGGGAAAAGTGTAGAAGTCAAGAGTCGAAACCAACAGAGAGCAGTTACAGCTGACCTGGAAAAAGACCGAGGCAGCAGAGCAGAGCATCATGGTATTTTTATTTGTTCTCTTATTACAGAAGAGTAACTTGATGTTCAAGCGTCTGGACGCATCCACCCTCCCTGAGGACATTCTGTCCAACACCCAGACGCTGCCCATGATGGGCCACAGCGCCGGCTCAGCCCTGTGAGTCTGAACACCTGCAGATTTGCTACACTGGTACTCCTGTCTCTATTTATGTCTTAGTTTAATGTTTGCTTCTGTCCAAATACAGGACCAGAGGAGGTTTTGTGGCTTTGAGCCCCATCTCACCACAGGAGCTATTTATGCAGCCCATAAGCTCTGATGTTGATGTTAGTCAACAGCAGAATTTGGTAAGAAACGACACTGATGCAGTACGACCTTTGATACCACAAATATGTCACGGAGCAGTGGTTCACAACCATGAAATCCCTGTTAACTTGTTACAAATAGACCATGTGTACAGTCCTTTATTATGGGCTGTTTATTTGATACTTTTACCCTTCTAAATTTTTTAAACTTAACACAATTACTTGATGATTTTGGAAACCTTATATTTTTGTCAGAGGTGCAACACATGCCAGTGGCTCCAAGTTAAATGACGCACTGTAGGCACAAAACAGACAAAAATATTCAAGTATAGTTGAGATAAGGAACGAGCAGATGTATTTTTGTAAACAAAAAAGCACAATGCCATTATGAATACCTTTAAAAAAAATATCTATTTATGCTGCTTTGGTCCAGACCAGTGGTTGGATGTTTCCCTGCTCCAACACACCTGATTCAAATGATCAGCTCGTTATTAAACCATGACAGAGCTTGATAACGAGCTGATCATTTGAATCAGGTGTGTTGGAGCAGGGAAACATTCAAAACATGCAGGACAGTGGGCCTCGAGGACTGGACTTGAGAACCACTGGTCCAGACCATTAACCATTTGTGGATGGCTAGCCTCTACCTCCTCTTACAAAAGTAAAGCCAAAACACTTTTTGAAGAGAAGGTGGTTGTTAGCCATCCATAAATGGTCTCCAGGGGGAGCTCTAAGTGTTTTCACTTCAGGAGAGCTCCCCCTGGAGAGCAGTTCAATGAAAACAATACAAAACATGATATTATTATCATTATTACAATGTACAGTTACTAGGGGTGGGAATCACTAGTGGCCCTAAGATCAGATATTATCACGATACTTGGGCCACGATACGATATTATTGCGATTTTTAACATTTTGCAATACAGTGAGTATTGTGATACAATATATTGTGATTTATACAAATTATTTCTACTGTTTAGCTAATTTAGCATTTGTCTTTTCTTTATGTTTGGCTTATTTACACAGTATTTTAAATTCATGTGGCACATCTTGCAAACCTCATATACATTTGTTGTTCTAACTTTCTCCTGCTCTATGGTGTCACCTCTGCTAACCTCACTGGACAAACAGTTGATTTTATTTTTCCATTATCATAGATTTGACCTCATATTCGCAATTAACTTGCCAGTCTGAAAACAGGCGATCTTAAGCGGTGTCTTAATGTTAAAAATATCTCTTTCTCTATTGCAGCGAACACTCACAGACTTGCTCAATAAAAGCCGTGTTAAGCAGACCATCAGTTTTAAAATGCATCCAGTGAAACAAAAACTGCTCCCATATCAGTGGAACCATCCTGGATACTTATCCAGCACTGATCGAGGATAACAGTGGGTGAGGGCTTAGCTGAGTGAATCCACTTCAGATGTGAAGTGCAGCTTGCACCAGGCATGAGTTAGCCTACGTCACACACTCAAAGCCATAATCTCTCAACATTTCTGCCTCCTTATATAACACAGCATGTTACAGTCAGGACAATCAAACAAAAGCAGTTACATGGAAAAGTAACTATTAGGTGTTGTAGTTCTGTAATAGATCTAGTCGGTGCCTGCAAGTAAAATAATAGATGTGTGTGTCATGAGTCGCTGATGTGCGTTGCCTTTTAAGATTACTCTTACAATCCTTGATTTAAAGGTTTGAACCACTGTCCCAGAGCAAAGACCTACAGACTCAACATTTACAAATGACATCTTTCTTTTTTTGATTTCAGTGTTTAATGCCTCACCAACATCAAGATGTTTTAATTTGTATTAAGTTGTTTCAATGGATGACATTGCTGTGACCTTTCTCACTGCGTTGCAGAGCTCGGCATTGCTGCTGTCTGTGCTCCCGTCTTTTATTCCTGTGGAGGTTGGATTATCTAAGGCAGACTGTCAAACAGTCGTTTCACTGTGTCTAGACCGTCTGGTTTAACTGGTTTCACGTTGCCTGATTGATCAATGACATGAACTTATTCTGAGATGTCCACGTTTTTAGTCCTTGTTTTTGCACAGGAATGTGTTCAACCCCCCCAGAAAGATGTTGTGTGACACTCTTTGTGTAGCTATTGGGACCTGAACCTGCATGATGGAATGAACTAGGCTGACACATGGAGTCCATCTTTCCCTGTGAACTGTTTTTTTGTTTCTCGTCTCCTCTTGTCCACTGTTTGCTCCTCTTACTCGGCTCACACTGTTTCTATTCCTCTCCCAAAGTCAGTCAGTCGTCTGTTGCTAGTTGTTGATTTGTTTGTTTCTGGCTGGAATGGCTCTGATGGTGATGGCTATGATAGATGACCCTCAGTGATTACATGGCTTGTCTGCCCTCCTCTCTCCTGAAACGGACCTTCGTATAGAGGGGTGGGCCTGATCTGCGTTCTGTCTCTCCTTGCCCTCCTCACTTGTGTCTGTACTCACCTAGGTGGGCGAGTGCACTTTGGGGATTGAACCCCCAATGGAGCTTCCTGTGGGGAGGGGCCTGTGTGTGCGGGCCTCTTCCATGCCTCGTCTGGCTGTAGATTTGCAGGTACACACATCTTCCTTGACCCGGCCTCTGTACTGGATCTTGAGGACGTCAGTGGCTGCATGGGCTCTGATGCCAAAGTGCCTGGTTTCTAATGTGCACGAGACGCAGAGGAGTTTAAATCAGTAGATTTACGCCTCGTCTTTTCTTTGTTGGGAGTTTTATTAAGGATAAAGGAGCTTAAACTGTGAGGTGTGACGTTTGAATGCCGATGCCTTGCCTTCTTACCTTGATCTTTTTCACCTCCAGAATAGAGGAAACTAAACCCAACAAATCTATTTGGATGTTTTGCGTGTTTGCTCACCTAAGCATGATTTTATCCAACAAATTCTCTACAATGGTCCACTTGTTTCTACTTGAATTTACAGCACGTTCAATGTTTTCTCTGTGCATGTACCTTGTTCCTGCATGTGTGTCTCGTTCCGTATGGGTGTTTTCACATACCAAAGCAGACAGAAGTCGCAGGCGGCTCGATGAAGCGTTCAGTCTCCACTGTTGCCGACCAGCGGGTGAACGGACTTTGGCAGGAGGAGCCGAGTCCCGAGCGAGTGTATCGACCTCGCCACAAAAGCTACAAGGCTGCTGGTTAGTCTTGCCACGTGATGTGTTTTTTCATTACAGTCAGAGATTTTGAATTCAAGTTCAATTTAAGTGTATAAAAGTAAAAATATCACGTGACTGACTCTGTGGCTGGAAATACTTTTTGATTGGAACATTATTGACGATTAGGTTTGCATCTTTGGTGGTTGACGGTACTATAAAGTGGATTCATTATTAAGTGGAAATGCTGATTAAGCATTGACCTGGTTATTACCTGGTCATACCTCTGGTTATGACCTGGTTATTACCTGGTTATGAACTGTTTTTTTCCTGGTCATAACTCTGGTTATGACCTGGTTATGACCTGGTAATTACCTGGTTTTGACCTGGTTATGACCTGGTTTTGACCTGGTTATGACCTGGTTATTACCTGGTTATTACCTGGTCATAACTCTGGTTATGACCTGGTTATGACCTGGTTATTACCTGGTCATAACTCTGGTTATGACCAGGTAATAACCAGGTCATAACTCTGGTTATGACCTGGTTATTACCTGGTCATAACTCTGGTTATGACCTGGTTATGACCTGGTCAGCATGAATGCAATTTTAATTTATGAAGCACATTCATACTATACTATTTGTACTTCAACAATTTTCACTTTCATTTAACTTCTACTTCTTCTTCAGCCCTTTAACCAATATTACATTTAAACCTTCTTCCATTTTTTTAGCAGTTTTGCATTGCATTTTCAGCTTTCAGCACTCAGCATTTCCACGCATTTTCTGCAAGGAAACGCAATTTTCTAGTTATTTTAGTATCTTGGTTTGTCAATGACACACAGATCAGTGGTCTGAAGGTGCAAGGTTTCTGTATTAGTAGGTGTTAAGGTGAGTTAGTTGTGCACTTTGAAAAGTCTCCTTTTTAGGGATAAAGAATTACATATTAAAGCTAACAAAGGCTTTTTTAAATAACGCCACAGCTGCTGATACAAAGTGTTTCTATAACGGTTTGTTCTCCCCTTAGGAGCAACAAACTGACAGCAAATAAGCTGAAACTTAATATTAAGATAAGACCAGTCATGAAGAATAAAGCTTGTCTTACTTTGTGGCTGTAAGAAAATAAGATCTGACAAGTTTGATTGAGAGCCATCAAACAGATAGCTGCCCACATGACAGTTTGATTAAAGGCAGCTTTTGGTTTTATAAGAGAGGATACCAAACCACGAAACAAGGGAAAAGAGAGGATAAATATAATCAAATAAAGTCGTGAAAGTTTTATCAATGTGGAAAGGAGACGAGATTAAACACATGCTGATTTGCCCTCTTAATTCTTTGCCCTTCTTTAAGAGTTTTCCTCCTCTAAATATCTTTTCCCTAGTGTCTCGGTCTGAGCACTGGCAGAAAGGTGATAGGGAGCGTGGCAGGTCAAAGGAGCGCTGCCACCTCCTCTCTCCGGGAGCATCTCGCTCGAACTCAGAGGAAAGGAATATGCAGCCGTCGCGATCATCCAGTACAGAGAGAGCACGGCCCCAGGATAAACAGGTAAGTCTGAGAAACTGTCAAAAATGCTTGAAACTGGAGAAAGGGTAAAGTTGAGATCAGAGATAGCTCTTAAAGACCTTTTGTTGATCAGTTCACCAGATGACCTGATAACAAGTCAGTTCATAGTCACTGTTTTTGAATTTGGTGTTTATTTTCATCACCAGGGTAATAGCTCAGACAGTCCAGTGCCCTCCACCTCAGAGTCCAGCACTCCCAGCGGCCGACGTCCTTCATCCCAGACCCCCACTCGCTCTCGCCCTCACATCTCCTACTCCCCTCTGGTTAGCCGCACTCATCCCTCTGTTGGCGAGGACGAGGACGAACAAGGCAGCCCGGAAACCGTAAGGCGAGGCAAGCTCACCTGGGAGACCGAAGAGGGGGTCGCTGATGAAATGCAGAGCGAGGAAGGCCTCCACCCTTCCCCACCTCGACGCTATCCCTCCGAGCCGTTCCTGGCCTCCCAAGATGACGACCACAGCCCAGATCCCTCCGGTCCCATGGAGACGTTGACCTTTGAGGCTGCCGTGGCCTGCGCTCTGGGACGATCAAACACCGTCAGCTCGGCCCGCCCACGCTTGCGGACTGGCTGGCAGGTCCCCAATGGACATTTTAGGAAGCGTCTGGCGCAGACAGTCTCTGCATCTGGCTGTGATACTCTCAGCGACACAGAAGAGGACGACAGGTGCTAGGGACAAGAGGCTCAGCATGACAGAGAGTCCTGCAGAGGTGTTAGAGGACTCTGTGTGAAGTCAAGGTTAATGTGACTCTTTTTGCATCCATGCTTCAAGGCCGTGAGCCTTCTGGATGTTTGGCAAAATATGAGCCCAAAACAAAGAACGGAAAAGAACAATACTTCCTGAAACTGTAGTTGCCAATTCACACCGAACACTGACAATAAATAAGGTCTAGCTCCTGACTTGTACTTGATGATAGAGAGTAATAACACATCTCAAATAATCGTGGGATGCAGAAAATATAAGAATGGATCGGATTTGTCATTTGTGTCAATAGGTATTTTCATTTCTGAACATGTTTCTAAAGACTCAGTGTTGCTCTGAACAGTATTTATCTGTGGGGTGTGTGAATATGTAACTACATTTTCCTATAAATAATTGTTTTGTAAATACTTTGTGATCATAAAACCATCGCCATCAATGAAACAACAAGAAGCCATCACGAAGAGGCACCTGATACTTTACCAGACGATGTGCATACGAATAAGTAACACTCAATGATGCTGGATTTTTTTACAGTAAGAATGAATGTGCAGGGGGGAAACTGCCTGATTTCCCTCGTCATTTATTTTCCTTTTGGTATTGAACATAAGTTGTGAGAAATTGATACAGTTATAGAATAACATAGAGATGATGCTTATTTGTTAATTCACCCTACGTCACTGTTAAATCATGCCTCCAACCAACCTTTAATATTTCTTGACAATATTTCGATACAGTCTGTTTAATTTTCCCGGTCTGCTCCCTTTAAATCTGAATTTTTTCAGTGGGCGTGAATTTCACCATGAACTGCCATGAAAAGAAAATGATTTCTCATCTATTTTCACCTTTTTCTTCCTCGTGAATCGAACTCACCACTTCGGACGATGACTGTAGAAACACTGTAGACACACCATGACACATTTTGCTTCACAAATTCACATTACTCTATTACTTACTAATAATGTACAGAGAATTTATGCTGTTTGTAACATTTAGAAGAAAAAATAAGAAGTATCAGCTGATGAGCTTTAAAGGTAAAGGAATCTTTTGAAATGTTCATTTTTAGGTATGTGTTTTTGTTTTATTTGCCTGAAGATGGCCAATTCTGTGAAACTCACTTAACCAAAAAAGAAAAAAATAACATGGAGATTTGTATCATAAGTTCCTGGAATGCAAATACTTTGTGGGTTTTTATGTGTACAATAGCTGTATATAAAAATAAAGGTGTCCTCAAGTTGCCACTGCCATTGGATGTCCTCTTATTTTTGGAAAAATGTCAGAAACCTTGACATGAGAGACGTTGAAACGTTGACAACTCCCAGATTTGTCATTTCCTGCAGATCTTATTGAAATGCATGTGACTTATACTCAAACTCTGATAGGAACATCACTACTGGCTGTTTCAAACAGTGGTGAAATCAGTGGTGTCTTTGAGAAGAGTTTTTTTTTTTTTTTTTTTTGAGGAAGTAATGTGACCAAAATATTTTTAGGTTAAACACTGAAGCACTGTTTATTTGGGGGGAATGGAGCAGCTTTAACAGCTTATTTAAAACCATATGCATGATGGAGAAACAGGTTGGGAGTTGGACCCACAAGTTTAAATGAAGGGCACTTCTTTAAAGCAATAGATAGTTGTATTCCCCGTGTACAGAGTCTCCAAGAAGGCAGCCCCGCTTTTCACAGCATGACAGTCCCTGCTCCCCAGTTTCTTCTATCCATCACCCTGTCTCTAAATAAGAACTAAAAGCTCAATTTATAGCACAGGAAAGACACAAACGTCATTAATGTCACTAATGCCACTGATTCTGATTATAGTCTAAGTGTCCTATTCTGATATTGTCCCAATGATGTACCAAAACCCTGAAATTGAAGCAACTAAATATAATGTAAAAGTAATCTGTTCAAAGATCTATCATCAGCTTATTGGCCTTTCTATGACTTTGGTTGGGCCTTAACTGTCAGTGGCTCCTGTAGTATGTTGGTGTCAGATAAATTCACTGACACCAATAAATTCACAAACTTCATCCTGAGCAGAGCTTTAATCAGCAAGAACCTTGGGCCCCTCAGTTGGCACACAACAATGTACATCTGGTAATCTATGAAGACTTTTTAGCCGTCACTAATTTTTTAAGTCTTTTTAGTGCTTTTAGATTAAAAAGACTTAGAAAATGAAACTGAAACTCCTTTGGTTTATTTTCTTCTCTTGAACGGACATGATCAATTTTCTCTTATAATGTTGAATGTGAAGGAAAAGATAGAGACTAGCCACGAAAAATAAATAAGACAACACTGTGTTGTGTGAAAATATATTTTCCATATCATAATGGATATATAGAGAAGAGTGGGGTAAGATGAGCCATGTTTCATATTTCGGATCACTACATCAAGGCAATCATAGTTTTGTCTCTAACTAGTGTATCTGCATATATTTCAAGATGTTGTGCATCCCTGCAAACCATCAGAATGGGTGTAAACATAATTGTCTTGATAATATAGCATGCCAAAAAAAGTGGTCTCCTATGGTCAACTTACCCCATACACTATCTATCTATCTATCTATCTATCTATCTATCTATCTATCTATCTATCTATCTATCTATCTATCTATCTATGTGTTTCTAACCTTCACAGACTCTATGAATTGATGCCCATCTCCTAAATATTTGGTCACATGATCTATTTTTTTTTTTTTTACCATTTCCAAGCAACAGGGGGTGGCTCAACTTACCCTTTGGCTCAACTTACCCCACTCTCCCCTACTAAGAAATGTTAAAGCCAGTCTGAATATCTTTTTAATTTCTTTGTACCACAAAAAACTTTTCCTAAACATTGCACATTATAATATTATATATTCAAATTCAGAAACTACAATAGAGATAAATAATGATAACCTTTAAAATGATATTTTACTGTTTGTTATGATCGTAGGTACCTTGGCAGGGGGCGGGACTAAAGACTGTCATTACGACTACGCCAAAGAAATCAACCAATCACCCGGAAGAATCACACCCGTACGTCATATCAAACGGACCGATAACATGTCCTCCGGTGGAAGAAAGGGCTAGCGAGGAAGCAAACTGTGAAAACCTTACTCACGAAGTTAAAAAAGCGGACATGTCGCTGCGGTGTAACATTAAAATAGCTCACTGTAACAGCCACCGCTGCCGCTGAAGTCGACATCTTGTAGGAATGTTCGTTCTTATGAGGGAATGTATCAGGAAGTCGCTCAGCTGGGTAGAGAGAAAGTAGCTAGCTAGTGTGCTAGCTGGCGTTAGCAGGAGACTTCTTTGTTTTGTTTTTCATGTGGAGCTCCCCCTCGAAACTAGTCTTTGCTGCTGTTTTTGGACGTTTCAGCGCGTATGGGTGTCTGTTAATCATGTGCAGTGTATCTTTAGCCGAAGTCAGTCGAAGTGTTAATCTCTTTCTTTGGTGCTAAATTAGACAAAAAAGCAACATTAGCCACCGAGAGCGACTTTAGCCACAAAGAGCTGTTTTTTTTAACATCGAGCAGGACTGGATAGGAGGACACGGAAGACATGGGCAACTGTCTCAAGTCCCCGACTTCAGACGACATTTCTCTGCTCCATGAATCCCAATCAGACAGGGCGAGTTTCGGGGATGGGACGGATCCGGATCTAGAGCCCCCTCCGCCTTACCAGGTCAGCACCAACACTCAGTCTAAAAGCCTTCAAATGAGGAAACAAAAACAGTCCTGAACATGGTTGTTTGCTTCTTTTTGAGCTTATGTTTCATCTTTGTAAACCTGTTAATGAGTCGCTCTCCTGTCCAGTCCAGTCTGATGTAACAAACTGGTTTTATATTTCCTTTTTTATCTCACTCACTGGCATGTCTGGAGTCTCCAACTATCTACTTTGTCATCACCTCTGATCCTGGGATTAAACTGGGCTCTACTTTAAGGAGGATTGTCTGTTGATGTTTTTTATTGTTGGTATTTCTTTGCCCCCCTTTTTGCCAGGAGCAGGCTCACATGCCCATGTACCATCCCACGCCTAGTCAGGCCCGTCTGGCCACCCAGCTGACAGAGGAGGAGCAGATCCGCATAGCTCAGCGCATTGGCCTCATCCAGCACCTCCCAAAGGGTGTTTATGATGGAGGGCAGGACGGCTCCGAGAAAAAGATCAGAGAGTGAGCCTTTTAATCACGAAAATACAAGACTCTCACAGCTGACTGTTTATTATTATTTTAATAGTGGTTGAGATTCAGAAATACTTTAACAATCCCCAAGGTGAAATTGCTTTTTGTTCCAGTAACTCAAGTGCAAATAAGTAGAAAGAGATGATAAATAATAAATAAAACAAGTAAAACTAAAGAGATAATATACAAGCATGTTCACTGTTTACGACACAAAATAGTCAAATAGTATGCATGTAAACAGTAAGCAGAGTCCAGGTAAAGGCGACTGACTGAGGGTGTCACAGTCTCTGAGGGAGGAGTTAAAAAGTCTGATGACCACCAACAGGAAAGACTTCCTGTCCAGATCTCAGGAAGCATACAATAACACTTTTAAATGTGACTAATGCATAATGATGCTTTATATGAGCCATGAACACAGGTGCTATGTAATGTCAGCTCACTTCTACTGAATTGATCAGTCCTTTAATGCGAAATGATTTGATTTGAATTGAATTTCTTTAATGTCTCCTAAGGGCAGAAAGAAAGCATACAGCAGAAATAATATAAATGAATACATGTTAATACATAGAGTCAGCACAATTTCATGGGTGCATTGTTACCATCAATCTCACCTACAGCTTATTAAAAAAAAACAATGGCTGTTGGGACAAAGGATTTGAGATACCTGTTTGATTTGGCTTTGCAAGTAAAAGTGAACTTTCTCTTTGATGGGAGTGGCTGAAATTCTGTATTGAGAAGATGGAGGGGGGTTTGCCAGAATGGCCTTTGCCCTCTGAGTGTCTCTGGATTTAAAAACAGAGTCAGGATCATTAAGACTCATGCTAGTAGCTTTTTGGCAAAATCAATCAATCAGTCAATTAAATTTTATTTATATAGCGCCAATTCAAAACAGTCGTCATCCCAAGACGCTTTTCAAAGAACAAGAGCAGGTCTAGACCACGCTCATTGTTTGATGATCAAGAACCAACCCAAGATGGGTTTTGGCCCATCTCATCTAACATGAGTAACAGTGGCAAGAAAAAACTTCAATTTAACAGGCAGAAACCTTGAAGAGAGCGAGAGAAAGAAAGAGAGAAAGAACAACAACAACAGCTTATGTAATGGTGAAACAAAATGAATTCAGTTTACAGGGTTAGGATATGAGCAATTATGGACTATGTTAAATTAATTTAATATTTCACAATGTTGCTCAGTTTATTTTTATTTTGCGATACTGAGATTACTGAACTGACATATCGTAGAAAAGGTCACAAGATGGAGATTTAATCTTAACTTTGATCAATATCAATCGTGATAATTGTAGTTTGTCTTCAGGTTAGAGAGTGTGGTGAACATTTGAAATCTGCTTGTGCTAAGATGTAATTTTGTGCCAGTCAATAAAAGACAGTTATCAATGTGACAGACAGCCTCAAAATATTAGGATTGCTGTTTTTCTGTCTGAATTGTATTAATATTTCAGGCTAACTTTTGATCATTTAATTTTAACAATAAATGAATGTGTCATCTAGAGAAGTAGGTAACCCTAATTAAAAAAAGCAAGCTAATGGAGAGGTTGTGCTGTAAACTTAAGCGCATAAAAACATGTTATTTCATCTGTTTCAGATGCGTGATCTGTATGCTGGACTTTGTATACGGGGACCCCATCAGGTTCCTCCCATGTATGCACATCTACCACATGGACTGTATAGATGACTGGCTGATGAGATCCTTCACCTGTCCTTCCTGCATGGAGCCCGTTGATGCTGCCCTGCTCTCCACTTACGAGACCAACTGATTTTTTTCACCCTTTCTCCGCTGGTTCAGATCAAACTACCCCTCCAATCCTGCCCCTAAAAACACACACACACACACACACAGGCCCCAAAACTGCCCTCTTACATAGAGAGAGAGAGGAGCTTAAATGCTTTGGGCGTATTCTCGCACTTTTAAACAACAGAAATTTGGTCGACTTATACTGGCCTTCCAACTCCCAGGTCTAAATCAGCTGGTCTTAAACATTATTTACACCAATCCAGACACTCTGCATGATTGCATCTGTGTGTGTTTGTCGTGTTCAAGCAGCATCCAGTGTTGCTGCTGACAATGATTATGAGGGATGTGTATGTGAGCTGTTTAAGCCGTTTGATGACTGTGCATTTCCACTTGAGCCGGTCTCAGTGGTGTGTCTCCCCAACGGGCTCCATTTCACCTCATTATCAGTCAGTCCTTGTTATCAAAACGGATAATTAGGCTAACAGATTATTGACCAAAACGCCACAAAGTGTTGCCCCAAGAAAAGGTTTGAATTAGAGGTAATCTGTGGCAAGAGTAAACAACGGCTCCCTCAGCATATCGATCTCCTTCAAGTGCCCTCACTGTCAAATTGCCCAACACTTTGGAGACATGAGGATACACTGTTGAGGTTTATGGAGGAGCTGCTATGTAATTAGTAAAGATTAAAGAATGAGTATGCACAAACTGAGAAAGAGTCACCCAAAGTTTTCAAGTACACAATGTTCACTTAAAGGAGAACTAGGCTACATGAGTTTTGGCTGCTCCGAATGACCAGACTTCAAAGAAGTGCTTTGAATTGAAGGGATAAAAATGTTGTGTATCATGGAGGTTTCACCTGATGGCGGGTGAAGAAGCTGGCAGCCAATGTAAAAAGGGCTCATTGTGCATGAGCAGGTGGATCAGTCAGACAAAAATTAGAAACGCTTGCACACACTTTTCATCTGATCCAGAGATTTGCACTTTACTTATAGGACAGTATCTAAACAATATATTAATATATGTACCTTATAACCTTGCACTATCAATAGTTCATCCTCTTTTTTTTTTTCTGAGATGCAAAAGTTATATAGCTGTTACATTTTTCCAAGCTGTCAGTAGTCACTTATCACGTTGAAGTAAACCTGATGATGTATTTCATGAATTCTGTGATTCAGTAGTGTGAGCCTCTGCTTTGTTCAGCTTGAGTTTTGATTCTTGCGTGTGAGTGAGGGGACAGGAGCTTGCTCTAGATTGACGGAAAAGTTTAGGAAATTCATTCATCATCTTTATTAACAAGAGGTCAACGAGAAGACTGATTTCAGGCTGTGTGCTGAGGGGAAAGTTGCTCCCAGGGGATGATCAGTTCGACTTAGCTTCAGTATTGTAATCAGGGGGAACAGCTGGTCAGAAATGCGCCCACCAACACTTCTGGAGCTGAATGACTTTTATGGGGGGTTGTGTAATTTTTAAAAGCAGTTAAGGTAAAAAGTTTGAAGAAGTTAGCCATGTTACTGATAAATTATGAAGGTTGGCTCTTTTTTTGTCACCTAGACTGGATCGTTACTCTGCATCTTGTGTGTTCAACTCAGTGGTTCTCAAGTCCAGTCCTCGAGGCCCATTGTCCTGCATGTTCTGGATGTTTCCCTGCTTCAACACACCTGATTCAAATGATCAGCTCGTTATCAAGCTCTGGAATGGCTTACTAACGAGCTGATCATTTGAATCAGGTGTGTTGGAGCAGGGAAACATCCAAAACATTCAGGACAGTGGGGCTCGAGAACTGGAGTTGAGAACCACTGATTTAACTGACCTTATTCCCTCCTATTTTGGCATCACTCTTCCAGCACACAGGCGTGAACACAGTATCAGTCTTCTCAAGCAAACATATTTCTGAAAATATCCAGCTGTTTCTTTAAGGGATGAAAAGAGGCTAAATTTGAGGTGAACTAAAAACTGTTATAATTTTGAATCCACATTAGTACCAAGTCACTTTGTTTATTAAACTTCACATTGTTGTTTTGTTGTTCTATAACTATTTTTTTTTCTTTTTGCTTTTATTTACATTGACTGTAGCAGTAGTTGCAATAATTGGTTTCATTTTGATTTGTGGCATTGTTCGGTGAAAGTGTGTCTGTCTTTTTTTTTTTTTCTCTGTTTCACGCGTTATGTCTTCTATCTTCCCATTTTTCTGTTACCTTAGTGTGAATTCCAGAGTGAATTTAGCACCTGTAAAACTTTGACACTGGTCTAAGCCTTACTTTGCAAACCTCTGTCCCAAATGAATTTCAGGGTGTAAGAAGTTTCTTTTCACGGTGTGATAGTTACAACTGAGATTTCCCATCAAGCTTTTCCTTTGCTGTGTTCTCTTTTGGCTTTTGTTGATTATGAAACTTAATATTTCCTGTAACCTTGTTTTATTTCTTTCCTTTTTGAAGGCTAGAAAGTCATCATGTTAAAGTAAATAAACAGGAAAAACAAAACTCTCTTTAATTGATTAATTAAAAACAAGCAGCCTCTTTTCTCCATGTAGAAAATCTGTTTGCATCCGTCAGACCAATTAGCCTAAATGCATGTGTGTGAGGGATTACTAAACACGCTGTGGCAATATTTTCCTCCAAGCCTTTCATTAATGCAATCCTGAAATCTGGCAGAGGAATGGAAACGTGACAGCGGTACGTAGCAATCAAGCCCGAGCCATATTAGAAATGTGTGTTTCTTTGTTTCCTCTGCTTACATCAGCCGCGGAGGAAACGTGTGACTCAATGTAAGTGTTTTATATGTGACGCACAAACAGAGGGCGGGTGTTATTAGAATAAATAGAATTAAATCCTCTCTTTAATCTGACCATGCAAGATCCCCTTCCACCGCCAAGCTTACTTGACACATGGAAAAGGTTAATATGTGGTAATGTGTCCATGTGATTGCTGTTAGAGAGTGATTGATCAAACTTTGCTGTTTCTTTGTGACGCGGTTAATCAGCTTTACAGTGCTGCAAGACGTTCTAGGTCAGATACAGAATGGCACTAAAGACACACATGGAAACGTTCTTGTTCAGATGAGACTGTGTGGCAATATGCTAAGTCTTAAATATCTGAAGAATTCTGGGCTGATGGATTACTGTGACTAACTGTATGTAGCAAAGGGTCAGTTGAGCCTTGATAAATCATCATGAATACTGTATCTTAATGGTAGAGGATGTAGAATCGGATATTTAGCAATATCTGGTCAGATTTTAGATTGGATGCCCCTTCTACCCATGAGGGGATGGTGGCTTTCCTGGACTGGGAGCTGAGATGAAGCACAAGTGCACTATACTCTATCAAGTACCTCTGTCTTTTTTGTCTGTACACAACTACTGCCTGCTTTTTCATTTTCCAACTGGTGTCCGTTTGCCTCCAGTTTGTCCATTCTGTGCTACGATTCAAACCTGAATTTGAAGGTGCTCCAGAGTAGATATAAATCTTATTCCAAGTTATTAAAAATTAAAGGTGTTTTGTATTCAGATCATTTTAAGCTGTTTTAACATACCCAAATATATTATATTCTATTTCTACCAAAATAATTTTGCTAATACTACACACTGTGCCTTCAACCCAACCAATTAACATCACAGGCTGTACTCAAAAGGAGGATTTGAGCAAAGTTCCTGTTAAAATCATGTAAGACATCAAATAACTAATTTTAAATAACTGTGAAATACACAAAGAAAGGATTCCTGTATGGACTTGGGTTGCTCTCTGGTAAGTAGCTTCATGATAGATATGAAACACCAGGTTTCATTGGTGCTCACTTAACGGTCTATTTGTTCTATTTGCTAATGGACATTCTCGTTAATCGCCAATAAACCAACCAAATGATAGACATCAACATCACGACCAAATGTTTTAAGTTTTGATCAGCTTTATTTTTCAAACCGTGGAGAATTCTTGTGATACAGCGTGTGAACAAACCCATTTTTAAACCAGTCGTGACAATTCAGGGTTACAAACTTGTACATTCATGTAAAGGATGCAGTAGCTAGACTATAAATATACATATACAGTACATATATGTATTTATAGTCATTACATTCAACCATTAAAAAATTGCGTTTTATTGATATATTGATACAATTATTCAATAATGATAATGTTTTTATGACTGAGTTGAATTAGCAGCCCTGAAATGGACAACTACTTTGTCACCCTGAGAAAAAAAAGGCATCTTTAGGGTTTGTACATCCCGTGGAAGGTGACAGGGATGCCACACTCCACCTCCGCTCGTGCGACCTCAGACAGATCCTTGGCGTTGAGGATGAGGAGGTAAGCTGGTCTCTGGGATCCAGGGGCTGCAACGATGGTCAGCAGCACACCTGGGGAGACAGCAGCACATATTTAGAAAACAACACCTATCAAAGAATAAATAATTTAATTTGATATCACTGCTGACTCACCATCATCCTCATCTACTCCATCAGGGGTCTGCACAAAGAGGGGCTCTGAGGGGTAGGAATCTGGTTCTTGCCATACCCAGGTCTCCTTGGTCTTGACATTCAACTTGCAGATCTGCATTAAAGTAAACCAGTCAATGAAAAAGCCTTTCTACTCTCTCTGGATTGAACTGAAGGATTTTTTTAAACTCACCCTGTCTGGGATGAAGTGGTTGAGACCCAGGGCGTAGGCGTATGTGTAGTTCTTGCCCTGGTACCTCCCATAGTTGATCTGAGGGAACTCAAAGGCTACAACGAGAAAAGTCTGGTCAGTCAAATTAATTGGACTGACGATGACAAAATAAATTAATGATATATCATGGTATATGATGGTAAATTAGTCAAAGACTAATTTCTTGGGGTAATAGTCTTGAGATTCCTGTTTAATGCCCTCATTGACACCATGAGCGCATGTATTGTACCTTGGCGAGGCCCAGAGAACAGCACCTCAGGCTCCAACCAGACCGTCCCATCAGAGTGCATTGTAGCTGTGGCTGTGGTGTAAGGCAGGCTGACCAGGTTCTTCCCCTGCTCCTCCTAAGCAACAGTAAGATAAGAGCAAACAATATGAGACTTGTACTGCACATTTGTATCCTGTCAGTGAGGCAAACAGGGGACTTACCTTATGGACGTCCAAGGGAATGACGTATCTGCGGACCTCTGGCTGAGGAGCCATCATGGCGGCCTTCTTCACCTCCTCCCAGTTGGCTCTCAGGTTGGCCAACCAGAGGTAGTTGTAAACAAACTCAAAACTGCACAAAAATACAGCAACATTAGACAGAACTGTAGGACGTGGACTGGAAGGTTCAAATCTTGAAGGTTGAGCTTTTCAATTACCCTTTCCAGCCACAGAGGTCAACAACAATGAAGCCTTGGTCCTCGTAGGTGTTGATGTGGTGGAACATGCCAATGGCTGCTCCCTTGAATTTCAGGTCAATGTACTCTCCTGGTTCTTTCTTTGCGATGTGAAACAAGGTCTAGAAAACATTAATTAGAATAGGTTATGTGAGATTTCGGTAAGAGGTTACATGAATGCATCAACGTGAGCAAAGACATGAATCTACTCAGAGTTCTTACTCCTTGGGTCTCATTGGACTCGAAACAGTCCATGTAGTTGGAGCCTCGGATGCTCCAAGCACTCAAGAACTTCAGCAAGTTGATTTTCACAGGGGTCTCCACGAATACAAAGTAGTTTTCTGACATGCCAAAGCTGGAAATAACAAAAGGAGAATGGCAGGATATGTAACTTTTGGTGACATCAATGACAAATGGATTAGGGACAATGACAAATGGATTTGGATTTGTCTCCGGAGCAATTTGAGGATGTGCGAGGTTTCTGTCTCCTTTCGGGGTTTTGCAAGTGAAACTTACTCAGTGTGACCCCACTAACACACACCTGTGCACGTAGGAAGGCTTGAACCTCTCAGCACTGGGGAACTGTACCACCACCTTGGACTTCTCAATGGGATCAGATTTGTCTTTGGGAAAGAAAAGCAAAATTATTGCATTAGTATTTGGTTTAAACTTGTTCTAAGAGTCTTTTTTAAATGATAGTAATGTCGTTAATGCTTTTGAAACTATTTGCATATTTTGAATGTTTTAAAAATACATTTGTTTGAGGAATTCTCACTAGAAAAACACCCGAATGCCTAATTTAATGGTGTACTTGAAAGTGTTTTGATTTAATAATCTCCAAATGACTGACCCTGACAGAGAAAAATGTATCTCATTGGGCATTTTTCTCAGTTTAATGACTCATTAGACCCTGAGTTGTCATTCAGAGACATGTTTTGGTTGAAAGTATTCAGTTCACAAGGTGATGCCACTTTATTTAAACACGTGTTGTGTTGCTTGGACTTCACTAACCTTTCTGTGTGGGAGGGGTCCTGACAATGTTATAAGCCAGCGATGCTCCTTTTCCCATGCAGTTACCAATGTTGTACACTGTACCATCCTTCTCAATGTGAGGGTGGGCCGTCACACCATTAATGTTGACATAGTTGCACAAGTCAACCTGGTGGGTAAATACATTAAGTTTAAACTTAACGAGTCCAGGTTTTTTATATCTTCTATATCTTATACCTTCATTCATGTACCTTCTTCAGGGTCTCCAAGTTGTCGGTGTTGACTTTAGTGATGTAGTTGGTTTCTGTTACTGCGTAATAATCCTCACCAATGGGGTAAACATTCACCAGGCAGTTGTCTGTCACTTCAACCCCCTTGAAGTAAGAGAAGAACCTACAAACAAACAAACAAGGCCACATGACAGGTAAATATGTTATTCAAATCTTTACATGTCAGTGTGTTTTCAACATATGTGGTGTGACCAACCTGGAGAAAATATTTTTGCAGGGATCAGGATATCCAAAGGTGCCGAACTCAGTGATCACCACACGCTTCTCAGTGATGGCTCTCACATAGGCGTCTGTTCTGACAAACCTAAATGCAGGAAAAAAGGGTTTTACTCTTTACTAATTTTGTCCTGCACTCACTTTAAGCACTGTTAGTAGAGTTTTTTAAATAATAATCTCACGGTAGCCAAATTTTAGCTATGGACCATGTAAAAAAAGCGACTGTTTTAAGGTGCTTGATTGCAATTTTTCCTGCCCTCTTGTTTACAGGCATCATAAATAAATATAAAAATAAACATCAAACTTCAAGCAGATGGCTTTTTTCGCTTTTGTAGGTCATTAGGAGACATCAGGATTAGTTTCAGTCCGTTTCATAACCAACTAAAATCTCCTCACCAGAGCTTTAAACAAATGACTAATAGATGTGATTGAATTACTCATTACTGTGTCAAAACCTCCACTCATCGTCTTTATGTAATTTCTACTTAGTATAAAGTTTCATGCTGTTTATTAAAGTGTCTGCACAGTGTTTACCAAACTTTCACAGACTCCCTCAGGAGATTTTCTGCACACATGTGTTGATTCTCCTTCAGGGCTGAGATCTAAGTTTTGCTAACAGCCTGAAAAATGAGCCAAACACTGACGTTCAGGTCTTACTTTCTGAAGTAGGTGACTTGGCCGTTTTTGAAGTCAAATTTGTGCATGAGGGCCTGGCCATCAAAGAGGTGATAAAAAGGTTCATCTCCCACTTCAAAAAGCCCTGGTCCCAAACGGAGGAGACTCCCCTTCAGAAATGGAGGAATCCTGCCTGTAAACATTAATAAGCAGAAGTTATACCTCATTTTGAAATGTATGGGTTATTAGAAGGCCCAAATACATTGCTGCCATGAAATCTGTTATGAGTGAAGAATAGAAAAGGTTGTATTGAATCTATTTCAGTCTGAAATTTGCAGTCAAACCTGTGACTGTTGCAGGAATAGGCTCAGCCAGTTCCTCGCATGTCTCAAAGATTTTCTTGTAGCCACCAGCCGGGTGCTCAAATCTGTTATCAAAAAGCAGAGACATCAACATCGCACACAAAAAATAAAACTTTTCTAAAATTTCAAGTGAACTCTATTCATATATCCGTCATATGAAGTCATGAAATGCTGCATTTCTCTCAGGTCATGCAGTTCAGGGTTCCACATAAGCTTTTGAGTCCTGCAGGAGCTTAATCAGCTGCAGACACACTGACCGCTTGAAGAAGTCACAAGATCATCTAAGTGAAATGTCCATGCAAAAGCTACATTCAGTTACAGAAAGGTGAAATTATTAAAAAACACAGTTCTCAAATAAAAACAAAGCCCATTCTTCATAGCATGCTGCTGAACTTGTTGCAGTTTATATGGGATAAAGCTATATATAGAATAATTGTAACTCACCGGCTGACCATGTTTCCGTCTTGTTGTGGCACTGCACAAAGCAAAACTCTTGAAGAAACCCCTGGTAACTTCAGAACCTGAAGCGTCTGGTCCCCCCTGAGGATTTAGGGTATTTATTCTATTAGTCCCCCCTCACATTTGCAACAATCTGCCCCCGTAAACTTTTCTCCTAACCAATCATGTCGCACCGTGAACAAGAATCCCATTGTGCCTACAGTATATCCTCTGTTAGATGACTCATGGCCACCCCTCTGAAACCCGATTTATTGGAGGGAATATTAATTACAGAGAACTGGCACATGTGTGGCAATAGTACATGTGATTGTGTGTGTGTGTTTTTTTCTTCAATTGTCTCAATTGTTCAGGTTTTGTCCCTTAAGATACAGTTAAGCTGAGTCATACTAGGTGCAATATATTTGACAGTAAAGATGCATGATAGAATTGCAGATCTGGTGCAAGCTGGCAGAAGTGAATTTGATCTAAATTCAACAACCATATAAGTCTCACATTTATCTCTACTTTAAATAAACAAGGCTTATTTTAATATTTCGAAAAATGAGGGTGTTTAAAAGGGATTATTTCACATATAACACAACAAACCAACTACTATGCATAGCTGCATACTTTACTTTTAGAATTTTAGAGGTGAGAATTTATCTCAGAAAGAGGATTATGACAGAATTGGCCTGAGGTGAAATGTTTTGTATTACAAAACTATTTAACTATGTTTTATAAATAGAATAAGTAAAAGATTGATTGTAAAACAACAACAACAAGGAAGCTTTACAGCTAATTTTAAGTGATCCTGTACGGCGCGCACAAATGTCAATTGAAAGAAACGTTGTTCTTTAGTGTGATTACAAAAAGCCTTAACTTGCTTCTGTCCGTGCAACTTTAATCTAGCTGTAGGGATTATGCTCTACGTAGCCTGAAGACAACGGCTGCATTGTTTCTCCTGGGAAAAAACACAATTAGCAGGCAGAGTTTCACCAGAGGCAGTTTTGTCAGAGGCTGGGTCGATGTGGCTCCACCAGCCAACACATGTGGACTGACTTTGATCAACATTAAACAACAAGTGTCTACTTATCGAGGGAGCAATGCTGTTTATAAAGGGTGATTTCCTTTTAGATCTGATGGTCAACTGTTTTAAAATAAATAAAACAGTACCAAATCAAACCCTTTCTGTAGCCCTTTCTGAGGCATCCAACCAAATGATATCATCTCCATCAGTAGATAAAGATTCCTGTATTTCTAGATTCATCTCAGTGACAGTTTAACACAGCCCAAAACCTGGCTGATCCAAAACCTGATCACCCGGCAATAGTGATAGAGGGTAAAGTAGGTTTGGGTGGATTTAATAGCTACATGTAGGTAATAAGGTCAGTAAGAGTGGTCCTGGAATTTGCATGCTATCTTCTTTTAGTGCAGTGGTTATGAATAACAATCACAAAGTAGTGATTTTCAAGGGAATTCATATGGTGATGAGAAATATTTTTGTCAGCTGGTCATTTTTACTCACTCAAAATCTGCCATATTTTGGTTCTCTCTCCTGCAGCTTTGATTGTGCCAAGGACTTTTTCTTGGGTATTTTATTTCGGGTAAAAATCACCCAGCGATAGTGATGGTGTCACTAATTTTAGCGATAGTGTTCTAGGGTCAAAAGCATAGATTGTGTATAGAAGTAGTATATACAGTCTATGGTTAAAAGCTTTAGAAATAAAGTTGGCACGTGGATACAAATATTATCAGGTGAGAAAATTTTGGGTGGTGTGGGGGCTATTATTGTAAAATGAAAATAAAATCTTTCTAAGCAAAACAAACGTGCTAAACCAAACCTAAGCTGTGATTATGGAAAATAGGCTAAATATAGAGGCTTTATTTCTCACTACATACTTTGTGACCGGTCACACCCAAAGACTGTATATAGAAAACAAAGTATGTAAGTAAATAAGTAAAGTATATAAGTATACATATATATAGCATATAAGTTTAGTATATATAGTAAGTATATATAAGTATAGTATATACAGTCTGTGGCACAAAAGACAATAACTAGTAGGCCTATAGGCCACATTCTTGTTTGGATTGCCTACAAAAGAGGAAGGGAGACCTCTGGTGGTTGTTATTTGCAACTTTTGCCAAGTGTCGCATTCACCTGTAAAGTATTCTGTATTTGCTGATAATTTTGACGAGGGCTGAGATCATTAAATCACATTTTAAGTTAACGTTTTTATCGCCTTATTTCGGTTATTTCCGCATTGAAATCAGTTTGTATACGCGCATGCGCACTTTACACGAGAACTACAACATGGCGTCGTGTTGCTACAGTGTGTTGACGAAGTCGTTAGCCTGTCGCTAGCTCACTTACAACACACATTTTTGCTGGTTTGGCAACCTATTGTTTGCGTTACTTTGTTTAAAGTAAGGTTACATACGGTCGTCTCGTTTTCTCAACTACTTTAAATTCGGGAAAAATGAGTTACACAACGAATGTGGTCCAGGTGACAAATGTGTCGCCGAGCACAACATCAGAGCAGATGAGGACTCTGTTCGGCTTTCTCGGAACCATCGAGGAGCTCAAGTTATTTCCTCCAGAGTGAGTTTGCCTTTTCTGGTGCTGTTCTACAGATGTATTTTAACGGTTGTGTGGACACAGATCCGATAAAAGTGTATTTCTCTGGTGAATCCGTAAGGGTAAAAACGCAGGCCCCTAAGTGTAACATTATACCGCAGCTGCCAACACGACTATCGCAACATTCACCTCAATGTACCTAAACTTGTCCTCTTGGTTTACTTACATAGTGGTCTTTTCGTGATTCTGGTGATTTTATTAGTTTTCTCTTTTTATGACCTCCTGCCTGTTATAAATAAGATGGCCTTTTTTCGCAGTGGGTGGTCCTCATACCTATCCCACACATATTCAAACATTATCTGTTGTTGTTATGGCAGAATTTTAGAAAACTTGCATGTTTATAGGACAGTAAACCGTCAAATTTTTGCTCAAAACCGTGTCTTGACTTGTTTACCATTTTCAGTTCTGATTAAGTCTTTGCTCACAAACCACCAGTCATAACCATAAATTAGATTGGCAGATATTTGATGCTCCATGTTGTATCTAAAAGCCTGTTTTAACTGATAGACATTGAGCAAGTATATTAGGATAATAGTCAGTTTTCTGTTTAATTTGAATGTTCAAATATTTTTGTCATCATGGTGCATTCAAAGCATTTAATTTCAGTAACACAAAGGAAAGTAAATGATGTATTGTCAGTGGTTTGACAGGGTTTTTCCTCTCTTAACAGTGATTCTCCGATGCCTGTGACCTCCCGGGTGTGCTTCGTGAAGTTCCAGGAGCCAGAATCTGTCGGAGTGTCTCAACATCTCACCAACACTGTTTTTGTGGACAGAGCCTTGATCGTGGTTCCTTTTGCAGAAGGTTTGTCCTGATGCTTTTCCTCAGTATGAGTGGTCCCAGTTGATTGAATGGTATGACTCTTGAATAGTGAAAATGGATACAACTTAAAGGATATCATTCATCTCATTTGTAGATTTCTGAAGTCGACCCACCTTTATCTTTTTACATGAATTCATAAAGATAACTTGAACATTTCTGGTATATCCATTTGCTTTTATTGCCTGTAACAACTGATGTTATGACTGCACCAAAAAGTCAAACATGGTTTAAAAGTGGTATTAAGTGCAGCCAACTAAAATGTACTTTACAGACCATCATAGAAATCACATCAAGATGTAAAAGTAAAGATGTTTAAACATCCCATCTTATGCATTTATTTTACCCCATTTTGGACTATCCTATCTTAAACTTCTCTCTATTATTTGTATGTTTATTTGTGTGCATGTGTGTGTGTGTGTTTGTGAGAGAGAGAGTTTTGTAGTGAAGACGGCAAAAGCAGCCCCTTCGTTGATGGCTGAAAAGGATCCTCTGCCTGCCACCAGAGGATAATAGATATTTACAAAGACTAATCTTTGTGTCCCCTTTTCTCTCTCTGCCTTTTCTTTCCACTAACATGTTTCTTCTGGGAATTTAAGGGTATTATAGTCAGGTTTTAGGAACTTTCTATGAAACAGTGTCACATTTTTGAGTGCTGTTTCTGTTACTGCTGCCAGTATGACTCAAGCTATGCACTTACAATTGGGTGAAATTCTCTTCCTTTTAAAAGGGGTAAGTATCAGATATAGAAAGTACAAATAAAATCTGATCAAATTCATAAAAAGTAGAAGAAGCAGAAATACAAATAACAATATGGATGTCTAAGAAAATATGTACATTTAGAGAAAGATATTTGTACAACAGGCAAAATGTGCACATTTCAGGCAGTGTTCAATGAGAAATGTCAACTGTTGAGGAAAAAAAAATCAAATCAAACAAATGTTTTCAAAAATAAAAGGTAAATTTATGACTTCAAAATATTTCCTTTTTAGCATCACCTTGCCATTGAAAGCCTTTCAGATGGTTTAGAAATTAGATGGAATCAAATAATAGACTACTCTTTGTGGACTTCTATTAGCATTTGGCAACAGTAACATACACACACTCTCTCTGTCACACACATCCTCAAAATAGCATATGACAGCATATTCTGATGAGAAGTGTGAGTAAATGTCTCAGAGAAAAGCTTAGTTGAAAGGCACTGTGACTGAATATTTAGATATTCCAACAACCAAAGAAGAGGCGCACTTGTCCTCGATGTAACACCAGGAACTATTTAAGGGGTGGGTTGTCTTTAACAGATGTCTAAGGTGCCCACTTGGCATATTGGTTTATTATTCTCTTTAACAGTGGTCTTCTTTTGTTGTTGTGTTTTACAGTTCTTTTTCCTGGCTCTGCCAGTCCTGTATACCAGGCCCTGCTGAAAATACCATCCAACAGTTTTGTCTCCTGCAGCAATTTCTCTCTCCTGTGTGCTCTTCTATTTATATGTTGTCATTGTTGTCTGTCTGTTTTAAGGTCATGTTTTTTTTTGTTTTTTTTTAAAGAGCTGTGTAGAGGGGATATATTATGAAAGACTGTTTTACAACATTCAGTGACATATTACCAATAAAGATGATTACATTATTTTTTAATCGGGATATGCAAATGCAGATTTATCCAACCAGTTACCCTCTGCCTAAGTATGTGTAATAAATGCAGAGGCAGGTAAGCATTCTAGAATAATGATGTACAACAGGAACACTTGCCACCCTAAATTCTGCTTTCTCATGAAGTATATCTGGCTCTTGTATCTTTTTGGTAAGTAGACATGGATAGCTTGTGAAGTGTTCATGCAAAATTCCTAAAAATTCTCTCTGTTGTTTGTATCTCGATTTTTCTCTGTGTGCTTTTAGTAGCGAAGCCGCCATCGTGAGTCGCGTGTTTCAGTAAACGTCTAAATGAAAATTGGGGTCACATCCAACTGGAGAAGCAGCTGTGCTTGCTAACGTTTGGTTCATGACTTAATAACACATTCAGGTGATATATTCTTGGCAGTGTTGATTGGAATAGTGTGATTTATTCCAGCTAGAGTAATGTCACTGCAATGATTATGTTGACTTAGAGGAACTCTTCTTCTCTGATCTGTGAGGTAATCATTTTGTTGAACTTACTTGGAGAAAAACTCAGTGTGAAGATTTTTTTCTGTGATCTTCTCAGAATGTCCTCTGTGGTTTATAACTTCGAAGATGTCGCTCCGTCCTAATGCCTTCTTTACTTTTCTGTAGGATCTATACCAGATGAGGCCAAAGCTTTGTCACTGCTGGCTCCAGCTAACGCGGTCGCAGGAATTCTGCCAGGAGGAGGACTTCTTCCCACGCCAAATCCCATCCCCAATCCACCTGTAAGACTTCATATGTATATACATGTATATTGTACGGTTACATGAAGCACTTAATATAATAACATAATGAGAAAAGGTTTTTTTTCAGTATCTTGCTGAGACCTGACAGTCAGTAGTCAGAAAAGAGTGAAAATTTTTTAGTCTCCACACTCGTGTTTCCACCAGGGATTTGTGAATGACGTGATTCATTTGAAACAGTGGCACATGATCATCTGCCAAAGTGCAGAATTAGTGATACAAAGAGTAGCCTGAGTACTTGAACACTGCTAAGATTGCAAGATCTCCTTCACATGATTGCTGTTGTTGTTGTTGTTGTTGTTTTAACAGCTGGGAGGGAACCCTTTTGGTCTCAACATGGATGCGATGGCTGCTTTTGGATTTGGAGGACCAAATATGAATCCTCAGGTTAGAACTTAGTAGCTTTACCTTATTTCAGTATAACACTTTAAAGATGTTTTTGCAAGACATTTATCCAGAAAAATCTTTGCTTTCTTCCAGGCTGCTGATCAGCTGCTGAAACTCATGACAGATCCAAAGTAAGTCTGAATTAAGACACTTCATCTTCTGAACTAAGTGCTTGTTTGGATGTACTAGAAGAAATAATGGGCTGAATAATAAATGTTCCCTTTTTTTTTAGGCTGAATCCTCTGGCTGCAGGCTTGAATCTGAGTGCGAGCCTGAAGGCTGACGCTTCTAAAAAGGAAATCGAAGAGGCCATGAAAAGAGTCAGAGAGGCGCAGTCGCTCATTTCTGCTGCTATTGAACCCGGGAGTAAGTGCACAAAAGTTTTAGAGGACTGTTTAAACCAGGATCCTGACTCAGCTGTCTATGACGGCTTCAGTTTTGGCTGCTTTTCAAAGTTTTTTTTTTTTTTTTCATTTTCCTTCATGTTACATGTCCCTGGGAAAGCTGACCTCCATCACACTTGGTATTTAATTTGATTTTTTTTCTTCTATCCTGCAGATAAGGAGAGCAAAAAGAGGCACTCTGAGTCTCGCACAAGGTCGAGGTCCAGAAGACGGAAGTCCAGATCACGCTCAAGACACAGGTAATAACTTAGTTGAAGTCTGGAGACGAAGAAACTTTTTTTAATTTGAGGATTAACTTATAAAGGTTGAAATTTGCTGGTTGCAGGCGGTCCAAAAGCAGATCCCGCCCACGGTCAAGCTCCAGAAACAGGCGGCACTCGAAAAGCCCACGCAGGAAACATACCCATACCAGAGACCAAAGCAGGAGGTCCAGAAGCAGGTCCAGGTGGGTTAACTGTCAACCTGCTTAATGACTCTGAGATGGAATCAAGCTTGACTTAAATTCTTCCATCAAATTTATCCACAGAGATCGAAAGAAAGACAATTCAGGGAGGAAAAGATCCAGAACACCACCGAAGAGCTACAGCACAGCCAGGAGGTCACGCAGCGGGAGCAGGTGAGTGCGTTTCAAAGGTTAAAGAAAATGTATTCAGGTAGTTTTGGTCTTCTCGGATTTTAAAGTTTGCCGCTTTTGTCCTGTTCTGCTGCACAGGAGACGTAAGAAGAGCCGAAGCGCCAGCCGATCTCCCAAGAGAAAAATCTCTCGATCTCCATCTCCTCGCAGGTCAGTACATCATTCATCATTTGAGCTTGATGTTCAATTTTACCCAGTAAACTCGTCTGATGAAGACAAGATGTCAGAATACGTTTGTCGGTTTTGTTCAGCTGATTTAGCATGAGATGGATCCAGGCTATGACACACCTTTGTCTTCTTCTTCTTCCATTACAGACAAAAGAAAGAGAAGAAAAGAGAAAAGGAAAGAGACCGTGATCGCAGGAGTGATAAAGACCGTGGTCACGATGAACGTGAGCGCTCTACTAGCAAGAAAAAGAAAAGCAAAGACAAAGAGAGGAAGTCCGATGGAGGGAAAGGCGATGTCAGAGTAAGTGTGCCACATCTAGTGTTCTTCATGCTACTTCAACGTCGCTATGATGTGTTTTCAACCCCTTATGCCTACCCTTCAGATCACCAGGGATTACGACGAGGAGGAACAAGGCTACACTAGCGAGAAGGAGCGCGAGGAAAGGAAGGATTCAGACGACTCGGCCGTGTCTCCTCAGTCCGTGGAGGGTAACGGCACAGCGCGGCTGGTAAAGATGTCCAAATTTAACGGAGTTGATGATCGCCATGAAGAAGACATGGATGTCAGTGATTAAAAAAAATTTAAAAAAATCTCTGTCCTGCTTGTTCCCATAAAAATCCCTCCATTTTTGTATGTTTGCTGCCTTTTCCCAGCAGGAGAAAAGCTTTAATGTGAAGTCTTTATCGATTGAATTCTACTGTTTTTGCAAAAGTCGAATGCAGGATTGTCGTCTTTGCCTGCAGTTTTCCCAAAGACGTTACATTATTTTAAAGCTCTTAGTGCTCGTTGCCTCTACAACCGTAGTTTGTTCAAACTGGAAGTAGGCTTGTTTTGCTTTTCTTACCAAATTTTTTCTTTCCTCACATATTTGTGTTGTGGTGTGCTGCTCAGGCCTCTTCCCAACCTTCTGTAAACTGTTGATGGGTTTCAGTTTTGTTTTTTGGAAGTGTCGTTTTATCGAGGGTTTCTTTTATAATAAAGCTTATTTGGATACTCAAGAACACAGAAAGTCGATGTCTCCCAAATGTGTTTTTGTTTCACAATCACACTTGGCACAAAGTCAGTTGAAACATGATGCTGGTGCTTTATTAAAGGGATGTGAAGTAGGTATGGTTGCAGTACATATTAGCTGAAGCCAGAGACAACTCATTGGATCAGTTCATTTCCCTTCTGGACAGTTATGAAAAAATCCAGCAATATGAACTTCACAGCTTAGTTAACAGATTAAAAAAAATAAAATAAAATTATGCGCAGACTACCATCAAGGAGAGATTTTATAAGCACTGAAAGGTGTTTCGAAGTGTTAGTGTTACAATTTTCAGTTCTTTTCCTTAGTCTATATAACAACAGGTCTGCATGTAAATATAACAAACGCTCAGAGAATATATCTTAACAATGCATGTGATCCAGTTGGCCAACGCAGCCATAGCATGCCTTAAATATACTTAATATCAGTGCAGTATTAAACTTATTACAGTTTACCTGATATCCCATCGGGGGTTCTTCCACACACAAACGTACATACAACGATCCTTTATACAGAACAATTACCCACTCACACTGAGCACAGAGTCCATACTAGCACGACAAACATGGAGACAGCAGAGAGGTAACATGAGTGAACCTGAAAACACAGGAGACTGCGTCCTGCACAGGGAAAAGGCTCGGGTATTGAACTGTTAAGAATGAGTTTTTATGCTAAACCTTCTCCCAGCTGGTTAAAAACATTCTTGAGTACTGGAAATGTATTGCTACACAGTGTTACTCCTTTTGAGTATATATTTATATATATATATAGTACATAATTTATAAATGAATATTAAGCTCAGTTTGAGGATAAAGTTATACTTCGGACTATTTTCGTTATGAGTTACCGATGAGATGTGAATTATTTACAGATGATGGCGTCAGTGCAGTTTCAAGAATTCTGTCGTCAGTCCTTGCAAAGGAGGAGATGGTTATTAATAACATTGTGATGATGATGATGAGTTCAAAATGTGTCTTATAACAGCTTTCACAGGAGAAAGAACAGCAGCTAAGAGCGGCAGACTCAGCCGCTCACAAGAACATTAAAAAAACATCAATTATTTTACAGAAATAAAAACAAAAACAAACAAACATAAGGATGATATGCATCTACTGCCACTTTTCCAGTCAGCTCGGTATTGGCCCTTTTTGACTTTACCTGCTAGTGCTCTCCGTACTTTGCACTTCACTGCCCTCTATGGGTGGAGCTTCTAGGTGAGGGGCTTTCAGTGTTACACCAACATGAGTGAACTGAATGTAATCCCCTCAATGATCTTTAGCCACATACTTTAGTCACATCCCAAACAAAGAAGCTGTCCTGTAATATTCCAGTGACCACTTCTTCAACCAATCAGTTGTCTGACTTGTGATAACATTACAGGCTTAGCTCACTCAGAACCTCAGAAAGAGCACTAGGTACCAAGTCCGATCAACAAAATTTTTTTCGTGTTTTTTCATTGGAAAAAAAAACAAAAAGTGTTGCGTTCAATTGAGTCTTACCATGCAGTGGAAATGAGGCATACAAGTGAGACAAAATCTGTTTGCATTGACTTGCTTTGGATGCACCAGTGAAATGAATGAAAACCGATCAACGAGACCAGCTCCCTTTTTAAGGAAGAACATAAAACAGAGAGGATAATACATGTATGAATAAAAAGGATTCCTCATCCTCAAACACATCGTGACCCGCTGGTCATTTCCTGTCTGCGTCAGTCGAGTTTACAGGTCAGAGGTCTGGGAAGCGACTGGGGTCTTCTTTGTATTCAGAGGGGATGAAGAAAATAGACTCCTCAAATTCGTCGTAGCGGAATTCCTGAAAGGTGACGGTTGCTGTGATGGTGGGGAAGACAGGGATATCTACAGGGGGAGAAAAACAGCAGAATCATGATGTGTTATTTTCTGATAGTTCCCCTCGGGCTCACTAACTCTCAGGAGCATGGAGGCAGGTTGACGTACGTACCGAGTTTGACTGGAAACCCTGGCGGAAGTTTCATCTGCACAAACTCTCGGAGTTTGTTGAAGTGCTTGAACGGGGCTATGACCTCCAACACGTTGAGTAACCTGAGGGCAGAGGAAAATGAGTGTGCAGTTTTCTTTCATAGTCTTTTTCTCTGCCAACAGTTCCCTCGAGGTGAGGACTGCCTCCTGAAGTCAGAGTTACAGCAACAGGAAATAAGATGCAGCTGCATTTCCAGTGAATAAGGAATCAGACTTCACAAGACTCTGAGTGTATGAGCAGATCTTGGAGTCATGTTCAGGTCAACCAAAGGGTCCTGTCCTTTTCTTAAAGTACATATTCTGGTAATGTCATTGCTCTTTAAAGGTTTGAAATCCCCTGATAGAGGCGCTCATCAAACAAATGTCTATAACAGATCTTTGGAGCGATCCTGTAAATTTGGAGGTTTGAAACAAGATGGCTACATCTACGAATGTTATTTTAGTGCTTGCCTTATATTCGGACAAGGCAAGTGCTAAAATAACTTTCATAGAAAACTTTTCGTAGATGTAGCCATTCTGAACTCTGGTGTGACTTCACTTTCAGCTTGGAACTCCAGACTTTCCGGGGTAACTCGAACGCAGCATCCGAATACGCTATCAGGGAATACCAGTACAGATAGACCCGATAGATCAACATGGCCCATAATTTAAAATGCTCAGTTAGCTGGGTGTAAACAAACATTTAGCATCTTATCGTGCGGTTCAGCTGTATTTTGATGCAGAAAGAAAGGGTTAAGTTGCATTCAGGCTACATATTATTAAACTTGCATAAAACCACTTGTCTTTAATAATGCCTGACCAGTGCAGGCATTAGGTGAAGTGAGCAGGGAGCATGAAAAGTTCGCTAGCTCTCTTCGCTTAGCCACACTGAGCTAACTGTAATGCTGCGTTCCTCTTACCTCGGAAGTGCTTCCAACATCTGACTTCCGAGGTAACTCGAACGCAGCACAAGTTTCCTCAATATTATTCATTATTTAACAAAATATGTTTGAACATCACAGAACAGAGAATAGGAAATGGGAAAAAGACAACATCCAGAACACATTAGCGATTATGGAGGGTGGAGTTTTATTGCTGGATCCATTAATGTTCTGTCTGCAGAGGTCATAAATCAACGCTTACTTCTCATGACAGGCAAAAACCAGACCGCATCCTTTTCAAATCCTGCCAGTTTCCCTTCATGGACGCCCTTTAAAAACAACTTTTTTTTTCTGTGAAATATCTTATTTCTCTGATCTCTTGGCAATCACAGGCCATTACATCTTAGGTCAACAGTTGTTGTAAACTAAAAGCAATCATTTAGCCACGACAGCCTTAAGAAGCCTGAATATGCGAGTCTTTAATGTCCACATTTACTAATTAAACCTGAAGCGAAAGCACGAGCTTCCAGATGCATGATGTAAGACACCAAAAATAAGGGCAATAAGAGAGCAATCTGCAGGTTTTCCCTTCAAACAGCCCATGCACAGCTAACAAGGTGCCGAGGACGAGTTAAGAAAGTAATCGCATGGTGGAGCAGTTGTTTTTCTAATCCTTCAGACAGAGGAACCCTTACCTCGTCCAATTATCTTCTCTGAATTATTTCATCTCGGCTCTACCCTTTTCTAAAATCCCACATGCATCCAAGCGTACCCACCCGGGATCAATCTGTGCAGAGAGCTTTGTAAATAGATCTGAGGAGGAATAGATGTACTTACGACTCTATGCCTAAGGGGAAATCCTGGCTCATGGCTACGGTAGCTTTGAAGTTCTTCTTGCTCTCCTTGCACACGAGCTCTCTACCAAGATGAGGAGGCCTGGAGGTGTGAAGAAACACACGCAAACATACAAAGATGTTCATTTTTTTTAAAAATGACTCATCACGGTTCATGTGGTTCACACTCAAGCGTCCTGATTACGTTCCTAAATTAGATAAAGGCTGATGAGAACATGCTTACTTTCCCTGCTCTGCAGTGATGTACTCTTCCCAAGAAATGGTGTTGGGTGCTGGCGCTGTGAGAGACTGCCTCCTCACAGGCTGGGGAAGAGAGAAAAAAAAAAATCAGTAAAGTGGCACATTTGAAATCTTCAGAGGAGCAGACGTCTTAACTTTTTGAAGATGCAATCTGCTCCCTTTACCTCAAAATTCTGTTCACTGATGCTGCCTCCTTTACTCAGGCTCTCCATGATGGCTTTGTTCCTCAAGATGTCCTCCTCGCTGAGGTGTTCTCGCCGTTTCCGTGACTCCAGCACGAGCCCGTTCACTGCATAGAAGTCGGCCAGGAAGTTTCCGACCCGCTCCTGTGTGGGAAAAGATCAGACTTTAATGTAACAGATGATTTCCTAAGAGGTAACGAGACAGCGGACCGAGAGTGAGACTGAAGTAACTCTTTAGAAGAAAAGATCATTTCCTTTGTGCTCCCGAGATCAGAGCGACTCTGATGAGGTTTATATAAAACAAAGCTCGTCAGTTCAAACCGGACTTTCAGATCTATAATTCATCAAAACATTTCAAACTAAAAGCAAAGTGACATCACCCTTAGTAAATTAGCAAATACTGCGGATTTGTTCCCTTTAAACCAATCATGTGTGAACCACCATGTAGATGATTTGCAGCACTGGTCATGTGACTAAACATACACAAAATACATTTTCTTCGTCTCACTTGTTATATAAAACTTACAGAATTATTTCAGAACTGAAACTATTCAGAGGAACAAAAGGAGAGGTCTTCATCTGAGAGACTTCTCCGCAGAGGAAAAGAAGCCGTGGATATCGCTGTACTTTTTGAAGCTGTTATGAGCTGAAGGAATATATGATCAAATGAGCATTTCTGACTTATCTTACATAAATTATAATTTTAACTGTCCTTTTAATGTTTCTTTTTCAACAGTGCTTTTATATTGTTGAATGTGTCACCTTTTATGCAAATTAAATCACTTCTGCTCTCATCTAGCTGTGGTTTGACCCCCTAAAGCTTACCGTTTTATCCTCTCTGAACAGCCAACCGATCTGGCTGCGAGAAAAGGTGATGGACTTGGTGGACAGAGTCGCGGAGTAGACGTCGCTGCTCATCAGGATATCCACCTCTTCTTCAGTCTCCATCTCTGACTCCTTCAGGGGTGGAACAATAAAAGAGTTAAGCGCTGAGATTCATATTAAAACGCAGCTTGATGACTCATTGTGACTCACTTGTCGCTTACCTCATGGTGTATTCTTTGGTACACTTTCGCTTCGTTGTCCAGGACCACAAAGGACTGGGAGGGTGCTGCGTCACCGTTGAAAATGAAGCTCAGATCCCCGCGCTGACACTTCATATCGGTGAAGTCTATTAGAGTCGTGTCAAGTCTAAATCAAGAGGGAGGAGAGGGAGTGTGTGAAGCTTTAATGTCCTACTTTAAGGATCTAAAAGAAGTCCTCGACCTGGATATCGACCAGTTGCTGCTTCAAACGCTCAGTGTGAGAGATTGTCTCATAGATACAGTGACAGTTTAATCCACTTGTACATTAGGATTTTACCTGATATTAATCCCCTGCTTGTAAATTTTACAAGCATCAGAAGGAAGCATCCGGGACAGCAAAGGGACTGAAAAACAGACAAGCGTTTGAATTTAGCCAGCTGTGGCTGACACACACACACACACACAAGTATTCTTTATTGAGCTTCAGGCGACAAACGAACCATCCAGCTGCTTTGAAGGAATAAACAAAGTAACTCCAAATAAAGTCTTTTTAAAATCCATTATCATGCTGGAAAAGTTTTCCGAGAATGAAGCGCATAAACAACTTCCTGTCAACAATAGAAAAACTCACCCCAGCTCTGGAAGTCCCAATGCAGCTCCAGATAAAAGTCACCGAGCTGAAGAGAAAGATATAAACATGTCTCACTAAATGATTCAGCTTATTCATAATAAATAAATCCAAGAGCAGTTCACTTCAGGTTTTTAACGCATATATTCCTGACGTTAAACGCATTCTCAAGGACAGACTAAAGTTATATGCTAATCAAATTCTGCAGAGATTAGAGTTCAGTGAAGTCAGAGTGACTCTCACCTCCCTCAGAGCTTTCAGTAACTTGGGCCTCTTATCCTCCACGCTCTCCCGAGATTGCTGCTTTAACTTCCGCAGGATTGCCGTGACTGAAGGGAAAAGGTGAGGAGAGAAGAATACTCACAGTTACACCTGGACAGCAGGAATGAGGTCAAATTCAAAGCACAGGACAGACCAAAAGGACACATTGATCAGACAGTATTATAGACTGGGATGGACTTCAATGATGATTTGTTCAGTTACTGTTACTGTCAGCGGAAAAGTTTCAGTAAATCTCACTACAGAGAGATCTTTGAGGTATTTTGGGAAGAGCATGCACCACATTTTGTCCTTCCAGAGAGCACTAACAACCTAGTCTCCTGCTCTGTCAGCCAGCTCCTCTTCACCTCTGATCCTACTAATGTTGTCATCCATCCACTGACAAGCCCGGCCCCTGCAGCCCTCCACTATCACACCTGCTCGTCTCTCTACAGGTCCCGAGGAGCCGAGCCACGTGATGGACAGCTCTGGTAGCCGGAGGTACTGGCGGTCATGAGATCACACTGACCGTCAACGCTTGGAGCCTGACTCACTCAAGCGCTCGCTTCGGCGTCTTGATTACTCAACATACAGTGACAGGAAACTCTCAGGAGATCGCCCTCAACGTGTCAGGTCGGGATGTGCTCACGCAGCATAGCAACCCAGCTGGTGCTACGATCGATGGCAGCATCAGGCGGAAACTCCACTCAATAGCCAAACCACCAGTGACCACCTCCTACCTCAGAGCCCTATCCGCACTGCATCCCAGACACTAATGATGTCACCAGGAGGCGTGGCTAGCTATAACAGTGACACTGTTTTATGCTGAATGGTGTCACTCTTAGACTCAGTAATGTTTATTGTTCCACTTGCAACTTAATCAGAATTAGGGTTGCAAAATTCCGGGAATTTTTGAAGTTGGAATTTACGTGAATATATGGGAATTAACAGGAATAAAAAAATCCAAAACTGAAGGTTGGCCCTCAACAGGGAACTTAAATATAGTTGGGTAAAATATATTGTAGCATAATCTTAGCTAACAATCCTGTTTTGGATGTTTCCCTGCTCCAACACACCTGATTCAAATGATCAGCTCGTTAAGCCATTCCAGAGCTTGATAACGAGCTGATCATTTGAATCAGGTGTGTTGGAGCAGGGGAACATCCAAAACAGTGGGCCTTGAGGACTGGACTTGAGAACCACTGCCCACAGACTACATAAAGTCAAGTAAGTTTTGATAATATTATGGGGTAAATATATTTGATCTATAATAATATTAATATTTAACTTGCAAAAATTAAATAAAATATGCTACATGTAAGCTATTTTTCATTTCATAGAGCATTTCAGGGGCTAGTTTATTATGGTGGTGGTAGCTTCCTCAAATGTGATGCTGTTTCTTCTGACTCCTGCAAGATAGTTTTCTGTAACCATACAATAATTTATACATCAATTGTCAAATATTTTGAAGACCATTGCAGTTGTTTAGCCAACTATATTTCTGTTCATGTCATTGCATTAGTGTTTTTACAAACTTGTTTTGTTATTTTATTCTACAGAAAAATGCCACGTTCGCCATCTGATGAGTGTCATGTTTTTTTAATTGTATTTTTTGCATGGATGTCTGCTTATGACCAAACAAAAATATTTACATTTATGTTTGGATATGATACAGTTGGTTTAAATTACCCCCAATTTCTAGTTAATTCCCATGAATTCCCAATAATTCCCATAACTCTCATGGAAAGTCTCCAATGTGGAATATTTCCAAAATCCCCCAGCTTAACTGCCGATCGAAAGGTTGCAACCCTAATCACAATGAATAGAAAAGATCCAAAAAGTACAATGTGATGTTTGTGAGACTAAACTGCATACTTGCTGTATGGCGACTATCCAAAAACAACTTAATCGCAGAGAGGCTGAGTAGGGGATAATGGTACCTTGCCCGAATGGCTGGCTGTATAAACTTCAAAAAACAGGCTGTATCTCTGTTTGTAGTTTTATTAATGCAAAAAGACAAAGCACTTAGATGAAGAAGAAAAGGGCAGTCGCAAAAAGAAGGGCTTCCCCATTCACCCCCTCTCCATTCATCCACCAAAAGCCGCCAGGTGAACTGCTGACGTACTACCTACATCTACATCCCCATATAACCACACAAATATTATAAAAGATCATAGAACTGGCATCTTGCTGTTACATTATTATGACATTTGAACCTGAGAAATAGCAGAATCAGCTTCAGGGATCCACTGCGTGTCAGACTTTCTCCCTCGCATGTTACTGGGGGAGCAGTAAATGCTATTGGGCGCTTTAGGAACAAACTGTTCTGTGGACTCCTTGAGAGGAACTGCCCACTAGAGAGCTCTCTGTGTACATAAAGAATCCTTAACAACTTGTTACAGGGGCTTTTAAAGATGGCTGCTGCTGCTGCTGCACTGCCTGGTGTGATACCTGGACACCTACAACTTCACTGATCACTTCATCTTATGTCACTGAGGTTTCCTCTTATTGAGAGAGCAGCTTATCTACAGAAGGAGCTACTGGAGTCTCCTTAAACAACATTTTAAAGAAAGAAAACCTGTCCTGGAGCTTGTAGAGGAACAAAATAAGAGGGGGTGACTCACTCCTCCATCACTTATTGAAATATAAGCCGTTTATTATTTGGCTGAGGACTCCTTAATTTAATTGATTTTATTTTGCATCCCCAGTTAAGCTGCTTGATGAGATTTGGAGCTTCTTTTGTGCGTAAACAAAACAACAGAGATGCGTCAGTTCTCTGCACCAACCTGTTATTGCACAGTGGTATTGTTATGAATACTCCATGCATCACCTGTGATAAGAAAAGCAACTCCTGAAAGCACTTAGTCACACCGTAAAGACAAAGACAAATCAGCACAACCCAGATGTGTCCTCTGTAGTCTTGACCAGAGGGGGTGAAAGTGGACTGAGGAGGAGAGATGTGCTGACGGGGTCCCTGCTGCACACAGGCAGCCAGTCATTGCACACAGAAACCCAGTGAGCCAGCCGCTGACGTAATGTGCACATGTGTGATAGTGGAAGGTGACGACCGCAAAGAAAGACTGCAGTGTTTCACGACTCGCTGTAAAACTGTTAACCCTTCCCCTTATGATAGTAAGGTGTGTGTGTGTTCCCTTTGCCTGCCAGTTCCTGCTACATATTCATTTAGACAAAGATCCAAATCTGAGGATCACCGGAGGCTCTTCTTCGCATGTCCTTGCTGATGGTTTGTCAGTGTGCTGAGCCCTCCCTCACTGCCTCCCCTTCCCCCCCTGTGAATTTCGTGACCTTCTCAAAGCTAAACTCCAGGTCCCAGTCCCAAGCCAGCCAGCCGGCCTGCCACAGCAGCAGCAGCAGCCCCAGAAAGTCGAGACGCATACTAACAAGTTGGAGGGTCATTTTTCTAAACACTCTCAACCTTCATCGCATGCTGTTTAAGGACAGGATGCTGATAAATGACCGTAGTTATCTATAGCTAAGCAGCTGAAATATCTGTGCTGAGTTTTAACACAAAAACAGAGGTATAATATTCAGTAACTGGTATTTTCTCCAGGCACTTCCACATAATCTCTTACATAAATTTTCTTACACATGAAAAATCGACATCACACCAAAAAAAGACACAAGAGGTGAGGAGTTCATCTCAAACGTCATCTGTGACACTTGTACTCTGCATGTCAGATGTAAAACAGCAGTAGCATCATTAGGCAGGGGAGTGACCAGCCTGTAAGCTCAGGGCTTCCTCACACTAAGCCATCATTCAGGCTGGGTTCCAGCCCATCTGGATAACCAGAGCTCAGAGAAAATCCCAGACGCCAGCTTTTGAGCTTGGAAGCCCAGACAGCGGTTGCAGATTTCAAACAATTCAATTACTCGTAAAGCAATCCCACAAATGCTGCAAGCTATTGCAGTATGAAGCCTTGCTTCCTTTTTTCCACACTTGAATGAAAAATGAGAACGAAAACTAGAATTTGTCGGTATTTGCTCTAAAAATATCACTGAACATAATACAGAATCAGTGATGTATATGGTTTACTGGTATGGTAGGGGAAAAAACGGCCTTCTAATCTCTCACCCGTATGAAAGGGGAAACTTCAAGAATAATGATCGAAATCCCCAAGTTTGAACAGCATTATCAAAAAGACAGTATGGAAATGTTTCTACAAAGTAGAGACTCTGGAGATTGAATCTACAATGAGCTTCAGTGTTGTATTTTATTAACCATGACAAAGAGTGAAATCAGAATTTCATTCTCCGTTAGAATAATGTACTCTGTCTTATGATATGTAACACAAGAGAGCAGAGCAATCCAAGCAGACAAAAACGCTTCCTGAACAGATGACAGCCGTTGAGATGACATTTGCCCAAACTGTCACAACATTAGCATTCAGACAGAAAGCCATTCCAGATGCCAGCAGGGCTGAGGCTGCCATCATGAAGCCATCAGAAATGTCAGAGAGGTATTATCCAGGAGTGGTTGTCTAACAGTACATGTATGATTCCAGGTGCGACACCCAGATTAAACCTGCGAACAGGGGTTACATCTGTACAGCCCAGTGGAGATGATCTCACTTACTCATCTGCCTGTCGCCGTAGCTGATGGCTTCTGCAAGAGGACTCCATCCCTGCGCATTCTTTATCTTAACAGGTGCGTTATGGGCCAAAAGCAGAAGGGCACACTCTGAAAGAGAAACAGAAAATGTTAAACTGAGAAACTTTTTTTGTGTTGCTTTTTATAAACTCATTACTTTTTGGAACTTCCTGTCACCTCATGTGGCTCTAACCACAGAGGGTATCATTTCTTGTATCTCCACCCTTAAGCGTTTGCTGCATTTTAGGCCACGATACCAACATTATGTTGTTCTGACACTGCTGCAGAGGTCAGATAAGACATGCTGAGTGCAGTGGGAGTGTGAGGGGTGCTCCAAAAAACTAGAGTGAGAGCAGGAGTGCTTTAAAAGGACCCTTTAAAGAGTCACAAAGGCAAAGCAGACGGATAGGTAGATAGGTAGATAGATAGATAGATTTGTATTGTTATTGTGACAAGCACACAAATTAAAAAGTGACAATGCAGTGTGTGATGAATAGTATTAAGAATAGTAATAAGATTCATTATGTACATTTTTGTTGAAACATAACAATCCACTGTTCATATATTTGTAATTGTCTCTGCTTTGGTGAGGGATAAAATACTACCAACACAATACATGCTAATGTATATTAACCACAAATAAATAATGCAAAAGGGTCTATCAAATAAAACCTATTAATTTAAAAAAATAATGAAAACATGATTATTAATTATGTAGAAAGACTGAATATGTTGATATACTCAGATCTTTATTCAGTATATTGACATAAATTACAACTATTACAAATTACAACTATTATAACTAACAATTATTACAAATTATAACACTTGTGTAAATAGTAGATAACTTTTTGAGACATTTTATGTGAGATGACAGACAACTGAATTTCCCTTCAGGGATTAATGAAGTTATTCTTATTCTTAAAGTCAAAGACATCAGACTGTACAGTAGGGGTGGGAGAAGAAATCGATTCACATAGGTATCGTGATTTTTTGTTTTAAGATTTTTGTTTCTGTTCGTTTCACTGGTGTTAAAAATGCAGACTGAATATCGAGAAAATCGACAATATTGTAGAAACGCAATTTAAATCAATAGGCATCCAAAAAATCGTATCGGGAGAAAACTGTATGTCCCAGCCCTACTGTACAGACAACAAAAATGACAAGTTTCATTATTCCATCAGCCTTACCTTTGTGGCCCAACATCACAGCCAGGTGAAGAGGTGTGTTACCTGGAAAAAAGAGGAATTTAAATGATCTCACATGTACATATAGATATCAAACATGTGATCGGAGCAAACATTATATCAAGGTCTTACCATGAACATCCTTCTGGGAGATGCTGTGGGTCCTGATGAGGGAGGAGAGCCGCCGCACGTCCCCTTTGAACACGCACTCATGCACCGGGAACTCCAAGTTTTCATTGGTCAGGATGATCGGGTTTTTGTTATCATCGTTAACCACGGTGCCGATCGACGATGAATTCCCGTTTATGTTGTTCGCGTTGAGCTGCTGTTGCTGCTGCAGCGCCGAGCTTTTGACCGATTTCTGGTAAGCCTTGTTGGATTTCAGATGGTTACCGGTACCGTTAGGGATAGTCCCGTTTGAGGTCTCATCGTAAGTGTCCATGATCTCGTCATTTTTGTTTGGTTTGTTGTGGTCCTTTCGCATGGTGCGTATCTTCTCACCTGTCATGATGATGGTGATGGTGGTGATGTCTGTCTGAAGAGCGTAGTAAGTCAATTATTGAGCAACAGTCGGATGGAGATGTGGCATAAATCTGGAAGCGATTCACAAATTCCAACGAGGGTCTCTTTACACGTTAATTTAGTAGCTGCCTGCTTACTGTTGTTCAAACAACGATACACCTGCTACCACAGCAGGTTAGCGTTAGCTCCCAATGGACGTTAGCTAGCTTGCCCCCAATAAAAAATGAATATGGAGGGTGCGGCGATGAAAACAGAAAATAGTGCTAAACATAACAGAACACAAACGCGCTAAATCAACACACATCTAAAAATAAGAACGAAAATCAAACGACTACATCCTTGTCTCTTTTAGCGTCCCCCCGATTCACGTTTTAAAACGGTATCAAATCACTTAGCTTTGCGGCAAAAACCAGGCGGACGGTGAGGGACAGAGAAGCCAGCTGCTAGCTAATCTCGCGAGGTTTCCTTCTTCGATTAGTGTGAACCATAGATATATACAAGAAAGATTAGATGACTCGAGGTGGAGTCACCGGCGTCTATTCACGGCGGCCATCTTACTCCAGTATAACATTCTGGTACCCATTCTGATCAAAAATACTCTTAACTCGCTGAATCTTGACAGATTAACAGATGGTTTTGTTTATTACAGACCTTGATAACGTGGCTATGAGTTGGGATGCTTGGACATATTGAAATGGCAGCTTTTCTTTAAGAAAATAAAGACTTAATCGTGCAGCACGGTTGTTTCACAGCTATTTGTACACAAGGGCTAATGTTTGAGTTACTATGTGTGAGTTGTCAAGCCTGAGACCACAATCGAGATTAATTTCTTGTATGACAGCGTATTTTTATTTTAATTTATTTATTTTGTCTCAATGACAGTCTTTGTCGGTGTGCTTGTGTTTATCTTACTTGGCTAACAGACTCCCTGTAAGTGAGACCAAGTACATATTTCAAAGTTGACCCAGCAATTTTACATCTGTTTGAGAGGTAGAAATGCTCTTTCATTTTAACATAAGTTGCACATAATTTCCAAGCTGTTCGGTTTGTTACAAATATCTAAAATGGCAACATGAGGCAGACATTTACATTGAATACAAATATTTATATATGTTGTTGCTATATATTTTATTATAGCTATCCTTATAATAGAAATATTTCTAATATAACATACATGGAATGATTAAATGTTTTATACATAAATGATTTAATGTAAATGCCTTGTGTGTGCAGGCCTGTAGCTATTCCTCTTCCTATCTGCTTAATGTATATATATGAAAATCCATGGTTAAAAATATTCTTGAGTATGCAGAAACATTACTAAAACTCTGAGGTTTGTTACAAACCAAACCGTTTAAAAAAATCGGTGTAAAATTAAGCAATCTATGGTTATTTAAATGTTACATACACCGTAGATTATAATGTGATGAGTGGGCGAGCGTCCCGTAGCAAAATGGCCGCCGTGCGGGGACGTCGGTCTCCATTGGCTGACAGCGTGCGTAAGCTATGAACTGCAGTGTGCGTCATCATCGTGAGACCCACTTTTACTCCATCGCGACAGAACAGTTCTGTTTTCAAGAATGGCTACTTCCAAAAAGGGGAAAAAGGTTGTAAACCAAGAGGAGCTTAGGCGCTTGATGAGGGAAAAACAAAGGCAAACGGAGCGAGACAAGAAGCGAGTGGAGTCTCCTTTTGCCAAATACAACAGTCTCGGGCACTTGAGTTGCACCTTGTGCAACGTGCAGGTGAAGTCTGAGCTTCTGTGGCCGGCTCATATTCTGGGAAAACAACATAAAGAGAAAGTTGTTGAGCTGAAGGAAGGAAAAATTCAACCTAGTACTCCCCAGAGTCAACCCTTGAAGAGGAAAACACAGGATGATGGTGAGGACGCTGCTGCTTCTGGAAAAAAGTCCAAACCCTCAACGGCTGCGGGTCAGTCCTCGTCAGGGTTGCCCGGAAACTTCTTTGACAAACCCACCGAGAAAGAGGCTACTCCTCCAAAAAAGTCTGCAGGTCTGAGTCTTTTGGCCGGAGTCTATGATGATGAAGATGATGAAGAGGCTGGTGAGGCAGGGATTGCAGATCCCCCTGCTGCTGCTGCTGCTGCTGCTGCTGCTGCTGCTGGACTCCCTACAGATTTCTTTGATAGCTCCATCCCATCCACACCCTCCATTTCCCATTCAGGGTCCATTCTCAAAGCAGATGAGCAGGAGAAAACCACAGAAAAGAAAGATAACACAGCCGAAGCCCTGCCAGAGGGCTTCTTCGACGACCCCGTGAGAGACGCCAAAGTGCGCAACGTTGACGCACCTAAAGACCAAATGGACAAGGAGTGGGAAGAGTTTCAGAAGGAAATCCGGCAGGTGAACACTAAATCAGATGCCATAGTGGCTGAGGACGACGAAGAGGGTCGCCTTGATCGCCAGATTGATGAGATCGATGAACAAATTGAGTGTTACAAGAGAGTTGAAGTTCTGAGAGACAAGCGTGATGTGGTGAAGAACAAACCTCACCCCAGGAAGGAGAGTTGTATGGAGATGGATACCAGCAATGAGGAGGAAGAAGAGGATGAAGATGAGCTACTGGGGCTTTTGTCTAGAGACTGGAGGGCGAAGGGAGCACTGGCCTAAATGTTTGACTGTTAGTTTCCTACACAGAGCTGAAAATTGTTAGAGAAGGGAACATGTCAGCAATCAAAATGTTGTAAATATGTTGAAAAGTCATGACTGGTTTTTGTATGTTTCAAACTGGATTAAATGAGATGCTACAGTCTGAAGTACTGCTTTGTCTCTGGTAAGGGAGAGTGGGGTAAGTTGAGCCACCCCCTGTTGCTTGGAAATGGTAAAAGAAATTTATCATGTGACCAAATATTTAGGAGATGGGCATCAATTCATGGAGTCTGTGAAGGTTAGAAGCACATGGGTGAAGGGGTTAGACATTTATTTACAAAAAAAACAAAAACTTTTCACTCTTGAAGTGAATTTAGTCCGTCATAAGATTTATTAGAATTGTGTTCAGACCAAAAAAGATCATTTTAAATTAGTTTTATACATCAATTGTGGTATCTATGAGCTACAACATGAGGTCACAACCCCACATAAAAGTCCACCATTTTAGCTTATAGGACTAATAAAAGCTGTGTCTGAAATTAATCACTCAATCCCTAACCTTTAACCCCCATATGGGATTTCACTATATAGCTAACTATGTAGTGAGCTCAGTCACCAGAGGTTTCGGACACTACATGGCATGACGCAATGTATGACGGGATGTCCACCACCGGTGAGTGACCATCCGACCATTGTTTGACAACACAAACAGGCGCGGAAAGCAATTTGTGCTTTGTGCGCATGCGGGTCACGCCACGGACGCATTCTGTTCACATTAGATGCCGCATTCGTTGTTGTAATTTGGACGGCCGCACAAAAAGATCGGATTTAACAAAAAATCCGAATTGTGCATCATAACCTGCAGTGTGAACGTAGCCTATGATCGCCTTGATGTAGTGATCCGAAATATAAAAAATGGCTCATCTTACCCCACTCTCCCCTACATATACCAAACGATAAACAAAATCTTTTCACTGTCTTTTTATTGGTGCACTCACAAAAACACATTCATAAAACCTCCCATGGTCAGTAGCAGCATGGATCCAAAAATCTACATCATGATGGCCAAAGCTGTTACATTTTGAGCTCAACTAACCATTGTCCTGCAAAAAAGAAGTAGCTGACTATGTTAAGTTTATAAATAATTTGTTCATGTTACATTATGAGCAACATGCAAAGCACAACATAAAACCATTAAAAAAATGTACAATGTTGAGATTAAGACCATAAAGCAAGTTTTACTAACTCAACGCCCTGCACGAGATCATTTGTTGAGAATACATTGAAACTTTTTACAGAGTAAAACAATGCTTGAGAATAACATCTTGAATGAAAATACGCCTTAATTGGGCCCATAAAAAGGTAATAAAATAAATCAAGTAAAGAGTGCCGGTCAGTGCTTCTTATACTACCTGTTACACATTGTGAGCTAGGTGCACTTTTCTGTCTACTACAACTTTTAACAAGTGAGCTATGTACTTTTTTTTATTGCTACATCTGCCTCATGAGTGACCACTTCAAAATTCTCTGAATGATTCAAAGTGTTCATAGCCCTTCAGAAAACTGTAAAACTGCAAAAAAAGAAGATAAACTGAATAAAATGCAGACAAACGTACAGATTAACCAAACACAATTCAAATTAGGATGTAGCAACTACATGAAGATAAATGAGGGGGAAAAGCACTAAACAGGAAGAAACCTCTAACTTGGTTTAGAAAAAGCATACAGAAGTTCGCTCAGCTGTGTTTCAGTTACATTTAAGGAATCCGTCTAAAACAAATCAAAACACTCACAAAAATTCTGTTTCTAGTAGTCATTTGTAAACATTCATAAAATTCTAACCCAGTTTCTATAAATTAGGTTCAGATGAGCTGTACCGAGTGATTTTGTTGATGGATAACAGAAATGTTACGAGGATGTGACAAATTTTTTGAGAATGTTTTAAAATATAGGAAAAGTTAAAAAAAATGAATAAAAATTCAAGAGTCAAAAGGAGGAAACAAAAGTCAAAAAGGATTCACAACTCTAACTTCCATGATTTTTCCCTATAAACAATGAATATGCTAAAATAGTAGCTGACTATTCTGCATACAGATACTATTATGGGTTAATTCTAAGTTTTAAGCGTAGTTACGTGAAAGAGGTTGTGCTGAGATAAACTGGGGAGAAGAGGTGAGTAAGGGGCATGCCAGCGCCACTGTTCCACAATCAGTATGATAAATATTCAGTTCACAAAAGTGCAGCAATTACAGAATAGGGTTGGGACCTCCAAGCCCCCACACACACCGCCGGATATTAAATACTGTTCACTGCTGTTCGGGATTATGTGCTCACACACCTACAGCAGCTCTCAGCTCCTTTAGGGAGTATTTCTTGTCCACATCACTGTCAAAACACTGCATGGTGCGGGAACTGGGAATTGATGCTCCTAATATGTTTCGCAGTCCATGGTAGGTTAATCCAGGCGAATTAGGTCCAATGCCTGCCTGTGCAAACATGTTCTCCAAGTCTGTGGGGAAAAATGGGAAAGATGGAACACAAAAAAAAGGGCATATTCATGAAGGCAAGACACTCTTCCAAAACTGAAAATCATTGTTTTGACAATATAAGTGCTACTGAAAGTACTCTGGCATTGTCCTCTCTGCCACAGCTCTTTCACCCAGAAATATCATGTGAATATTGCACTGTACAGATGAGCATAGGAAACAGCTTGTTCTTTGCTTATAATCACTTAAACATACTTTTATGTTTCACCATAAAACTAGATTACAATTTCAATGGGTGTACTTTGGTTAGAAGGAGTAACTTATTTGTTTTGAGGTTGCCTGGTCACCAGAGGGGACTTAAAAGTTGACAATATATACAGTATATTATTGTATAGAGCTGAAAGGGGTTTTGTTACAGTAAATGCATGCATTTTCTTTAAATAGCGAGGCTATTCTTGTGTACCTTTCTGAGAACTGACACCAGGCAGGAGCACCCTCTCTGGACATGCCATCTCAGCATTCCTCCTAGAACGTTGTGGAGTCAAGAAGCGTGGATGTCTGCTCGTCTGTGGCTCTGCAAGTGGTGGTTTGGAAATCTCTGCTTAAATAAAGAAGAAAATAATATTAGGACGTAACACGAGATAAAAAACTCCACCTGAAAGCAGTGAACTTACTGTACCTTGTATTTCCCCAGGAGTTGCTTTGGTTGTTGTTGTTTCATTCACCTCATGGGCCTCTGGACCTTCATTGCTGTTTACCAAATTAGCTTCTTCTTCATGAAGCTTTGGCTGTAAAACAGAAAGAAGATGAAATATGAGCAGGAATAATTAGTCTTTGACTTCCAGCAATAATGTTTCTCGTCTTTTACACAAAGGCTGCATCTGCTGTTGGATAGTACAGTTGTAGTTACAGCTACTATCACTGTTAGCTAGTTTTCACCCAGCTGCAAATGATGAATAAAGTTAAACCTATGCTGGTGGCAGACCACAATGCCTGTAGACCAGAAGTTGAAAGGTCCTTTCACACCGGGAATGTTTTCATCATGCGATTATTTCGGACGTCAATATTTTTTTCTGAACTCGTATCCTGTCAATACAAGCGTTCACATCAGCAACGTTTTCCCGTCCTGCGATATTACGGCATTAATTTTTTCGGATCACGGTCGAATTTTGGGATATTTCTGTCGTTCCCAGTGTGTAAGGACCTGAAGGCTCAACTTGAATAAACCTGAGTTTAAAGTACTCACACTTTGCTTTGACCCGTTCTCTAATGACAACACTCTCTGGCGAAGATCTGCAACTGTCGTGAGGAGGATGTGGATCTGCTCATTGGTCTGTGTCCGGTGCAGCTCTTCCGTCTTGTTTGCTTCACTTACTGCAGTTTTAAGGTCTGATATGTCCTGTGAAAGGAAACGAAAAATGTATAAAGTCTTTCTTTCACTGTGCTTCAGTAAGAAGTTTCAACCAAAGAAGACAAATACGAAGAATTTAGCTCTGTTTTTTTAAAGAAAAAGGGGTTTACATGTGTGGTGGTCAAGTGCTTTATGAGGCCAGATCTTTGGCCCCACATGAGTAGACTATAGAAATTAACAATCTATCATCACTCAAAGTAATATTTTTAAATAGTTAAACTCTGTCATTATCATCTTTTCCCAACAAACTCTGCCTCACAAAATAGAGCAAAGAAAAATTCTGCTGTTGTCTCAGATATATGACCTACTTTTACTCAGAAAACTAAAGCATCTAAGCTCCTGAAATAGATTGGCACTTGTTTCATGTATTATGAATGACAACCCAACGCATGGATCCAAGAAAATGACAAGACCTTCTCAACCCACAACTCTTTCGATGTAGGCGTGACAGGAACTGCAAAAGCACTTGTGCGTGAGCAGGCAAACAAAAAAACAAATTAATCTTGCAGAGGCAAAGTTCGCCACAGCTTCTGGTTTGGATTCACGCCACAGTTAAGCAGATCAACTAACATTTCATCAACAGAATCATCTTGGCCGTATGCAAGTAGATTTGCTTCAAATCTGAGCGAGACAAATCCGCAAAATCACCACTGCAGGAAGGAATTGAGAGGTAGTACTTTAGGCTCTGGCTCATCAGGTTGTTTTTCCAGCTCACTTTAGCAAGATGCACTGTTATTGAGATTTATGTCGACATTTGGTCCATCTATTCTTCAAGGAGAGTAGACAAATAAGGGCTCTTAAATAAGGATGCAGTCTGCAGCGGTTATTGCAGTGAGCTTGGACAGGTTGATTAAAAAAGAAAATCCATCAAACATACTAAGTTAAATTGTCCTCGACTCGTAAAAAATCCATCAGCCTTGTTTGTGAAAACCTACAGGCTGCAGCTCCACACTATTTACATTACATATTTACAAACGAACACAGCTTCAGATTCCTCTGTGACATTTGTCAGCTGCTACACATAACACTCTGTTGACATAAGTAAAATCTCTGTGACTGTTGAGGCCATTGTTGTTGACTATTCTGCCTCTGATTGCTTGCAACATTTATTGTCACTGCTGTGGAGGCTAGTCACCGCTGCGTAAACATTAAATGGGTGGGCTGATATAATCCTACAAATATTGAGAATTCTGCAGCTGCTCTGTAAGGCTACATGGAATGAGAAACAAAAAACAAGCTAATTAAAAAAAAGGAAATAAAGGAGGAGAAGGTACTTCACAACAGAATGAAGGATCAAGCTTATGCAACCTGAACATGTCATCACAGCACTTGTCAGATGCTCCCCGCTTACATACAGAACTACTACAAAGATCAACAGCTTGAGTTTACCATTGTCTTCTTCAAGTCATCATCCTTCTTTTGATTTTCAAGGGCAGCCTGTATGGTCTTCACATCGTGCTGTACACTTGTTAGTGTGCTGCCGATTGTAGCAACACTCTGGAAAAGAATAAAAAATCAAAATCATTCAATTTTTTTTTCTTTTTGTAGATTTAAACCAAATTTTTCTGTTTCTTCCTTTTTTTTCTTTGGGCTTACCTTTTGGAGCTCTTCCACCGTATTGGGGAGGCTTATTAAATCAGCAGCGGATTTCAAGTTGGCCTTTAAATGGTTCACAGCAGTGTCCAGCAAACTAATCTGCAGGAGAGAATTCACACAAAGCTTCTGAAACATATCCAAGACCAAAGTGCTGACTTAATAAACCCAACTTCAACAGCAGGAAGCAGTCTAGTAAACACAGTTATTTACTCGAGGACTGAGTCTCATGATGATATGAGATATAGAAGTTCCTGTTTCAACTGCTCTGACAACTCATCGCAGTATGAAACAAACACTATCTTTAAAAAATTTAAAAAAGAGAGTCCAATTACACGCTCAAATAATCAAGTGTCGACCTGTTTACTCAAGTAACTGTAGAAGCAACACAGAAAAAATACACTTACTCAGCCTATACTCAACAAGGATCATGTACACTTGGTTTACTGCCCTTTATATAACACTTTTACTGCTGCAGGTGAAAATGTTCTGAACTCAGTTCACTCTTAGTTTGAACAATCTAAAGATTGTCAAACCTGTACTAAGTCCATAATCTATATTTACCTTGCCATAATTCAGGCCTACTCTCTATCAAGAGATCTAGTTAGTGTGTGACAGTAACAGTGTTAGGATACCATCAAACCCTCCGATCGATGACAGCTACTGACCTTTTTATTCATTTCTGTCAAGTTGGACCAGAGCTTGCTCAACCCCTTGTCCCCGGTCTCTATGTCATCAAGCTTTCTCTCCTTGTTTTTCAGGTCCTCGCTCAGTTTTGGTATTTCACTTGACGACACCTTCTGGCTTGATTCCACTGTTACAAAAGACATTGTAATATGTTAATAGCTATGCTGGAGGCAAGGGAAGGGATGACTGAATAACTAGGACAGGTTTGTAAAATGTTAAATTTAAGTGAGATATTCATGAATACCACAAAGTAACTGTGTACGGTGTGTATGTGTGTAGGTCTTACTACTGTGTAGCTTTTCTTTCAGTGCATCTAGATCTTCTTTCAGAGCAATCTGCATCCATATGAGCCCGGCACAGGCCATAACACAGGCAGCAAGTATGATGAACAGAAACAAGGGGTAGCACACATTGCAGCATTGTGTGTAGCTTCTCCTGTAAAGAAAAGAAACATGATAATGTACGACATTACAACAGCAAGGCATCTTTCATTATTAATGAGGGAGATATTTTTAGAGGACTGCACACAGTATCATGGGAATTTATAATACCAACCAATTTGGGTGCCTCAACATATGGTCTTTTATGTAGTCTATCATCATACTTGTGATGCATGTGATTGTGGTGCTTGCTTGTTTCTAAAATGAAAATGAAATCTTCCATGATTTTTTGGATGCCAATTTGACTTAAATTGCGATTCTACGATATTGTCAGTTTTCTTGATATTTAGTCTGCATTTTAAACAACAGTAAAACAGTTGAATAATTATGATTGTCTACTGACTGTTCCAGGAACCATTGGTGTGTCCCAAATTGAATACTTCCAGTACTAAATACTTAAAATTTTGAGTATACTCAACGTAAAATAAAAAAAAGTATGGATTGTATGCGAGAATTGAGTAGGCAAAAGTACCTGACTGTGGACACTCGCCGCACTCATTTCAACAGTAAGAATGGCTGCGGACGGCTGTGGTGCCAGTGGGTCGGTGACGGTCGACCAGGGAGCTTTGTACAGATATAAGTTCTAAGTTGCCTTTTACACATGTTCTTTCCACCAAGCACAGCCAGCGTTTTTCATTTTGAGTATATTTGTGGTGTAACCTGGGTAACCTGTTTGTCTTTTACCGTGAACGGTATCGCGAAAGCAAAAGGTGGTGACAAATTGGCGTAGAAGTAGAAATCTTAGAATGCTTAGAATGTTCAATCTGAAAAATCTAAGTATGGAAGTATGCAATTTGGGACAAACCACCTATTTCCCCTTCAAAATACACATCACATGTAAGCCAGTTTTTTTTTTTTTTATTTATTCACAAATTTGAACGTAAAAATCGATTTAAAAATTGTAAAACAAAAAATCGCGATACTTATGTGAATTGATTTTTTCTCCCACCCCTAGAAAATAACCTGGTCATCTACCCAGAGCGCGTGAAATGTAACACTCCGCTTTAATTCAACCCATGAGAAAGCTAATTCATTGATCTGCCAGTATTTAATAATTATTAATTCTTCAATAATTAATAGTGTGAAGCAGGGCAGAAAAAGCCTGTCAGTTTTTCAAGAATTGAACTCATTTTTATAATTTTTTAAAACACATTTCAATAAAGATCTTCGCTGGTTGATGAAATCAGACACTTTACTGACTTTTTCATTAGTGTCAACAAACGAATAACTAAATTAGTTTTCACATATATTGCATTTTATATTCCATATACACTCATTAAAAGTATTCACTTACTTCCCAAAGTTAGCTCCGCTGCTCATGTTGTTGAACTCGTCGTCGTCGGAGCTCGAGTCCGACTCAGAGTCCGGTGGTTCGGTTCGGAGGAGCCGGTGACCAGACCCCTTTTTGGTCTTCTTTCTCTTGCTGTCTCCGAGTCCAATCAAGGCATTTAGCTCCTTCCTTTTCTTCATTTTCTTCTGAGGGGTCAGCGAACCCGCCGAGCCCGATTTATACCCAACTAAATCCAAAGTTTTGTCCAGTTTGGTGGATGTTGACGTTACGCAGCCACTAAGCTAACTTAATGCTTTCTTGCTAGCTTGAATTTCAACCATACAAGGTTGCGAACTGATACAAACACATCGGACTTTTTCGGGAGGTAGTCTGACTGACCAACACAAATGTCCAACAGCTGACCGGGTCTTTCGTTAGATCTTCAAGCAAGGTTTTGGTTGCTATTATCTGCCGGGTACCCACATATGTTAGCAACCTCAGCTAGCGTCTGACACCTTGCTAACCGCCGCTAACACGGATTCGCAATCGTTACAGTGAAATCACATCGTTTGAGAGAGATTTAAAATATCTGTCCCGACGGCCCTCATTCTGGAATCAACTAAATGATTTAAAATATATATTTACAGTATAAAATGTATCTTTGAATAATCGAATTATGCCGTACTGTATTTACAGCGATCTTCTCTGCTGCCCGTATTGTTTCGGCAGGGCGTCCAAGTAATTTGAACACCGATTGGTCCAGTGAGCAGTTACAACTTCCGGTGCTGTATTCTGTCAGGGAGCGAAACAGACCACAGCACCACCCGCCTCTGGTAGCTAGTTCCCCACACTGCGGCACAAACCTCGGGACATGAAAGTAAGTTGACTAAAAAAGTGCAGAAAACGGAAGAGTTTTGTAAACGAAAATGTAGTAAATTCATTCAGTTAACGACCACGGGAATGGCTCCCGGGGTGCAACAGCTCGTTCTGAAGATATTAGCACAAAGCGCGGAAATGCCTGATAAATATTGGTACCGAGCGAAACCTGTCTCTGTGATAGAGATAAACTGTCGTGGAAGTTGCTTGCTTACTGGTCAATGTTCAGGCATGAGTAATGTGTGAGTGGAAATGTTGACATCTCGTTGATAATAACTCACTACTTTTTTGTTGAAACACCTGTCAGGAGTCTATTGAGTTTTTTGGGGTTTTGTTTATACCTCTTTTTATCATTATTTTGATCCAACAAACTGATATTTGAAACACAACTTAAGTGCTTTTTTTTTTTTTTTTTTTTTTAGATTTTATTTATTTATTTACTTATTTTCTAAATTATGGGATCTATCATTATTTGAGACATGTGGCTCATGTAGTATAAGTGGAAGAATAAAGTTTGTTAAATAAAGCTTGCAGGCCCCAATCAGAATCATGTAATCGGGACTGAAACACATTTAATAATTATTGCTGACAAAGCTATGAATCATTTGTCCACTAGTTTGGAAAAGCAAAGGCTGTCAAATACCTTGGCAATACACAAATGATCTGGTTATGTATTGCTCATTTTGTCAAAAGCAAAGGCAACCAAATTAGAGAAAAGAGAAATTACATCTTAATATCCCCACAATTGCGTAACAACCCAGATTCCTAATAGAAGCATTATCTGTATGTTGACTTTATAGCCCCATAGTTACAACTTTGATTTGCACATTTGAATCTTTACTCCCCAAACTGCAGGTACTACACCAGAGCTCTGACAACATTGTATTTCCAAGGATGCACCACTTTCTATGAAACAGGATTTAATATTTTGTCTCAATTCGCCTCTTCCAGCAGGGGTCTGCCAGAAACTCAGCTGACCTGGAGTGCTATTGGACAGACCCAGCAAGACACATGGGCAGCATGGATGCAGGGTCGCTGCAGACTGGCCTTTAGCTCTTTTTCACTGAAAATGGACTCCCACTGGCCTGCTTCTGGCTTTGAAAATATGTTCCTTTATGTCCCTGGACCCCCATACTACCACAGCACAATACTAATAATAATGACATTGAATGAAACTCTCCACACTAGACCAATTTACAAACACACAAAGGAACTGAGATGCTCCTCAGCATCTCAGTATGAGATTGGTTATTGAATTGCAAGTGATGAGGCCCACTGCTGATGCTTTATTATCCCTAGAAAAAGAATTTCTCAAGGCAATGCTTGTCAGTCTACAATAATAGCGTGATGCCACCCACACTAATACACGGCTAATATTAATACAGCTTAGTCCTACTAATTTGCTGTCTATTTTTTTTTAAATGCATTACATTGCGAGGCAGCCACAGTATTGTTTTGAATGCATTATCTGTGCATCCAGCAGTGTCATGTAGGTAGCAGAGCGAAATTCAATCAGTGTCTGGTCTCCACTAAGAACACCTGTAGAGGGGACAAGCATCACGCTGAGGGCCTGCGCAGACCCCCGCCGGTATGAGGCTGCAAATCAAAGCATCAGATGTTTTTCATCTCTTCAGTGGAGTCTCTGTATTTCATCTGGGGTTAAGACTAAGAGGATGACACTACAACTTATGGCTCCTTACATCTGCAGTCATGAGGTAGGGAGTTTTGGGCAATAGAAGTCCATGACTCTGATTACTACAAAACACTTGTTTTCTCACTTTGTTCACAGCAGGGTTTCTCATATTCTCACCAGGGGTGATTCCGGCAGCCGTGGGGCAGGGAGCTGCCTCGGGTACTGACAGAGAATGTAAATAACGTCGGCATGATAGGAAACAGTGAATAGATTTGACTGCTAATTGAAGGCTTTCATCTGACATGGCAGACTGTGCGAATACAGATTATCATCAGTTGGAAGCAGGGATGCTGTTGGAATACCAATTTTTCTCACCAGGCATTTTTTTACCCTTTATTTGGAATCACTCTACCATTTTGTTGGATGACTTCACTTGTGCATGAAAACTTCGTCTTGAAAAATACGCCAGTTGACAGATTAAATGGAAAGTTCCCCCATGGTATTGCGATCTGTGTCACAGTGCATCTGAACTTATGAACTTTTATCTCTGACAGCTGCTGTCTGATGCCTTACTGGGAAACAAACAAGAAAGCGCTTTGTTTCCTTTCTCCCCAGTTTTTCTTTGTTTTCTCTTTTTTTTCCACGTTATTTAAGGTCCTCAAAGCAAATCTTTAATCCTTTTCTCACTTCAAATGACGGGAACCCACAAATTATTTAAAAGTTAAGCCTGTTTTGGTGTCATTTATTTCACCTCAAAGGTTTCTGTCTGTGTTTTATCTGACGTGTTGTAGAACTGTGGATGGCAGCTCTCTGGTTTGCTTAGAGATTTGAATACATCCGTTTTACATATTTTCAAAGTGAACCAAAGTCATGATGTCAGCAGTCTTACTTTAAAAAAAATGATGCATGTTCTCAGGAATAACTCGCATTTCTTTCACATTCTTGTTTACAGCAGCGGTTCCTCGTGTCTAAGTAGTGTTTCACAACTGAGCTGGCTGCTGTCCCTCGGACTCTATTACAAACCTCTTCTGTTAAGCAGTGACACTTGACACCTGTCAAGAGCTCATGGGAAATGGTGTTAGTTACCTGCAGGTTTAAACATTAATATTGATTTAATCTGGGGCTGTCAAGGGATTCATTTCTTTAAACAGGGATTAGTCGCAGAATCTCAGTCGTCAATCACGATAAACTGCATGTTTAGAATACTATCGTTTAAAATACTCTCAAAGTCCAATGTAAAGCAGTTCTTACCTGAGTCTTGATGAATTCAGTAATATGTATTTAATGATCCCGACTTATGAACAATGACTTGTTACATATGGTGTGTCTGTCTGTCCAATGATACCTGGCTAATGTGAGATTTTTTACTCTTTTTCAGGAGTTTTTTTTGGTTGCCTTCGCTATTTCAAACCAGTCCTGTCTGCATGGACTGCCCTTTGCTGCAATGATAAGGCACATCACAACATGCCAACTTCAACCCCCCTTACATCTGAGCAAGAGGTATGTGGTGATCAACACACTTCAAAGTAGTGCTCTGCCTGCTTTTGTGGTGCAGTTTTGCGCTGACAGTTTGATAAGCTGAACCTGTATGTTCAGTTTGTAGGTTGTGGCTCAGACTCGGAGTCTGTGATTTTTTTTATTTACGTTTCACACAAAGTGGGTTTTATTTTTCCACTCAGCTGCTTATGGGTTTTTCAAAGTGAAATGTGCTTTTCAAAAGAACAATGTTGCAGAAATTTTCCATATTGGTGAGAGCAGGGACTCATAAGGAAGGAGGGATATGATCAGAGAAGAAAATCAATGAGTTCATTCCAGACCTAAATCCTGTATGATTATAGCTGACTGCCCAAATTGAATGAACATACAATTTGGATGTATAAGACACACTTTCTTTTGTTGATGTCTAAAAAGTAAGCTGCACCCTAGTCACCAGTTCAGTTTAACCAACATGTCAGGAGGCGTTGCTGAGACACATTTAAGTGCATAACTGTTATTACCCAGAAGATGGCGCCAGAGGGAGCAAGCATCTGTTCTGCTGCCAAAGCCAGCTGGATACATAGTAAAAGAGGCAAGTTAGCAGTGCCATGTTTTAACAGCTTTTTATCCCACATATACAAAGAAAGTAGCGGTACACTGTTTAGCGAACAAGCCTTCTGGTGCACTGACTAGACTCTTTAAATTGATGCAACAAGTGACCAGCAGAGGGTGATGACGCAAATCTCTGTCCCATCCTAATGTATGTTAGGGTGTCCTCTTTTCAGGGGCTGTCCGAGCTGTCTAGCTATGTCCAGGGAAGTTTATATAATCTTTCAAATGTCTGTGGTTTTGTACGTAAGTTTCGAGCTTGTGTCACGTGGACTTACTGCGTTAGAAGAGCGTAAAAGACAGTCAATCCGACCCGAAAAACCTGAAAGTCGTGTCCTCTTTTTGGGGAGGCAGAATATGATCACCGTAATATATGTCAGACTGTATCTCGCAACTACAGACTACACTAGCCCTAGCCCTACTCTGCTGGTAGTTAGCATGATGGCGAAAACAGATGGCACCAGAGAGAGCTTCACATGTGCACTTTGTGAACTTTGTTGAGACCCGTGGAGGTTTTAATGTTAGAAAACAGCTTAATCCTCCTTCCTTTAGATATCCTCCAAAACTGACTGCGTCTTATTTAGTAATACAATTTATATTCTGAATTTTACGGTCTCTGTTGGTGTTGTTACAAATGTTGACAGCTCTTCCTGAAATGACTCACTGTTTACTTCATAATCCATTATATTGTCACAGAGCAGCCAATTGGCTTCTTGATTTAAATCTATCACACCACTACGATACTGTGGACTGGAATTTTGAATATATGAATTAAACTGAAAGAAAATGTTTACTCTGACAGTTTTTGTTTCTGAGCTTGGGGAGAGTTTTTTAGGGGAAAGAGATGTCACTTACATGTGCACAAATCAGGACTAAGCAGTACTTTTCTTTATTTTTGGTAGTTTACTTTTGTGCTTTTATAGGGTGATAGGGAAGTTAGTGGGTATTTGGGAAGAGAGAGTGGTAAAAAACATGCAGTAGTGGCCCACAGATTGGAATCAAATCCTCTTCTTGGACTCTAGCTTCTGTGTATGGGTTGAGATTTTAACCACTGAGCAAAACCGGCACCCCAAGGCGTGCAACTTTTAAATCTGTTACATGTTATGAAAACTGGGTAGTTGTTAGCATCGTTACCAGGCAACTGTCAAACATTCCCGACCAAACAACACCCACACACAGCCCTGATGGGGTAGATTGGCTGAATTTGGATTCTTGTGCAAGTTTTCTTCACCAGACTTTAACTTTGATTTTTTTTTTATTTACTCATTAAAATTGAATGTGATGAAGACTTTTTCTGTTTTTGAAGCTTGGCTTTTTATGACTCAAAAGCTGCAGTGAGAATAGGATGCCTGGCATTAATTAGTAATTTTTCCTTATGCAGCAGATATGTATTTATTAATGAATCATTCGAATCCCTCCGACTTTATTTAAATTATCCAAAAAACGGAGTGCTGTAGGTCCAGCCATTTATCAACTACAGATCCGGTACATGATATATTTGCTGCTGCAGATGAAACTCACATGGAAGTGACACCAGAGTTGTGCCATGAGAGCAGAGCAAACCCCCCAATAGGGGAAGAAGCTGTCAAAACTTAGACTGATGGCTCTGTAACATTTGAGTGACCCTATCCCACATGTCTGGTGTCAGTCAGCTCCACTGGTGGAGGTCTTGGATAGTGTTCAGTGGGGAATCAGCAGGGGGCAATGTTCTCACATCAAAGAATCTTAGACATGCAGTAAGAAGGCAGCACTTGAGTCAAGGACGGATGAGCTCAGAATCAGTGGCTGGGCTCAGTGTAATGGCAGCCATGCAAACATCTTTCATATCCAGCACAGCTCTCATCATTGAGATTTGACTGCATTGTATCATGTGCAGGTCTGTTAATTGTTACAGGCTTGCACACCTGAATATTTCACACACTGCCTGACTCAACATCAGCTGCAAACATTCACAGCCGTCCATGTTTAGGAAGCTAAAATGCATTTGAGATCATGTAATCATTAATTATTAATGCATTTGTAACATTCGCCATTGTGGGTTGCCTGGAAGTGTTTTCAGAGTGAAAGCAAAGGCAGAGAGGGGAAGATGACAGTTTGATGACTATTTTCAGCCGAAATTGTAACCCCCTCAGAGCTGGAGTGTCTGTTAAAAGCCTTGGAAGTAAAATATCAGACATAAACATCATGATTTACCGCTTTATTTTCTGTCTGCTGCAAGAATTCACACTGTGGCGACACTTATCTGTAGAGGCGGCTACTGCAGTGGAACAGAAAGGTCTGATATAATCTAAAATGGATAAAAGGGAATAGATTAATATATTAAGCTAATGAAAGGAGTGAGAGAGGGGAAAACAGACAGGGAAGAGGAGTTCTTTGATTGGATTTTGTGGAAAGTTCAAACTGAATGCGCACTTAATTCAAGCAGACTGAGTTTATTGTTTATCTGGGATCTTGCTCTTCATAACACTTGTAAACATATCATGCAAAATCCACACGGAGGCTGTAGATAAAGCAGTTGCGTTGATCGGTCTCTCATATTGTGTAATACGGCTGAGAAAAAAGCAGAAATATCAGACATGTTAAATTCAATGAGATTTAGGGATTGGTTTCAGACAGACAGCCAAAGTTCTCCTTTTCACTGTATTAGACCAGGATTAGTTTAATCCATGTCTGTGAAATAGCCCCTTCATTTTCCTGGTAATGTCTTCAGTTCACTAGGTATCTCCTTGTTCCGTTTTTCTGTTATTTCCTGTGGAGAAGGGGGGAAAAAAAAGACAAATCAAGACCACATTTTCTTTTGGTTGGTTTTGGGAACGGTTTCAAGCAAGTTAACAGAGTTGCAGCAAAGCCTGAAGTGGATATGAGGGAGAGAGAAAAGCAAGACAAGGAGAGGAAACAAAAGACGAGAAAATGGAGGTGAGAGGGTGTGAAGAGCTTCTGAGGGGAATAATTCATTCGAGTTTGCAGATTTTGTTAAAAAGTTTATGTGTGTGATTAAAGCTTGACAGAGGGGAAATTGATTTCATTGACTGCAGCATTTCTACAGGCTGACGCTCCGAGAAGACAGCAAGGATGCTAATTTTCCACAACTGTTTTTATAAGGTGGAACAGGATATTGTTCCTGCTCTTCCAAGGAGCCCCTCACAGTGCATGGTGGGGGTAAATTGTTGTCAACAGAAACACTGCTCTGGCCTAGATTTCCCTCACACGGCGGCTATTTTATTAAGTACTCCCAGCTTGCTGCAGACCAGACTCCCTTTACAGCAGCTCTCCTGTAACAGGGGTTGACGGTCTTTTGCTGTGAAATGTGGTGATGCATAGAGATGGATAGACGTTTCCAGTGTGTAGCTTGTTTCAGTTTTAGTTATTGCTGAACAACTGATGGTTGCATTATTTTTTATTTGTCTGCCAGTATCTCCTGGTTTATTTGAGACCTCTATCTAATCTAACAATCTACAACTGACGGCTTATGTTTGTCTTGTTTGTTTCACAGAGAGGTTTAAAAATGAACCTTCTCTAAAGCAAATACAGAGAGAGTGATTTTACTATTTCCTTAAAGACAGGGAGTGAAATGTGACATCCTATCCCACACACTGTAATTTGTAAGTTGTAATGGCAGTTGCATAAACTGGTTTGTGTGTGTGTGTGTGTGTGTGTGTGTGTGTGTGTGTGTGTGTGTGTGTGTGTGTGTGTGTGTGTGTGTGTGTGTGTGGCTTCATTCTTTATGACTGTAGTTCTCCAAGCCAGTCAGACATTAAAGTTAAGACCGCAGTTTTATATCTGAAAAGATCAAAAAGGAAAAAAAGGAACTGTGTCAAAATACTGTTTTTTGAAGTCAGAGTCCTGCGTTTGATATTAAACTAGAGTAAAAATACTGTGTTTAAGCAGGAAAATGCACTTCAAGTACCCCAGATTTAAAATATATATATATATATATATATATATACTTACACCATGCATACAACATCACCTTTCAGATTAATATGAATGACTTGATTGCATTGAAGTCCTTGATGCATAAATCTGTAGGCACCATTAAAGTGGCGCATAGCGTAATTGTAGCTACTTTCAATGCGGCATATATTATGTATATTATAAAATATACATAATATACGTGTAGCAAAAGTGAATAAATGCTAAAGGGTAAAGAGTACATTATTGCCCTTGAAATGAAGAAGTAAGAAGTAGTTGAAAAGATTTCCTTTTGGACATTATTTGTGTGAACATTTATTTTTCTATAGAGTGTGTTGTATACTCCTTATATATGTCTGTATTTTACAGAATTTCCTCCATTTTCCTTTACAAAAAAATAAAGAAAGAAATAAAATGTGCATATATAACTACCTTGTATATGTAATGTCAGTATAACTTAATCCCATTTTTTTCCTGCCGTTTTGTCTAAACATGGTAAACTAATTTCAGTAATTCTGCAAAATATGAGCGAGTGAGAAAATAAATCCCAACACTCATTAATCATCATACCTGTTGTCTGGCTGCTGGATTGCACATTTCATTCAGAAAGAGTTTGCACATGTGGGGTTTGAGCTAACAGGAACATCTGCTCAGTGTTAACGCTCCCTGCACCTGATTGGAGAGAATGAGAGTGTTACAGCTACACCGAGCTAATGGTCTAATCACATCCATACACATGGTCATGGAATAATTTCAACCCTAATGCTGTATTTACTTTTCATTTACTATAGTTTAGCCGTCAATTAAATTAGAATATGTCTCAATATCCAATATTAACCCTGCTTTTTTTCCACACTTTAGGGATTTTGTAAAGGCAGAGCACAAGGAAATCCATTTTCAGCTTGAATTGAGGATATTTTTCAGGAATGTTGGAGCAGAGCGAAAGCTGTCCAGGCTGTGTTCCTTCCCTGTAAACAAACACCAAGCGGCAAAAATAGATATTTTTTCCTTCCAAACGTCATCTTATTTGCAGAAACTGACACAGCTGTGTTTGGAGAAGGCAAAAATATAATCACACAGACATTTTAAGCCCTATCATCACACGGGCTCTGTATGTGAAAGCCCCACTGTGTCGGTATTTGGTTATTCGTGGTTGACTCTTTCACTTGCTCGATTCCTGCTAGCCACTCTCGATCTCTGCCATTAAGAGGCTGCTTTTGTTGCTCCCTGAGCTTCCTCAAACTGCTAGCAAGAGGGTTGTCCATTGAATGAAAAGCACAGGAGGGGTTTCTGGTTATGAGTTAGTGGAACAATCATGCCTGGCAAGGACAATCCCAGCAGCACCCTCAGTGTTGCTCGATTCTGTGGAGCTCGTCTGCTCTGCTTTTGTACTGCAAACTGCAGCCATGTGTCTGTGACTCTCTGTCTGTAGAAGCCATTCACTTTCATAGGTGGTGTAACACAGTTCATATAATGTTTCCCATAACCATTTTTGTGCCTAACATAGGTGTGCTGTAATTGTGAAAAGCATGATTCTGCTTTTTTTTTTAGAGATATCAAAAAAACAACAAGGGAATTTACAAATAGTTGTATTTGATTTCTCCTGTGCACGATGGATGCTAAATGAAATGTGCTTCTTACTCATGTTGAGGTGCAGGCAACGTTGTCAAGTCTCTTTGTGCTTGGCTGAATTCATCTTCTGTCAAGTTGATCTGCGATTCTCTTTGTAGCAGATCCTCTCCGAGCATCTACGATCCAGACGCACGGGAGAGAAAACCTTGAAGAGGCGCATGAGAAGAAAAGGAGCACATTTGGGTATGACTAAAACCTTCAAAGCATTCGCCCTCTGCCAGAATTTTTTCTTCTTGTGTGTGAGTCAGCCTATAGTACAGACACATGGAAAAGGATATTCTATATTTTCAGGAGCATGTGTTATTTGTGTTTCTCTGGACCTTGAGGTTCACTGAGCCCCCGCAAAATGAAGTGAGAGCTTGCAGCAGCTGCCAGACGGCATGTTGTATAGAAATACTACCTCCTCTGATGAGGTCGAGAGGAAAGACAAATTTTTAAAAGGAGAAGGGAAATAAGAGGATTAGGGCTGCTAATGTGTGTGTGCCGCCTCCCACTGAGACAAGTGTGCCCTGTTGCAGAGTACCTGTGGCTCAAATAAGGACCCTGTCTGTGAGATTCATAGACTTGCAGAAGGACAAAGGAGGAGCATGTGGCACGGTTGGTGGAGGTTGTGTTTTTGACAGATGTGATGTTTAGCTTTCCTAAATTTAGCACTCAAGAAGGTGAAGGCAATCATCTGTTTGTGGATGTGTACCAAATACTCTCAAGGACTTATGTTCCAATCTTTCTCTAAATATCAGATTGTGAAACAGACATTTGTGTTTCTTTGTCTGCAAAGCTGAAGGAAAAGAAATCTTCAATTCGTGAAAAGTCCCTCTAAATTTCACCAAATTGACTAAACAGCTAGGCGCCAGATGTGTTTCTACAGCATCCTGGAAATATTGAAAGCTAATTTATAGACCAGGATATTTTGCAAGTGTAAAAAATGATCTAACAAAGACTGTTGTCAAAGGAGATTTTGTATAGTTGTAAATCACTGGCCTGTATTGTTCAACATGTGCAAAGTATTTACTCGAATCTAGCGTTTGGAGTACTTTCCAATGAGGAAAAAAGTCTGTTACATTCAAAGTTAAACCAGTCCAAATTAAGCAATTGTTGTAATTAGTAAACTTGGGGAACACATGTTTATTTGCTTTAAAGGAACAGGCAGAGTGGCCAAATGTTGTGGAAAAATGCCAAAAAGCAAAACATTCCCACATTAACGCTATTATCGAATTCAGGTAATAAAAGCTGTGATTGATGAAGATGTTGGCAGAGCAGCGAAAAGCGTCCCTCGCCATATTTACATACAGTAAATCACTGCCTGCCGAGTGAATGATTTGGCATTTGTGCCATCCGCAAACATTAATAAGACATAAATAAATAAAGCAAGGGAAGGTGATTATGAATGTCTGCAGGGATTTAGCAGGATGGCTCCGACAAAAATGGTTCCAACATTTTGTACGAGCTCTCTCGCCAAGCCTCTATCAGCCTCCCTAAGTCATATCAGATGTTTGGGCTTTATTGGGACTTGAAATAGTTATTAGCCTGAGCACCCACCCTGCTGGATTTATCTCCTGCTGAATAGGGAGTCACACAATAATGAGCTATGCTTAGTGTCATATCTGTTCCCTCTATTCACTGCTTTTCTTCTTTAAATCAAAACTGCCTCCTTGTGGGATGATGACAGACAGGTGAAATTGGAGTTAATAAAAGAGGTAATATATCTCATGAGGAGACTTGTACGCCCCGAATTCGCTGGTACCAGAAATAAAAGTTTACAAAGCCAGACTTATTACAGCTGACCAACTAAAACGTCCTCTTCAGTAGATTAAAGTAAACCTCCATAAAACAATGAACAACACAGCCACTGCAGCTCTGGATAGAAACCTCGTTGCTGTGGATGATTGAGACAGTTTGCTCAGTCTGTGCTGGAAATCTTCAGCAGGAGGGATTATGAGAGGAGGAGGAGCATTTATGCCGTCCTCTGCATGTTTCCTAAATTACGCTATGCGGGTCATTTCCATAGGGGGGGAAAAGAAGCTTGCGGCGTATCTAATTCGCCTATAATACAAGTAAAAAGTAGAGAATCTTCTGCCAAGTAGCATCTCATTTTCTGACATCCTGTTACAGGATTTGCAAAACTCTGCATCTCTTGAGCACATTTTCCATAAAATCAAACATAAAAATCAAACAAGGTTCTGCACCAAACAGGTCCTTTAATGAGTTTCCAATATGCACAAAGTATCAAACCAGTCATGATGGGAAATATCATATACAGTTTATTCAACATAAATCTTTTATTCTTTGTGTTGCTACTTTGAAGATTGGGATAAGTTATGAATAGAGTCTGTCATAAAATGTGCAGTCGTTCAAGTATCCGTTGTGTAGGTCTGAATGTAGGTTCAGGTATCTGTTGTGTAGGTCTGAATGAAAGCTAAGTGGGGGCTTGGTGAAGACATCGTAGTGCACAGTCATAGATAAGTATTGATGCTCGACATATCTCTTATTGTATTGAACACTATCTGAATAAAGCGTGGAGTGCACTGATTCTAGGTGAAATATATGTATATTTAAATGTATGCACTCTATAACAAAGGGAATAACACAGAAATGATGTGAACTCAATCTTTTTAAACAATCTCTCTTTGTAGCAACTCTTTGCAGTGAGTATTTGTACAACAAGGCTGCGTGTGTGAAAACGCCTTCACTCTTTTGTTAGCTAAAGTAAAGCCTCTGACGTGTACGCATTGCTTTCATTTTTTTCCTACTTCCTGTCATCCTGAGGTTGGCACAGGGCCAGAGAATCAAATACAAGAAACCTTGGACTCCATGGAAATCCCATTCATTGGCAACAATACTAAGAAACCTAGCATAAAAAGAGAGTGTCTTTTCTTCTCAAGAGGGAACATTTAGAAAAAAAAAAACACTCTTACTTCTGCATGGTCAGAAATATAAAGTCATGCTGCTTCGTTTTAACAGTGCAGCAGGAGTGTAAATATATAACTCAATAAATGGCGGGTGCAGTGTTAAGCACTTATTTTTGTTTTAGTCTTAAAACTACTGCTGCTACTGATGCTGTCACTGTTTCTGTCTGGCTGCCATTTGGCTGTAAAATGACATTAAAAACTGGCAGGGCAAGTGAAGTCTCTCTCCCCCCTGGAATCAAATGCAGAAGCTGCACCAAGAAGAACTTCCCATGCAGGTGGTGGTCAGAGGATTGCGTCAGCTTGACTATATTAGACTGATTCCAAGGTGAAGGTTGGCTGTTACAACTAAATTTAGGAAAGCTTTCATAAGACAGATCTGTGTTTTTTTCTTTCCCTGCTGCCTTCATTTGGGCAGCAGTGAGGCTGCTCCCTGTCACTCAGGGTTACAAGCTGCTTCCCTGCTCGTGTTCAAAGTTAGACACCGAGCACAGATCACACCTAATCCAAACTGACAGGCGAACCAAAACAATGTCAAACTTTTTTTTCACCCCCAATGTCACATTTTTACGTTTTATAATTCCCAACTTAATCTAATAGTCAGTGCTTGAATAATTAGTGATGGTGCATATTTCTGCTGTAACCTCCTTTCAGCCACAGATGAAGGTTAACCTTTGCTTGATGAGGGTAAAAAAACTGAGAGCAGTGTTAATTTTTTTCTTTGAGCTGGCTTCCCTGTTAACATTTATGTTATAAATAAAGCCCACCAAAAATAGACAAAATAACCTTTAGTTCTTGCCTCCGTGACAGCTTTTCTTTTTTTTTAACCAAGCCTCTTTTAAAAAATTTAGTAGTTGAACATCTACTGAGGCTCGCACGTGTTACACAATCCAAAATAATAAAACGGTCATATTGACAGCTGTTGTATTCTAATGAAAATGAATGTGAACATTTCCAAATTTGCAAAGAAGACTAGTGACACAACATTTATCTTCACTCAAAATATTAAAAAAATATATAAAGGGATAAAAATAAAATAAAAATTATGTAATTATTTTTTAATAAAGAAGAAGAATTGATAAAGAGTCAGTAGCAGTTTAATTAAAAATAAAAAATCCACCACCATGAAGGTTACATCTAACACTTACGTGTTATGAGGCTTTTTTATTGATGTGTTGATTCATTTTCAAAATCATTTCAGAGGTTTTAGTTGCTTTCCTTTCGAGTTTATTGCATCAAATGAGGATGAATATTATTGATATTCTTACATTTGATATTTTTTGAAGTCCTAAAAGGCATTTTTGAAAGTTGTAGATTTTTTTTTTTTTTTTTTTTTTTTATTTAATATTTTATATAACATACAAACAAAATAAAACAAAACAAAAACACAATAATAGTGATGGTGGGTACATATACAGACAATAGATTTTAATCAGTTTTTTAAAAATATATTTTAGTAAAAAAAATTATTCCCTAAAATTCAAATTTTAAATTCAGATCACTATGTCCAATATTTCTCATGTCATGTAAAAGTGTCATGTTAAAAAAACTGTGATATTTGGTTTAATCTGTTTTTATATTTTGTATACTTAGTGTTTGCTTTTATATATTTTTTAAAATCAAAATAAGGAAAAGCTGGATTATGACTACCTTAGTTTTTTTTTTTTTTTTCACAAAAAAATTGGAAAAATTTAGATTGAAAATGAAAATAGATTTTTAGATTTGTTTTTTAATTTTATTTGGTATTTCAGTTTCTCGTGGTTGATGTTTTTACGAGCCGGAGTTATTAAAAACTTGGAGTTTTAACCGCGCTGACAAAACTCTATAATCATGATTGAAATGTCTTTTGACACTGGTGTTTTAGGAACCCTATCCTTCCTCTGCTCACGTTTTTAAATGTCTTGCTGTTGTATAAATCATATCACGCCGCGCTGCTGCTGCTGCTGTGTTATGTGTCACGCTGGTAATGACAGAACTTATTTGTCAGTTCACGGCCTCCACTTTGTCGCTCCTATCGTTCTGTGTTTGGATAAACATTTGGCCACTGAGAAATACAGCCGTCAGCATTGTAAACTGTGAGGGGGATATTCAACAGCAATGTGCACAACGCCACTTATGATTGTTTAGCAAGTCGAAGAGTTCACTTCAGCCTCAAGAAGCAGGAGCATGATGGAGTAACAGAAAAACACTGTCCAATTGACTGATATTAGTGTCAGGTCCTCTTGTTAACACAACTGTGGTGGTCTGTTTAACCGCTATGAGTGCGAAGCTTATGTAAAAGTCTACATCGCAGCATGTTGTCACCACATGTCGCCTTCACAGTTAGCTAATTTTTTTAATAGGTGTCTGGTAACTCTTGGTGTCAACTATATAATCAATGCAGAAACAGCCCCAGGTGCTCGGTTTATTGTTTAAAATTATATAAATGCTGATAGGTCAATTTAAAAAAAGTAAACCTGGAAAGTGTTGTGAAACTAAAACTGCGATGCAGCTGATTTAGATTTTGTGGGTGTCTGGCAGTGGATTTCTAGAGCTGAGGAGTGAACTTTGTCACACTGTATAGTGCTTAACAAAAACAAAAGGTTAGAAAAACATAACCCGCCTGTCTGGGGCAATATGTTGTGGTAGGTCCTGCTGCTTCTCCTAATTCCCAGTGCAAGAAAACAAACAAGAAGGAAATAACCATGTGCCAGTGAGAGAAAATACGCATGTTGGGGGGTCTGATTCTATATAGTGCAGTCAATAGTGTCAGACAGGAAAACATGATACTTAATCAGATAATTGGGTCCAGAAATTGACCAAATGAATTATCCGCCTGTTTAAGTCCCAGCTGAAGATAACTGTGAGATTGTGAAATTTTTTTAAACATAATATTTTGATGAGGGTCTGCAGGGCTCTAACAGATGGGGCGTGCAAGTTTCGAAAATGCAGTACATTATTAAACATAATAGATAACCAAGGGAGAAGATAGGCCGTACACAAGAGGCCGGTCTCCAGTTAGGATTTAGTATGAATTTCTGAATTTTGATTTAATTTGACCAAATCCTAGAGCTCTCTCCGTGGCTGTGAATACTCTGAAAGTAGGAGGAGTTGAGAGACAAGTCTGAGCTATATTAAGAAAATATTATTGTTAGAAATTCAAACGCAGTGAAAAATGAACACATTAAACTTTAATTTTTTCTTTGACCCACATTTAAATGATCAATTCTTTTACACCACAACAATATTTTAAAATTCATATTTAACAAGCTTATTTTGTTCTTCTTTGATTTAATCATTTATATATTCCCTGTTTTCCCTAATGCAGGTCTTCTCGCTCTCCTCACCACATTCCCTGTTTTCCCAAAGCATCTATGGAAATGAGATGGGCGGATCCATGAATGCTCGGAGCAGTGAGTAATCCAGGTTTTCTCTCTTTGTGTGTATGTGTCTGTGTGTGTGTGTGTGTGTGTGTGTGTGTGTGTGTGTGTTTTAAATTAGTGTAACAATCAACACTACTGTGGGTGGTTATCTTAACAGAAACATTTGCGCCTACATACATGCATTCACACTACCTACTTCATGAACCTTGCAGGAAGAAGCTTGTTTTTACTGTGAAAACCCACACTGGTCTATTCATGTAGAGATTGACCTTCATGTTATGTGCTGTATGCTGCTGAAAGGTAACTATGTGCACTCCTCCAGAGCAGAAGTGGGCAAACAAATGCTGTAAAAATAACAAGCTAGTGATATTCAGAGGTCTTTGTTTATACTTGGTCTTATTTAGTCGTTTTTGCCTTAGTCGAAGAAAAGTCGAAACATTTAACTCAGTCAATCATAAATTGGTATAAAGGTTTTACTGGTGTCTAAACCTGAAGTGTTTTAATCTCCTAACACTTGTGTAAGATCTAGATTCCTCGCCTCAGTAGGAGATTTAGTTCAGACTCTCCCTCCAGTGTAGTGCTGCTGTTGCTGTCCCTGCTGATCTACTGAGGTACTAAAAAAAAGATTGATCCTTACTCCAGGTCAAACCGTCTCTCTCTCTTTGGTCATTATGTATCTATTTATTGTTTAAGTCCAAGAAATACTCATGGACAGACGCTCAGTTCACTGTTCTCTCAGTTGCATCTCCATCCTCAATGGTTTTAAGTTTATCATTGCGAAGAAATATGTCATTAAATTTGCCTCCTAAAGTATCTCCAAACTAGGAAAAAAACGAGGATTTGGATGCATGGCAAACCAAAAAATCCTGCAAAATTATGTCACCCTAGTAGCTTGTTGTGAACCTGTTTTTTAATCATTATTTTTAATTATTATTTTTTAAATTAATGATGTACTTAAACTTGTCATACTCTTGTCTTCATCATTTAAATAAATCAAATCAACACTGCTCAAAACAATAGTCTGTGCTGCTTTATGGTGACATTTTTCTGTCAAGAGTTCAACGTGTTTTATTTCTTGTATTGCAAAAAAATGTGCTATTTTCAAAATGAAGCATATGCTAATTCCCTTAGATTAAAGATTAAATCTTAAAGCATTAATTTTAAAAGTGTCTCACCATCTTACAGAGGACTGCTACAGCTAGTGAGCCTGCAGCTGCTGTTCCTCTTCATCATAAAGAACCAATACTGCCTCATATAAACCACTTACACAGTTTTACTTTAGGCTTATTTTTAGCCTGATGTCAATATTTCAGACCCCTAAAGAGACAGTCTTAGCTCATACAGATGGATTGCAACAGGCTTAACAGATATTAGAGATGTAAATTATTGGAATTTTGCAATTATTCAATATGCAAATATTTTCAAACTCATTTTACAGATATCAATCTAAGTGCAACATTAGCCTGTGGATACCTGCTTCCTCCCCCATGCTCAGAGGCTGGTTATTGAGATCAGATAATTCATTGATTTTCTTGTGAGGCTCCTTTATCCTTGTGTGGTTGTTAAGACTATTTCTTAGCTAAATTACTATAATAGATGCTGCCAAGTTTTTGGTTGCTCTGATACTTCTCTATTTTTTCTTTGCAAAATCTTGGTACTTCAAAAATAACAATGTGTGGTTTTGCTCCTCCTCTCATACTTAACAAACCCTGCAAATGGCTTTTTTTGCTGTCTGTTTTCAACACTTTGAAGGCTGTCATTTGATGCACATGATCAGTGCATTGTCTTACTCATCTCCAATAAACACCAGCAGAGATTTTCATATCTGTCATACAGGTGTTGTGCCAATGATATTATGCAACGCTAATAGGGAGAGCTTTGGGAATTACAACAAAAAGTTAAACCATAATTGAGAAAATAGTTCAAGCTCCCAAATCCCTTAAAACACTGCAAAACAAAGGATCCTCTTGCTGCTCATTTTTACCAATCTTTTATAATAATTGTGTATTCTGCTCTATGAAAATCTAATTTTGCAATAAACCCTTCACTTGATACAGATTCATCCAATTATTTATCAATAAATGAAGCAGCATTGGATATTTTATAGAGAAAATGTGAAGTGAGGGCTTCATCTGCCCATGTCATTAGATCTGGCTGTGAGGATTGCCTGCAGACTGGAAAGTTGCATCTCTGTAGAGAGCTCTTGGCATTACCGAGGGGAGAGATTAACCCCGTCCTCTGCTGTTTGATGTGGTTGGCTGATGTAAAGCTGCACCGTCAACTGCGCAGAGATACACCAACTGATCTCCATGCAAATGCTAAGAGTTGTGTGCGAGGCATGCAGAGATGTTACACGAAGCATGCATTCTGCTAGTCTTCTTCGTAACAGCTTCCAGCCAAGGATGATGTCACTTCTTGCCCTGCAGAGGAGTAATCAGTCTCCTGCATGCCTGAAGGGCCCCTAAGGAGTTATCAGTCTTTGATAGTTGTCTCTATTGCAGCTGATTCAATCTGTAACACCACTTTGGGCCCCGTGTGAGCATATAACAAACATACTTAATCATTTCTGTCGTTAGAAGTCCGGAAAATCCTCTGTGAGCCTACCCGGTTATGTTCTAGCTGCTGAGTATTAATATCAGTGTAGACAAAGTGCTACCCTGTGCAAGAGACTTGATTACATACAAACATATGACAAGGAGAGACGAAGAGCGACAGAGAGCATGCACACACCCGCAGGCTGAGACAAACACACAGATACGTCCACACGCACACACACACACAGCTCAGTGTGCCACTTCCTCATCTCCTGCTGCTCTGTCCTTAAACCTCTTCACCCTCCATGCAGGGAGTAGACACTGTGCTCTTTTCTCTTTGTCATGGTAATAACACTAAGCCTAACTGTCCCCCATTTTGCCTGTCAACTTGCATTTATTTTGTTTTCCTTTTTTCTTTTCTCTCTCCGGCATGTACTGTCAGGTTTCTTGGGGTACGTTTAAGTCCCTCCCAGCATCATTCACTGCTCCTGGAACCAATTATATTATCCGGCTAGCCCTTTCAATTCCTACAGAGGCAGGGACAGAAAGAAATCTCGATCTATTCTCTATGCCAGCAGCATCACACCTTTACTAACCTATTCTTAAGATCCCACTCAAGAGATTTTCATTCCTCCCCTTTTGCTTTCTCATTCCCCCTCCAGCTCTTCCCTCCGTTGTCTCTCATTCTTGCCATGAAGCCGCCTCTGACAGTGTGAATAGGGGTCCTGTTGTTTGCGACACCCAACATACTACTGTGTGACACATTATCTGCTGTAGTCTCCCTTTGCAGCAGAATGCTTGCCTCAGAGCCTAACCGTATTGTCTGAGCTTTCACCTCACCCCTGGCTATCTGCTGTGCTCTGGCTTAAGGCTTATCCTCGGGCTTCTGCAGAGCTGCTGGGCCAATGAACACTAACAACTTTCCCTTTGTATGCTGTGAGAACCTTTCTACATCAGCTTTTGGCACATTTACTACGACTATCTACCTCTTCAAATCATATTATTTTATCTCTGTAATAGTGCTGCAACAGTACTTTGTTTTAAATCCCTTTTTTTTCTTTACAGCACAAGCCTTTGGTAAATAATCGTGATGTTCTAAACAATGCAGCATACATTTGCTTCAAGATCATCTCGTTATATCACATTTTTCACACCTTATCTAGTGTTTTTGTTGCTGTGAATCACTGCTTTTCTTTTTCTGATTATATAATGCTGTAAGACCAGCTGCATTTGCTTTTTTTTCAAATAAATATGAATTATATAGAAAGTATGTGGACGCATTAAAATTGCTCTCATATGTTCTGTAATTGGTAAGCATCTTATTCCAAAGCTGTGTGCATCGATCTGCTGCTATTATCAGTCTCCACTCTGCTGGGAAGGCTCTCCACAAGACTTTTTGGATGCAGGCTGCAGGGATTTGCTTTCATTCAGCCACAAAAGCATTAGCGAGGTCAGGCACTGGTGTTGGACAATAAGGCCTGGCTCGCAGTCAGGGTTTCAATTCACCCCAGTGGTGCTGAATGGAGTGGAGGTCAGGGCGCTCTGCAGGCCAGTCAAGTTTCTTCCACCACACGGACGCAGAAAGTCTTTTTTTTTTTTCTTTCATGGACCTGACTTTGTGCACGAGAGAAACCAGCATGTTGAAACAGTTACAGACCTTCTTGAAACTGATAAAAGATAAAAGAGAAATCCCCCATGACCCACCCAGCATCTCTTGAACATCTAAAGCCTTAGTAGTGTCAGCAGTCCAGTTAAGAAATAATACGATGTGAGTTTAAAAGGCCGATGGCAGCAGAACCAAAGTTTGATTTAGCACTTTTAGTCAATCCAGCTATTTTTCGACCTACCTCTAACTACCCACCTTTTCTCTCTCCTTGTTAAAATGTCAGTCATGGCTGATGTTTCGCAGCCCAGTGGGAGTTAACACAAGATGTTACCACCTGAATGACGCCAAGATATCCTTTTGATTTCTTAATGCCAGTGACACCACTTAAAGGTGAGAGCAATCTACCCCCTATAGCACTTGTGTTGCTTTTTCAAAGGCCTATAGGTAGAAATTACACGGTAAACTTATTCTTTCATCTTCTCTCTGGCTGCTATTGCAATCAGACAAGGCTTTGCCTGTGTAATCATTGCCTTTGATATGGATGCAGTTCCAGTGAGATTTGTGTATTATCAATTCTTTTTATGTTGTATTTTTGAGCTTCCTGACATTGGTTTACTCTGACTGCAAAGTGATGCTAACTTCAGAAATATTTCATATGAAAGGGAATTTTTTCCCCCCAAGTTTCTGACTCTCCTCTGACTCTGGTTGTGCAGAGAGGTGGGATCCTGTGTCTTAGCCTGATTGATATTCCGGTGCTACAGCCAAAGTTGTCCTCAGTTTCAGTGGAAAAGCGGCTCTATGCAATTAACCTAATCGCAGTTTTAAAAGCGGCGGAGCTGTCAAATACTCCTATGCAGGATAATACACAGATTGGCAAGAAATGAGCTGTTCGGACAAGCGAAACAATGTGTCAGGAATGTCTGTACCTGAACAAAAACCCTCCATTGTTGTTCTGTGACACCTGTGGCTACCTTGAACTGACAAGCTCTAATTAAGCACTCAAAGAAAGGGTTAGATGGGAAATATTAATGCTAATTTATCTGCTTCAGTGTTTTTAATCCATGTATTGTCTCAGATATTTTCTGTTATTGTTACTGCGTCGGTAGCTGCCCTGATATTGCTTATGTTCATTGTAAGAAAACCTTCAAATTGGTACAAAAATACAAAACAAAATTCATAAACACATGAAGCAGAAAAAATAAGTCAACCGAGAGGAGGAATAAACCTTTCCCATGCTCTTTGGTAACCTTAAGAAATTGCTTTGAGTGTAGAAGGCATCTAACTTGCTTCAATGACACTACAAGACAAAACAAAACAAGAGCAGACAGCCAAACACCCAGAAACCATATTTCAGGCCCTGGTGATCCTGAGGTCAACAAAACGCATGTCTTCTGGAGTTGCACTAATTTAAAGTCTCATAACAGACCATAACAGACATTGTGAGATGGACTCTTCTAGACAACTGTGCTGCGAGATTGATACCAACCAAACCTGAGCTTTGCTGTTGTTGTCTGTCTCTATTCATCTCTACTCTTTCTTTGTTCTACATCTCCCTCTGTCGCTCTCTCTCCAGCCTTGACACAGTCACGGCAGATGGCTGTTCCAACATGAGTCTGATTCGGCTCGAAGATGGGATAAGACTGAGTCCTTAAATAAGATGGGATTGGATCTTATCTTGATGTTGGGTCTTTGTAAATTATACAAACAAAGAATGATCCGACTTGTTCCCTTTGTAAAGCATGTAGAGATTACAGTTGTAGTGAACTGACGCTGTATAAACACGACTGACTGCTTTTGATAAAACTACACACATATAAGTAAATGATTAACGGATTGTACTAGTTATTCCAACCAGTTAAAATGCCTTTACATTACATGTCTCTTTCTGTATTGTTTCATCCCATTTAAATGGAATCATACTCAGCTCGGGAGCAATTTGAGGTTTGATGTCCCGCCCAAAGATGCTTTGACTAGTTTGACCAACTCTACTTCTGAGCCACCACAACCCACAAATATCCGACTATGACTTCCGAACTGTATCAATAAAAAACTAGAAATGTGCTTCAATCCAGCATGCTGTCTTGGCTGATCAAGGTCATAGTCAAACTAATCTTTGTTGGGATATTTTTTCTTCTTGGCTATTTCTTTTGGACCCTTGATAAAACTTTTAAGTAGGATCACAGTTGTTTAAGTCATGTTATTCCTGACAGAAGTTAGAATTAAGACAGTCAATTTACAGACTTGGATATTTGCAGGCATGGATCGCATGGTAAATGAAAAGTGGACTCAGCCCCCAGTGGCGCCTCCCTTTGGTTTGTGATGGATTGGATTTTTGGACTTATCTATTCCTTTGTTTGGCAGTCAAATTTTCAAGGAGAGAAGACACTTAAAAAACAGTGAGACGAATGTGCAGACCTTCACTTTTATTCAAGTTGACAGAATACCTGAAAGACTTGAAACTACTAATCAAGTCCATAGAGTCATCTGGAAATGTCATATCTGTATTTTCTCAAAGCTTTCCAATAGCATTAGAATCAAAGACCATATGGTTTCAAGAGATGTTATAGAGAGCAAAGATAAAGATCGCCACAATGGAAACGCCAAATCAACCGATCTGTTGGTCAATTTACAAACAAACAACAACAAGACAACTGAGGCAGGTGTGAAGCTTCCAGCGAATAGCTGTAATGCACTCACCTGTAAGTCAACTCAGTCTTGTTCATACTCGTGCAGATTTCTTCGCATTTTCAGAACAGATGAGTTATAATAGATGAGCATTGTCCCATTGGCTTCATTTTTCAACATTAGAGTTTGCAGCTTGGTTAGAATGGATTTGTTGCCTGCTCACAATAGGAAAGGATTCATGTTCAAAGCACTTATCATTACCTCCATCTCTCTTTCAGATCTTAGAGAGTACATACCATCGCTGACATTATAGTCTTTGTGTTCATTACTAACTCTTCATCAGCCTCTTATCCTTGTAAAGCTTTAACTTGTCTATGATCGCAGAGGAATTCTGATACATTGTTGAGACGGCATTGTTTCAGCAAATAATGTAAAAGATAACCTTCAATGTAAAGAGCTATTGTTTGATATCCTAATGAGGAATTTGTCTAATCATTTACCACTTATGATAAAGACATGTAACTAACTTAAAACTAAACGTGCATAGAAGTGTTAATATAATTAGACAGCTATACAATTACGAAGGCTATGATCATAAGCAGCAGATGAGCTCGTGTTGTTTTCGCACATCTGAACACCTGCAGCTCTTCCTCTCCAAAAATAAACTATGAGATTAAAATATGTGAAATGAAAATGTTTAATGGGCGATGCAGTCGGCAGTTGTTGGTACTGAGAGTATCATTTGAAGCTTTGTTGCACACACACGAGGTGATGATTGAATCTGCAGCCATATTCGGTCCAAAAGAGTATCGATCAGTAAGCAAAAAAAGGCTTGTGATGTCAGGTGTTGTCATGACAAGTTCAAAAGCAGCTGTATTCTGACAGCGTGGTGCAAAACAGGCTCCCGGTGAGGCTTACAAGCCCTCTGCGCACACACATAGCAAGCAGATTCAGCAAGAGCTGCTCGCTGTTCGGGTCACCGACAGTTCAGGCTCCCAGATTTCTGGTCCTGCAGCGTGGAGAGTCTGCACCGCTGTGAGAGGAGGAGCAGATAGAGACTACAGAGCTCTGCAGGCACAATCTTATTTATATTCAGCGTATAGATTTACCCTGACTCATCATGGTGCAGGAAAAAGTATTAAGAGAACTGCTGCATATCACTAGAAGAAAGAAATCTGCTTATGCTTGTTGTCTGTCATGTCAAGAAACAGAAAGCAAATCAATCATTTGCAAACGACAGTTGGCTGTGACACCGAAGACTCTTTGTTTGAATACTGACTTCACACATTGCTTACATTTTTATTAATCCCCTTTTTTTTCATAAGCACCCACACAAAATGCCAATCATATGTCAGCGTAGCCTCATATTTATTAAATTTATACCTTTAATATCTACACAAAACAAATGCAAGATCACAACCTTCTATCACAGCCACCTCAGAACAATTTGATTATTCCATTGAGTTTACATATCTTACCGTCTGCCTGCTGCCATGTTCTCATTGAGATGAAACAATGCAGCTGTAACATAATGTAGAGGGATGTTTCATCAGATCTGGAATAACAACTGTTATTCTCAATGCCACAAGCCACAGTATAGAAAACTTACAGCTGCCTGTGTTTAGAGGTCTATTAATTCCAGCCCTGACTGCTGAAAGATGAAGCAGCTCGCTATAAACTATCTCGACAAACTTGTGTGTTTTTCTGTCAATGGAAAAAAAGACAGCCTTGCTGAGACTGTCTTTGTCTCTGTGATTTTTCTTCTCTCTATCATCCCCTTGTGCTGCATTTTCCAACTCTGTTAGAACCATCACTTCACAGGAGGAAGGACAGAGAGCATTTTATATTCCCTTACAGTTCACTTAGGACTGTTTCTCAGGATTCCTCAAGGACTTTACAGGTAGCCTTTTTTCAAAGGGGTTAGTGCTTGCTCTGTACTTCCACTGACATGAAAAATTAAAGAAATGGATCCTGCATGAAACTGCCGGGGACTTTCATCGTGTTTAACCTCCTTTCTCTATTCTTCGTTTGTCCCCAAAACAGTAAATTATCACTAAAGTAGCCGCTGATAAATCAAAATCTCTAAACCCTGGCCACATCCGCTTTAGTGGAGTTTATGCAACACACCAGCTATTAGTGATATGTTTGATGATTAGCCTTGAAGATGTTTCCACTTCCTGCTTGTGAAGCCGGCACCTCTTGGGGGCAGTAGAGGCATCAGCACGTCCTTTCATCTCTTCCTGGCTGCTGGAAAAGGGCAAGGTCAGATGGGATTTGAGCTTGGCTCTCCACCACATGTTTCTTTTGCCTGCCCAGTCTTGCTTTAGGCACAGATTAGCTCCATATACCAGCTACTGTTACAGTCTACCTTTGTGGATTGTGTGCCCACGTCAGATCCTGATTGGCGTGTCAGGAGACTCTCCTTCCCTACTTTGCCTTCCATATTTATGCAACTTAAAGCCCCTTTTTTCACTTCGCTGATAAAAATATACACAAACAGCGAGCAATTAAAATAGTTCTTAGAGGATTTCCAAGCAAAATATACATCAACAAAGGAGAGCTGGAAACCATTTCAAGAGCTTTGGCTGAACATGCCAACCTGTGAGGCCCCACTTTCACTTTTTGTTTATATGCTATTTTGACAATTAAAATACTCCACTTTCCTTTGCTTACATCATGGTTGATGTGTTGTCATGATATCATTTGGTACACGCATATAACTTCAGCTTATTATAACTATTTCCAGGCCGGCATTTTGCTGGACACCCCTGTAAGGACACCGCATGTGATAAAAGATTCATAAAGCTTTGGGTATGCTGCTCGCAGTCTCTGTCGACGGCACATCCTTTACGTGGCCTACTTTTGTTTGGATTGAAATGTTGTATCATGAACACAATGAGGACTCGCTGGGTTTGCAGTCGTCTGTAAACTGGTGGTGTGTGTCTTAATTGCGCTGATGATTTGGCAGAGGAAAGGATTGTCAGACGGAGCGTGAATGAAGAGAGAAATCTTCCAGTGAGAAGAAATAAAACGCAGATTCATTATGTTTTTGGAGAGTGAGGGAGATATGTTTAAATGACTGTAGGGCTCTCACCACTTAAAATGTCAACAATGGTGACATTTGAGGCGTACTGAACAATAAGACATTCTGCTGTTTGAAAGGAAAGGAAATCCAGAGTTACTACGTAGTTTCTGCTTCCAGTAGTTAACTTTCTGCTCTGCTGCTGTTCTTACCTTTACTTTTCTCTGGGAGATTCAGGACACCTTAACTCTTTGTCCGTCAGTCAGGGGGTCAAAAATTCTTCTCACATTTCTTTCCTCCTGGACACAAAAATCAAAATGCATCAATCTGCTTTTGTTTTATGTGTTTCTCCAACTCTCTTGAGGCTTCAAGGAGGACTTTGCTCAGACTCCTAGAATGGCGAGGTCGAAGTCATCCAGCAGTGGCCTCCGTCTGGCATTTTACCCAGAGCACATCCTGTGGGAGCGGGAGCTTTGGAGCCGGCTGCGCGACCACATCAAACAATGGCTTTTTGTTGTAAACAAAGCCAGGGCAGCTTGCCGGGGGCCCTCTCTCTCTCTCCTTCCCTCTCTCTCTCTTTCTCTCTCTCCCTCCACACGCTTACGGCCCGGATCCAGTCTGCCTACTATAATTCTGGACTGTCAGACAAATGTGCGCCAATGCGCCACAAGTCTTTCTATTGCATTTGCATTTGTACACAGCAACCATGAACCTGGCCGCACATCAGATGAATTCAAATTCGTCGAAAATAGTAAAGCTAGATGAAAAGCAAAACTAACGGCTAGCCTCGAGAGGATAGTTAAAACACAATCACCTGAACAGTTGTTTGACTGCACTGCACAGAGCATAATGTCCTTCTGTTTGTTTATTGGTTGGTGAACCGCTGCTGCAGCTGCTTTGTCCAGAGGACAGAGCAGCAGTTGTGCATAAAACATTTAATGTGGATTTGTTTTCCTGAAATGCATGATAACATATGCTCGTCCCGAAGTTTTATCTCCATCACTGAGGAATGCTTTATCCCAAAATCAAGACGTCAGTATGTAATCTTGAAAACACAAACCTTTCTTTAGTTTGAACTTTATTCCTCTCTGGTGACACACCAAGTACTCTTTGTTATTAAAGGACTAAATGAAGCAGAAGTCATGGACAGCGCTGCCTCACAAAAGCTGTTTATAGTACTCACAGAATCAGTGAAGTAGAGAAAAAAGGGCTTAAACTTTTTAGACTGGCTGGAAACTGTACACAGAGAAATGTTTTAAAGCCATTGTTTCTGACCTCTAGGGCTCATCATTTTAATTATTGACCTAAAAACTATATAATCCAGGAAAATGACTGCAGCGTACCTTTGGCACAAGCTTGGGGGGAGCTTAAGGAAAACCGCTGCATCTGCTCACCAAATATGAGCCCAGCTCAGATACTTAAAACTATTTTGAACACTTACAGTTTATAACTTAATTGTATCCCTGAAGGCAAGGTTACATTTCTCAACTGCAGGGATGTTACAGAGAGACTGTTTCCCCTGTTGTTAAAAGAGAAATTTAGATTCTGACTTAACAGCCAGTCTGAAGGCTAGAAAATCTGCAAAAAACAGTCCAAATCAAGAACAATTCATCTAGCATGGCCAGATCCAGGATCAAACAGACAGTGTGTGGGCTAATACTGTCACCCTTTGGTCCTCCTTTCAGGTTAATGTCCATATCTTGGTGCTTGTTACATATTGACAGTTTTTTATAGACACAGCTACATACAACTTTAGCTCCATTTACTGCCAAACCAGGCTGAGCTATGGGAATCTATCCATCATTTGTTCTTGTTTACATGTGGGTAGTGGAGCAGTATATAATGGCAGTAGCTATAGCCCTGTCTAGTGGTTACAAGTCTGGTGGTAGTCAGCAAACAGGGATGTTTATAGACCCACTCTGATGAAAATCAAAATTTTCTTGCTTTTCATATGTCCATATGGCATTTCTCTGATGCTACAGGACGTATCATGAGAAAACTAAATGAGAAATAGCTTTTCTGAGTATTTCTTCATTCAAATCGCTGTGAATCTCTGGCAGACCCAAACGGCAGGTTCAGAAACAGTGAGATTTTATACGCAACCAACATGCACCGCCCCTGGAGCTCTGCTATGCAGGCAACACTCTGCATATAGAGGAGAAATACAGAGGATGATCGTGGAACAAGCGTGCGTGTTAGCAGATTGCAATGCTCGTAAGAAAGCTAAATATGATTCTAGCTCTCATCGTGTCCCTAAAGACATTCATATCCGAGGGCTGAATAGCTCCTATGTTACCTGCCACTTCTATTACACTGGCATTGTTAGGCTGCAAGCTAACCTGAAGACAGGTGTGCAGAGTAATGCTGTCTCCGCCCACAACTCAGAGGCGAATTGCTAATGATCTACTGGAGCTCTGCAAAAGAAAAGCCCTTGAAAATGACCCAGGTAACATGATTTTTGGTTAAAAAAAAAAAAAAAATCATAATCACAATTTAAAGACCACTGAGAACACTTTAAGTAATATCTATATATCTATTCATATCTATATATATATAAATAATAGTAATATAAATATAAATATATAGTCAGTATTTATTTAGCTCTGTTTGTTTTTCCTGCTCTTGTAAAATACAGTTGTTCTTACTTCTATTCCATGTTCCTGTTGAACATTATTTATTCGAATTGTCAAACACACTCAAGTAAGAATAAGGTCTTGTCTTAGTCTATATGTGCACTCTGCTTCTTGCCTTGGAGAGCAGATTTTCCAGCATGTTAGCTCAGTTGGCACACTGACCAGTGTAGCTAACAATCCGCGCTCACTGTGAAATTACACCTAATAGGTGCACAAAGGTCCCGCACCACAATGTCACATTAAATAGAAAAAATCAGGAATGAATCAGAACACTACCAAATGCTTCAATGTGCTGCAGCTCCTGCTGTTTCATGTTAGTGCCCTTTCCCCAAGAGCACTTGATCAAAGGTGACACGACACAATGTTTGCACAGTAGGGCTGGTGCTTATCCTGGCGATTAGCACCATGTTATTATCAGGAGTGCCGAGTGCACTTGGCGGGTATAGACCACTGATCACACTTTAGCTATGATAATGAAATATTTTAAACACCAAGCTAATTGAAATGCTGGTGCAGGGCAGCAGCTGGGATGCATGCTTAGTCATTATCACTCTTAATAGTTTTGATGGGAAGGGACACTGGAAGGGGAAAGGGGAGACCCATGTCTGTGTCCCAGGAGTCAGGAAGACCCTCTGAGGCTATTACAGCCTGTGTTTTCCTATTATGGCACCTATGTATTTTTATCCAAACCGATATTCTGTCAGCAACTCATGCAGAGTAGAATTTGGAGGGCTGGTTAATTGCAAGGTTTGCTGATAATTGTTTCATTAATTCTAGCTGGCTCCCATTGTTCCTGGCCAGGCACATGGGTCCAAGTCTATGCAGAGCTTGGCAGTAGTTTTTAAACGAAGGGGAAATGGAACAACCTGCTTCACTGCCCCTGCTGATCCCTCGGGTTCTCGGCTTTTTTCCTTTCTCTCTCTCTCTCTCTCTTTCTCTCTCTCTTACCTAGTGTGTCAAGGGCATTCCCTGTCTCTAGGCTTCTGGAAACCTGCAGAGGACAATCATTCTAAAAGCTGGTGGAGGGGCACAGCAGGGGACCAGATTTACGTACTCTCCTCATATTCCCTTTCCTCAGAATGGCCAGGGCGTTTGCACTTAATAAAAAAAAACCACACTTTTACAGTCATATAAAATATTCCCTTCAAAGTTAATGTTCACTGCTGGGTTCAGACATCATTTGTTTTGTTTCTGACTAAAGGAGGATTAGCATCCTGTTAACATTTATATTCTTAAAGTGTTTCATATGAAGTGGAAATTATAATGGATTGAATTCTAACCAAGTATGTGCATGCTAATCACGCCGCTTTGCTGTTTGAGATCCACATGCTGACTGCTGAAGGGGAAAGAGGCGCCCATTGACTCTATTTGAATCTATTGGTGAGCACATGTTCCAATCTCAACACTGAGAGCTGGGGTTATAAAGTGTGGCGATGGGAAGTACACCAGAGGGCAGAGGCCAGTGGCTTTATTGCTGTTTGGAGCACTGCTGTGTGTCTTTGAGGTTTGAGAAGTTTGAATTAGATTTGCTTCAGCACATCTCCAGCTGGGAACTATGTAAATTTACAGTAAGGAGTCTTATCTGTGCAAGAAAAGTCAAAGCCTCTACCACCAGCTCGGCCATTTATCTTTTTTTTTATCCTCCACACTGAGTGGCTTTTTTCTAAATTGGCATGTATCAATGATTGAGTGTACTCCTATTCTTATCTGCTGGCCATTAACAGCAAGAATATAACCATTTGGGTGTATTCTGTTCACAAAACCTATTTCTGGTCTGAGCTTTTTTTTTCATTCCAGGGAATTAACCCAGCATGAAAATATTTTTCGGTATCTTTTTGTTCTTTGAGAAAAACAGGATGCCTGGGCTTTTCAATTCATGTGCAGTTTTCTCTAAATAAAGGAAGAAACCAAGTCCTTCACTGTGAGGCTTAGAAGAATACATTTCAGCTTTTGAATCCCGGTGTAAATTCTGTGTGCTGCAGCTACAGGCTGGTGTGGCCTGTGGACCCTGGGCAGAGCTTTACAGTGGGAGACAACAATCCTCCGTCATGGCTGGTGGCCGTTTTCCCCTTGAACTGTGAAAACATATGAGGAGCCGAAGCGCCTCTGTGTTGCAGAGGGAAAAAAAAAGGCCTATCATTTATTATTCAAATGAAATGAGGTCCGGCAGATGGTGGGAGAGGGGCCGTGGGCTCGCGGCAGAAAACCTCCTGCTCTCTACCTCTGTGATTTCAGTCAGCCCGTGACGAAATAAAAAGTTCAAAGGGAATCAGCGATCGTGACGGATCTCATTAGCATATTTCCAATGAGCAACATTAGAGACAGCAGAGATGGGGAAGTCGGGGTTGTATCCAATGCAGGAACTAATCAATGTTTACTGTGTGTATGTTAGAATACTGCAAGATTTACTTATACATGCGTCAGCCGCTATATATATATTGAGTTTATTTAGACATGCGTAGGTGAAGCTTTGGTTTCAAACTAGTAAAGTCAGTGTTACATAAATGTAAATATTTTCATCCTCAGTTCAAACTCTTGTCGTCAACAAGCCTCCTATTTTTGTTTTCTTTCTTCTTTTCACATTTGCTGAACAACAACGTACAAAGGCTTATTTTTCTGTTTCGGAACGGTTCAGATGTTTTGAGAAGCGTGAATGGAATCGCGTTCCATCTATTGATAGTTTCAAGCATTCGCACACATCTATTGCAGAGTTTATGTTGTGTTTAAACATCTTTCCGAGATTTTATTATTCCAGAGTCTGCGTGTTATGAAAAGGAGAAATGGTGAGCTGAGGAGTCAAAAGA